CATATATGTATAACCGACTATGCGAATTGGTTGTGCCCATGGTTCAAAGCAATGGTAAAAGAGCACTTTCTAATAGGACTTTACTGAATTTTATATGCAGCAGGCAATGCTTCTCGAGACAGTACCCTAGAAAAGAGCCAGACGTGTACGTAAAGTGTAGTGCCACATCCCATCTTTCTACAGCATTGCTTTGGAAACTCGCCAAGAAGTTGCTCTTCCACCTTTCCCAACACGTTGGTGCTCTGTCCATAAGTTGGAAGTCATACCACTTCCTCACAATGGCACTCAAATAATGGTGCCTGTTTACAACCTTTGTGTGGTCACTTTTCCCCATTTTTCTTTTTGCATGCAGCCAAAGCTTCCATCATCTGATGTTGTAGCTTTGGTATCGGAAGGTTTTTCCGTCGACATCCACTGATACAAATCGGTGATCCAGGAACGTTTCATGATCTTCTGTGATGCGTGCAGACCTTAGTGACATCATTCTCTTCACGAGAACAGCAAGGTGGGGAACAAACGCTCAATAAAAAGGGGCTATTTTCAGTGGTACAGGATGCAGAGCTTCCACGTGAAGTAATCATCTGCGATGGCAAGCCCTAAGTAGAAACCTGCACCGTAACAGTTTACTTGCTATCATCAACCATTAAAGTAGTCTGAAATGAAGGCCCTTGTTGACACTGGGGCTTCTGTCTCTATCATCAATAAGAGTAAGTAGAGTGGATGGTAATCGACTGCATGCTGGTAGAGCATTGCGCGTGTAAGCCTATGATCGGTCATTGAGCACGCATAATGAATGAATTACCCTAAACAACAAATTTTATGGTCAAACAATTATGGCTAGCATATTAACCATCCCCGACGTCAGCTATGATTTTGTTTTGTCGCACCCAGACATGAAGAGGCTTCATATTATCTATTAAATCCCACTCACTAAAGAAACAAAGAAGTAAACTGCATTTATAGCCCCTTTTGACTTATTTGAATACAACCACTTACCATTTGGTTGGAAAAATTTTCTGCTCTGGCATGGTTTCAGAAAATGATGACTGATATTCTGGAACCTTATTTGGGTATATTTTACAACGTCTGCATTGATGACATCGTCGTGTATTCAAAGACAAAAGAGGAACACCGGAATCATTCTTCAAAAGTTCTTCATACTTTGAGCTTTTCGCAACTCAATGTGAATTTCAAAAGAAAAGGGCTTTTTTTGAAGACAAAGTTGTATTTCTCAGAAGGGTGTTCGACAGACTTACCAAAAGCACGAAACGAGAATCAGTAGACAGAATTTCTCAGCTGGCAAAACCTTATGATGTGCACTCTTTGCTTGTCTTCCTTGGCCTGGCAGGACACTTCAGAACCTTTATCAAGGTCTGCGCATTGAAGACACGATGCCTTACACGCTCAACTCAAACAGATGTATCTTTCAAATGGAATGAGTAGTGCGAAGTTGTTTATTCTGAGCTTGTAAAGCTAATATCATCGGATCCCGTCCTGGGAATACCGTACTTTTCTTGGCCTTTCGTACTGAATACAGACACATGACACTACGCAACCGGTGCAATTTTGTATCAGTAACTCCCAAAATAGGCCGATCCAACGAAACATTATGTGGTGGGATTTTACAGCTACACGCTGAAGCCAGCTGAAATTAATTTTTCTACAGAAAAAGAAGCACTGGCAGTCTTAAAAGCAGTTCGGTATTTCAGAACTTATTATGAAGGGACTAGTTCAACCTCTTCATGGACCATCAGGAGTTGACACAACTTTCGAATATGGCACAACCATGAGGACGCATTGCTAGATTGGTCAACTATCTCCAGCAATTTGATTTCACCATTTTGCACCATCCTGGCCCGCTTCTCACCGATGCTGATGCGCTGTCTAAATTCCTTGTTCATCAACCAGCGAAAATGCAGTAATGATCGATCATATTAAGCTATGGGAAGATACAGGAGATGTACAGTCTATTGATGGAAAGTATCGGCATGGTGATGGAACTGCATTACGAGGCCTGGGGTGCGGCCTCACCGGTAACCACCGCCGGGAACGCACTCCCTCATCAGAGAAGGATTGGCCACCCTGGTGTAGTATCTGGCCGCTACCTCCCACATGCATACGTCAAATAACTCATGGCCCTCAGTCCCCAGCAGCTGCGAAGCAACTGACCACGGCGGCGGTCAGATCTGCAACGCAGCAGAGGGTGCTAAGAATCTCTGGATCCGGACAGGCTGCCATTGGAACCTGAACTTGGCAACGTTTAACGCTAGAACCTTATCTAGTGAGGGAAGTCTAGCTGTACTATTCGAGGAGCTAGAGGGTGTTAAATGGGATATAATAGGGCTCAGTGAGGTTAGGAGGACAGATGAGGCCTATACGGTGCTACAGAATGGGCACGTCCTTTGCTATCGGGGCTTGGCTCACAGAAGAGAACTGGGAGTGGTGTTCCTAATTCACAGAAACATAGCTGGCAACATAGAGGAATACTATAGCATTAATGAAAGGGTGGTAGGCATCGTAATTAAACTGAATAAGAGATACAAGATGAAGGTGGTACAGGCCTAAGCGCCTACATCCAGCCATGATGACACTTCAGTTGAAAGCTTCTATGAAGATGTGGAATCGGCAATGAGTAAGGTAAAAACACAGTATACAATACTGATGGGAGACTTAATGCAAAGGTAGGGAAGAAGCAGGCTGGAGACCAGGCAGTAGGAGATTATGGCATCGGTACTAGAAACGCAAGAGGAGAGCTACTAGTAGAATTCACAGAACGCAATAATTTACGGATTTTAAATACCTTCTACCGAAAAAGAGGAAACCGCAAGTGGACGTGGAGGAGCCCTAATGGCGAAAATAAGAACGAAATAGACTTTATAATGAGTGCACACCCAGGCATCGTGCAGGATGTGGAAGTGGTTGGCAAGGTACGATGCAGTGACCATAGAATGGTACGGTCTCGAATTCGCCTAGACTTGAGAAAGGAACGACAGAAACTAATACGCAAGAAGCCAATCAATGAGCTAGCACTGAGAGGGAAAGTACAGGAATTCAGAGTCTCGCTTCAGAACAGGTACTCGGCTCTTAGTGAGGAAACCAACCTTAGCATAGATACAATGAATAATAATCTGACGAGTATCATTACGGAGTGTGCAGTGGAAGTTGGAGGCAGGGTAGTTAGACAGGACACTGACAAGCTTTCCCAGGAAACGAAGAATCTCATTAAGAAGCGCCAAATCATGAAAGTCTCAAGTACAACAGACAAAATAGAACTGGCAGAGCTTTCGAAGTTGATTAATAGGCGTAAGGTATCCGATGTAAGAAGGTATAACATGGAGAGAATTGAACACGCTCTGAAAAACGGAGGAAGCGTCAAAGCAGTGAAGAGGAAACTTGGGATAACCAAAAATCGGATGTATGCACTAAGGAACAAAGAGGGCAAAATAACTACCAATATTGATAGGATAGTGGAAATAGCGGAGGAGTTTTACAGAGATCTGTACAGTAGCCGGGACAACCATGACTTTTAATACTATAATAACTAGCAGTAACCCAGATGACACCCTACCAGTAATGATAGAAGAAGTCAGAAAAGCTTTGGAGAGCATGCAAAGAGGCAAAGCTGCTGGTGAGGATCAGGTAACATCAGATCTGCTGAAAGATGGAGGACAGATTGTGTTAGAAAAACTAGCCACCCTGTTTACGAGGTGTCTCCTGACGGGAAGAGTACCAGAGTCTTGAAAGAACGCTAACATCATCTTAATACATAAGAAAGGAGATGACAAGGACTTGAAGAATTACAGGCCGATCAGCTTGCTCTCTGTAGTATACAAGCTATTTACAAAGGTAATTGCTAACAGAATAAAGAAAACATTAGAATTCAATCAACCAAAAAAACAAGCAGGATTTCGAACAGGCTACTCAACAATTGACCACATTCATACTATCAATCAGGTAATAGAGAAATGCTCAGAATATAACCAACCACTATACATAGCCTTCATAGATTACGAGAAGGCGTTTGATTCAGTAGAAATATCAGCCGTCATACAGACACTGCGGAATCAGGGCGTCGATGAAGTATATATAAACATCCTGGAAGAAATCTACAGGGAATCAACTGCTACCATAGTGCTTCATAAAGAAAGCAACAGAATACCAATCAAGAAGGGTGTAAGGCAGGGGGACACAATCTCCCCAATGCTATCTACCGCATGCTTATGGGAGGTTTTCAGAAGCCTAGGATGGGAACAGCTAGGGATAAGAGTTAATGGAGAGTACCTTAGTAACCTGCGCTTCGCCGATGACATTGCATTACTGAGTAACTCAGGGGACGAATTGCAACTCATGATTACGGAGTTAGACAAGGAGAGCAGAAAGGTGGGTCTTAAAATGAATCTGCAGAAAACAAAAGTAATGTACAACAACCTCGGAAAAGAGCAGCGCTTCGAGATAGGTAATAGTGCACTTCAAGTTGTAAAAGACTATGTTTACTTAGGGCAGGTCATAACCACGGAGCCGAACCACGAGATTGAAGTAACTAGACGAATAAGAATGGGGTGGAGCACATTCGGCAAGTACTCTCAAATTATGACAGGTAGATTGCCACTATCCCTCAAGAGGAAGGTATATAACAGCTGTATCTTGCCGGTACTTAGCTACGGAGCAGAAACCTCGAGACTTACAAAGAGGGTTCAGCTTAAAGGATATCATAGCTGAAATCAAGAAGAAGAAATAGACATGGGCTGGGCATGTAGCGCGTAGACAGGATAACCGCTGGTGGTTAAGGGTAACTAACTGGATTCCCAGAGAAGGCAAGTGGGTTAGGGGGAGACAGAAGGTTAGGTGGGCAGATGAGATTAAGAAGTTTGCGGGTATAAATTGGCAGCAGAAAGCACAGGACCGGGTTAACTGTCGGAACATGGGAGAGGCCTTTGTCCTGCAGTGGACGCAGTCAGGCTGATGATGATGAAGCCTTTACCAAGCACCACACATCGACAAAAGGTCCAAACTACGGTTTATTTCTGTTTTGAGGAGCTCAAGGGTACTTTGTTCATACAGCTGCAGTGCAGGTACACCGATTACTTTGTAACATTCAGAACGTGGTCTGCGCGGCAAGTGTACACAGCTTTCAGTTAGTCAACTGCGAGTACGGGACGGTAGAAACTCCGTCTTGCTTGTTCCAATTATGACTGCTGGTGTCCTAGGAGGTGCGCTGACGTGAATACTGCTGGACTCGAGGACGCGCACTACAAGAGAATGGTCTACAAGAGAATGGTCACCATGGATTGCCATTATATCGGTTTGCAGTGCCAAATGAACGACAATTCACGCTTATATTTAAGAGTGAATGCTTGCTTCGCTGTACCTACTGTTGTACCGGAATTCGGTCGACCGCAGAGCGCATAAATGCACAGCCCTTTGTTTTTATACAAATTAAAGGGTGATTAAATATCATCTTAATGTTCGCTCACACATCAAATGGCCTCCTTCACAGAGCTTAGCATCAGCACAATTTTCAAATTTTAAAAGCGACGAAATTTCATGTTACTCGTTCGGTCACAAGACTTCGATTTCAAAGCTTGCTATGTTACAGAAAGCATGGCACAGTGTTCAGTCATCACTAGAGGGCAACTTCTATATCTATTCAAATAAATGAACTTTGTAACTTTTCGCTAGTGTAGTAGTGAAGACGGTATAATAAGAAGTGCACCCGAGCAGACAATTCATCGACGAATAGAAGCACCCTAAATGCGTTTCCTCTATTACTTCAGTGGCTGTTGTACTGGCTGCATGCCAAGGTTTGTTTGCTACATTTAGTAATTTACAGTAAAGATTCACAGTGTGCATATATTTGTTTTGGCCATTGTTCTAGTTAATTGTAATTCAATCCTAGTTTAGTTTGGTTCTCACAGTATTAAATCAAGGGCAAGATGGAATTTGGAAGCAATGGAAACTCCTGCGTTTCAACCAGCGGACTTGGCTTAGAAGGCCTTCAAGAAGACAAGTCCGCTTCCCGAAATGTAGGCTGCGATAGCATCTTGTGTTTGAAGAATTTTGCATTGCTTCTAGCATTTTGTAACTTAGGGAATCGAGCACTTCGTAGCATCCACTTGATTGCATTGCTTCTTGTTCAGTCTTCTGCACTACTACAGCATGAAAGGTCATACAGCTCAACGCAGTGTGCAGATAAGTTACTCGATGATGGCAAAGTTCCCTCTTATCTACGGCACACTGGATCCTGGCTACATAGAGCAGCACCGCAAGCTTTCCAATAGCAGTTCTGTGACCAAAAGGAGAAAAAAAAAAAGTTGGTCGCTGGTTCGGTCTGTGAAGACACACAAAACCAAACTTGACCGTAATCATTTCCACCAATGTGAAAACATAAACCAGTACACCTAACAGTACATTGCAGCACATTCAAAGTATTGCACGGTGAACAAAGAAGCGCCCCAAAGGCCGGCTTAGGCCGACAAAAGTAACGTATTTGATAGCACAATTGTAAGCAACCCCATATTTTATGAAACACCAAACAACTACAGAGTAACAACTCTTTGCATAACAAGTCCACACTTCACTTCTCAAACAGGGTGAACGGGGTGAAACTGCACCGTATTTACAACTTTCTACATAGATACATTGACGTCATGCTCATCATAGCTGCATTAGTTGTGAATAAAATTGTCCTGAAAGGGCACCCTGCAAGGCAAGTGCTGTTTTCTGTTCATTTATAAGTCAGAAGTACACTTTATCAATGCATTTATGCTTGCAGAAGAAAACCTGCATAGTTATGCCAATTAGCAAAATTTCTCTGTGTGGGAGTAAATCTTCAGTCGAAGCCATCAAAAATGGGGTGACAACGCATGGCTAGAGGTGGCTCTTCCTTTTACTTTTGTAAGGAAAGATTGTAGCTGTAATGAAGTTAATGCATTTTGGAAGATTCCATCATTGTTACACAGAGCCTTATACTGCATAGTTTTAAACATGGTTTATAAAGAAACCAAATGTGAATAGACAGTGGCTGCCTTGCTCCAGTTTATAAGCAGCTTTATAGGGGACTTTTAACTTGTAAACATCTCAATACACCACCAAAAACACAACAGAACTGACTATGTTCCTGCCACATGTGACACCGTACATGAACAAAGTCTCAAGCAATAGAACCTGTGAAACAGCTTTTCAAGGTAAGGGAAAAGATCAGCACCCGTCAGTCGTACTCACTGGATTAGTTTTTACAGTATTTACATTTGTATGCAGTGCTTTGCATACTGATGTCAGAAACAATAAATCAAGCTAAAGTTATAAATACTATTACAATATCCCCTGCTTATCACATCTCACCTATAATAAACAGCCCTTTCAAAGGCAAGATGGCGAACGAGATGTGACCACACCAAAGATATGCCAAAGAAAAACCAGCTTCTCAAATAAAATTGAGTTCGGTCAACTTAAGTTTTTCTACAAGGTTTACTGAAATTGGCTCATCCTGTCACTCTTTTGGTGCTATCTACGGGTGAGTGGCAACTTATACACGACGGAGAAAGGCGTAATAAAGTGTGAAAGGTGAAGACTTGGCAAGATCCTGAACCCTCACAGAATCGCTCATCTTGAGAGTGCTTTTTTAATATAGACTTATTCCACAATGACCACCAGAAAATGATAAGCAGGACCATGAGCTGTCACTGTAGTTTGTATTTTACATTTGATGGCTTCTGCATTTCAGGTGCACCCAAGATTACAAGTGAATTAAAATGACATGACCTGCGCTGTAACTAAGAACTGTTCACACCCTTTACATCACCAAACAAATATTTTTTGCCAGAATAGCTAGTATCCAAATACAATGCTGTCAAACACCTGCATCTAGTTAGCCTGTGCACAAGACCTCTAAATGTCACTGATCTACTTTTGTAGCTCTAGTACTAGCAAAAAAAAAAGGACCAAATTTCATTTTGAACTATGCAGAAAATGCTTCAAAAGGAAAAGACATATAGTGACACAATAAAAAATTATTCATTCAGTAAAACAAAATGAGGTCTGAAAAGAATTGTTTTTTTTATTATAAGGCAATAAATTAAGAAAATCACAATGAAATGCCAAAAGTTACACAAGCACACAATGCAATAGTGTGGCCTCCATCACCTTGGCTTACATACCTGCAACAATACAATTCAATACACAACGCACATACTATCAACATTATGCATTTAAAAGAAGCATGTCGATCTTAGCTGCTGGCCTCTCAACACAGAGAGACTAGCAGTGACTGTTATTTGCAGAGGACGCTATGTTTTTTTATGGGATGAGAAGAATTCGTATTTCATTAAATTCATTAAGAATTGATAATTAATTAAGCAGAGTCCCAGCTCTTCTATTGCGGCCAAAGAATGCAGCCTCCGTTCCCCTCAGAGGGTTGGCATGCAAGTGACGCCAAAAATGGTGGCAGTGAGCCTCTTCGATGCTACAAGACAATCTATGGAGGCTGGAACGCAAGGGGTCAGGAGGCAGCAGCGAAATCAGTCTTGCATTGTTCCTGCAGCAAGGTTGAGTCGTGTGCCGCCCAGGGCCTTTGCTCGATTTTAAAAAAATGCCAGGTGGCTTAGACCGGGTGATCGCCATCTGCAATGTGCATCTTTTCAACTCTTGACACTGGCGCTGACATTCCCTCTGAAAGCGAAATAAACGCAAGATTAGGAACTAAACTGCAAAGTGGTAATATGACTGTGTACACATGAAAGCATAGGTGCTGAGCTAAAAAGAAAAAAAAAACTGAATAAAAAACACAGGCAAGATGTGTGTATGAGTGTGTCAACAGAAGTGCATGCAGGTACTGGGACTCTGCGACCTAAGTGCTTGAAACCACATGCCACTTCCTTCAAGCAAGCACGAGCGTTGGCACTTCTAAAGTAATAAGAGCAATATATGTGCAGTCTTTGCACTTCACTGTAGTATGGCTTTTTTAAGCCAAAATCTCTTGAGGCACATAGTTGCGGGGGAGCTCCAGGTTAATCTAGACTTCTTGTGGTGTCTTTAAGGGCACTAAAATTTAATAAGCACTTCATTACTCTTGCATTTTGCTCCCGTCAAAAGATGGATGCCGGAGCTGGAATCAAACTAGATAACTAGAGCATAGCAGTGCAACACTATATTCGCAGCATTGCCACAACACAGCTAATGCAAAAAAATAAAAGTTGTTTGTAGCTGGAGGAAGCTCAAAATGGCCTTTTGTACTTTCTTTAACAGGATCCACCACTACTTACATATGTGCCATGCCTGCCAATATGTTTCGAATTATATTGATAAATGCACAAGAACCGGCACGGAACTTTATCCAAACAGCGTCAGAGAAAGTTAAGAAACATCATCCTAATAACCTGTTAGTCCAGTCTGACCATGCATGTTAGCAGAGCGTGCAACATTAAACCATCTTGTTTCTTGCCTTTTTTTGCAAGCGCCTCCCTTATGCTGATTACTGCTAGTAAGCATACTACAAGAGCCAAAAAGAGGGAACAGATTCTAAACATATCCTAGTTAGTGTATATAGGGTAGGTTTGGTTTGGGTAAAGTTGATCAGAGGTTATTTTTTAATTTTTACCAAAGTGTGTGACATATCATGAAAGCTACTTCCGCTACTCTGACAGTGTCACAGCGGGTTACCCACATAGTAGTGTCCAATTAAATGCTTGAAATGCGTTTATATCCGCTATGACTTGGAAGGGCATTCAATTTATCAAGACTTTTTTAGAGTATGCAAAAGTGAATTGGCCTAGATCTCATCAGACACTTTGTAGGAATTAATGAAAACACAATCTTACAAGCATAAGCTTCTCAAGACACATAATCTTACAACAGTATTATAACCAGGCAAACACAAATAAGTACTCAACACAAAGCTGTACTCAATACATGATTCAAGTGCGCTCCTCTGTTGCTGTGTACCACTGACAGTGCCAATAACAGCCAAATCCATTAATTGGTAGACTGTATGCAAGAAGATTTATAATATCTAAGGTGAAGATATTGTGAAACACATGTGAAGTGTTGATGTCTGCATCGAGTACGTAGAAACATGTACACTCAAGCAGGTTTAATTGTTTTGAACACCTCAGAAGAAGGAAAGACATTGGCAATGGACACATCACTGGAGCAACCTCAAGAAAAAAAAATATGTTTAAGACACTTGCTGGATCTGGCCGTTTTACAGGGCACACTGTTCTCTCTAAATGAATGATTCCTCATCATAGAATATGCCTAGCAACATCGTTTATCGGTGTCATAAGCAAGATATCAATACAAACTACTTTAACATTTTTGCCTGCTGTATTATCAGTCGTATAAATAAAACCACATATGTAATTCTTACTAGCTGACTCCTCTACAATTCCTTTGCAGCTTGAAGGTTATATGCCACAACATTTATTGGCTTTTCTTAGACAAACATCATGAAACATACTGTAGTTTTCAACATTTTAAAGATTTTGCGATGTACATACAAGACACAAGTGTGAGCCTAGGTACAGTGAACCTATAAAATATGAAGTGCCACATCTATCACAGTCAAGGGAAGGGGCAAGTAATGGGGGTTATCGTACATCTTTCAATGCAAACTGTTGCATGTGTGTGGTGTTAAAGTGCACATCCTCGCTAACATTTAAAAAAAAATAAAAAAGATCCTCAAATATGCATTTATGAATAAAATTATCTGCCATCAATAGCCTCTCAGTGTTCAGATTATACAGTACCATTTTGTTGTTCCATCTGCCATTGTGACTGTTTCATCGTGCTGACGTTCAAAATGCTGGTGACTGCTACGTTCCATTCATCAAAGCACAGAGCTTTTGTGCCTCTGTAACACCCTAGAATACTTCTTTATCCTAAGAGGCTATGCTATTGGCACAATGACATTGTACACGGCCTGATGAGCCTATATCCCTGTCATTTACAAGATTTCTTCATTTTTTATTTTTGCTGAGAGCGCTAAAAATGTGTCAAATGGTCGCTGCATTCAAGAAGTTATAAGAGTACTAAAATATATATTAAAAAGTAATGGGGACTTCTAGAAAGTTAAAAAACAGTTCTTTGAGTGTAACCACAGGCTCCACGCTGCATATAAATAATCTTAGGCTCACCTCACATGTTTATTTACGTCATTTGACTTCAAGTGTTACAGAGCTACCTTAAAAAGAAATCATCATATACATTTTCATTGGCATGCATTACTTGTGTTGTCGTTAGTTTTCTCCATGCCACAAAGTCAGCCTTCTACATGTGTGTCTGTTTCCAAGTTAAAAGACTGCATGAGTACTTATGCTATCTAGTTCCTGCACTTTTCTTTTTTTGTAGTGCACTAAGTGTACCAAAAAGTTGGAATTCCAACTTACTCAGATAAGTTCTATGTTAGCTACAAGCACACGTGCACAAAAAGAGAAGCCTTGGAGGTCAGTGGTGCAAAGCAGTTATGAAGTGGTAAACACGAGGAGCGAGTTACTGCGCATGCAACACAAAATAGAGAGAGAGAGAAAGATAGTAAGAATGAAAAGAGCGTGGGAGACGTACATCACGAGGCGCAGCGTTACCGCACACAAAGGTACACACACAGAGTTGGGAGCAGCTCATTCAAGCAGTGCTGTGACCTCTGCATTCATGCTATTCCCAGAGGCTACAAAAGACAGGGACAGTGCCAGTCAGAGCCACCACCACTGCTCAATGTAGTGCACGCAATTGATCAAAATTTCCACCTCCGTGAAAAACATCTGCAAACCAGTGCTACAACTGAAACAAGTTTAACAGCACACGCCGACTGAGAACTGGCCTGATACAATTGTTTATTGAGAATTTGTGCCATTCGAATACTGTGCAGTTTTAGAAAGCATGTGCGGGGTAAAAAAAGACATCTTCTGCACCATGGTTTAGCAAAGGATGATTATCACCATAGTCTTAAAAAAATACGCTTCTTAGCTGCTAGGTGCCTTCAGAGAAACTTCTTAGGTTTTATAAGGAACACTGAAATGCCTCTACAATTAGTGCCTTGCTACACATAGCCCAACAAGTGCGAAAACCGCCAATTTAACGAGAAAAAAAATACAACACACGGGGCAAGTAATCTAAACTGCTGTATCAAGGTTATCTCAAGACAGCTTGCAATACTAATAGGTCAATAAGTTCATGAAATAAGCAAAGCCATCAAATTAATGCATATCTTGCAGACAACAGGTAGAAGCTAGATGAAATAAAAGGAGAACGAAGATTTACCTTCAGTGCACCTTATTGTTGCTAACTTGCTCACATCAGTAAAACGATTGAGAAAAAAAAAAAATGCGGCAATGAATACAAGACAATGGCAGGTATAAGCAACACTAAACAAGAAGAAATGAATCCTTAGTGCTCTTCGCAGCAATTACTGTGGGTTGTAACCTTTGGTGTACATAAATGAATCTGATTCCTCGCCATTCACAGCCCTCATGGGAATGGCAGTGTCATGGGCAAATTACTATTAGCAGTTAAACAATGCAGCTGTGCATTTACAGCAAGCAAATAGACAAGAGACACACATACTGCCAGACAGCTGAAACTATTAATGCAATAGTGCATCACATCACATTTTTTTGTTTATAAATTTTCATCAACTTACAAATATTACCTAGTTTTTGCATGGTGTAAGATGTGTGTTCAGTTTTCATCAACTTGCCCCTGTTCCCTAGCTTTCCCTCAGTGTAGTGAGCAGTGTACAATACCTTAAGCTGTCTAGATACTGTTGCCAATTTGGTAGCAAATGAAGCATAATTGACTCTACTGCATGCTTGTAGTGTAGTAGCTTCAGTAACAAGCAGCCACACTAATCTATATCACTGTATTTTCTGAGTTGCTATGTCTCAACATTCAAGTTTTATTATTCAACCTCTACAGGACTGTATGATCGGTTTATATTGTTCAAGAGGATTTGAGGCTTTTGCCGTTGAATTATTGTGCCAAACTAAAAGCAACTGACACCATGTCCTAGTGATAAAACGTGAACTATACCTGCATATAATGCCTATCAAAGCATCAATGACAACAAACTGCCACACAAACCATAAGAGAAATCACAGTGCATGACAAAGCTTTCACTTTGCTTATGGTTCCTGCGCAAGTTTTGCAAAACTGCTTTTAATTAACTAGCCATTAGCACTTTTCTAAAAGAATTCACCTTTACCTCAAAACTTCTTTTTTATTTACGGCTACATCGCTGAACATGAACACAATGCCTCAAATTAACACAATGCCCAATCTTACAATGCTCAGATGATTAAGCAAGCCTAAAACATACAAGTAACTTTAGTAATAATTAGAACATTATCACCACTTAAGCTCCTGTGCACAAGCAAGTGAGTAAAGCAACCAGAAGCACCAGAATACTGACCATCGGAATGGCCTGTTTCTTCGTCAGTTTCAGCCCATCTCTGCCTTTGGTTCAAAAGCCCATCTGTGTCCTCATCCACAATTTTTTGTGGGAAAGTGACGCCGTCGCCCAAGCTTCGAAGTACGAGACAAAAAAAAAAAAACATTAAGCCTTGGTACCACCGTCAGGTTCTCAGAACACAAGTAGGGAGCACTTTTCAATCTCGAGCATGAGAACTCGACATATTTTCTACATTCCTATATCGCAGTCAGTGCATGTGCCCAACAAATGCTTGAGAGAATAAGGAAAAGAGAACAAAATGAAAGTTTGCACCCAGTACACCATTCTCTTTTTATCCCTACTAGCTGTTTTCAAATTTAAAATCTTTTAACAATAGGTCAAGACCTTGATGCCTCATGAATCTCTTCGTCAAGTTACAAAAGCCACATTTTTGCGATATTTATCGGGTTACAAAGGGTCTATAAATGTCGTACAGAACCGCTAGTATTCATGTACTGATTGTCGCATCGCCTGTTACATACATTGCCAATGCCAAGAGTGCCATCTCAATAGTTCGAGTATATCAAAGTCTTTTTTTTTTTTTTCAGTATTCGGCAAAGTAAAAAAATAAAGTTTCTGCGAAATGCAACATGATTAACTCCGGTAAACTATTGAGTGGTTTTGTCACACATGTACAATGGCGGTTTTCTGCCTCACAGTATCTTTGCTTGACGGGTACACTTTTGAACTTCCACTAGAAAATTCGCAACATAGCGACATTGCATGCTTAGAGAAAGGTGCTGCCACCTCCTTAGACTAGCGAAGAACATCAGAAATGATTGTGCTACCTTCTCGGGGAGATAACCAGAACTAGTTTCTAGCGTCAATGCATTTTGTGGTCGGCGGTGATGCCGATGGGCAATGTCCTTTCATGGTTTCAGTTTCGCTGCATGATCACATCGGAGATGCGCGAAATTTGATTTTTATCTTTATTGGCACTTCCTTGCAGAGGTGGTGGAAGTTGATTTCCGTCTTTATTTGCACTGCTCTTAGCTTGTATGTCACCAACACTCACGAGGTATCCTCGTTCTCTTCTATAACCGAGTTCAACCTACCGCACACAGAGAAGATGCCGTGTGTGTGTCTATGCAGACAGCAATAAGGCACTGTGTGCAGACCCATGTTTCATGCACTACCACACTCTGAAATATTAGTGAACATTATACACTTCTGAGGGATATTGACACCAATTTATTATTCCTGATTTTTTAGTAATTTTTTTCCTTGACTTCACCCGTTTAATACACTTAAAAAAGAAAAGGATAATGTAATTAGACCATCTGTGAAAGCTTTTCTGGGAAAAATTCGACACTCAAAGGGTTAAAGTAAGTTCAGTATGTAACATAGTTAATAGAGAAAGTGATGCCAATTTAAACTGCTTAACTGGATCGTCACTATCTCATATGCAGGAGCACATGAAATATGAGCAAGATGCAATAACTACCATTGTTTTGTTTCATGATACTATGGCAGTGACCATAGAGAATGGATGAAGCATTCCACAGGTGAAATCTTCATTAGGGGAACATTCATCTGCTCTCTAATATACATGACATTGCGTAGCCATAAGTTGAAGTGGTCAAGTGAAATCGTCAATAAAGTTGCAAGTAATAGCAAGCAATCTGCCAACAACTAGAAAAATTTAATGCATTTCAGTTACTCCTAGACCACATAAGCACTGTAGAGCTACAGGAATGCTGAAATGCTTGCCTCACTATCAATCATACTGCTCAATAGTTGTTGCTGTTTCGATTGACAGGTTATAAAAATGGCAGTCACCCTTGGCTTAATGTTAACAGTCTGTATGATGTAATGGCCTTCAACACAGTCCTGCAGAAATGTGGCACTGATGACTGCTCAAGCTACTTATTATAATGACAACATCAGCGCAAATGAAAGACGTATTTTACTGGAACAAAAAATAACCTAAACTTTCTCTAATTCAATGTATGGGGCATGGTTGCAATGACCATAGTTAATTTTAATGTTCATTAATTCACAATAAAAGTGTTTTTCAGCTACACTAAAGCAGCATCTCACAGCTGCTGAGGCAAGCCCAACAGATGAGTGAAGTTGCATTCGAACGCTAACAATGTTCAAATACATTACTACACATATTACCCCTGATCACCTACTAGTTATGATGTTACGTAGCCCTAACAACTAGCTTGTTTCTCTTGCACATGAATGTAAGTGCCGCTTCCTCCCTACATCAAACCTTGTAAGGGCCCCTGAAGCTTAAGAAAATGTGCATTATGAAATGCCAGGCAACAAAGTACAGACATTTCGGCAGTGCCCTTCTAAGAGCTGGACAGCTGCTGTTACACTCAGTCTTAAAGTATTTTCCTTCCACGACAAATTCACAAGGGTTCTGAGCACTGCTATGTCTTGTGACACGATCTTTAATGTATGGCGAAATGCGTCCCACAGAATAAATACTACATGGCCCAGCGACTACGCATGGGTAACATCAACTTTCGAGATGCTTCAGGGGCCCCCTGAATCAACTCTCGACGACATAACATCACATCAGGCAGGCAGACACACGTGCTCGAGTGCACAGAATAAAATTTTCGCAAACGAACTACACACAACACGAGCATGCATGCTCCCCATGAAGCAGCACTGCAGCCACCAACCATTCATCCAAAAGCAGCGTCTTGCTTTCCCTTGTAGACCGAGTTTTTCGCCTGACAGAAGAGGAAAGCAGGTAGCATGCAGGCAAGATAAGCACTCATCAAAGCCATGCACAGTCCGTCTAGAAAGCACCCAATAAAGCACATAACTAATGTTTATGTATTGTCTAGCTCATGTATGGACTCGTAATAATACAATATATGGAGTTTGACGTCCAAAAACCAAGATGTGATTATGAGGAACACCATAGTGGAGAAGGAAATTTCGAACACCTGGGGTTCTTTATCGTGCACCTAAATCTGAGTACACGGGCCTCTGGCATTTTCACCTTCATTGAAGATGCGGCCGTTGCGGCTGGCATTGGAACCCGCGATCTGCGGACCAGCAGTCTAGTGCCATAACCACCAGACCACTTCGGCAGGTGATGTACTGACTGACTAATGTCTTTTGTGTATAAGCGATGCATACATGGAGCCTACCACTGCAGCTGGCCACATTCATGGTGAATGGCAAACAGAGCGAATAAATGAATGGTAAGCTGAGCAAAAAAAAGAAAAAAAAAGGAAGACAAATGCAACACTCAAAGGTGTTGGGTGTCCCATTTGTTTTCTATTTGATCTTTCTGTACTGTCCTGCATTATGCAAAAAAAAAAAAAGTTAACCCCAAAACAAGAAATTATTTATCCCCATGTACCTACAATGACTAAGTTTCATGCGAGGCTCACAAGTAAATGATTAACCTCCACTATTCCGCCATCTATGGCCATTTTGCACAGCTGTTGCAAGAGGCTTTTTGTAACAAAAAAGCTAAAAAAAAAAGCATATCCTTTACTGCACTGCTGACCAGGAGTGTGCTAAGAAACATCAACACTTTCGCAAACCTTTCACAAAATATTGACTACTTCGGCTGGTTGGTATTTCAATTTTGAAAGAAATATACCTTCTTAGTGCACTCTCTCCTATCTGTCTTCTTTCTGAAACATTCCCTGCGCACTAAGAAAGTATATTTATTTCAGAAATGGGACCTTTTGATGGCAGAGCTGAGAATAGTTTCTTTTAGGAGGTATGTCCATCACTGGCCTGAGCGTAACTTATAATAACCCCTTTCCAAAGACAACTGGTAAACCATCACGAATCATTTCAAAAATGTAATTAAGTACGAATTTCATGACTGGTGTTGTGCAGCCATCGCCAAAGTTTTTAAGGGAGCAGACTGCTCTTAGACGTTTTTTGTTTATTTCTTCAGTGATCTTGATCAAACAGCACAGAATTATGGAGTTTTTTCTGCTGATTTCAAATGTTTAATTAGTTTTTCTGTAACTCATCTTATTCCTGAGTTAACTTAAGTTCACCCCCTATTGTTTAAGGTCGCCATAGAAAAAACAGTGCTTAATTAAAAGTGATGTTTAAAATATCCTAACCTATACTAATGACTATAGATTGAAATAATGAGGGATATTTTTGTTTTTAAGCCTTTTTTATTAGTTTACAGCAAAATGAACTATCCATTTTCAAAACCAGTTGGAATTGTGTTAAAATTTTGACGTGTAATTAATTAAAAAGGTTTGTTCTCTCAATTCTGCTCCCATACTTGCACCCTACACACATACAGGTTTTCATTGCCAAAAGAATTATTGTTGTACCTGCCCTAGCTGCAGACATATTGAGGCCTCAAAATTGAACAGTTGTAAATTTACTTTCTTTGAGAAAAACGGAAAAAACTGAAAACACACAGCTTCCTCGAAAAGCAACATTCATGGTGTGCATGTTTTGAAATCCGCATAAAAGTGCTCATATATTCGTAGCAGAGCTTCTAACACAGGTGCCGGCAAATTATAAAAGGCCTCGAAGTTGGTTCCCTATTTTTTTTGCAGGTTCTGCATGGTAACAGCACCAAGAATCTGGACAGTCAGAATAACATTACAAAAATATTACCACTTCCTGGTGTGTAAAAAATTGCAGAGAGATAGCAAAATACTTGCAGATACCAAATATGTCAATTTTAAAAAATGATTTTTTTGTCACTTTTTTGGTCCCAAAGAGCAGTCTGCCCCCTTAAATAGTTTCTTGAAGACGTAAATATACTTTATGCCTTGCTGCATGTGGCTCCCATCTAAGATGTTTTTGAGAAATGTAATACTGCTGAACAAATAGTAATCTAAAAGTTCACAAGAAGAACCATGTTTGAAGATCTTATAAGTACATTGAAGAATTTACTGCTAAACTACAAAGCATACCAGTAAATGAACACATATCGCAGAACAACCATGCCTACATTTTTGTAAATGATGGAGCCAGCTCATGTGTAACCCAATGTTGTTTTCCAAAGAAGAATGTCTGCTTTAAGAATTATAGATATTGTTTCTAACTTGTAAGCTCCTGCAACACTGCAAAGCTAAATTAGACAAAATGCAGACCATACAGAGAGAAGAGCGTGCTTTGCAAAGAAAAACTTGCTTAACTAAAATAAATCTCCCGACAAATGCTTGCATAGCCACAACAGCTTATGCTCATGAGCAAAAAGTCACTCAAGAAATACTGACATTGATACAGGCATTAAAGGCAGAATAGAGTAAACACTTCCAATCTCTGAATATCACACGTGTCGACCATCAAGTAAATCAGCACACTTATTTCTGAGCAAAACAGCAAATAAAATAAAAAGTGCTCGCATGTGTGCCCAAAGCAAAGGATAGTGCGAGCAATGTAGGTCAGACAGACTGTAATCTTGAGACAAACAGGCCTTTATTGATTGTTGTTTGAATATGCCTGCAACAACACTGTCTTACTAGGAAGACTGCATACAGTTTTTCCCACTCATTATTTTCCAGATAAAAGGCAAAATACAAAGTGATGAAAGACAAAGAGATAAGCTGGATCAACAGTCTGGTTGGCCACTAAAAAGGTAACAAGCGAACACATACATGGAGATTACATCCATTTGAGCTAAACACTTAAGCTGATGCGTATGGTCGCCAGTGCCTTGTAAAATATTGACACTCCGAGCAACTTTTCAAACCTTGACCTGTGATGAGGTGCTGATTTTGCTTGACAGTGAACACTTGCGTGATATTGCTACGAAATTGGAATGGTTAAGATGACTTGCAAGGCAACTACAGCTCAGCATCTCTGCACACAATTCTCCCATCAAAAGGCAAGCAAAACAAAAAAGGCTGCACTAAACATGGCGCAACATCAAGCATGAAGCAAGCAAGGCTTAGTTATAGACGAACTGCTTTTGAGAGATTGTGGCGAAATATTTTTACGAATGATGGCTCAGCTTGAGCGTTTCTCCAAGTCAAGATCGAAGTTTCTCGATAAAAATTAAGCTGGGAAGAGCAAACTGGAAAATGATAACCTGCCCACTCAACCTCAAGAGCTTCGTACGCTGACATCTGTGCTAACTTTCCATTACATTGCAACAGGGGAAGAACATAAGCCTAGCCTCCTTCTGCAAGTACCTAGGCTGTAAGCTCAATGAATGACTGAAGATCACGTATAATCATGCGGAAATATGCAGATTCAAGTCACCTGACAATGTAATTAGAAATTCAGGGTTCATTTTCGGCTGAATAGACTACCATCAAATTGCCCGATCACTATTTTCTTGATATGCAAAAGTTGATACAGAGCTTTTACACTATAGACCGTCACTATCCGTATTACAGCGCTGTACAATGTGGCTCAGTGGAGGTCTAAATACACATAATGCAAAATACCATCGCAATCGCCGCTGAATAGTTTGTCCATGACAATGCTTTAAAGCAACGATTAATTTTCACATCAAGTTTTCTGTCGTTAGCATCGTCGCACTACGTGCAATACGCGAAACTAGTTTCACAAATGTCACTCGTACAAGCTGAAAAATAAATACCACATAGAAAATGTGCCCTCAACCACATGTTCCAACCCTCACCCAGTGCAGCCAGTATGAACACTTACAAAAGCTGTTCCCAGTTTGTTCTTCCTTAGCTTAAATGATTTGAACTAGCTCGTTGCAAAATTTGAGAAAAAGAAGAAAGTACGTAAATAAAATAATGATAGTACAACCTGGTTGCTTGCCACTATGCTCACGTTGCAAACCTAGTGCCTCAGCAAAATCTACCAGGCATTACTACTAAATGTCCACCCCCCTGCTCAGGGGGGAGTTGGCAGGACACAAGGCAAGACTACGTCAGGCAACGAGAAACATGTGGCTAACCTTGCCTGCTCCGTGCTCCCCATGGAGTTGTATGAACTGGCCAGTTGGGTGCGTGTTGGATAAGTCACCCCATCACCCAGGCTGTCATGCACAGAGAAGAGATTGCAACAAGGGGCAAATGTATCCTTGCGGTGAGACCTGGTCATAAGAGACTACTCCCTCCCAGACCACCCCCCGCTGCTCTTCAAAAGCAATGTGCAGCTGCAGATGGGCAGACAGAGTACTTAGTTTCATGCAGGCGCACTTTTTGGGGCTCGCACAACTGCAGCCAAAGAAGAGGGCATACAATGTCCCTATTCATGAAGTCCAACCAACACCTGCCTCTTTGTGGCAAGGCCACACTAAACACTATTGAATGTCACCAACACAGAAAATAAGTTGAAAAAAGCACAGCGAACAGACTAATAATAAACTTCCTTGCACACACACAGTACTCTGTACCAGTGAAAACTGAGTTGAATAAGTATTTGAGAGACCATTCTATTCAGTTGTACACTTAGTCTGTGCTTCTGTATTCTATACACATATGCAAGAATGCAGCTTCTTTATATTCACTAGTTACTGCACACTAATTACTTTCAAACAAATTTTTGCAGAGCTTAAAAAGGACTTGTTGTAATACTGCGCTCACCCAGAAGCTCTCATCAGCTGAAATTGAGCAATGTTGATGCACAAGTTCCCGTGCACTGGTTGCACGTTCTAACAACATGCTTATCAAATATAGTGCTCGCTACACAATGGTTATTAACCGGCATCACAAATAGAGATCTTTAGCAGAATAGAGAAGAGGACAGGTGTATACAAAACAAGCAAGTCAGAAGCCCGAAGTGCTGCCACAAGGGTTGAAGCATGGACACTTAAGCACAGCCCTAACATCACATTCCCACTTGATTTTACTCGATATCACAAACATTACATGCTGTCGTTCCTGCAGGACTGTGTTTGTTGCCAGAACCTCCTAGCTGAATAAAGCTTTTATCAGTTTTTTTTTTTTTAACACTGAAAGTTAGCAACTCTGATCCCACATGGATGAACTATATATTTGAACAATTCAAGATATGGTAAAGCTACATAAAGTGTAGTTGTGCGCTACTTCAGTGAAAATAGAAAGTTCAGTGTTTTCCCAAACTTCATGTCGAAGGTATACAATCCTGGATGGCCAACTTGGAGTAGAAGAGGTATCACATTAAATAAAGTTTACAATGGATCACTGTAGTTTACACTAACCCTAGAGTACTTCATGCTGCAACAAGAAGTGGCCATTGGCTCTGTATCATCATCAGCAGTACAAAAAAGACACAAAGTGATAACAGTAATTACATCACACGAAAACACACAGATATATATACATAATTCTGGTCACTTCATAAGCACAAGAATGTTCCAGTGCAAATTAATCTAGTCCTGTATCTTTCTTGTCCTTGTTTTGCACGTCTTTTACTATGAATATGTATTAACAAGTTCAAGTTGATACGCTAATCTCAGGAGGATCAATCCAGTCGCTTGTTAGTGAAACAGGCAGAAAATTTGATGCAAGAAAATTGCAATTGCATGCAAGAGATAATTTTCACTATAAAAAATTTATAGTGAAATTTATAATTTCACTATAAATAGGGCAATTTAAAGGGCCACTCACCAGGTTTGACAATTTTGAGCTGACAAGCGCAACGCGTAGACGAGGCGTTCATGATCACGTCTGCCAAACTTTGCAACGCTACGCGCCGCGGAAATGGGTCAAATTTCAAGATAAAAGCTGCTCTTCCTCCCCTCTGCTGGCGCATGCATAGAGAATGAGGGCATGACGTAGGCGTAGGATTGGCCCTACGTACACGGCAATGCAGTGACGTTGGTCCTCTACGTAGACGAGTCTGCTCTGACATTGTCAACAGTATACCATGTGACATGGCAAAAATTATTTAACACAACATGCATAGTTTATGTATTTGTTACTTTAAGACATGAATAAAACTTGAAATAAATAATGAGATGCAATAAAAAATTGTGCACGTTTTTCTTTCATTTATTGAAATGCTGCGAGATGCGGGGCTAATGTGCCAGCGTTGCGCATGCGTTTGTGTCTCCGTCGTCAGCGCATTGAGCAGACGACCGCCGTGGAACGCTCCTACGCGTTCACGCACTCATTGTGCTCATGTACTCAACCGCATCTAAGCCAGCGTTTCCAAACAATCCCGCAGAAACAGGCAGAAGACCACAAAATAACGCTGGTCAACAAAGCAACGCTGCTCGCGTACTCGGTAGCTGGGCTTGTTCGACACGTCATGCGCATGTCACCTCTTGGTCGTATGTCGGAGAGTGTGGGGAAGAGATTTGGCTTGCGAAGGCTATGCGGAGGAGCGGCAAGAGGTTCGATATCGCCCCCTCTCACCCTCGTTTCGCGCAGCTTCAAAAAACCTAATTTCTCCACTCGTAATGAACAGATTCAAAAAATTTTTGTGGCAAAACGTTCCTCATCGGACACCTAACAACTTCCACTGTCTAACTAAAATTCGGTATGGGGCCTGGTGAGTGGCCCTTTTCTTCCGTGTCTGCTCTAATCATAAGGGTGCAACTAGCTTTCTGAAAAACGATGGCAGCCGAATAATGAGTCGGAAAACACCTTGTGAAAACCGGTAGGAGCCAGAGACGACGGTTGTCACCAAATACCTCGGCCACATTAGCCTGGTGGCCAAGACTGAAGCCATGCTTGTCTGGCCCTGTGCGAAATATTGGTGGCCGGAATGCCTCTGCAATTCAAACAACACAATGATGCAAACCACAAATTGACAAGCGGATTGCATTTCAATTTCATGAAAATTTCATTTCAAATTTGTACATATTCATAAAATGCCTGGCTGAGCATGGCAGTCCTTGTTTAGCTTATCACTGGACTACTGATTTAAAATGACAAGCACATTTCTGTTTCACACAGTCGTATGCTTGCGGGCCACGCCACTGACATGTGCGCAAATGACACAACAAAACAATTGAGCCTTGTTTTCATACATTTGTTCCATCAGAAGCTCACTGCACAATGACATTAAAGGCATTGATGGCAAATTTATTGAGAAAATTAAGAAAGGTATAACTTGAGCATCAATGACAAAATGAAAATCCAGAGTGAATTTGGCACGAAATTGTAGTGTTTGCTTATTCTGGTGACTAAAAATTTGCACGTACTGTACTGTTTCATAAGTTTAGCATGACAACTTTGAAAAGTAACAGTTTCTAACTGCATGGCAAAAATCGTTTTTGTTTCCTCTATAATCTTGTACCTTCTTATTTCATTCCCTTTTGTCTGTGCTTTGACAAAGTGTTGTGGATGAAATAACAGTAGCGATCTAGAAGTGAAGGACAAATACCATAGCACAGGACACCAACAAAACACTGCTTCAACTAATGCATATGTTACATACACATACCTGCCAACCTGGCAACTGAGAAATTCGTAAAAACCCCAAGCCTGGAGGGGGGCTGGGGTTACCAACTTTTTTCTTTATTTTTGTAGCTGTGATGGATTTGACTTCAGCGACAAGCATAATCATGTTTTAACGCCATAAGTCAAATTGACGTGCTGAGTTATTTCCCCCCATTTTCGGCACCAAAATAAAAACGAAAAAAACAGCGCGAAAAACAAGAGGGGTAGGGGGTCCCAAACACAAGCGCAAACATCGGCATTGTGGTCTCATAATGGCTTGGAGTGGCCAAACACACGAGGGTAGGGTTTCCCACTAAGGTGAGAGTCTCAAAGGGGGAGCGCAAACGCTCCCGAAATTTCGCGTCATCAAAACAACTAGCAAAAAAACATAGATTTCCATGAAAACAACTTGCGTATGTTTTCACACGTGAGCGGATGGGATGGCGCAGCTGGCTGCTGCAAAAGCACGGGTCAAATCTGTGGCTTTGCTCACTACTAGATTCTTTGGACAGGAACACCAAAATGCTTCTAGCCTTCTTTACGTCTTTACTGCCTTTAATCTACAGCTGCATCAGCGATCTACCCTTGGAGCTCGTAGGTTGCTATCGCATATCGCCGAGATCGCAGTTTCGTGCGCGGCGGTTGCAGCAAATGGTAGTTTTGTTTTCACTCCACGTGCCTTCAAAGCTAAGTCGTTTTATGCTATCTATGGTCGCAACTGCCCCGGTTTTCTTTACAGTTTGCGGAAAGCAGCGTTGCTTTGATTGGTCGAATGTTGGCCACGCACACACTTTAGGAGTTCTGTCAGTAACGTCATCGCCATACTTGACCGTGTTGAACGACCGTGGTTTCGTCCACAGCAGTTGTGGCAATGACGATCACACGCACTTCTGAAGCTTCGAGCATACTGCTCTTCATTGGCCTTTGTTCGACGGTTTCGGTACTAAAGTTTATATCACATGCCACGATTAGGAAAAGTGTTCAGAACATTCGAATTTTGGCCCAATGGACACATGAATTTGGTTGGGGAATTTCCTGAATTTGGATCTGTCGCGGTTTCGTGTCACTGAGACTATGCTATAAGTTTGGATGAACGCCTCTCAAATTCGTTTATAATGCGGCGGGCCTGCAAAAAGCCTGGAATGGACTGGCCTGCACTTTTGTCAATGCACACACATTTTGATTTTCAGAAGATTTTTATGCCAACGCTACACACGGAAGAAACGGTCGCAATCCAGAATCCTCCCGGACAATGCGGGAGACTTTGAAAGTATGTGATGATAATACCAATACATATAGTTCTCTCTTGGTGGCAGAATATAGCACAACGCTGTTTTTGTGGCCTCCGCGAACAGCCACGGCAACGCCCTAGCCAATCGCGGAGGCAATGCTGTTTTACTAATTTTATTTTTTTTATCAGTCATAAAATATTTTGTGTAAATTTCAGGCAAGATTCGTAAAATCGTACACGCAATCGAAATTCGTACATTTTGCAGAAAAATCAGAAGAGTTGGCAGGAATGCATACATATATCAATGCGTATAGATATGCAGAAGCGTCAAATTGGACCATTGTTCATAAAAGCGGCAGAAGGGGCAAGATGGAAGCTTGTAATTAGAAATTCATAAACTGGAGATGCATGCTGGAGCTGACGTTTCGACAAGTCCAATCGTCAAAACGGTGGCTCTAGCGTACACCTCCTGCTTGCACATTTTTTATCACAATCTTTTATAGTGACCCAAACTCTTTAAAAGCCATCAGTATTGGTTTCCAAAAGGGCAAAATTATTACAAAATCATCACATAAGCTAACAATGAATGCTGAAGTTATTTCACATCAAATTAGTATGCTATTTCATACAATCTAAAATGACAGGCAAATAAGGCAACATTAAACTACACTAAATGCTCCATTGTACAAAAAAATACTACAAAATTTACAAATGCACGAAGTACTTCTGCGGAAATTTGGTTCCCTAATTTTTCAATTGCAAGAAAGGCCAACACACCAAGTGTAGAGCGGTTCACCATGACGAGGAAGCAGTGATAGCCAAACAGCGAGACCAAGCTGATAGCAAACATGAAAGCAACGAAAAACAAAAACAAGATGTGGAAACGTCCCCAGCCTTCAAGGTCATTCTGGAATAGATACAGAAAGTGCAGATGACATTTAGAAAAGCACTGGCCAATAATATATTGTTATAAAATTAATAACAACGTAACACCGCTATCTCTAGCTGGTGTACTGACTAGCACACCGTGAAATACCATTTAGTAGCCAAGTCTGGAATACAGAGCTTACAGCAGTGCCTTGCAATAAAAGCTTGCACCGGTTCATCGGCTGAATGATAGACATTGTGGGGGTGCTGACATCCCCTGTAAAGTTGTTTGCGCTGCGGCCATTCGAGACCCCACAACGTTCATATGTATCGTATATTTGCTGTAAAATTAACCCCTGATGCACAACACTTGAAGCATGGGACAACACAATTAAAGGAATCAAATTGATGAAATTTTGTGTTTTAAATATTTTAAAATAAAAAACGAGAAAGCAAACAGTTTTTGTCATAAGAGACTTTGCAGAGGCAGCTTTCTGGTTTGAAGAAAAAAAATGGGGCATGACAGGTGTCACAACCCAAATGGCTTTTCTCCATTATTCTATTCACGATACCAGTTCTAGGAAATTCTACTGTACCCTCCATTTTACATCTACTTCCCATTAAAATTTTAATTAAATGTACTTAATTCAAGTGAGCAACTCAATACTAAAAATATTACGTAAAGTTCACTCTCAGTTAGAAAAACATGCAGAAAGAACTAAATAACAATTTTGACCTTAGCCATTTCACAGAAAAGCTAAATCCATTTCTTGTAATAATTAGCTCACAATTCTTAAAGATACTTTTCATTTTCACAAAATTTTTCATTTTATTGTATGTAATGCACAGTGCTTTTGGGAATAACTTTTGCAGCTGATCGAATTATATGTTGTAAGAAAAGACTTAAAGCATTGTTTACACTGCTGCGAGAGCATTAAAAAGTATAAAATTTTGACATCCATGGTCTAATTTTGGGATAGCAGCATGAAATGGCAGAGATTAAGCACCTGGATACCAAACTTCTTAACTGACTAAATTAAATTAAAGCAGTAAAATAGCGCATATACCGTGCACAAAGTTAAATACTTCTTAGTAATCAAAAATTGCGAGATACACACCGTCCAGAACTTTATGAAGAACTGCAGTGTCGTAGCAGCCACGAAAAGGCAGTAGATTAAGGAGTAGGCCAAGAAGAGAATGAAGTACTTGTAGTTAGTGAAAGACACACAGTTGTTCACCCAAGGACAATGATGGTCCATTTTCAGTATACACCTGGCAAGGAGAAGGCACGAAATTTCTCAAATGACTTAGACACACACGCGAGAGTTCTGTTTCTACTCGAGAAAAGCACAGGTGCATCGATACGCACAAAACAACTTATATAAGAATGTGTGAAATACTAGTTTCACGAGGACGGGCTTCGTGAGCCTGTCATGTGCAATTTACCCAGTTTATTCCCTGGCCAATGTTTACAAAAGTCACACCTTGACTTTCCAAAAAACCAGTAAAATAAAGCCACACGTGTTTGTCCAATGAACAAATCTGTTTATTAGCGCAAGGATGCAGCTACATCAGTGCCACAAATCAATCCTAAATTGTAGCTTATAAAGCTAATTTTAGGCGTGGCTTGTTTAATTTGTTTACAGAGTATACATGGTGCGACTTTATTGACTTCACAGGGGCTTTCAGATTAATATAAGATGTCTTAAGGTGGGAGAAGCTCTAAATGAGTTTCATAATTTGGTTTTACAATGCTGGCAATAAAAGCTGTAGCCGTAAAATTTGCAAGGAATGTTAAAGATAGATAAAGCTCGTATTGTTACTCAAAATTTATTTTAAAAATTTATTTACTAGTTCTTCATTTTTAAATATCTGCTATTGGCAGAGTATGGCAGTTTTGTACAATAACAGAATCTAACGTTCTGCAGAACTGGAACTAAATGGGTGCACATACAACAAAAACTGGTAGTTGTTTTTTCGTTTGTCAATGCATGAAAATTACTACTTATGAATAGTTTTTTATACTATAGAAAAAAATGCATCTAGACTACTGATTCTAGTTTCAATTATGTAAGTGCTTCTAGTTAACACTCGTCAGAACTTTTGTTTGCTTATGTCTTGTGGTCCCCCCTCCACCCAAAAGAAGCAGTTTTGAGAAAAAAAAATGCTAATGAAGTCTGAAAATACTTTTACTTTTCGAAAATTCTCTGGGCTGTAGTCTTTTGAAGTGTCAGCATTGCTATATACACATAAGACCAATTGATTGATATGTAGGGTTTGACGTCCCAAAACCACCATATGATTATGAGAGGCGCGGTAGTGGAGGGCTCCGGAAATTTCAACCACCTGGTGTACTTTAACGTACGTCCAAATCCGAGCACACGGGCCTATAACATTTCCGTCTCCATCAGTAATGCAGCCGCCGCAGCCGGGATTCGATCTCGTGACCTGCGGGTCAGCAGCCGAGTACCTTAGCCATTAGACCACCGCCGTGGGGCACACATAAGACGAAATTACGAGCTGTAAGCCAACTCGGAGCGTCTGATCAAAAGCTTCATAGCATTGACTTTTTGCAAGTATTTGAAACAAGGAAAGAGACCATGTCAAGGTAACATACTTTTTCTGCCAATGTGTCGAAGAAAGTGAACAAAAAAAAAACTTATTTTTTACACCACGAATACCCAAATGGGATATGTCTTCTAAAAGGTAAAGCAACTGTCTTTCAGATGATGGCAAAATCTCAAAATCGTTTTTTTGCCAAATGAAGTGTTACTCCATCCTAATTAAACAATAGAAAAAAAAAGAATAAAAATGATATATTGCTAAACACCCTCTTTGGAGAATAGTGAGTGATTCACAGCATCCACAAAAGGAATTTCCAGATAATCAGTTCACGCACTCCAGTTTTCTATAAACAGATGCTGTGTTTGTAAGTGGCAACACCTGACACGTGCTTTTCATGATGCACACCCAAACAAAAAAATTTTTATTAAAGACTTCATGTTCTGCATGCCACATGCCCAGCTCTCACAGATAGGAATGCAACATGAATTTTTTAAGTAGAAAAAGTGCTATGAGCTAATTATTGAGATAAGCACATCATATGTCTGAATCTGGCCACTAAAGATAACGTTGGATCTAATGAAGTGCTCCAAGTCAAAATTACATTAATATGACATGAACTTAAGATGCTGGAAAATAAATTACATGCCTTACCTAGCCATAAACCACCGCATTTGAAGCCACGAATATCGCACATTAAGTTACTATGCAAAGAGACATAAAGGCCAAGACTAACTGCAACACATGCACTGATAAAAACTATGGCAGTTCATATGAGAAGACACTATAAAGAGTATTCATTTGAAAGTATAGAGCAACATAGCTAAGTATGACATTCCACTAAGATGACCAACAACCCAACGTGCTAGCTGGGCTGTTTCAATACAACAGCCCTTCAAGTAGCTGCACTAGCCAGAAACTCACCTCCCACATACTGAACAGTGGTGCGCTCTGTCGGGCTTGATGAGGTGGCACTTCTCACAATATCTCACCACTACAATTAAAGAGAAAAAAAAATAGCACGGGATAAGAATTTCCCCCAAAAAAAGGAGCTCCTGAAACAGGTCTTACGAGCTACTATGGTATATGAAATGAAAAATAAGAAATAAATAAGAAGAATAGAAAGCCATGATGGTTACCCATCACTTCATGGCAGACAAATTTTGTTTTATTATGCCGTTAATTTTGAAAAAAACAGTATTCCCCACATTGTGGCACAAGCTTAAACAGGCTGCAATGTTAGTAAGTGGAATAAATTGTCTGCGTGCAAGTGTATACAAGCGAGCAAGTACAAAGGCATGTGTAGGAATGCATTTTAAAAGTGGCATTTGAAAACAGTTGACTTTTTCCCATATCTGTCGCCTTGCCACAGAAGGCCACAGTCATGCTAGTTGTTAGTGTAGCTGTAATATACTTGAATGCACATCCTGTGGAATTAAGGCACATTAAATCATTTTTTGCATTAGCTACTATAAAATTGCTTTGCTATATGTAAAAATGCTACCAAATGAATATCATTTGCAACAGTAAAAAGAAAGCAAGCTCGGTACATACTTTGCACTGTTGCTAATCTTTACACGGAAGCATATACACACATACAAAACAGAAAGATACCCATGCACTGAAAGATAAATCTTAATTTTCAAATCTAAACAAACTTCAAGAACTTTTGTACATTCTTTTCTGCTGTAAAAAAATTACTGGTCAGCACAGATGTAATGTTTACAATCCCTGAACTTGCAAAGGATGTCAAGCTTACAACAGAAACACTGGAAATACTGCCCATATGCATTAAAAGTTTCTTGTGCATCTCTGGCTCCAACTTCGTTAACTTGGTTCAGAAATGTTTTTACTCCCAATGATTTGCTACAGCAGGTGTGGTAGAAAAAAAAATAAAAGGAAACAAGTGTCACCCTTTACTATTTTTTTATTGTAGGCCTGGCTGACAGTCTCTGGGTCCCATATTTATCGAACTCCCTTTTACCACATTTACTCGAATATTTCGCTAGTTTCCTCCCACATTTCTACTACCTATAGTCGACCCTCTCGTTACAATGGAATGCTGGAATTTTATTTTTTCTTTCTGGATGCAAATAAGTGTTCTCCTTTTGCGTTACAACCGAGTGTAAACAAAGTAATCCCTAAATTACTCAGAAAGAGAGAACTTGAAGTTAAAGCAGAGGGTCATGACATGGTTGAATTGTCACTTACATGGTTGGATAACTAAACCTCCATTCACAACATGCCGCGCTAGCTTATCAGATGATGCATTGCCCTGCTGAGCACACAAAATGCAGCCGCTGTGGCCTTAATCATATGATGACACCAATGTGGTTTGATAGAGCTGCACATTAAGGAACCCCAGGAGGTCAGCTTTTTTTCCCCCTAAAGTCAATTACTATGACATGCCTTGTAATCTTATCGTGATTCAGGTACGTAAACTCTCAGAATATAACATTGAACTTACTCCCATTCATGGTTCGACATGAGACAGGAAGGTTCTTGGCAAGCCTTTCCAGCATTTGCCTTTGATTATCTTCGCCGAGTTCCTTTTCCAGGTGCTCAGCATCTGCTGGTGACAGGTAGAACTGGACAAAAACAGCACACCGTTCTCAATGTTACCTTGTAAGAGCGTTACAGTCATATTTTGATCGGAGTAATGTCTGAAAAGCTGGTTACAAAAGTGAACGCGCACTTACTTGCTTTGGAATGGTACCTGGCTCTGTGAATATGGTCTGCCAGTATGACCAAGCGAACATGGCGAAACAGGCATGAAAGCCAATCAGGTAAAATACTGAAAATTAAAAACAGTGACTTGAATAGACGACAATTTATATAGCTATTAATCTGCACGGCATATTTATACGGTCAATTGAAATGTGAAAATCAGTAGCGGTAAAAAAAGTACATGAACTACTTACTCTTTTGGATCACGTTGTCAATGGTAACTGAAATGAAGCAAAACAAGCAGGGCATATAACTACGCACCACAATAAAAGATAATAAACGTTTATTATAGAATAGGCTAGCTCTTCGTCTAAGGCGGGCGAAGTTTATTTTTTTTTTTTTTGTTTCGGTTTCCAGGAGACACACCGCCCATACCGGATGCTACAAGCATGCATGAAATGATTCAACGCGCGCTAGACTTCTTTGCCACATAACTTGGGAAATGCAAGAAATCGCAAGTACAGCGGAAACGCCTAAATCTTTCATTTCCGATTCGATCGCAATGAAAAAGCTATGACCGCGAAAGCAAACAGACGTCTTATCAGTAAACAAAAAAGAGTGACAAGACGCTCGATGCACATTTGTGCGTGATTAGCTCGCTAGTTTAAGATCTTATAATAAATCCAAGCTCGAGTGACCAAGTAACGGCTAGAGCACTGTCGCTTCCAAGCGCTCTACGATGAGAAGGGATCGAAAAAAAATGGCTTACACAAACACAGTTGGATGACATACGCGTAGTAGGACCAGGCTACTATGGTCGTGATGAACAACACTGGGCACCATTTGAAAACACGAACACAGACGGAACACACCGTTCCTTGCATTTTGAATAATCCGGGAGGCATTTTAACCCATCCTAAACGAAACCCCCAGCTCTATGATGCCCAATGCGTGCCTGGCCGGGGCGTACCACACGCACTGACGTCAAAGAGTAGCAGCCATTTTCTCTGCTGTTGATGTCCACGCCTGAAAGCCCCCTGCCGACGACAGAGAGAGGCTTGAGGAAAAGAAAATACGGGACAACGTAATCTTTCTCGTTAACGGAAGAACAATCTGCATGTGCTTCCGTTTAAATTGATGGGCCCTGGCAGCGTCTTGCTATCAAAGATATATCGCTTGAGAACGCTTTGCACGCGAACTGTGCGATATGCACGTTGCGCGCATTCTGTTAATGGGCGAGGGCAGTTCTGCGGAAAGCGAAACCAGAGCGTACTGGTGTTCGGCTGCCCCTTCACACCCACTGCAACCTTTCTTCGAACGAAGGTCACCCGAGGCTCGCAACTCCCGCTCAAAATGAGCTTCAAGAAGCTATCTGTGAAGAATGTGGATGTCAAGGACAAGAGAGTCGTCATTCGGTAATGGCATTAGCAATTATCTGGCCGGATTAGCCATTTAAATATTGAAATGAGACTGTTGACCCCATCAACGTCCGAGTCAGGCTACCGGCAAATGTCAAATGGTTCCGTTTCCATGCATCTATGCTTTTGAACATCGCTCTTTCGTGTGGATCGTGGTTTGATCGTTTATTTGTGGACAGTTTTAAGCTTCGTAATTGAAATTGGTTTGCGAATATCTGGTTTAAGCTGGAGAAAATGTCGAATACTATTCGAACGATCTAATGTTCACGTTCAGAGATGTGCGACGCACGAGTCCGTTGCCAACGGTATTAATTTTTTATTTTAATGTTGTGAGGGCTCCGTTATTCACGTGACCTTCCACAACCTTGAGTTTCCGTGGATCGTGATCGCCTTGTGTGTGAAACAAACAAAAAGTATCGACAACCAAATTCTATTTTCGTTTCAGAGTCGACTTCAATGTGCCCCAAGATAGTGATGGAAAAATTACGAACAACCAGAGGTGAGCGGCTTTCGCGATCGTACTCTTTCTTGCAAGGGTAGCTGAATCGATGTAATTTTTCAGAATTGTGGCAGCCCTGGACACCATCAAGTACGTTCTGGATAAAGGCGCAAAGTCAGTGGTGTTGATGAGCCACTTGGGTCGTCCGGACGGTCATGTTAACATGAAATTCACCCTTGCCCCTGTTGCTGAGGAAGTGAGGCGCTTGCTGAAACGGTGAGTGTTGAAATTATTGATATTGTGTAGCGTACGTGTGCAACAGCAATCGCAGGTTAGATAAGTGAATTATCGCCACAAATATTCAGGATGAAATCATAATTATCGGTTGTTTGCGATCGTTTCTTTCGCGCTGCTTGAGATCACTTGTGTTTCTACTGGCAAGGCCGCGCTGGCGGCTTACAGCACCGTATTGGTGGCGCTGCTGCAACTGAATGCAGCGCCATCTGTTTTGCCAGTGGAGCCTTTATAGAAAGTTGTTCATAATTGATTGATATGTGGGGTTTAACGTCCCAAAACCACTATATGATTATGAGAGACGCCGTAGTGGAGGGCTCTGGAAATATCGACCACCTGGGGTTCTTTAACGTGCACCCAAATCTGAGCACACGGGCCTACAACATTTTCGCCTCCATCGGAAATGCAGCCGCCGCAGCCGGGACTCGTACCCGCGACCTGCGGGTCAGCAGCCGAGTACCTTAGCCACTAGACCACCGCGGCGGGGCTAGAGAGTTGTTCAAGTGCACGTGTTAGGGCTGGACAAAGGTACTTTGCAGTTTTATCGAGATGCTAGATACCGAGACCATAAGCATTTGAAATACAATATGAGATCAGTAGAATAAACGTGACTGACACAATATTTGCCATTCATGTTTTTAGACACTTTGATAGATTATTTAATTTCTCATCGTAGTTCAATTGTTCAATCAATATCACTATTCTATTTTTTGTTTTCATTATAATTTGTACCAGATATTATAATTGCATCATCACAATAGCAATCATATTATCACAATAGCAATCATACTAGAACATTTCTGACAAATGTTTTGTATTCAAGTTTTTTATTACAAATAATGTAATAACTGGTTTTAATCTAATGTGTAACTTAGTAAGGTCACTTGCATTCTTTGTTATGTGGGCCCTGTCGCGCATTACTTTTGAAGTAGCCAGATCTCATATTGTCTGTTGTGTATAGTTTTGCTCCGTCACTGCGTTTCCCTTTCCCTTCTGCTACTATATGTACTGCTTTAATTATTTCTTGTTTATTGTATGGGGTTGACTAGCTGCACTATTACAATGGGGGGCTTTTTGTCACAGTCCCTCCTTTTGTGTGACAGAATGAAATAAACTTGATTTGATTGCTGGGAATGTTGCAAGTCAGCAGTCTTCTGCAAACCTTGTCTTCAACATTGTTCTATTGCACTGAGATGTGACTGGCTGCTTTGCTTTAACTTTTCGCATGGTTAAGCAAAGAATGGGGTAAAGCCGTGCAAGTGAAACTGTTTCATCGCATGCTCAGTGAGTTCAAACGCGACTTATTGCCCGTGAACGAAGGTTTCTTTTCTGGTCGCAAGCACCCAAATGTCACACACGTCCCGTTAATTAGGGAGGCGATCGCCGGGCTAATTCCAAGGGCCGAAGTATCGGCCCCCCGAACCGCACCACGAAAGCGTGGACAATTTAGAAGTGGTCCTTTTTGGCGCGCCAGCGGACGCCGGCTGTGGCAAAAAGAACAAGTCAGAGCCGAGAGTTGATAAACAAACAAAACTATATTCTCAATAATGGCAGATCACAAAAACAATACACAAATATGCTCACTCCACAATAGCTGAGTACAATATGCCACCGATCAAACAACGTACTACACAGTACAATCAGCCACACTCGAACAACGGACACAGACAACAGTACACACTACAATGCAGTCGCATGCATTGAACAACCAAGACACTTAAAGACTAAAGAGATATAAAACCTATTCAGTCCAAAGTCCTTGGAACAAAAGTCTGAATGATACTCTTCCGAGAATCACTCACTCAAAGTCCAGCGTTGTTGCCGTTCCGCTGCCCCCTGAAGTTTCTCTTCCAGGAAACCTCGCCGAAGTTTCTCTTCCAGGAAACCTCGCGTCTTCAATCGGCCACTCTCCAAGCTTCAAACTTCTCTACCGGAAACACGTCGGCTTCACACACGCAGCTGTTGCCACGCGTCTTCGCTCGATAGCGGTAGACACACACTCTTGCCTGTAGCTCGAGTCGTCACTCCTCAGGTGGAAAATATCTTCTTCTCTTGCTTTGTCTCTACGGACAAAACCTTCGCCGACTACACGGCGGAATCCCTACGCGCTCTGGCGTTAACTTCCGTCTTCTCCTGCTCTCTCGTCTCGGCTGCTCGATTAAATACCCTCCGCGCGAGATTCCAGAAGGTTCTCGTCATTTCGTCGGCGCGATACGCAGCGAAGGCTGGGGAGGGGGCGAGACGGTTTGAATGCCCTCTGCGATGGATGACTCAACCCGGCGTGACCACGCCTCTTTCGTTCTAGAAATTTCGCGGGCTTGCTCGGCCGCCGATGTGGGGTGAGGAGGTTCGTCGGCGAAGCCACGCTTCCGAGGGGAGAGCGCGCGCCCGGGGAGCCTTGGATGTTTGTTTTCTTTTTTTTTTTCTTTTGACCTCCCGGCGTCTCTCCCGCGCATTATCGCAAGAATTTGGCGGCGCGCCCATTTTTAGCGCTCGTTCTGTGACACCAAATAAAGTAAGAGTATCCTGAACTCATAAATGAAGCAAGTAAGACTGGCTACATGTGCAGCCCGCTGACAGCGTAACTCACTGTGGACAACTGCAACTTCTACTGTACCCGGCCAACTAAGTCTTTTGCCACTAGTTCACAGCATGTTACTTTCAGAACTCCAGTGCATGATGCTCATAATTAAGCATAGTGCAAATGTAATCTAAGCAATGAACATGAGCAGCGCTCGCATGCACACAAGTGAAATTTGTTTTACTGATTTGCCATGGAAAAAATGCTTGATGTCATTGTGCTTGGACTTTTGTGCACTTTAAAGAACACCATGTGATCGAAAATTTATTGCCTTCCTCTATGGTGTCCCTATTAATCACATTATGATTTTGGGATGTAAACCATTTATTTGCCACATGCGGTCTGCACAGTGAATGCAACCAAAAAAATATTTCCAGGTAGTTTTTGTTAAAAGTAATACTTAGAAAAAAGCTTACATCAATATTTGTACATTTAATAAAAATTTCATTATTCCATGTTTGCTACTGCCAGAAATGTGGAGTTGACAATCGGACAATCACACTGAACTCTAAAAATCTTTCATGAGGCATGAAAAGTTTAAAAGCAGTTGATTTCTTTTGTATTGTTTTTGTTATTTGTTTTCTTATTCTATTTTTTTGAGATCCTTCTTCACCCAGTGCCATATTGTTTTTGTTTGTTCATCAGACCATAAACTTTCCTAAAATTAACTAGTAGGAACTCTGGTGCTGCGATTGTTCAGCGACCTTGGGAATGATGGGTAGTACACAGATTTGCCTAGTATTTGTACCTGCGGGCGGCGAATCGCAGTTGTGGCTTCGTTTATTTCTGTGTCTCGGTATTGTTTCGAAGGCAAGAATGAACCCTTTTGAACTTCGTTACCGGATTTAAAAAGGCAAGCCTGAAAAAATAATGTGGTGAAGCATAACAGCTGAACATTTGCTGATTTTTGTTTTGTGAGAAAACAACTCCAAGCCACACAAACACATATGAAGCCAGAAGTAAGAAGATTAGACAAATCTGTGTACTACCCATCAATTCCATGCTCTCTGAAGTGTCGTACATTGCAGCTTCCATAGACACTAGCGCCAGAGTTCCCTCTAGTGTATATTTAGGAAACTCTATGCATCAGACTAGATACATGTTCAGTTTCTTCATTGTCTCTAGAGCTTTCACCATCAATGCATGGCTGACTCTCTGGTGGAATATCTCTATACTCTATGCAACCTCAGTCTTCCAAGTTTTTATCTTCTCTTTGACTTGAATATTAATCTTGAAAGTTAATGCCTTGGATCTTCTTTTTTGGACCTGTTGTCCCCATAATTAAAAACCTTTTTAAACCTTCGAAGTGGCCCCGCCGCGGTGGTCTCGTGGCTAAGGTACTCGGCTGCTGACCCGCAGGATCGAATCCTGGCTGCGGTGGCTGCATTTTCAATGGAGACGGAAATGTTGTAGGCGCTGTAGGCCCGTGTGCTCAGATTCGGGTGCACGTTAAAGAACCCCAGCTGGTCTAAATTTCCGAAGCCCTCCACTATGGTGTCTCTCATAATCATATGGTGGTTTTGGGACCCCACATATAAATCAAGGCTTTGAGGTGCTCTAAAGGTACTTTTGCAGTAAATTAAAAAAAGAAACAATACTGCATCACACTGCAAATTGCAGCACACTTTTTGGAATACCCGAAAGCTGGACTTCCTAGTTAGGAGTGCCACAAATGTGTATGCAAGCCTAAACTGCACACAAAGTTGTCGATAACCAATGATGCCAAAATACTACAAACTCGGATTGTCTAGTAGGCTACGCGAAAAAAATGTAGAAGTATTTATAACTGGATATTACAAGTAATAAGCAAAAAGCATGAAAAACCAGGTCCTCGTCATCTTTGCTGGTCGCACGTGATGTCCATTTTTACAATGAAAGCAGCGCTCAAGTTCAGTGCTCATGGTGCCACCAATGAAGTGTAAGTGAAAGCTTGGACTTGCGCGTTTGTGACAGCTAGGAGTCGGGAGCTTCTTAGTGAAATCCTGGGGTAGAAAAAAAATTCAAACAAGACTGCCACAAACATGGCATCTGGGATACAAAGGATTAAACACCAATTATTATATCATTTGCAATGCAGAGATGTAAAGTTCCTGCCAGATTGTGTGGGACCCGAGACAGAAAAGGCATGTGCCGATCCTCCGCATGGCACTATCTTTTTGCTGGAGAACCTGAGGTTTCATGTAGAAGAGGAAGGAAAAGGAGTCGATGCTAATGGACAAAAGGTACCTGCTTTAGTATACATACGCACCTGCTTGATTATACTAAAGCATACACTTTACTGATAATTGCTGATGGAGTAGGTAGTTATAACTGTAAAAGATTTATACATAGTAAGTTCCACAGTTGTCCATGCAACTTATCAATATACGTCTTATTAGTATGCTACTCATGTAGGTTGTGTTTAATAATGATATTTAATTTACAGGAGAAGTTGCATCATTCACCTTTAAATCATATGAACACTTTCACAGTAACACAGCCTCGGTCATGAAATAGTATTCTTGGTAATTTTATTTATTTTTCAATTGTTAGTGAGAATGTACTAGTCATATTCTGACTTGCGTTTTACGTAGCTGGGTTTGCATTCTGAGAGCATCGATTTCAGCAGCAGTGTTGTGGCTTTGCATGATGTAGCATTCCGACATGTTCAATAACTGAATCGACTACTTGTGCATGGCATAATTATTGTGCTGACCACTGGTGTTTCTGAACCTCTGACAATGCAAGAGTGAACACACTGCATGAGTGCAGAGCAGCCCGAGTGTAGGGTTTGTGAGTGTAATGGGTTTTGCCGTGGCTAAACCAGCATTTAAAGAATGTGTTCGACCGTTCTTTTGTTGTTGTGTGAAGTACAAGTATAATTATTAAAGAATGCATGCTAGTGTGAAATTTATTTTTGTTGAGAGTTTAAGAGGCCATACTGACCAATTGAGTTGTGGTGTATAGTTGCAACATAGTCTCACCATCTCAGCATTTCTCTGGTGCATCATAAACCACATTAGTAATGTCCTTCTCTTGCAAACATTCTAACTCTGAGTTTTCTTACTTTATTAATGGCAATCCCGTATATAGTGTTGACTCTTTTAAATATTTAGGTGTAACCTTCACATCAAACCTTTCTTGGACTACCCACATCACCAACATCTGCTGTGACCCCTCACGATCATTAGGCTACATACGCCGCAATCTACGCTAGACGCCCACAAATATACGTGCTTTAGCTTACGTAACATTTGTTTGCCCTCAGCTAGAATTCGCTTGTGCAGTTTGGTCCCCTCATTACAGCTATTTATCTAACATGCTGGAATCGGTCCAGACTAGAGCTGCTAGATTCATCTCACAAAACTACGATCATAGCGCAAGCATAACACAAATTAAAGAAAGCTTATCACTTTCCCTTTTGAGCAGCCGATGTGATCTAAACCTCCTTTCATTATTCCATAAATACGTACATTTAACAAGGCCATTATCAATGACGTTGCAAACATCTGCATTCACATCAAAGAGAATAAATAATCATCTTTCATTCACACGCATATATGGTGAAACATACATTTTTAACTCATCTGCACTCCCCCGTGTCATCCGCATGTGGAATAGCCTTCCAGATGAAATCGTAGCAGAACGCAATCGGGAAAAATTCCGGCACCTTCTACTCATCCATTTCAAGGATTAACTGCTCGTTTTATTCATATCAAAATCGGCACCTACGCGTTTATTCACTACTAGTATATCGTTTTTTTTTCTCTTACTTTAATCTTATTTTGTTTGATGGTTTGAATGCTAACATGCCATTCAGTTCTGTTGTGTTTTATTCAGTGATGTTTTCTTTTGAATAATGGAAAGTCTTTTCACAATTTTGCTTGTTTTTTTACCTTGTTTTACGTCATTATCTTACGCGTATACTCATCTGATGTTCATTGCCATTCTATTCCTGTTAAAATATTATTATTTTCTCATTGTTATTCTTGTTAGGACTTTTATAATAATTGACATTTAGTTCATGTTATTGTTTGTATGGAAATTGTACCAATTCATGTATGTATTTCTTTTATGCTCCCCTTACACAATGCCCTGTTGGGTCTGTAAGGTATTTTAAATAAATAAATAAATAAATAAATAAATAAATAAATAAATAAATAAATAAACTGTTCTTGTTGCTGGCACATTAAAACCACACAAAGAAAGTTCTTGCAAAACAATGATTACTGAAAACACAATAAGGTAATGCTTGCTGAAAACTTCAGTGAAAAAGAAATGCTGCGCACATGTGCCATAGAGCAATACTAGAAGCTATCATCTCGGTGCTCGAAATGCTAGACTTCCTGCTGACCAACTGTAATAAGGTGTGTTCCATCTAGGCATGTCAAGATATCTGTGGAGCTACTATATGACATTTAATGTGATGTCACCAGAAAGACTAGAGCATCATCAACATTCCAATTTTTCTCACCATCCAATCGACATGTATCAAAGGCAACAGTTTGGCGATATCTGCAACCTGGAATATGTTTAATAATTTAATATACTTAATTCAAGTTTGCCATGTATAAATTATTACTGCATAGTTCAGTCCTTCTAGCTGCCATTCCTTTCGAGGCTTGGTTTTCTGTGAGGAATTGCAATTTTTTTTTTTCTAGGTTAAAGCTTCTCCTGAGGCAGTAGCTGCATTTCGTGAATCCCTGACAAAACTTGGTGATGTCTTTGTCAACGATGCATTTGGAACTGCTCATCGAGCTCACAGGTATTTTTCTTTAAGTTGCAAGTTGCATAGTGCATATAAATAATTGAGAATGTCTGGTTTATACATTAGGATTGTAAAAAAGGTGTATTGACTGAAACAAAGCTTTTAAATTATCTAGTTGCTGCCTTTGAAATTGTTTTAAATGTTGAATTGTCTCATTTTATGCAGTTCCATGGTTGGTATCAAACATGACAAGAGGGCTGCTGGTTTTTTGATGACGAAGGAGCTTGAATATTTCAGCAAAGCATTGGATAACCCTGCTCGCCCATTCCTGGCCATCTTGGGAGGGTAATTTTACTTCATATGTTTCTGATGTCTCTCATGTAGTGTTTCTTCCATTAAACCATTTGTCAAGCATTTGCTGAGCTAGTGTGTCAGACATAACTCTTGTAGCAATCTTTTGAACTACAGTCGATCCAGGATATATCGAACTTGAAGGAGATCGCAAAATAGTTCAATATATAAAAAGTTCGAAATACAAAATATGCATACATAAGGCCTAAATTGAAGAATTTCAGGCCTCTGAAATTGTTACAAGAGCTAAGATAACGATTCGCTCAAAAACAAGATGCAAACTGCAGGTTACCACACTTTATTTAGTTTGTAAACTTGTCTTTCTTCTTGCGCGCTGTAAAGTTCCAGTCATCCTTAATATCATTGAAGCTTTTCAAACAAGCGAACTTGGCTCCTTCGGCCACGACGTTGATTGACACAGAATGCCGATGAAAGCTTTGTAGCGCGGCAAAATCTTGGTTAGCGGCGGCAGCAAAGGCGTTCGCATATTCATCATACACGCACGAGTACTATTCTGTGGCACGGCCAGCCAAAATCTCAGCATCGATGAAGTCAGAAACAGCAACATTGTTATCTGTACCGATAAAGTCTCTTCTGTCCAAGATGGTGCCCGGAAATGCTGATAAGTCGCAGAATTCAGTGAGGCACCGTGCGCCGTTGTTAGCGGTCATGACGCACCTGTAGTCATCACCTGGCCCGCAAGGAACGTTTACAACACAGTGTTTTACTTGACGTCGCTCCAAGCACCAGTCATAATTTTTATTGCTACGTGCGCGTCAACATTCAGTTAAACTACCGAATGAGCATTTATCAGGAAGGAGGCGAGAAGTGCACAAAACCACAAGGCGCAAAAGACGCAACGCCGAGTTTGTTCGTTCTCACCGTCGATGTGTTGGCGATATCGATCTCACTATGGCTTTGTAGCTGACAGCCGCTGCTTTTAGTGGCTTTGATGCGAAAAGATAAAAAAAAAAACGTAGCCTCCGAGACACGTGTTTTGAAACCGAAAACACTAAAAATACGTGACAAAGTAGCACATCTCGAAGGCCATGGTTTTTGAGCTTGCATATTATTATGCACTAACAACAAGGAAGGGAATGCGCATCACATGCAAGCATTGCTCTGAGATTGCCGAGTCACATCTCATTCTCATTTTGGTGTCCTCGGCAATTGGCCTTTTGGAAAACATTATGTCAGCGCGCTAAGACCTGCAGATTGTGCATCAAACGTACAGATGTAGCAAGCGCCGCGCAAAGAACCAGATCAGCACGATGGAATAGCGCCTGTTTTTTCGTCGCCTGCGCGGAAAAAAGGAACATGGCCTAAAATTGATCAATGTTTACTAGGAAAAATGCACTTTCTGGGCTTCGGCACGGCACAGCGTTTGATATAGCGGGTGTCCCGCTGTGCGGGAGTTCGATATATGGGTGCACCGGTCCCATAGTTTTACATGGTAAGTTCAAGGGGATTTTTCAAGTGTTCGATATAGCCAATAATTCGATATATTAGAGTTTGATATATCTGGGATTCATACCACATTTGCACTCTTATAACTAAGTTTTATACAATCATTTTATAAGCACAACCTGCAAAGCTTTTTGTAGGTTACTCTCGTCTATGTGCATGCGTGTAACCTGCAGTGATATGCAGCATGAAGGATGAACTGGACTTGATTATAATGGCAATGCTTGTTGTGGGCTTTACGATGTTGCTAAGCAGAGACAGCCAATCTTTGCAGCATGAAGGGCCCTGGTTCAAACCGAAGTGCTGGAGTGAAAAAATTTCTTCATTTACTTATTTTGGTGATCGTCTTATGTGACAGATGGACGGACAGTTCTCTCGTCAAGTTGGCATAAAAATGCTTGTGCATTTAATAATCTTTCAAGCCTTGGTGGCTACACTAACGATAGAGGGGAGAATGCTCAAGACCCGTATATTATTCATTAGGTGCCCGTTAATGAACCCCAGGTGGTAGAAATTTTTTTAGCCCCTCCACCACGGCATCCCTCAGAATCATATCGTGGTTTTGGGATAAATGTTTAGAAGAGTCGGTGCACCTTGCAAAGAGAAATAACCCATTGCCCATTGAGCAGGTTGAGAAGAAATATTTGTACATATAAGAGGTGTTAACTGAAATATTTATACATCTAAGCTCTGTTAAATAAAATTTAATGAAATTGAAAGTTAAGCTTAATATCTAATAATGTTATAAAAAATTTATAGTAGCCAAGGTTTTGCACTCACCTGCTACAAGCAGTATTGAATACACAAGGACTTTAAAAGCTATTCAGCTTTCCTAGTTCCGTAGAGTTCAGGCACCTGCAGGTTAAATTATTTTTATGAAGAGGGTACAACTGATGTTAAAAGACTAGGCCTGACTGCATAGATATGTACTTGCTTACTCTTCCTTTTCTCTCGCAATGCTGTTAATTGCTGGCCTACCTACCAGCTTTACTACATGGCCTCACAAATTGCATGTCATTGCCATTTGTGCCTCTTTTAGAGCCAAGGTGAAGGACAAGATTCAGCTCATTGAGAACATGCTGGACAAAGTCAATGAAATGATTATTGGCGGAGGAATGGCATTCACTTTCCTAAAGGTCACGCAGAACATGGAGGTACTGTGCTTTGCTGACATTGGCTTCTTGCTTTCATGCAATTACTGCTGTTGCTTATTGAACTGTCCTACCTTTTCCACAGATTGGGGGCTCTCTGTTCGATAGTGATGGGGCAAACATCGTCACGAAGCTTCTGGATAAGGCAAAGAAGAACAACGTTCAGATTCACCTTCCTTGCGACTTTGTCACTGGTGATACGTTCAGTGAGCACGCATCCGTTGAAAAGGCTGATGTGAAGAGTGGAATACCAAAGGGTTGGATGGTTTGTGTTTGCTTTTTTTTTATCTTAAGTTATAGAATTGCCTTTTTAATTTCCTAATATTGTAGTAAACAGTTAATGTTCTTTCTACCATTAGTTCTGTTACCTTAAGGAGGAAGAGTATGCCAAGTTTAAATTGTCATCTGTTAAATCGGATAGCTTCGCTGAGATACCGTGTGTTTTATGAGGGAAGCCTTGTACATAGTACTGCATTGCACATAGAAAATTCGTTTGTGAATTCTGAGACCCTAGCTCTTACGTCCATATTTTTAAGTTTGTGAGACTGTTGCATAATGTGTACGAAAGTAACCGAACAGTTATATGTTAAACATTCTATTTCATCTAAACACCAATGCATTGGTGTTGCTTATAAGTCTTGACAGCTTTTGTCTATTCTTTATCCTGCTTTCACTTTTGTTATTTAAAACAGCTTTTACCTTGTTTGTGTGGCACGTGTGCAGATATGAATACTTGTTTCAACAGGGCATGGACATTGGTCCTGAGAGCATGGCCAATTTTCAAGCAGCAGTGAAGAGGGCTAAGACGATTGTGTGGAATGGGTAAGTCTTCATACATTTTTTAGGGCCAGATAACATTCTTTATAGCACTTCTATAAATGAGTGCGTGCGGCAGTGAGTGTGTCAGCAACACACACTGCCAGATGTGCGCATTGTTGTGTGTTGGTAACTATGAGAGAACGAAAGTACAGCAACTTTATCCACAAGGTTGAAATGGTTGTTAGTTGCATTGCTGAAGATGCAGTTGATTTCTCATTTCTTCAAACATCCAATCACAGTGGTTAGCGGTAATTATAAGGTGTTGTGTGTAGCAAAGCCTACATAGCACTCTTTGTTCACAGGCTGAATTTGTGGCTGTTCAGGACAATGAGCACAAATTAGGAGAACAGGGGCACTAGTATGCTGGGAATCAACAGGGGTCTAGAAAGCTTTTCTTCAGACAGCAGAGTCGAGTGCACGTTGTTCTGGTGTTCTGTTCTTTTCGAGCTCTTCTATTTTTTTCCCAGGTATTATTTTTTTTAGGCTTGGTAATCTGAACTGACCTAAAATTTTCAATGAGACAAAGAGGGCATTGTCCTGAAAATTTTCACATATTTTTTGCTTCTCAAGATTATGGTTAACATAAAACTAAGCCTAGGAATAGGAGCCAGGAAAAAAGTGGATTGGACAAGTGATGACTACTAATGAATTTATATGAGTGGCACCACTTTTTCACATACAAAACAGTGCGCCGCGGTCGAGCTGTGGCTATGGTGCTCGGCTGGTGACTTGAAGCTCACGAGTTCAATCCCGCTTGTGGTGTTCATATTTTAATGGAGGTGAAATGCTAGAGGCACGTATACTGTGCGATTTCAGCGCACATCAACGGAGACCAGATGGTTGAAATTTCTGAAGTGCTCCACTACAGCGTCTTTCATAATCATATCTTGATTTTGAGACGTATAACACGAGCTGTTTTTAATAGCATGCGCAAGTCATTCATAGCTGTACGTCCTAAGATAACAATTTAACAGCCAAAAAAGTCAAATTGCTTCTTGTTAATGTGTAAATGTACCTCAGCAAGACTTATCAAGTCCATATCTTATTAAAGCTAAACCCCTTTATAAGCGGCATGCTCCGAGCAGCAATTTTCGTTGTCTATTATAAGCAGGGGACTTCGAATGCATTTTCCGATCACCCCGTCTCTTACTGTAGACACACTGTCTTTTATATCAGTGTCTCTTGTAAAGGGATTCGACTTTAGTATATGCAAAGCTTATAGACCTAAAATTCCGAGGCATGGGGTTTAATGACCACTTGGGTTGGGCTAACTTTCCCATGTCAAAAAAAAAAAAAAAAAGGCTCGTTTACGGCACGATTAATGCCAGTACAAGCTTATTCAGCGAGGACTCGTATCCTCGTGTCTAAGATCTTCGCTTCCCAGGTCAAGTTTATAGGCTTTGCTCCGGCGGATTTTTTTCTGCTCTTCTCAAGGTTGCCATGAAATCGTTGTTGAAGACCCTTGGGGGGTCATTCTATTCTAAAGTAATGAGCTCCCAAAAAACAAGAGGCTGAATTGTGAAATTCTTTGTGCTGAAGATCTCGCACTGCTTGAAAAGAGTGGAGAAAAAATTTGATGTAAATGTTTACTCTTCTGTGCCATCTTGCACAGAAAAGTATATATTTTTTAATCTTCTTTTCTTTTTTTTTTCCCAGCCCCATGGGTGTGTTTGAGTGGGAGAAATTCAGTGCTGGTACCAAAGGTGTCATGGACGCTGTTGTTGAGGTGACCAAGGCGGGTGCCATTACAGTTATCGGTGAGCTTGTGTTTAGTTATCTATTTACGTAAGCGCTGTCCTGAAAGCTAAAATTTGTGAATCTTAGACGAAATTCTTAAGCTCTCATTACAACGGCAAGTTTTAATGTGATAACATTAGAGAGCTTGTTTTGTAGAAATTACAGTGCGATCATCAGTCCTTATCTCTGGGGAAAAATTCAATATAGATGCAAATAAATAATAAAAATGTTTGGCTATAGTGAGTATCGAACCCAGGCTTTCTGTGCGGCAAGCAGATATTCTACCACAGAGCCACGCCAGTGCTTAAAGCTTTGAGTGTTTTCGCCGTACATGTAAGGTGACGGTTTTTTGTCCCGCAATGTCTTCTCCATACGGGAACGGTTCCGGCCCTCTGCAGTTTTGTGCTTAATGACTATGCATGTTCACTGCGAAGTACTGCCACATCCTAGAAGATACAGGGAGTGTTTGTAATGATTGTGCTATCTTCTTTCAGAGATAACTAACTTCTAGTTTCAGCACATTGTGCGGTCTGCGGCAATGCCCTTTCATAGTTTATGTTAGCTGTGTGACTGCACCAGAGGCGCCGAAACATGAATTTCATTTTCATCGGTACTCCTTTGCAGGGGTGGCAGAGTTGATTTCCATTTCGCGCTTCATTTCTATTTTAGCTTGTTTATCATTCATGCTGTCGGAGTATTCTTGCTCTCCTTATTTACCAAGTTTACTCTGCCTGAGGTAGTCGTACACTGAGATGAAGGTGTGTGTGTCCCAGCACAACTCTTCGCCCCAAGAGGAGACGAGATACACGTTTCATGGGTGAAAACTGGGATAAGGCATTGTATGCAGACTTGTGTTTCAAGGAATACCGCACTGTGAAATATTATTGCCTAGGCTTGTGTGAATAGTGAATTTTAGGTTCAAAGCAAATTCGAAGTGAATAGCGATTTTGATCAAATAATATCTAATCGAAGTTGAATGGTATGTATGACATATAATAAAAAAAAGGAATATTTATCATGACCTAACTAACCTGCACAATATTTCTTTTGAATTGAAATAGGGGCTCTATGCAAATGCCATTTTTTTTTTCATTCAAAGGAAGCTGAAACAACCTTCAATAGTAGTTTCGGTAGGATGCAAGTGATAACCTGTAAGATACTTAACAATTTAAAATTTATTATACTTGGAGCATATAAGCCGTCATAACAAGCTTAATAAAATGAATTGATTTGCGGGTAAGATGTTTCTTTAAAGGGCCCCTGGAACACTTTTTCAAGTAGCCATGGAGCCAGTAAACATGCTTATTGCCTCACAAATTTACCGCCGCAAAGTTTCTAGAATTAGTCTTGTGCGAGCGGATTTCCGAAAGCGCGTCATGCTCTAATTAGCCAATGGCTGTGACAAGTGATTTTTGAGCTTGTAGTGTCATTTGCCGAGGGAAGAAAGCAGTTTTTAGCTTTGAAAATTAATTGTGAATAACAGGCCACGTGCTGCACTATACTTTTTGCCTCGCGTATTCTCGGCAGCATTTTCTGACCATGTTCAATAAGTGTTGCAGAGCACCTTTAAATTTAAAGGAGGGCTTCTCGGCAAAGCGAATTTCCCCAGGATTGGTGGTTTCACTGTTTAGCACTCCTACATTGCAGTGAAACCATTTTTACAGGTGGTGACATGCGAATTAATATACATTTATTCGTTCATTGCGAATACTTTGAAAATATTCGACAATTTAAATTTGAATGGAAGCAAAATTGAATACTCAACTATTCGTTCGAATATTCGAAGAATTCGAATGTTCGCATATGCCTACTATTGCCAATATTGCAGTTCTGAGTGATGTTGACACCAAAATACTGTTCCCAATTTTTTTTTGCTATTCTTTCCTGACTTTAGACATTTTTACATTCAGAACCTGCAATGAAGTAATTATACTATCTGGTAAAGTTAAAAAAAAAGTTCAACCCCCAGAGAGTTAAAATATGGTATAAAAATGTCATGTAGTGAGAGTACTTAAAACAAGGGCTTTAAACATGCAGCCCGTTGCGCATGCAGCCCAACCTCTCATTTACGGCTCAACCTGCACATGACTATTTTTGTCCCATATTTGAAATTTTTTTTTTATAATTATGCTATGAGCTATGCAGATGTGACTGGCCACAACACTTCTTTTTGTAATGCACCTTATGCAGTGTCACGATGTGTGTCGCTGAATATAAAAGGTCCCTCTTTCTTGTGACTAAAATGACTTTGAGACTTCGGCTCAGAGTTTGAATTTAGGGTACAATGAAATCGCGATGCATCCAATCAGAAAAAAACTTGGGTTAAAAATTTAATAATTCATTTTGAAACACTGGAAGGCAACTTTTTTCCCCCTCATATGACAAGGTATAGAGAGAGAGCTTTGAAGTGCTGTGAATAATAATAATAATAATAATAATAATAATAATAATAATAATAATATAATAATAATAATAATAATAATAATAACTTTGCTCTGTCTGTTTTTGCATAGGGTACCAAAACTATTGCAGCGCTTCCTTAAAAAATTAAGTGCATAGTCTGCTGTTTCATTTTTTGCAGCATTAAAGAAGCACTAAAAAGAAAACCTATTTATCTCATCTTAGTAATTTACCCTCTTGCCATACCAAAAGCACCACTCTTACCACAGGAAAAAAAACTGGCAAACAAAAAAAAAAAACAAAGAAAGTACACGTGACAATGTTGCTTTGAGTCTTCAAAAACAACTCACTGTGACATCATCAGATTTATTATTGGTGAAAATAAATTGCTTGTATTATAAAGGACAGATACACTTAACGTAGCAACTACAGTTAAAACTCCATCTAATTAAATCAAGAGTTTTTGAAGCGCATGATCTAACAAGGAAATTTCCATTCCCCACCATAAACATGTAAATCTCGTTGGGGTCATCAACCTTATTAACGAACTAACTTAGCCATCCAACTTGATTTAACAAAGTTTTTTTTTTCTGAAATAAATGAGCAAAAAAAGCAGTGATGCTTCCCCAGTTTTTAGACGAGTCTTTCATCGAGCATGTACTCTGATGCCATCACTTTAAAACTAGGCTTGTGTGAATATTAAATTTTAGGTTCGAAGCGAATTTGATACAATAGTGATCTGCTCGAATAATTTTGAATCGAATTTTAATAGAACCTTTCACATTAAAAAAAAATTGAGCATATTTGTATTGACCCAACTAACCTGCACAATATTTTAAAAAAATTTTAAACAAGGCACGATCAAAAGCCATTTTTGTTTAATCAAGGGGAAGTGGAAGCGACTTTGAATACATGTAATAGCAGGAGTTGACTTTTGGTTGAATGGACGTGATAGTCTGTGCATTACTTTTTAAAATTTACCGTACTTGGAACATGTAGGCCAGGATAACACCTTTAAAATTAAAGAATGATTATTGGATGTGAGGATATAATACGTTCATTTAAGTGGGGGACGTGGCAATAGGAATTGTAAACTTGGTCAAAATGTTCAGTTTTTCCATTTTTTTTCTGTAATCCTGAGACCATGTTTTACATCATAGTGTGATTTTAGACCAAAATAAGTAGTAGAAGTTTAGAAACAAGCCTTTTACTGGTTGGCTAACGTCAAAAGCTGTGAAAATTGGGCATAGCAAAATGCAAATTTGAAGCTTTCCCTTGGCACAGTGCCACCTCATTCGCATCATCATAAAGAGGACAGATTGGAGCTGAAGATAGCATCAGTGCTGCATTTCTCCTATGAAAAATAAAGCCAGCTTCCCTCCGAGTTCCATTTTATCAGCTTCTAGCTCCAATTTTTTTTAGCTACATTTTCTCAGCTTTTATTTTGAGAAGTTGCTGTCAGTCATCCCTGTGCCATTTCACAACAAATTAAGCTACAGCCATTCCATTTTCTGGACTCTTGTAATTGGCTGTTTGTAAAAGTTGTTGGTAAGACAATATGTCCAGGACATTTCAAAAGAAAATTTTGTGTGCTTACTTAAATATTAAAAATAAACCAATAGCATTACGGCACAAAATGAACCCTTGTGATTTTCCTTATGCAAAAGTTTTGACGAACTTGTGTCTAATTAGCCAATTAATTTTCAGATGACAATGAGAGTCTATCAAGTGTTGTAACTCAAAAGTTATATTAGATAGCTCAAAACCGATTTCAGTTACAATATCAGCACAAGTGACATCTGCATGCCAAATTTCATGCTTTTGGCTTCATAAATAACAAAGATAATTTTCATTGCCACGTCCCCCCTTAACCTTGAAGTGAAGCACTGCGGCAGTGCGAACTTTCTTTGGATATGTGTGTTCCCAGTATAACACCTGCACACTGGAGTGAAACCACCCTAACAGGGGGTTACATAAGGACTAATACAGATTTATTAGTTCATTTCAATATTTCCAATAATTTATATTTTAATCAAAGTGAATTCAAATACTGTAATATTTAAAGTGGTTGAATATTTTGACATGCCTAGTTAAAAACGTCTGAGAGCACTAATCACAACTTTAGCTTTATTTTGATGAGGATGCTAACTGCGCCCATGCATGGTAAATGGACTCGCAGTTTGTAGTGCTTTCAAGCGCTGGATCGTGGTGCATGGGGCAGCAATGTTATGTTATGTCACCATGTGGCTGACAGCATTGTCTCTTCACAACTTCGCCTGCACACACAGTCATTGCACTCACGATTGCCGTGTCTGTCTATCAGTAGTTTGTCATAGCTTCCTATGACTGTCTACCTGGCCTACATTGCCCTGACATGGTACTTCTGAGGTCTTGGAAACATGGAAGGCTCCATGTTCGGGCTTCCCTAGCATACATTTCACATGCACATGCATGGGTTCTTGGCAAAAACAATGTCATTATAGCTTTTCAGTGTTGCTATGTCAATATTGTAGATTACGAAGGACCAAAAGACACCTTTCTCAGTTTTACGAACATCCTAATTTAATCAATAATAATACGAGTGTGGTCAACACTTTGATAAATCGAGTTTCAATCGGGTAGCAGGAAATTTCTTTGAGTCATTACGGCTGAGATGTGAAAAGAAACTGAAATAGGCAATATCTCGCAGATATTTACAGTTGCTGAGGTTGGTGGGAAATTCAAGAATGAAACTGCCTTTTTTGTTTTCTCTTCACGTGATGAGCCTGTGATGGTGACATTAATGAGATTAGAGTTTTCAAATGACTTCTAATTCTGAACTCACCAAGTGCTTCACTTCATGTCCCTTCGTATCGCCAATACACCATCGATGCTTGGCATGATGCAGGTGGTGGTGACACTGCAACCTGCTGTGCCAAGTGGCACACTGAGGACAAGGTCAGCCATGTCAGCACTGGTGGTGGAGCCAGCCTTGAGCTCCTGGAAGGTGAGTGCTCTACTTCTGCTCCTCCACTTTCTGCAGCCCACAGAAGCTAGCATTCAGCAGCACTTCATGTACTATCCAAAATATTGTCCAACGATGCATCAAAAGGTACGAGGTTATCAAGAAATTTAAGAGTGCTATGATGTGCTATGAAGTGCTATGGATCCACAGTTTACTTTTGCTCAGCTACGGTACATATTTACTAAAAGCACTTGTAATCTTTATTATAACTTTTACTTTGGCATATTTATACATTTGCTTACACCCCCATCTACCCCCTCTTCTGTAAAACAAACAAACAAACAAGCATTCAATTTGATTATAAGGGTGTTGTACTGCTATGCAGTTAGGATGGGGCCCAGAAACTGGAACTATAAATGCACTTTTATTTTCTGCTGTGGGAACTGAAAATTGTTCTTTTAAAATGAGGTCATAAGTTCATCGTAAAGGAGGCAAAGCCTAAATTACAGTGCCCATGGAAGTTCGGTGTAGCAAATGCCTACCTACTGCATCATATGAAAAGATACCGATAAGGTGAAAGTGCTAGCCATTTCATCCTGGCTATTGCTTTGGAAACGTCTCTCAGAACTGGCTGCTTAAATAAAATGGCATTGGCATGCACTACTAGCTGTGCTTCATGCAACTCGAAAGTTCTATTTCCGCAGAAGGCCTTTTTTTCTTTTTTCCTGACAAAATTTCATTTACCCATTTTGCAGGAAAAGTTCTGCCTGGCGTTGCAGCCCTGTCAGATGCCTAAAAACACAGTTCCTGCTTTTCTCATCTGCCGGCCTATTGCCATTGTGCGCGGTGTAGCAGAAAGACCAAAGTGTGGGCTCTGCACACAGTGCAAGAGTGCAGAGGCCCTTCAAGATTGCTTAGGTGTGCCATTTATTGGCTTTGTGCAGATGTGCCCAAAATCGAATGTGTCCCATGTGTTGGTCCTGTATGGCTAATAAAAGTTCCAAAGTGCACCTGCTTTTATTATTTTTTGTATGCCGGTTGCTATTGCATAGTGGTGCTTTCCATCAAGTACAAGAAGTTTCAGGAGCAATGATGCTGTACTAATTTACATTTCTACATTTCATAAGAATGCTTTGTGACCTACTGATTTGAAAAAAGCGAGTTACCATAGAAGTGCACTAACTGATACAATACACTGGAAAATATAATGTGGTAGAGCCTTGTTATCATGACCTATAGATGCAAAAAAAGAAACCTTTGTTATATTATAATTTTAACCAGATATTTGTTACATTTCGATATTGGTGAGATACATTTTGGATAAATAAGTTCATAGTGGCATTGTTGTCTCACTGTCCTGTACTTGGTGGTTAGCAATAAGGGCTGCTTTCAAGCTATTCAAATTATATTAAAAGCTGCATAACAGCCTTTGTGGTATCTGCATTGCACTCTTCTTTTTTGTCGTACGCATTTGCTTTGTGGCACTATGGGTGGAGCAAAATTTGCGCTAGTGCAGCTGCGGCATGTTTTCTTCATTGTTTTTCCTTATCATAAACACTGGAGAGCGAATGTATGCTCTTTGCGCATGCTTGTATTTGCACATTCTGTATAATTTGCTTCTGTGCTGTGCACCTTCCTAGCTGGTCTTCTTTTTTTTTTTCTACTGTTTCAGCAGCTTTCTGCAAAAGAAAAAGAAAGTTTAACGCAAAACACCTTCACAATGGCAACACATGAAATGGCTAGCTTTAAGTGAAAATTTCCAGAATCATTGGTTCAAGCTAGTTAAAGTAATTTAGATGCAGTGTCTTGGTTAGGCTTCCAATAACGGCAAGGTGTGGCTAGATGTCATGGGATGTTCAATGATATAAAGTACTACCAAATGTACTTGATAGAATGTACTACCAAATGTGCTCAATATAATGTGCTCCACTAAAAGGCATTGGCTAATGAAAAACCACGCAGTAAGTTAAATTTTGCAAGCACACACAATAACAAATGTGCATTCAGTATTTTAACTTGATGGAAATGTATTCGTTTCATTTATTACTGAACATTTGACCCCATTGCAGTAGTTTCTTGGCTCTCCCTGGCAACAAATACATTTCACATAAAAAATTATCGTGCTAGGTGTGATTCACGAGCCACGGCGGACGACATGAGCTTTGAAAGAAGCAAATCATCATCATCAACCTTTTTTTATATGTACTGCAGGAAGAAAGGCTCTCCTAATAATCTCTTATGTACCCTATCTTGTGCAAGCAGATCCCACTTTAACCCTGCGAACTTAATTTTGTTACTTGTTGTGACTTGTTGCCATCCTCAGCTGTTTCCTATCCCTTGGCAATGTTGCTCTAAATGACCATCTGTTTTCTGCCCTGCGTACTATGCAGCCAATTCAAGTTCGTTTCTTTCACTTAATGTCGGCAAGAATGTTCACTATGGTTGTTTGTTCCCCAACAAATTCTGCTGTCTTCCGGTCTAATGTTTTGTCCATCGCTTTCCATTGTATTGCACGGTGTGTGACCTTTAACATTTCGTCTAGGTTTTGGCCAGCCCAAATATTAGCAACAATCACCAGTTCAAATGGTGGCTATTTAAAGCAAAATCAAAATAGAAAAGCAGTGGGTTTGTATCAAGAGTGTTATTGATGTAAATGCTTTACCCATTCATGCCTTGTGGCTCATGATAAGCTCTCTGGCTGGACCTGGCTTGAGTTATGTATGCCCAGCACATCTTTTGCTTCAAAACGTGATGAATGTTCAGGAAGTATGGTGATGTGACATTTTGCAGTGCAATGATGCCTAGGGCTGAGGCTGTGGACAAGCATTAGTGTTACAGTGACTGACAGACTAGACTACCGTTTCACACCTATTGGCTACAGGTTTGCACTACTCAGCTCAAGGTTGCAGATATCAACATGAAAGCTGTCTCAATGACAGCAGAATGCAAAAACAAGCGCGAACTGCGGTGACTAAAAGTGGCACTGGGGCTCAAGCTCGACTAGCACAAGGGCAGCTTGAGTGAAGCAAAGGAAGAAAAAGTAGATAATAAAGCAGCTGGCCCAAGAACAGGTGCTCGATGTGTCCAATTTTCTTACATTACTGAGGTCTAGGTGCATGTTAAATAACCTGAAAAGGTAAAAAGTATTCTAAGTCCTCCATTACTACACCACCATGGCATAATGGCATATCTTTGTTTTTCCATTTAAAACTTCAAATTTGATTTTTTTGTCCTCCCCCCCCCCCCCCCTTTTTTTTTTTCAAGGAACTACTTCGATATACAGCAGACTTTCAGTAAATGGAACCTGAAGGGACCGGGAAAATATGTTCTATTTAACAGTAGTCCAGTTTGCCGAGAGGTAAACACGGGTGCAAAATACAAGCCCAAAACCAAGCACTGCAGAAGCAAAAGTTCAGTTTAAGCAGTAATTCTATTCAACAAGTTTCCGTTTACTGCGAGTCTACTACACATCCAAGCTCGGCATATAGTGCTGAAAAGTTGGATCAGCTGCTCGAACAGTTGTAAACTTTTCATTTGGATCTTTTTCAACCTTGCATTATTCAAACTTTCAAAAGCTTTAATGAACGGTCTGTGGCCCGACCAAGTTTACTGTGCTTTGACGTGCTCTGATATTTGACAAGCGTATGGCATAGTACAGCTCTCTCTCGTGGCATGCAACAGCATTCACCTGCCCTAGTAAATGTCACTGGTTTTCAGGGAAGGTTCTCCCTGGTGTTGCCTACCTTTCCGATGACGCCAGGGCAGGAAGTGGTTGCGGCTGTTGCTTCAACCCCATGGCTGTGGCCAAGCACTACCCAGCTCAGACAGCAGTGGTTTTGCTTGTAAGCATGGGCATCATAATGGCCATCTATAGGGCTCGTCGCCAGCAATAAAACAACAGATCCAACCTTCATATGCTTGCTGCGCTTGCCATCGTCCCGACGCATTGACCAACTTAGCAATACCAATACTTATCGAACTTTCTAATGATAAAAAAATTTGGATGGATGTCCTTGCTTTTCAAATCCGTAGTGTACTACTTCAACTAGAGTTAGGCTCGAAAAGGTGGTGATGGGTACTTTGAAGAATGTATTTATAAGAGTATTTGATAAAAGCCAATCAAATTACTCGTGGCCCTCTTAATAAACATGAAGCTTCAGCTCATTGATGATTCAGCTTATATTAGAATATCTCTCCTGGTCATAGCTGTGAGTTGCCCATGAGTTCGCGTGCAAGGTTTTATTGTATATGTCTAAAATTCTACACGTACATTATAAACTGCTTAGACGAGCAAATATATGAAATTCCGAGTGCAAATCCAATTAGACCACGCTATTTGATAATTCAATATTTGAAGTTGTCTAACAGGTGTACACCTAAAAGCAAACCATTCTTACAGAACAACTGCAAATTATTGCATGGTAGGCAAGCCATTCCGCAGAAGCACAATTTGGAAGTCCTCATGTTTGTTGATTTGTTTGCTCTTGGTCTTCCATAAGTGTTATGACTAGCTCTTTGATGAAGATAGTTTGGGTAATAACTGCATGGAGCCAAACCAAAACCTAAAAAAAAAAAAATAAAGCATCCTGCTATGCCCCTTGAATAGGTATGTGCAGAATGGCAAAAGTAATTGTGCTTAAATTTATAAATATACAAACTAATATAAAATTAGGCACAGCATGAGCTTTATGTAATCATACTGAATACTAAAAGACTGCAATAGGCCAATTAGGCATCAGTCTGCTAATGTGGCTTAGTAACAAATGATGTTTAAAATGGGTAACATAAACTACAGCTCAACACAGCATATTATAAGCACAATGAATGAAGAAAAAACACCTGTTACTCAGAATGGTATCTGCTCAAGCATTTTAAAATTGTTTGTGCTGTAAAAATTTTTAGTAACAATTCTGCCGCATAGCTTAGTCTTCTGTAGCCAAATTCACTCAGTAATCTGAAAGAAAGCTTTAAGCAATACGAACCTATTGTTGGTCTCAGAAATCAGTCAAGGGGATTGTGTAGGGGAACTCTTCATGCATGTACAGAATATACCAGTAAATCTTTGTATTCAAGCACAAGCAAATGCAAAAAAATACTGACCGAATTCGCTCATTTGTGGGACCTCTTTGGAACAATCGTGACCAAGTTGATAGCGTAACATCTCAAGTCAAAAATGAAAAATGTCAACCAAGTGCTGTTTTCCCATGTGCACACAAAAAAGCTAGAATAGAATTGTTAAGCTGCAACGGTAGAAAGTCAAAGTAACACACCTGATTGAAGGAAAGATCAAACATAGAGTAATGCACTTTGTATAGTTTTTAACTGTTCAGCGCTCAGCATTAGTCATTTCAATTCAACCAGATATTACACAAAGCCAATGAACTTGTCACTAAAAAAGTATGCATTCCAAAGCTTAGGTGTAAAAAGGCGATTTAGTTGAAGACACTTGAGTTTTGTGTTGAGCCTTCCGATTTGCTACTGCCAGCCAATAAGCTTCTTTAAAGACTATGCTTGTATAACCAGCAGCCGTTTATGCACAAGTCTACGTTGCTCCTTTGATGCTTGAAAGAACAAGTACAGCTGGAAATATTTTATAAGTTTCTCACTCTTACAGCTTGCTTCACGGTTTAATTTTAATACTACATCCTAAAAATTGACACACGAGCATGTAGTTGGCCTTATACAACATCTGAGATATATTATTCACTGACAAAAATCTTTAGACGAACTTCAACATTTATAGCTTTAACACTTAAAGCTAACCGACAGGAAACAAAATACTCTGCATTTAAGCATCATAGGGTCCAAATGTCATGCATGTTCTACACTCTTGCAGTGCTAAAAAAAGAAGCTGCTGCTAGATGTTTCCCAACCTTGTATGTTGTTTCTCCATTCAATAAAGAATTGATGTCATGTGTACGTAAACACGTGTCTTTGTGAACAATTATTCTTCCGCATTCATTTATTGTTTGGTCATTCCAGGAATATTTGTCAAGCAACAATTTATTTGTGCATAAACCATATACACACAGAGCACATGACACACAATGTGTGAAACATGCTACAAAAAGCACAGCACGCTGATTGGACAGAGCCCAGTGGTCTCCTCTAATGTCAAACCGTGAACACCGATGGACAAACTGCAGCCATTCAAAGAATTCGTACAACTCCGCTGCGTCACATTTGGTCACCATGTGAAACATACAGTCGCACTAAAATTGCCATGAAATAAACAGAAATGCACTATTCACAAATGAGATCAGCGTAGGACAGCAACGAAATCAAACTCAAAAGCTTGCTTGCACCGGACCATAGAGACTCTATGAAATGTAATGTTCATCACAGTCGCAGCTTGAAATAGCCGACGTAAAGCTCAAAGCACTCGTATTTATCATAAGATGATGCTCCTGATTACATGTGAATAAAATAGAAAATGAATTATTGTGTAATAACAGGGCACAGTTTCTTACTGCCTCATGATTAGAATGAGATAAAATGAAACATGACAGGTTGCACATTGTCATGAACAACAGGCTAAACTCACTATCCGCTGCATTATAGCTACACACTCTTTCTTTCGCAATGTCCTGAATATGACAAACAGTTGTTCTTGGCTTACAGTGCAATATCAATTAATATAAAGCTAAATTTAGCACTGCCAAGGTCTTTATAGAAAACATAGCATGGCTTAGCAAGAACGATAATGTGGTGGCCTGCATACATCACTCTTCTGACAAAACTAAAATTTTTCGTGCTATTATTTCTATTTGCATAGAGGTGGCATTTTGAAGCGTCGCCTTGTTTGGCAGCATGCTTGCAAGCAGTCTTTGCCCATTTCATTCCAGTAACATGGCACTGCATTTCTTATGTGGTGAGGACCAATAAAAGCCACAAATTTTCTCAGGGACTAAAAAAGCAGCGGCATGCTTAACTGCCCATTACAAAGGTGACCGGATGCAAAAATGCAGAATGGCTTCACCATACGTAACAGCCTACTACTTTATGGTTCCTCCCAGTGTGAAAATTTTTTCAATTATCAATAGTACAGACATTCTTTTTCTGTGCTGTTCTGCACAGAATAAGCAGGAACTGCTTACAAACACGCCACTTAAGAGGACGAACCAAAAAATGCCAAATCTACACAAATATGAGCACGAACAAAGCAGTTTAGCTAAGAGAGCTCTTTCTACCATGCTTCTCTCAATGCAACATTACATACTTAAAATAATATTTAGATTGCTTTCCTCGACATCTGCCTCCTCTCACTCGCTAGTGAGCAGTGTGCACGTTCTGAGTGTGGCATCACTGCAAATACATCAACCGGATTGCAATTGATAAAAACTGTCAGGCCTCGCTGTTCCACTCGTCAGAGGCCCCTCCCAGAGACTCGACAGCAGCCCCCTCGCTGTCGCTCGTTGCGAGCCCTTCTTCCATGGCCAAGTGTGGCATGTCATCTACAAACTGGGCAGCCCCACAACTTGCCAAATCCACGTCGTCCTCGGCACCGAGGGCCACACGAGCGTAGTCATCGGTGTCGATTGATTTGCAAAAGTGGATTGCATATTTCAGTTTTTCACGCAGCACGGCACGGCAGGAATATCGCGGCATCTTCAAGAGGAAGAAGCAGGTGTAGCTCTCGGGAAGGAAATGGTCTGCTGGGCTGTACTTGTCCAAAACCTGCAAGAAAAAAGAGCATCCATGCCGATGCAGTACAGAAAAATGTGCTACTCACCATGAAGTAAGAAAAGTCACAGTTTCGTTACAAGAGTGCATCAGTAAATGCGACAATAAATTGGGACATTATATGAAGCAAGGCTAGCAGCCAATTCCTTTAGGAAACGTGGCCGCTGCAGTGAGCAAAGTGATTTTCACTGTCTATGTCTTCAAGGGAAACTTTTTGATGAGAGCACAACATGTACAAAGGTATGTGACATCTGCTGATTCCCTCTAAAGATATGGCATGCGCAACTAGAAGTGACCATGTCTGGTCGCACAAAGTATGCATTTCATACTAGAGCCATGCAGCACCACCCTGGTGCTCATCTCCATGTGCCTTTCACGTGACAAAAGATACCCGGTACAAAACTGAAAGACTCTTGCATAAATCTGTGAATGATAGTTGTGATAGCCAAGATAAGGTCTCACTTTCACATGATATTACCACTGTATGAGGTCCTGCTGATCACTTGTGAGTTCAAGTGCACGTTGAATTTCTGCTAGCAAAGTGAAGGTATGTGCTATTATACTCCTTGGCAAAAAGTTGGTGTTTTCTACGTATTGTGCTGCTATTTGGTATGCATCTGGCCCACAATCTTTTTCCATCTTCTTTTTATATTCACTTCTTAGAGAACAAACGCTCTCTAGTATATTGTTACCGGGAGATGCCTTTATTTACAGGAGATGATGAATGCGAGAGTCCAGATATCTGGCCGATCACCGCTTGTGCCAACCTCGTTCTCCTCTTCTTCCACGCGCCCCCTCAGTATCGTAGCAATTCCCCCTTTGCAGACGATGCCCACCGGGCGAGTTAGGCTTCGTTGCGATGATGATAGCGTTTTAGACGGGCAACATGAACGACGTTGGTCTTGCTTGAGCGGCGGCCAGTTGACAACAGCTGAGATATCATGTACGTGACATCGCTGAGACGTTCCAGGACAAGAAACGGACCGGTGTAGTTGGCCAGAAACTTTTGGCCAGAAACTTTGCGTAGCGGCGTCCAAAGCCACACCAAATCCCCTTTCTCAAACAATACGTGCCGGTGACCTCTGTCATAACGGTTCTTAGAGCGTTTCTGGGAGACGAAAGTTCGAAGACAGGCGATGCACCGGGCCTCTTCTGCGCGGCAAATGGTTTCGGCGAGAGTAGGTTGATCAGTCTCGGAAAAAGGAAGGATAGTGTCAAGAGCTGTGCGGGGTTGGCGTGCGTAGAGCAGATAAAATGGACTGTATCTCGTTTCGTGCTGTGCAGTGTTGTAGGCAAAAGTTATAAATGGCAAAATCGCGTCCCATGTTTTGTGTCCAGAATCAACATACATGGAAATCATGTTGACGAGAGTCCTATTAGTTCGTTCCGTCAAACCATTAGCCTGCGGGTGATGCGGGGTAGTGTGACGAAAATGGCACGAAGCAAGACGAAGGAGGTCTTCAACTACATCGGCAACAAATTGCCGTTCGCAATCACTGATGATGACATGGGGGGATCCATGGCATAATATAACATGTGACAGCATGAACTGTGAAACTTGAGTGGCCGTTGCCGCAGGAACCGCCGCAGTTTCGGCGTAACGTGTGAGGTGGTCAACGCCCACAATAATCCATCAGTTGCCGTTCGTTGATCGCGGAAAAGGGCCGAGCAGGTCGACACCTACGACGTCAAATGGTGAACTCGAAGGTGCTATGGGATGAAGTAGTCCGGCTGGCGGAGTTGTAGGACGCTTGTGGCGTTGACATTGCTCACAGCTTGCAACGTATGCAGTCACACTTTTACGCATCTTCGGCCAGAAGAAGCGTTCTTGCGTGCGATAAAATGTCCTAGAAAAACCCATATGGCCAGATGTTGGGTTGTCGTGCATTGCTTGAAGTACGTGTTGTCGTAGACTTGTAGGCACAACTAGAAGTAGGCGAGGGCCTACGCCGGAATAATTCTTTTTGTAAAGAACGCCATCTTTTACGATGAAACCACGTTGACCGTTCGTTCCGGAAATAAAGAAAGAAGCGAGACTGTTGTCATTTCGTTGCTCTGCTCGAAAAGTTGCTAGGTCAGGAAACGGAGTATCCACTACAGCCAAATATTCATCAAAGTTGTCGGCGCCACACTCGGTTGTCGGAAGGGGAAGTCGTGAAAGGCAATCGGCGTCGGCATGACGACGACCGCTCTTGTAACAGACTTCAGAGTCGTGTTCTTGCAATCGTAACGCCCAACGAGCAAGACGACCAGATGGGTCCCGTAGTTCAGTGAGCCAACATAAAGAATGGTGGTCCGTGATAATCGAGAATCGGCGTCCATAGATATAAGGACGAAACTTGTGCACGGCGAATATGACCGCAAGACATTCCTGCTCTGTGACAGTATAGTTTCGCTCCAGTTTACTTAAACAGTGACTGGCATAGGCAACGACGTGTTCAGCAGCTCCATGGCGTTGGACCAAGACGCCGCCAATACCTACACCACTGACGTCGGTATGAACTTCTGTGGCAGCAGATGGGTCATAGTGGTGAAGTACGGGCCCTGACGTAAAAACAAACTTGAGTTGCAAAAAAGACGACTCGCATTCCGCTGACCACCGAAAAGGTGCGTTCTTGTTGAGTAGGGACGTCAAAGGGTAAGCGAGGTCGGCGAACCTGGGCACGAAGCGATGAAAGTACGAGCATAGGCCCAAAAAGCTTCGCAACTCTTGTACCGACTGAGGTTGTTTGAAGCTGCTGACTGCAGCGAATTTTTGGGGGTCGGGTCGAACGCCATGCCTGTCCACCAGGTGACCGACAACGAGAGTCTCACGGCTGCCAAAGTGACACTTATTAGAGTTCAGGGTAGGCTTAGCTCTCTCAAGGCAGGTGAGAACAATGTCTAGACGATGGTTGTGTTCATCGAATGTACGGCCAAAAATTATAATGTCATCCAGGTAGCAAAGACAAACTTCCCACTTTAGTGTACGTAACACAGAGTCCATGAAGCGCTCAAACGTGGCTGGAGTGTTGCATAGGCCAAACGGTATTACACTGAATTCAAATAGACCATCTGGGGTTATGAAGGCCGTTTTCTCTTTGTCATTCGGGTGCATGGGGATTCGCCAATAACCAGATCTCAAATCTACGAAGGAGAAGTACGATGCCGAATGTAAACAATCAATGACATCCTCAATCCTGGGAAGCGGGTAGACATCCTTTTTAGTAACAGAGTTGAGCCGTCTGTAATCCACGCAGAATCGCCATGTACCATCCTTCTTTGGGACAAGAATCACAGGGGCAGCCCAAGGGCTACAAGACTCTTGGATGACCCTTTTCTTTAACATCTCTTCTACCTGTTGAGCAATGACCTTGCGCTCCGCAGATGAGACACACGGTATGGTTTCTGCCGGATAGGGTGAGCGGATCCTGTGTCAATCCCATGGCGAGTACGCGACTCGGGTACACTTATTTGCTCTTCATTCTGCGCAAAGTCAAATATAGTAGCGTGCTTCGCAAGAACTTCGACCAAAGCTTGGCGTTTTTCTGATGATAGCGACTTGTTTATCATACTCAGAAAGTTGGCTTCTGTATGGTACGTTGCACGAATAGGATCTACTTTCTCGTCGCTTAAAGTTGCAATAAAACTGCTCGCATTTTGTTCGAAGAGGGCGAGTCGCATTCTGCAGTGTAGCATAACAGGTTCATTTGAATAGTTCGACACCCATAAGACCGATCGCCTATCACTGATCGACAGAACACAATGTGGAACGAGCACATCTTTCTTGGCGCAATTGAGAGGAATGGGCTCCTCAAGAACATCAAACTTTCCGGCATCCGAGGCAGAGGCGTCAACGCGTACGGTCTTCATCGAGTTAGGCGGCAAGACAACATCCTCAATGACGGTGATAGATCCTTGACAGCACCTAGGATCGTCAGTAAATGCCGATAGCATAATCTCGCCAGCACCGCAATCTACAGTAGCCCCGCACTCGTGTAGAAAATCGATCCCCAAGATGATGTCATGGGTGGAGCTGGTCAGGACAGCGAATTCAGCCTTGAAGACCTTGTCACCCAAAGTGACACTAACAACACACACACCAATTGGGCACAGTGTCTCCCCGCTCAATGAATGAAATCATGCACAACTATCCCAGCGAAACATCACTTTATGTCCTAGCCGCAATTTTAAGCTAAGACTCATCACTGAAACAGCTGCTCAAGTATCTATCAAAGCCATTGTAGGAAGTCCATCAATAAGCACGGGGACCATATTTTGCATCATAAAAACGGGTGGAGGCATAGGCGAATGTCGTGACAAATGTTCGGCGACCTCACCTCCATTGGCCGCACCACATAGTTTCCCGGAGGCGGGGAGGTGACGCGTCGACCAGGAGATGGGGAACGGAACCGGCATGTTGTGGGGGGCGTCAAGCTTCGCACGGAGGAAGGCGAGTCGTTGCATAAATTCCGCTGGAAATTGCGTCCTACATGTTTATCACTGTGGGTCGTTTGCTGGAAGCCGTCCCCAACGTACGCGTCCCGCATTGAACGCATACCACCGCGCCAGCGGTTTTGTCGAGAAGCTGATGATCCCTCGTAGTAGCACTGCTAGGGGCGACGCCTTTGACCACAGAATCGAGCCACATGTCCACGGAAACCGCAGTTAAGCACACAGGGGCCTCATGCACGTCGCCAAACCTTCCACGAGGCGCCATGTGCCCATGATCATCCCACGAAGACACCATTGTAAGTGGTTGGCGGGAGGCGTTCTGGAAACCACGGCGATGATGTAAGTTGTCGGTTGGGGGCTCTAGTGCTCTTGATTGGGGCACATCACATAGCGTGGCATCAACGGCAGCACACATTTCGTCGTATGGCGGGGAGGTGTTGATAGCAGGTGCTCTCGGCGGGTTGACAGCATCACGTCGTCCAAGTTCTTCGCGTACGATTTGCCTGATCATTGAGGCAAGATCATAGGAGGATGTTGAAGGGACGTCAACACTTGCAACGATGGTGACGTTGGCAAGTCTACCAAATTTGGTAGTGATGCGCCTAGCCTTCAGGGTCTCAAACGTGCGGCAGTGTTGTATTACGTCCGCTACAGACGCCAAGGTGTCCTTGCCGATGAGGAAATTGTAGGCATCCTCAGCAGCCCCTTTGAGGAGATGCCCTACCTTGTCATCTTTCATGCGTGGGTCTACAGACTTGCACAATTTCAGAATCTCTTCAATGTACGTTGTGCATGTTTCACCGGGTACTTGAGCACGCTGCATCAAAGTTTGCTCAGCGCGCTTCTTCTTCATCAATGGGTCTCCGAAGCAGCTCGCTATTTCTTTCTCAAACGCTTCCCAGGTCGTTATTGTTTCTTCGTGGTTTCCAAACTACACCAACGCCGTCCCTTGAAGAAACAATCCGACGTTGGACAACCGGGAGGCCGCGTCCCAACAATTGTATTTACTCACACGGTTGAAGTGTTTCAGCCATTCGTCGACGTCTTCTCCGACCCTCCCAGAGAAGCTTCGTGGTACTTTGTGTCGGGGCCACGTAGCGCCAGACGAAGAGTGCGTGGTGTCGCTGTCAGCAATCGGATCCATAGAGAGGGGTGGTAGACCAGTCAGTCGGCGACTTCGGCGTAGTTCTTGAGGTAGCGCTTCCGTAATCGTTCGCCTGGGATCGCTCCGCTGTACCCCGCATCTCCACCAATCTTGTTATGGGGAGATGCCTTTATTTACAGGCGATGATGAATGCGAGAGTCCAGGGATCTGGCCGATCACCGCTCGTGCCAACCTTGTTCTCCTCTTCTTCCACGCGTCTCCTCAGTATCGGAGCAATATGTTCCCCCATGAAAACACTTTATTTGCACAGTTTATTTCATTACATAGTGATAGTACTACTAGTTAAACAAAACGTCATCCACTGGCCTATAAAGACTGGGTCGCCAAGCAAAAACAAGTGATACTAGATGGTGATACTAGCACAAAGGTTCACACAAGGTGGTCATAAGGCAGCACAGATGCCCTACTTGGAGTGGAACACATTGCATTTCTGTAGAGGTATTTAAAAATCTCTTATAACCAACAATAACGTTATAGTTTCCTTGATTCAGTGTTGGACTTGATGCTAAAATACCTAGTATATCGTAAAGTGTGAGCGATAAACATCAAACATGCAAGCAATAAACTTCATGATGTCTAGAGCAGCAAGTAGTATAGAAAAGCTTGCTGGCCTCAAAAATACTGGCAGTTTGCAAAAAAGCTACTATTTGGTATGAGTATTTTTACTGCTTATTTGGCATTACAATTTCTACCACTCTGAGCAGTCAAATGCTTTGTGTATTGACTGCGATGGACATATAGGAGGAAACCTGAAGAGGGAAATCTAGTGTCGATGTGAGCTAACGATTAGCTCTTTCTGACAGTGAATTTTATGTTGTTTCACAATTAAGAAGGTCTTAAAGAATCAGTTGTATGAGCCCTTCAAGCTTGAATAGCTAAATGCATCTTTCAATCCTGCAATATGGATTGTACTATGACGTTTACCTGCCATGCAATTTGCATGACTGATTTCCATTTTGTTTTTACTTAACATTTTTATATACCATTTCGTAATGACCTGCTTGTTCTTTTTCCCTTTATGAATAACAAATTCATGATTACTAGGGCTTCTAGCCATTTCAGGACTCTTTTTGAAAATTGTCTGAGTTGCATAGAGAGAGACTCCGCAGACGTAGTAGCACATGCCCTGACCTGAAGCACGAAGTCCCTTCCTCGGAAGTCCGCGATAGCTCTAGGCAGTCTAGTGCGTCCCCACACAAAGCGCAGGAACAGAGACCGTTCCGCATTAGTGAACTCCTCCATGACATCCCAGAACCACTGTACCAGCAGACTGTCCGGCTCCACACCCTTGTATGTAGCCACAGCTTTCAGTAGTTGTATTGGAATATCGGGGCTCCCGCAAACCTGCAACAAAAAGAAATGCCTCTTTCTCAGATAATGGCAGAACTACCACTCACGCCTCAAAGCTGAGACGAGGTCAGAAAATAATGGTGCACTGGATGGCTAGAAGCTACATTGGCAACCAATATTAAAATATGAATTGCTCCAAAGTTACAAAACATCGGGGCCCTACTTTATCCTCTTCAAAATCCAGCTGCTAGATGTACAGCTGAATAGACATTGTTATAGCAAGAACTGTAATAAGGAACAATTAAAGTAACTCATAACTGGAAGCCGAATTTTTAGGCACTAAAAAAGTGTGTTTTAGGTGCCTAAGACAGACAGGTAAAACACTGCTTTAGGCCCTCAAAATCAAAATTATAGGCACAATAAACTTCTACAAAAATTGAAATATCCCAAAACAACGATGTCGGTGACTTGTATCTACGGCAAAAAGCAAAAAAATGATATTGTTCAGGACTGCAGAAAGGTACCAATGATTGAACATAGGCATGCATTTCCCGTGCGATTTGCAGTATTTGGTCTCTCGTTTTATTGTCTAGCATTGTGCGTCAAGTGTCCACCATTCAATTAACACTCTCCTGGATCTCTTTCGTTTCGTTGTGACCGGGAAGGGCAGCGCAGGAGCATATAACCAGACCACTGATACCCCAGAAGAGAGGGATGCTAGGTCTAATCGTGTAGGACCAATTTCTTTCCTATTGGTGAACATCTTAAAGGGCCCCTCACTAGGTTTGGGTATTTCGAGCTGACAAGCGTAATAGTGCACTGGGCACTCCGGATCATTCATGTTAGGATTAGCAAAATTGCATGTGGTAGAAAAACGCTCAATTTTTAACGATTGCCTTGCCCTTCTCGCGGGCATACGCCTCAATATCTAGGGAATGACGTACAGCGAGGAACGCCACTCCTTTACGTTGAAATTGGTGGGCTGACGTTGCATACCATGTGCTCTTCATCAGAACTTCGTTAAATGCTAGCTATATCTAGAAAAACACACGAAAAATGTCCCGTCTCGTGAGTGTATCCTGCATTTTAAACGGTACCTCATTAAGAGCGTTGCACGTGACATTACTCTACTTGGCATATGCAATTTGTGTGTTCTGTTGTGTAGCATGAATGAGGAGTGCTTTGGTTAGGGCTGGCTGCTTCATATCATTTTGAAAGGGAAGCGCAAAGACAAAGGGAAAAGAAAGACAGCGCTCTTTGTCTCTATGTTTTTCTTTTTCCAGTGCCTTTGCACTGCCCTTTTAAAATCAATAATGAATGAAAGCTGAGAAAAATAATAAAACACGCAAACGGAATCTCAGCTTGTTATTATTTTTAATTTTGCTTTGAATAGTCTTGAGGTGCTATTTGCTAATCGGCCATCGTTTCGCGTCGGCCTTAGTGGACCAGTCGCTACAGGGTGCTCCGGTGCTGACACGAATGTTGCGAGTTCTTTTGTGGTCGCAACGGTCACATTTAGATGGAGGCAGAAAAGTAGATGTCCGCGTACTGCCCGATGTCAGTGCACGTAAAAGAACACCAGATGGTCAAAATTTGTGGAGACCTTTGCTACGGCACCCCTCACCTTCGTATCGTGGTTTCTCTATGCAAAACCACACATACTACCACTACCACTACTACTAATATATACCACTACTACTGCTACTACTACCACTATGACTAGTGCCAACCCCTTTAGCTTTGTTCGTCTTCTCGTCGTTCCTGCATAGTGCCTTCGCCAACCCTTACAACGCTTAGCTTGTGTTTGGTGTGTCGTCTCTGACCGCATTTTCAGCGGAGCGACGCGGTGTATAGCGGTCACCAATACATGATCCTTGCCAGCCTCTCCTAAAGTACACGCACTGACTGATCCTCCCACAGAAACTGGTAATACACAACAGAGAACGCTGAAACGACACATCGATGGCATACGTGCACAAGTAGGCTGGGGCACGTCATGCGGGCATGTTGCTTACACATATTTTTCTTGGTGCGCATGCGTCATGCAATTCTCCGGCCCTGATACCGAAGAGAACAGGGAAGGAGTGAGTCGCGGGGGCTGCATGGGACGAGAGGCAAGGAATTCAAGCTTGCTTCTTCGCATCATGCTTTGGTGGCTCATAGCGAACCAATTGAAAAAATTACCGCAGTAGAACGATTTTCATTGGGCACGCAAGAACTTCTAGTGTCTAACTACAACTTATTATGTCACCTAGAGAAGGACGCTTAAAAAGTAAAGTACAAACAAAACAAAAGCCGCATGGACATCACATTTTTTACCCATAGGCGCTGACGCAGATGGGTAACAATGTAAAAAAAGACACGCTTTCATTGACACAACACACTTTGGTCTCTTCATAAGTCATTTCATTCTGTCATGAAACTAACAAAAAATGAATAATAGAAAAATTATAACTGATACGAGATTCTGAATTCTTAATTACCATTGCATGAAGAGGACTGTTTAGGTACATTCATTTTTTAATGTCAGTTTTAGTATAAAAAACTTGACATAGGAGCTTTACCCGCAGTTTAATTCGACGCGATGATAGTAATTTCCATCCAACTTCATTTTTCATATTCTTACAGCTGTCATTTTTAAGTAATGGCTTAAGACATACTTTGAAGCCTTGGTCTGTATTTTTTTCGTGTTTGTCACTTAAAGACATATGACAAGGGATCTCCTATGGAACAAGCGTATTTAAGCATACGGTGAATGTATGCTAAATACTCCGCTGATTGTAAACATGCCGGCACATGTGTTGGGGTTTGCCGTATAAAGTATAACAATCTGGCGACCTTTGCCACCACTGAATCAACAAGAGTATTCCATGAGTGGCCCTCCATGGTTTTTCATTCGTTCGCCAGCTGCCTGTGGCTGCCCAGAAAAACCTGCTGTTTCTTTCCCACCGCAACACCCAGGTTTTCAGGCCGGTTCTTCAGTTCCTTGAGGGCACTGGACAAGCTGTCTGTAGAAAGCGGTCGCCGCGTCCTTAGCCATAGACGTCACTTTCATTTTCTAATCCATCTTTAATTCTCTCTCCTCCTTCCCTTGCAGACGCTGAGATGTGCTTCCACTTAGGGCTGCAGAAATAGCGTCTTTTGCACTTCTCATGCTCCTCTTCAATCGCTCGCAGCATATCAGCTTTGTCTTCGTTGAACATTATGGTGTTTAGAAATAACAATGCCTTTTTTACATGAATAACATTTTCACACCACGCTTGAAAACAAAATTTGGGCTTGAATAGCACTCATATAGGCAATTATTTGGTAAATAGGCATTTATAGGCACTTATAGGCATTTAGGCATGAACACCCAAAATAGGCACTATTTATATTTATAGGCACTAATTTATAGGCACTATAAAAACACCATAAAAGCCCTTCTTAACCTCTAATTCATGCTCATATATGAAAATGGCACAATAGGAACGCAAGGAACAAAATAGGCATTTGCCTATAATCCGGTCTCTACAATGTCTATACTGCCCCCATCACACCATTGCTATGAGAAGGCTTGCTCCTGAGACCTGCAACCTCGTGGTGCAGAGCTTGGTGAAAACTAAAGTAAGGCAATCATGCAATTTGAAATGTACATGCAGAGTGTAAAACAGTCTTGGAAACTAAAACTATTTCCGATATGTATTAAGTGTAGCTGCTTCACAACTTTTATGCACGAAAGAGAGAAATCCTCATTTTTGCCTATCCAACTTTTGACTATACAAGCATTACATGGATGAAGCTGAACTCTCTCACCATAGTTTCCAGCTCTTGGCCGGTAAACAAAGAAAGCATTGGAACAGGGATGACCTTTGACATGCCTTCTCTCACTGCTGCCACTTGGTCATCAAACTCATGCAACCTGCAAATGAATGAGACACGAATATTAGATATACAAAGTTCCTACACCAAGGGCTCTAGAACACTCACGTTGCTGCAGATTCCTTGCTGAATGCACTAGTCAACTGGGCATGACAAGCCGTGATGCCACACAACTGTGCAACTACCCATTCCACTCTCAACTGTTTCATCTATGTATTAAAAAACTAAATTTCACTTCTCCAACTCTTCAAAACACCTACTGGTCTAACACCGATTTCCTTCATTCATAGCAAGGGTCTCATTCTGGCAGACTTGATGCCTTCAGGTAGTATTCGAGGGATTATTGGTCAGCTGCCAGCTCGTAATGAGATCGCATGCTACGTGACGCCTATAGGCAAAATGGGTGTTCCGCATTTGCCGCAATGGTAACATGCAGCACTGACAGACGCTCTCACGTTTAAATACACACATATATAGCCTATAAAGTGGACTGGGGGATGACCACCATCGAAGCTCAGCAGTAAAGCATCAGGTGCGCTATTCAAAGGTGGCGGGTTTGGATCCTGCCAGTGGCAAGTTATCTTTTTGTCCACATTTCTTTCATTGCATTTATATTACAATTGCTTCTAATAACATCCCCTATACTTCTCATTGCATCATTGTCCGTTAGTTCAAGTTACTACTGGTCTATGTAACTTTTAATCGGTCTGAGTTCACTATATGCAAGTCATGACCTAAACTTGCTGCTCACTTTAACTTTAGCTTTGTAATTTATTAACTCACCACGTCAACTTTGAAGCCCGACTTGAGAAGGTTATTATTTTTTGTCAGCAATACAAGCAGATGTCAATTTCTCCGACATCACAGTAGCAGCAGCATGAAACTGACAATAAAACAATAAAGTAAAACGAATGCTGCTGGGCTTCTTTTACAGTATCTTGATACAGTTAGCCCAGCAAGTAATGGTACTCCATTTTAATAATAATCCTAATCCACTTCCAAGGTTTCATACATAAAAAACTAAGGTGATGTTTTCAAATAGCTACACTCTGCAGATTGCATTTATGTCCATTGAATATGGGAATTTCAATATTATTCAGGAAGATAAACATAAATTATAAGGCAGCCCTTGCCTATAGTTGAGAGCAAGCCGCACATATTCGGGACGGTTTTCCACAGTTGCTTTCTGGTATTTGGCACTAAGCCGAACTTCCTGGCCAGTTGCACTGTGGGTTGCAAAGGGCATGTCCAGTTTCTGGAATGCCTCTGGCTCCATGTCTCGAATACACATGAGACCTGCAACAGCAGTGCGCATGATAGCAATGTTGAGGACTGCATAATCATAATGACAACATGAGGCGGCTGTAATTAGATGAGAAAACCTGTCTTAACCTGGCACATAGTCTCGGTCCACTTCATTAAGGTCGGCAGGTGTCAGAGGAAGACCAACCAACTGCTTCCATACAGGTTCAGCCAAGTTCAAGCTTAACGGGCTACCAGTACGAATTGCAATGCCCATGAGCATTCCTACGAAAAAAAAAAGAGCGAAGGTGAGTGATTGCCAGACAGCTCATACATCAGAAACAAATTACATAAAAAAATGAAACGAGAGGGGAACTAGAGACATAGCATACCTAAAAAGCGGAACATGTTGAGATGTATCGGCAGTGTTGCCGCTGGGTTAAGTAAGAAACAGTCACGGTTGGTCCCTGCCTCATCACGACCATTAGGAGTCAAGATCAGCAGAGGAAGGGAGCCATTCTGAAGCTCATCACACATCTCGGCTATTGACTCACTGTAGCCTCCCCCACAGTCATCCACACTTTCACCTACAAACTTGACTTTCCACACACGATGAGGCAGCAACAGGTTCTCTTGAGTCAATAATGACATCTTTGCCACCATCTGCCCAAAGACAGACTTCGTTCCATGGGGTCCCGCTAATCCATTTTTCGATCTCGAACGCTTGACCTGAATGCGATTCAGCTCCACGACAGGGCCATGCTGTCGATCCCGAACCATAGTGGCCTGAACCACTTTTCGGAAGGCACCTTCTTTTCCAGAGAGCACCAGCAGGCCTCTGAGTTGATTGAGTCCTTCCTGCTGCACTTCACTTGAGCCCGAAAGATCAAACATAGAGAGTGAGGGGCAGAACAGCTCGGAAAAATGGTAGAGCAATGCGTAACGATTGCGCAGTGTTGGTATGGGAATATCCTGAAGCAGGTCATATTCCAACGGGACAGCAGGAGGCATTCTTCCGGAAGCACCTGCCGTGCTTGGGTTGCACGTAGACCAGGCCACAGTGTGTGCAGAACCACAGGATACCTTGTTGATCTTCTTTCCCTGCAATGCAGCCACCAGGCGAGGCTTGTGGATGGCGCTGACAGTACCATCACCTAGCTGACCCTCGTCATTGTCACCCCATGTGTAGACCTCTCCCGTGTCAGTGCACGCAACGCAGTGTAGCGATCCAACAGCAATGCAGATGACCTTTTTGCCCTGCAGAGCAGCTACCTTCTTAGGCCGGCGAACATGGTCATCGGTGCCGTGTCCAAGACGATGATAGTCTCCTTTTCCCCAGGTGTATACACTGCCCGACGCTGTCAGAGCCACCGAGAACTGGGAGCCACACTCGACCCGCACCACACCCATGCCCTGCAAGAGGTCCACACGAAGTGGAACTTTGCAGCCGTCAGAGCCACCTCTCCCGAGTTTTCCATAGTCCCCGTCTCCCCAGGACCATACACAGTCATCGTCTGTCACGCATAGTGTTTGAGCGTCACCACTGCCACAGGCCACGCAACGAACTCGCCACCCAGAAAGAGCTTCCACCTGCAGTCACAACCAAATCAGAAGACAGGCTCAGAACACAATTAGTGGCTAAGATGACTTTTACGTTACACTGTGACACAACACTGAATAGAAAATGAAAGCTGTGAGCACTAACTAGTAGTCTAAGCTCAAAGGTTTGTGTACATCATGTTGGCCCCTCCCCAAAAAGAAAGACAAAGTTTTTTTTTCCTAAAATTTCAGAACTAACACACCTTCTTTGGTCTGAGCTGATCATCACTGTCCCCATGTCCAAGTCGTCCATAGCGACCCTTGCCCCACGTGTAGAGTTCACCACTGGCAGTGATGCAGGCACTGTGTGCGCCCCCGCAGGCAACATCCACTACTTCCTTGCCCCTCAAGCTTTCGATCACTCTGGGCCTGTCGCAAGAGCTCTTGTTGCCATGTCCAAGCTTGCCATCATCACCTTCTCCCCAGGAGTACACTTCCCCTTCAGCTGACAGGGCAAGGCAGTGCTTCCCTCCCGAGTTCACCACAACTTTCTTAATGAACACGTGCTGTAGGCTCTCCAGGAGTGTTGGGCACGATACGGAGTCAGTGCCGCCGATTCCCAGCCTTCCACCTGATCCATAACCTGTGGCATACACTTTGCCGTCTGCAGTGACAGCAAAGAGTGTCTGCTCGCCTCCCACCACCTGTATAGGACGGAGAGCACTCAGTGCCTCACATGGCATGGGCAATTTGACCTTGGCACCTTCGACACCACCCAGCTGGCCCCTGTGATTATGGCCCCAGCCCAGAATGGTGCCGCTCCAACCCCAGGAAAGAGTCCAGTCTTCAGGACGTCTGTTCACCCAGTGGATCAGTTGCTCATCATGCTCTTGCCTGGAAATAAAATAAGGGTACACATTAGTATGTGCTCGCTATTACTCGGATGTGATTATAAGCTGTACAGTACTAAGAGGCTTTTCATCCCCTGGAAATAGTGTCCTTTTAAGTGCACCTAAACCTATGCAAGTACACGGGTGTTTTCGCATTTTGCTCCAGTTGAAATGGCTGGGAATTGAACCAATACCTTCATGCTTGGTAGCCCTACGCTAAAGCTACTAAGCTACTACAGCAGGCAAACAATGGCATACATGTAGAGCTTGAAAGGTGCTAGCAGATAAACTTGTTGGTTATCGCAGATTAGTACAGCTCAATAGCCAGGCATGACTATGAAACAGGCATATTTTTTAGCTTGGCGTTTTCCATTGCCTATTGACATCACAAGAGTCATAAACAGCAAATACCTCCACTCGTTTCACACACTCTCTAACCATCTGGTGAATAGACAGCTGCATATTGCTCTTGCACCACCTTTGAAATGTTGTGGACACCAAACAATCCTTTTCAAATACCACAAGGCCAATGAGCTTCACTGTAAAGCAAGTCTCACCTGATTGACTGATTTCTGAATGAGAATTTTGTGTAGATGCAGTCGTATTTTCAAGCTGTGAGCAGAGGGCGTCACAAATATTTCAAGACAACTTTTCTGCTTTTGGTGCAAACTTACGCACCACAAATATGCACGCGGTACCGCTCTAATCTGTAGTGAAACTTCAACACAAAAGACAAGTATAAAATGCACATCAAGAAAAGGTTGGTGCACACACTTGAAGAATGTCTGGTCTTCATGGTCCCTAAATGTGGCTGCTTCATCTTCCGTTTCCCGGTCGTTCACAAATGCTGTATCGGATGGGTCATGTGCCAGCTCCTGAATACGCTGGCGCACCTCAAGGCAAAAAGAAGTTGGCAGAGGATTACGGTGCACAAGAGCCTTTGCGACTCGAGAGGCAGCACAGTAACGTCGAAACCAGGCCCAGCGGTGACTGTCGCCAGAGCAAGGGAGGGAGTCAAGCCCAAGGTCACATGCCAAGGCTGCTAGGACCTTGAAATGGAAGCGTAGAAAGGCTTTTAAGAAAACAGTAGTCTACCTTCCTTCAATGCCTCATCCACTATGTATAAAAGGATGGGCACAACAACAACTTAAAAGCACAAAAACAGCCAAAAATGATCACTCAGCAGTCTTCCATATACTGTGTATTCTAGTATATAATCTGCTCTTGCAAATAGTTTGCAAGCCTAACTTTTTAAGCACATTTTCAAATATTTTAAATGCGAGTTATATGTGAGAAAATACGATATTTTCCATTTGCCCCATCGTTGCAAAACTTATTAATATGAGCACAATGTTTGAGCGCAAAGATTTGGAACATGGACAGTTCTTTGTTTCTAATATTGTTTGGCATCATGCAGTTTGATGAAGTGGCTGGGTAAGGTGTTTTATAAGCATTATGCTGGCACATGAAAAGGTTGATGTTACAATATTCAACAAGTGCTGACACAATAGAAGCAGGAGCTCGAAATGTATGGACTTGACAAACAGCTATGAAACAACTCTTAATCAGTTCTCCATTCTCCAGCAGATAGAGTCCAATGGCACATATTATGGAAAACAGGTTGACTATATTTACGTTTGCACTTGAATTTGCCCTTAAACGTATTAACTATTGCAAATATGAATGTGAAAATTGATCAGCACTTAGTAACAGTGTTATTACTGCTTTTGCAGCTGATTTTGAAACATTTAGCCATGTGTTGTTGATAATGCTCATATATACTCAATCCTCGATATAACAAGCTTAGATGTAATGAATTATCAGTTATAACAAAGTAAATGAAGGACAGTTTTGTCACAAATACAGTGTCTCAGATCAAGGTTGATCACAAATTTTTAGATATAACGAAGTTACTTTGGAAGCACATGCGACTGTTATAACGAGGTTTGAGTTAGGTATGTAGTATTATATCTACACAGTATCGTAAAAATAACACACAAACACTCATTGTAGCCTTAGTGATTTTTCAATTAGTTTTGACAAATGCACACCTTGAAGAAGTTGCTATGCATCAGGTGTTTCCCACCACGAACAATAGGATCTTCATATTCAAATTGGCGGAGCAGTGTCTCAGGAAGGGCCTTGAGTAGGCACACAAGAGCTGTGTCACTGGAACCCTGGAATGTTGACAGACAAAGTGTTACATAAGCTAAATGTACCCATCCTGAAAACTTTGTGAGGCATCCTCCAATAAGGAATCAACAAAACTATAGCGGAACATCTTGCTTCCTATAGATGGCTCACATATATACATACACACACGCACAAAGGTACACATACACGCATACCCATACGCATGCATACATACATGTGGAACACCTACATTTGGGTTTAATGCAGGAAGCTGTTCAGGAGACAGGTCTGGATTGCTCGGCGTTTGCACAAGAAGTTGAGACACATTCAGCGACCTTCCCACTCCAGCCGTCATAAGCTGCCTGAGCTGGTGGAGTATCCACATCCTTTGTGAGGGGGCTGTAAAGGAAACACACAATAAGCTAAAAGGACTGCAGAAAGCATACTAGAAAGTACCTTGCAACAAAATAACGAAACAAGCTTTTACATACTCCTCTCAATGAAACACTTTAATATTTAGAAGGATCCTAAAGATAAAAACGATTTCTCTCGAATTAGTAAGTTACTCTTTCACAGTACCAATACCACAATGCTTGCCAAGAGAAGACACTTGGTAAGCAAGTAAATGTGCCAAAAAAGAATGCAGATGGCGACAACGCTTTGAAATTTCCACATCAGTCACCGTGACTTCAAATTTTTATGGCATCTACAAGAGCCTACGCACTTACAAATCAGCAAAAATTAAGTGCATTGTCTTCTAACGGGCCAGGACTTAAAAGGGGCCCATCAACACTTTCCCAAGTAGCCATGGAATGGGTTCACTAAAGGAACTTACTGCTTCAGGAATTGGTCGCTGCAAAAATGTTCAAAATCGGTTCAGTACAAAGTTTTGTCACACGCTGCAATTGCATTCTCTCTTTTCGTGTTCCGAATGAAAGCGCTGGAAGCTAAGCAGGGAGGAATGGCACGGGGAAAGAAAATACGTCAGGTGCCTCGTGACCTTGAGCAATCGTTTATCTTTTTCTTTGAATATGCGGCTTTTCAGTGCGATCACCTGTGCATGCGTGGTGAAGTCACGGCCTCCCACGACAGGCCCCTGTAACAACCGAGCACACCATGCCCAAATCAGCCAATGGCTGATGCAATGGCTGGGCCAAGTGATTTTTGCGCTTGTATAGTCATTTTTCGAGAGAAACGAAAACAATTTTTAGCTGACTGAGAATTTATAGTGGATTTCAGGTCGCATGCTGCCTTATAATATTTGGGTCGCGTGTTGTTGGGAGCCTCGACAACTGATCAACAATGTTTACAGACCATACTCAAAAAGTGTTACAGGGCCCTTCTAACATGCCAAGTCAGGAAATGCAACTGAGCCAATGTCACCAGAATATGAAAAAATACACTTTAGAATTTGTGATGTGATGCATGAAGATTTTAGCATGAAATTCAAAAATAGAACTTTTACCTTCATTTTCTTTTCTATTAATAAACATATGATGGTGAAATCAAAGTCGTGACAGTTCTCAGAGAGCAACTTATCCATCTTAAACCAATTCACTGTTTCATTTCAGTATCCTTTTAAATTTATATTGTAAGCTGTACAGCTGCCATCAGGCCCAACTAAAACAATTAAGGTCTAAATACGGTGGCCTAACACTTCTCAGAAGAAAACAGTGAACATGAAAGCAAGATATACTACCTGGATGCTTTGCCTGAAGTGGCAGAGCACTTATACTGAACAGTTTGTATGCTTATCACTTTGAACATGAGAAAGTACGCTTATCAAGAAGGGAATCATCTTACTGCCCATAGCATTTTGAAACAATCACTCAGAAAAGCTCAGCTGCTAGTCTGTAATCTGTGTGTTCTGCCCCATAATTTTCTTTATCAAGTCCTGTTTCCAGCTTAACTTCACAACACAGTGTCATTCTGCAATGCATTTCAACTAGTTGGAAAAACACATTTTATCTGCAAGGAACTACAGTACATCGCAGAAGACAGCCATGGGGCATAATTATGGCTCTGCGTTTTTTTGGTAAATCCTAAAAAGCAATAACACTCGCAAGCAAAACTTTTCAGAATTTGAATTTATACGATAAACTGAATTTTGTCGAGTGACCTTGTTTTATTCTTTATCTAAAAGGCACATTCTAAGTGGTCATTAATACATCGACCGGTTTGGCCAATATAGGCTATGGCTCACGTGAATGGTATCTCGTAGGTTGTACCCATCGCACATGTAATAGTACAGAGCTTGTCATGCAAGACGCGAGACATCAACATATGTAGGGCCCCAAGAGCTCGAGACATCTTGATATTTGAACCCCGGCGGCAGTAGGGTGCACCACGCAACACTGCATATTCAGATCTCATAAAATATGCTTGCGTCTACTATAGTCGGTTACAGCCTACGAATAACTGTAAGGTCTGCCCACAGCGGTCACCGTCCCACCCAGGCAGAATTTTCCCACTAATTGCAATCGCTTATTTACATGACGTCAGGACATTTTACGTATTTCAGGCATATGACATGACTGCAGGCACATGTTTATTCCGACAGTTTTCGGTCGAAAAATTTTACTGCTTCGCAAATTGTATAAAAAATTCCAACTTCACTGATCTGCCAAACATAACATGTGAATAAGAAACGACGACGAACTTTTAATTCACAACATGCATAGTATTTGCACTATCAGTGAAGAAGTGCTTAAGGTTCGAACAGAAAGAGTCTAGTACCATTACTCTGTTGGACAAGTGAATGACAGGCAAGCTGCAGTACTTTAGGGTGGAGCACGTATTTATTCTTAAATTATAACTGACTATAGAACACGATTGAAGGTGATAACACAAACACACAAATGTAAGTGCTTGGTATTCAGGTATTCTTGCTCTTGTGTACTATGTGTGCCTGTGCGCTGGAACTATCCCCACAACTAAAATACATTTAGTGTGTTCTGATATCATTTCATCTGAAGTATTGAAGCACTGAGAATAATGTAAAATTAAACTCCAAATTTCGGGGCATTGGGAATGAAAATCCCCAGTGATAAATGAAGAATTTCTGCCGAAAATTAACCTCTGAAAACATAGAACCCTTATCATAAGTCATCCCAGAATGGTATAATTCAGTGTTGTTTATTACCATATTACAGGTTTGAAAGTGTGAACTTACCAAGGTAGCTGAGCTGAGCACAGGCTGCAAGTGCAGCTGCCAGTCGAGACGCGATTGCACGATCGGCACAACTGCGCAGATCAAGCAGGCAAACGACTAATTCCACCGAAGGGCGGGAGAGGAAGGCTCGGTCGGAGAGACTGTCGCCTCCTGTGCCGCCAGGGGACACCACTGGGTGCACGGTGAAACGCCAGCCCCATCCATTGACTGAGCTGTCACTGGTGAACTTCCAGTGGAGCTCGTTGCCCGGTATTCGCACCTCAGGGGACCAGTTGCACCATTCTCGGCCTACGAAAACATAAATGTAGTTGATCACAGTACCTCCTTAACTCAAGCAAAAACAGTCCGACCCAGTTATTAGGATCCCAGGTATATAGCGATCTATCAATTATAAACAACCATATTTCGATGCACTTACGATTTTCCTATGCTATCCTTTGAAACTGAGTCCACATAAAGCGAACATTATTCAAAGCTACTACTTTTACAACGAACACTTCCGACACGATTGCGGTAAAAATATAGCGCATACGAAGTGAAAAAAAAAGTTAAAACGGGCATTCTAAAGCATGTGATAGAAGCGCACTCGCGTGTGTCTCACTCCAGTTTACTAGCAACAACATTATCATAGACCGCGGTGAGCACCACACGCAGGTTTTGGACGTTACAAGAGAGGTCCTTCACTTTCCTGATGTTTCTTGACCGGCAGAGTAGAAGTGAGGAGAAAAAAACGAAAAGAAATAAAAGGCAGCATAAAGACTTGCGATCAGCTTTCACACGGAAAGCTTTTCTGATGCCGTTCTCAGCATCTACGACTGCCAACCATTATCCAACAATGCCTTCAAATGCAAGAAGCCATAAACTGAAGAAGCGATAACTTTTGCTGCATGAAAGTTCACTGCGACACTCTACTCTCACACACCATAATGTGCTTTTAAAGATTTTCCACCCGTCACTGATGCAAAGACCGGTAGATTAGTGACAATGACTTCCGTGCAGTCACAGCGGTGCCTTGACGGATAAGCATCAAAAAAGAGTGATGGTGAGGTGGCTGGTGGTGATGAACGAGCCATTTTGACTTATTGCCAGCAACCTCATCACACTCATCTGCAGATAGCTGCTTGGCAGAGTTACAGCGGTACAAGCGTGTCATGCTACCGTTCGCAAGTTCGCAGCCGCCATGTTGTGCGAGGCCGCTTGCACGCGTGGCTCGCCAAATTCTTCGTTGTGTTAAACAAACAGGCTAATCACCTCACTCAAGCATGATCTCGAGTGAAGCTTATGCGAAGAATGCACAAATGCGTGCATATATTGGACTGCAAGCGAACTGGCATGCAACGGCGAGAGCCGAGTAAGCGACGTGCTGCATGCAATGAGCCAGGGATGATTGATTCGACGTTGCAGTATCGCACTTCAGTGGAATGTGGAATGGTGTGAGTTCATTGTGAGCGTGGTTGATTTCGCTCCTGAGCAAATGGTGGCTGTTTAACACACAAAAAGGCATAATTTATCAGCGGAGGGGTCGTTCGCACTTGTTATTAAAACACTTTTTTTAATAAACAGTTTGGCCACTATGTGAAGGTTTTTATGAGTGATTCCATATACAACGAGCTATGATATAACGACCATTTATTGCGGCACTTCCGAGTTTGTTATAAATCGGTTCGACTGTATACTAAAAAAACAGAAATAAATACAGTTGATCAAGTGCAAATGTGTGTCATGATTATTCTTGAAAAGTCACATGACTATAGTTAAGTTTAATAAAAGCAGTAACACCACAACTGTGCCAGGAATTTCAGTCATATCTCGGCACAAGAAATGAAACTTACTCAAATATATCAGCTGCATTAAAGGTTGGACACAGAGGCCAAATATAAAAAAAGTATGAGCCTAAAATAAATTTTTTTAGAAAAGAACCCTGTCTACATCAAACTTCTGGCACAGACTTTGTTATTGTTGCCCACAAACTGGCCTTTCAATTTATTCATTGCTAGATGACACAGCACAATGTTATCTAGTGCCTGAAGTGGCAGCCATGCCCACCTGATCTGGTAGCAACAGTTCTTCCTGAGCCATCCATGATGAAAAGTGGGTCATTGCGTCTTTCTGTAGAGCACTGCCTGTCAAATTCAATCTGTAGACTTTCGGCCCCTGCAAAGGAAGAAGGCAAAAATTCTCCTTAGAAGGGTGCCACAAAGCAAATTGGCAATTGAAAACAACAGCCCTTGCAAGCTCGCACCTGGAATCCTAACGTGGCCTGTCAATGTGGTGTCATCAGTGTAAGGATGGCTGGACTCCTGTACAACAGGAAGTGGTACTGAGCGCCTGGACTCAATGTCTGATGCCACATCCTCAAGTTCTGTAACACAGATCTCAAGTAGCATTTCAGCAACCTGGGAAGTGACAAAAAAAAGCAAGAGAGTGCAATTAGCACCGTGAATTTTTCAGTAATAAATTGGTACAGTTCTACAACACTAGTCGATACTGACACCACTGGTTACAATGTCATCATGACCATCATCTTAACGTCCAACTACAGTCGAACACGGGTATATCGAACTCGACAAAAAACGTTCATTAGTTCGATATATGTCATAATTCGATATAGGCCCAGTATAGGATTTGACACAAAGGCACATAATAAATTATAAGAGAAGTAGTTTATTAATATGGCAGCTTACTTGCGACCCTTACTGTGGTACAAAATAGTCCCTAATTTTCTTCTGGGTCAGCGACTTTCACTGCCTGCGACAGCACGCACGCTTCCACGTAGTCCAACGAGTCGGAGCAGCTGAGGCCGCAACCTTCCACATTCACGCAATAGTGCTGGACCTACGCAAGTGCCCTAATCACCTCGAAGGATGTAGACAACGGGCCATCGTCAATTTCCTTATTGCTGTCGCTTTGGCTCGTGGTCGGCACGACGTCTGCAATGTAGTCCTCATCTTGCAGCTGACTTGTGATCGCGACATCATTGTCCGCACTGACGAACTCGTCGAATGTCGGTCCATCGACAGCATCCGGGAACACTTGTAAATGGCTGCTTCAACATCTTCGGACACAGCAATCAGTGCGCACACGTCGTGCGCCACAGGCACCTGGCCTTTTGTCCGACTTGGCCCTGATGTCTGCTTTGTTCTTCAAGATAGTACTCAAAGTTCTCCTAGAAATTTTGTAAGCAGGCGGCGACGTCGGACTTCTCTACACCGCTCTCAACCCGATTTATGATTTCGAGTTTCACGGCGAACGGCAAATTCTGCCTCTTTGCGCAAGCCATGACGACAGCGCGCCAACACAGTTCACAGAGCAACAGAGAACACCACCAGCACAGACCACATTGGATGAGGACTCGAGGAAAACAGGCAACTGCAGCAACTCAAGCATAAAGAAAGAAAAAATGGCGCTAACTTCTACCGCCTCCGCGCGTCGGAGAAAGCAGAACGGCCTCTGATTGGCTGTAAGCGCTGCGAGCGGGCCAGAATTATTTCTTGCAGGGGGCTGTTCGCCTGTGCACAACCGGGTCTAACCAACTTTTTCTAGAGTGGCACCGGCAGTTTTCCCCGCCACCGCGAGGGAAAGCCAACTTGCTGGGGCACTTTTGAGGCACATGGAGTTCGATATATCAGTTGTCGTTGCTATTTTTGTCCGATAAAACAGTAACTTTTGCTATATATTCTCAATGTAAATTTACCTTGTTTAAGAATTGTTTGATATACGAGATAATTTGATATAAACGGGTTCGATATAGTCGGGCTCTACTGTACACAAACATTTTCAATGACTGCTTTCAATAAGCCCTTATGATTCCATTTCAATAACTCGTACATCAAAGTCAATAAAGCTCTTAGACACTGACACCTGTTTTACTTGTGACAGTAGAATAATTATGGTCTTGTAACACAAAAGTAGGCACTAATATTGCTAACCAGGAATATTTGCATGTGTACATGGTGACAGCTTAATGGTGAGAGATATTGTTAGATTATTCAACATTTTATTTGGGTAGACTTAGCTCATACATGAGGGCTACCAAGGCAGGAGGAAATCTACAATAGTTACTACGAACACAAACAGACCATGGCAATCAAGATACTTGAAATGTGGAAAGGCATCCTTATTAATTTCATGGATTTCATAGCATTTCATGGCATCTAGCAAGCTTACATTTAATGCAAAACTATTCATCCACACAAGCTAGAATACTAGCAGAAAAGAAATAAATGGCGTTGTTTGCAGCTAAAATGTCTCGGCATACCAGTGGGTTTGCTTGTGCCATTGCCTTGAGGACGTCTGCAATGGCATCCTTCGCCTTTTCTCCGGAACGCCCGGCAACAGCCAGTTTCAGCAGGTCAACGAGCGCTCGTGCATCTTCAGCTGTTAGCCTTGCAGTAAATTCATCGAGAAGCGAGTGGATAGCTTCCGGTTCTGCCGGTGTCACCTGCAAATTAAAGGTAACACATTTCTCCGCATCAGAAGCAGTAACAGGTTTTGCTGCTTGGTTACCTGTTCCGAAGAAGAGAATGTAGCTGCAAACACACTCGCCGCAGCAGATGACATCCGTGACGACAGGCTTCCAGAGCTTGGAAGTGAAGGTACAGACGAAATCATCTCGGCAGCATGAGTTTCACTTCCATCTGACCCAGACAGGCCTTCCTGCACATACGAGAGAGAGAAAAAAAGCTTGGCAGACTGTTTACATCAATATTTCAACACAAAAAGTATCAAGCGGGTGAAGCATGCTCAGAACCATTTAAGGTAGGTATGAACACTCAGTCTCATGTGGAACACTCAACGAACTAATAAAAACAACAAATGAAGCGAATAAGCAGACAAAAAAGGTTCATGTCCCACTTCATTCTATTCCAAGGAAGCCAGAACAACCTTATTGTCTTGAACTTCTTGACAATTTGCCTATCTATATGACGGTGCCATGAAGGTAATTTTCATGACACATGCAAATTCATTATAATGAGGATCACCAGTAGTGCATAAACATAAAACAGAATGTAGCCAAAATGTGTTCTTAAGAACCCCTATGCAAACCTTTACTCCGTGTTAGTGTAATCTCAGCAAACAGGCCACAGAAATGTCCCCCCTTTTAGCAAATTCAACTGCCAAGGAGCGGATGTAGATAGGCCTCTTAAGCAGAGGGGATCGCATGCCTGTGCATTAGGCGGCTTTCCAGGTGGCGGGCTCTCGTGTGCATCAGCTGTGGGTTCCCCTGATCCTGGAGCAGTTGCAGCCTTGACAGACTCTGTTGGCGCAGCTGCTGCCTGAGGCAGATCCTCTGCCTGACTGCTTGTTGCTTCACAGGATGCTGGCCTGCCTGAAGACAGCTGTGCCACACCCGTGTGAGGCAAAAGGGCACTCACCACTATGCTCCTATAATTAGCAAGAGAAAAGATGAACAGTACAACATTATTACAGACAATGGAAGCTTGTAATTTATACAAATTAAGGGAGCTGTAGAAATCACATCTCGATGGGACTTTTGCCTTCACAAGAACTCAAATACTTTTCTAGACCTTTTCCATTTATTTGAAAAAAATTTGCTCTGCTCTTTTTAATGCTTAGTTGACAGTGTCTCATAAATCTGAGCTTCCTATTTATTTCAAAAGCTTCCTTTTCCCAAACGTTAACAAGCATCTAAAACATGATATGCAAACGAATGCTCTTGTAACATAATCAAGTCTACTTAAGTGTCAACAATGAAGCAGAAGCCATACTTTCCCACTACTGACAGTTTCCTTGAAAGAATTTTAAAACCGAGAACATATTGCATGTCACAGATGGGCTTCGCACCTTGCGTGCATGATCTGGAGAGCTTGCAGCACCTGGTGCAATGCCTGCTGCTTGGCCTCAATGCCGTCAAGTGAAAGAAGAATCTTCGTAAGAGATGGTCTTGCCATTTTGCATCGCTTTGACTGTGCACTGGTGTCTTGGGAGCTCTCTTGTTCTGCGGCCATTTCTGATGCAGAATCGGCAGGGCCTGACAACGACAAAACACATGCAAGTAATAAAGAACTCGCAATGAGAAAAAAAACTGAGCTGTGCAAATAGTAGCAATGTTCTGGGTGTGAAGCGAATTTAAATAGTGAAGGACAAATATGAATAGAATAAAGTATTTCTTGAATATTTTTAGAGTAATCTTCTATTACCTCAATGTGAAATTGAAAAAAAAAAAGTTGGGGTGGATTCCTTGGCATACACTTATGAGATAGCAGCATCAAAGCGTTTTTTTTTCTTTTCTAAACTGATGTGTTGGTGGGGTGGCGTTTCATAGTTCTTTTATCAAGAATGAGGCTATGCACGCAGGGAATATTGTATTTACTCGCATAATAGGTGCACTCGCATAATAGGTGCACCCCCAGCCTGGTTGCGAGAAATCAGTTTTTTTTTTTTCTACGCATAATATAGGTGCACCCTGAACTCGGCCGTGATCAGTAGTCCTGTGCACTATTTGCACGGCTGCAATTCGACACCCTCTTCCTTAACTAGAGCGAGGAAACCAAAAGACACCGGCACCCCTGTGCGGGCTCGCCGAGAGAGGAAGAAGGGCGGTTGCCTGGGTGTCGGAGTAACCTTTGCACTGGCGCAGCTCCTCGTGGCATCCTCATCAAATGCACTTTGAGTTTCTTGTCGGGAAAAGCGTTGGCGTTATTACGTTTGCTACCTCATGCGCAAATTCAAAAGCTTTTCGGCTTTCCTACGTGACCTTTCGCCGTTCCTTCCACTACGCGGGCTTGCACAAGCTTGGCGGACTTTTATCGCCGTTGATTTTTCGGCCGGGAGCCTAAACATTGCATCATGCGCGCTCGCTCCTCTTGGATCAGCTCTTGAGTACGATCTTTTCGATGTCTGGCCTTCGTGCTGTCTTGTACAAACTTCCTGCGACAACAAGCTGAACCATTAGACCTAATCAGCACTTATTGCTTTTCGGTAGCGGTCGCGGGTGATAAAAGTTGCGGTTTAGTACCAAAACCAAATTAACTCTTTGTGGTGGCTCTATTTGAAGGAAAGAGGGCACAGGTGGCACTTGTAACACTCGTATGATGGTTCCTGATTCTACTGCAATGTCTTTGGATATGGGGTGCAAGGCTGTGAAATGAACATTCGCTACCGTTCAGTGCACAAAATTTTGACTGTGATAATGTGCATAATCTAGGTGGTCTGACACGTAATTGACGAAATGCCGCGATGGCATTTTATTCTTGTAATTTTTTTCGTTTTTTTTTGTTAGAAACGCAAGTCTTTCGATGTTGAATTTTCAAAAATTTAATTGCTTGTAAAGACACCGCATCGCATGCCTCTATTCTCGAACACACGAGACTGCATGCTCAACACATTTTGCGCTAGTGTAGCCTGTGAAGAAGGTTGTTTCAACTGTACTGTAGGGTGCATATCGTGACTTAGACAACTTACGTTATCAGTGGTCTATGCTTAGTTGGGAATAAAATTTTAGCAAATTTTACCCCGCATAATAGGCGGATTTCGAAATTGGCCCCCGATTTTCTGGAAAAAAAAGTGTGTCAATTATGCAAGTAAATACGGCAGTATTTACGTACTAGCTTTGCTGCAACCAAAGTGTGGCCGACAGCACTTTCAGCAAGGTCTGAAACAGAATCAATTGAGCCCCCATCATTTTCACATCTATCAGCTCTATGTTGGAACCATTCCTTTCTTGATGCAATGCGATTGCAACCATAGCAGAGCCAAAATGGCAGCTTTGCCGCAATACGAAAATGTGGCAATGTGAAGCATTGGAGTATGTCGCAGTTTGAATAGAAAAACTCCAGTAAAATTGAATCAAACAACAATCACTATAGCAAAAATATTTGGAATTTAGAATATTCACCCACCCCCTACTATCGAGCAGTTTCACTGAGATGAAATTTAATGAGGGACATATTCATTCACAAGGTACACTGATAATAGCACTCATTGAAAGCCTACACATTACCGAGTGACGAGGATCCAAGAGGGTCTTTTGCCACCGCGAAGAGGACCGGGTTGTGACCATTGGTGCGTGCTGATTCTGACGTCATCCACGCGATGCTGTGTGAGGAGCCACAAGCTACTCGTGTGACTTTGATTCCATCTAAACCATGCACCAAGGCAGGTTTGCGGTTCACTGTTGTATTGCCATTGCCTTGCTGCCCATGGTCGTTGTCACCCCAGGCATACACCTTATGAAAGAAGGAAATATGAAAGTGTAGTACAAACTAACATATCTTGCAGCAGCACATAAGAAGCATTCATACAAACACAAAGCTTTATTGTGATGGTGCACTGCAATAATACTGTGACCTGGGCGGGTCGGTACATACGTGGATGATTGCGACACAGTTTAGACGAAGGCACGATATGCAGATACAGGCATATGGCACTCGTATGTGTAGAATACACTAAATTAGTGTGCATTGCACACATCTCTGCTAACGAGGCTATGGCAATGAGAGCGAGAATTGAGCCTAGGGAAGGCACTCATGTGAGCTTTCTCTTTCCAGAACTATAAGATTAACACAATGATCAGGACAATAACTTCCGTCATTTGCTTTCAAAGATGCTTTATCGCTGTGCACACTTTCTTCGTTATTCACAAACAAACATTAAAATGACCTGGACTTACCTGGCCTTGATCAGTCACAGCAAGGCAGTGCAAGGCTCCGACAGACACATGAATGACCTTTTTCCCCTGAAGGCCTTCTACCAGTTGTGGCTTCCGAACATGGAAGTCTGTGCCATGACCAAGGCGGAAGTAATCCCCTTTGCCCCTGAACAAAGTTCAATGAGTAATAAACATTTCCATGCGTGACAAGCCTAACAAAAAGCAAGGGGAACATTCAAACACTTCAAATGAGGTGTAAAATAACTCGACTGATGTTCCTGTATATACCTTATTAAATGGTAAATTTCTATAGATCCCAAACCTTCAATAACCCTTTCCGAGACAAGGAAAACCTGTCATTTTCAATGCCTCTCACTCTCCCTTTATGTTGCCAGACCTAGTTTAAATAGAACTTAACTCTTTCATAGGCTTGTGCAAGTCATTAATTTTAGGTTCGCAGTGAATTTGAAACTAATAGTGATTTCAGTTAAGTTCAAATCAAATTCAAATAGTATATATGATGTATTATAAAGAAAAATGGGCCTTTTTGTCATGGCCCAACTAACCTGCACAATACTTTTCAAAAATTGAAACAAGGGCTGTGGAAATGTCCTCTATTTTTTGGTTGATAGGAAATGGAAACAACATTGAATCGTAGCAAAATGTGACTTTCGCTAGAATGCAAGTGACACCCTGTAAATTATGTCAAGTTTTAAAATTGACTATAACTAGAGCACTTATGCTGGCATAACAAGCTTTTAAATATAAAAAAGGAAGAATTAATGTCAGAGTCGCATGTTCATTTAACCTTAAAATGAGGCTACATGGCAATGCAAATTTTTCCTGGAATTGAATCTTCACAGTACAGGACCCTTTCACTGCAATGAAATCCCCTTAACAAGGGGTTATATGCTGACTAATATACACTTATTCATTCACATTGTATACTTCAAAATTTTTGATAATTTAGACTTGCATCAAAGCGAATTTGGTACTGCAATATTAATTCGACTATTCGAACCATTCAAATGGTTTGAATGCTAAAATCATGTAAATTGAGATGCTAAAATCATGTAAATTGGAACTGCTTGAAATTGGGTGACAGAGGAACAGAATAAAATTATTACTTCAGATTCTCCAGGGTCAAATAAATATTGATAAAAGCATGTACATACGGGAACCTGGTAGAATTAGCAGAAGAATAAACCATAGTGCAGCCATTAGAACATATGTCACCCGCACAAACGTCTTTCGGTATTCGTTTTCCCCAATGTTATAGAAAACTGGAATGCGCTACCTGCACATATTGCTGAGTGCACGGATGCAAGGGCTTTTGAATATTTGCTTGACAACTATATGTTACCTAAAAATCGTTGGATGATGTGTTGATGTTTTACTTTCCTTTTGTCATGCCAATGTTGATGTTTTTTTTTTGACAGTTGACATTACTTGAGTGTTTTTATATACCAATTATTACTTTTATGTACTCCCTCCCTGTAATGACCCACAAATGTGGGTTAACAGTATGCTCAAATAAATAAATAAAAATAAATAAATATTCACAGAAGCCTACTCTTGAAATATTCTTTTTTTTTTCTGAACTATTAAAGAATAAAACCTGATACCTTTTCATCATCTGAACACACCTGAATAAATGAAGAATTACATCTTCACTATTTCTAAATAATTTTCGATTTAGAGTTGTTTGTTTTCCTGACTTCATTTGAGATTTTCAATTGTGCCTTGTACACATATTTATGTTGTATGGGAAACACGGCCTGCAGTATGATGCAAAAAAAAAAAATAACAGCAGGTCACATGGTGCACGACAAAAGGCATGATATGTGAAAATAAATTTTTCCATTGTCACAAAACTTTCGTCACATGCCACCGCACCAGAGTGCAAGACGATAGAAAAAGTTTGTGCTTTCTGTGTGAAAATGGCATAAAATGACAATGTTATCTTTTTCCATTACAAGCTCTAATTAGTAATGACTGCTTTCTTCTACCATGTGCATGTAGAGATTTATGACTGCAACAATGACACATAGCAGCAAGGTCCCCAGCTTCAGAAACAGGTCAATGCATTGCAGAAAACTGAAGACACGCACGCAGCGCAGCAACAAACACTTCAGACGCTGCAGTCACATATGAGGCAGATCGCAGAGCACTTCTTACCAGGTCCACACTTGTCCTGATCGGGTAAGCGCAAGTGAGAACTGCGCCCCGCATTCAAGCTGGCAGACGCCCAAGCCCTGCAGGCGTTCTACAGCATGGGGCAGGCTGCAGCCTTCGCTTCCACCTCGTCCCAGCTTGCCAAAGTCCCCGTCACCCCACGAGTAGACTGTGCCATCCTCGGCAAGGGCCAGTGTCTGAGCGTCCCGGCTCCCGCATGCCACTTGCACGATGCGTTGCCCAGACAGTGCCACCACCTGCGACACGAAAGCACGAGAAACAGATTTTGCCCTTCTTCCTACAGAAACGAAGCAAATCAACAGTGTTATCAATTGCACTGAAAGAAATTTGAAACTGAAAATTACACAAGGATGTCGGTTGAACAAATATTTCAGAACGACGAGCTTTTAGAAATCCCCGGCAGTTTTGTTTATGCATTCTATGCAAAAAGAATATATTTCAGTTAAACGAATTTCTCAATAGTGAATGTTTCAGTTGCAGGAACTTTATCGGTAGACCCAGGCTCACTTTTTTATACCAACTCAATGAAGTTTTGCGCTCTGCAGCATTGGCGCAGCTGGTGCGTGTCCCCCCCCCCCCCCCTCCAAATCATCCATCTACCTGCGGCAGTGTAACATCGCTTGCGCTTGCACTGCTGCAAAGCGACTGTGCGGGAAACAAAAACGAGCCACGCACACTTCAGCACATGCACAGAACTATCAGATTTGAAAATTTCTAGTGTTCATCCGAAACCGAAAGAAGAGTGCAAGGATGAAACTGTAATTGCTAACACAGGTTCAAATGCAGCCTTGGCTGCAGGATATGTGAGAAAGTTGAAATAGTTCGTTTTACAACAGCAAGCTGTGCCAAAGGCAGTGAAAAGAAATGTAGACTCTCTGGACAGCTTTGTCTCTTCTTAAACTGAAGGGCAACAGTCCAAATGAAAATTAGAAAATTCCTTTCAAAATAGATTGCATTTCCCAATTTTGACTCTATATATCTGTTGCCCTATGCTGTTCCATATTTTGGTGAATATTCATTAAAAGGACTTTCAGTTAAGAGAACTATTTACTAGGGTCCCTTGAAGTTCACTGAAGTGAGAGCTCACTGTAATATGGAAGCTGAACTCTTTTATTTTCTATGAAAATTGTTTTTCCTGCGAATTTTTTCAAATACGAGACTCTCCATCATATGGCTCAAATTAAGATTCTCTGTTTACTGAAGTGCACAGCATATACTAGTGCTGCAGAAATGTTACAAACTTTTTAAACATTGTAGAATCTCTTTAAAACCTAAAGAAGCCAGAAAATATGTTCCAAATAAAAGTATATTCAATTACCAAGAAAGACTTGTACCTGTGCAAGGCCACCCAAATTAGTGAAAGTTCTGTTTGTGCCCCAATTCTGTTTAGGTGATATTCATTTTCTGAGGTTCTGCTCTGCAAGTCGAGTAAACTTTGCTCATTCATTCATGATCGTTCAGAGAATTCTGTATTTGAGGTCGCCAAGCGGGTACTCTTGTTTAAACAATACTATATGTAAAATAACACTAACTAGAATGTGTAGATTAAAATAATTTATTCTGATGCATCCCTGTAGCATATTATCCCCTGATTATAGGCTGCCCTATCAAGATATCAAAAGAACTTTTTTTCCCTTCCAGTGCTATTCAAACTCTTGTTTACAGTTGTACCCAACAACCCTCAATTCACCTGCTTTGGTCTTAGCTGGGTCAAGTTGTCACCGTGCCCTAGACGGCCATACTCGCCGAGTCCCCACGTGTAGAGCTCACCACTGGAAGTGATGGCCGCACTGTGGGAGCTCCCACAGGATATGTCCCTCACCCGCTTGGACTTCAGAGCCTCAATGAGACGGGGTCTTTCACAGCTCCTGAAATCAGAGAACATGTCGCATGAAGCCAATGTCATCACGTGCACTCTTAATGTCACTACTCTTGCCTCTGAAGCTGCAAGCACATCAGCATAACAGAATCTTATTGACTCACATTCGGTTACCATGGCCTAACTTGCCATCGTCTCCTTCACCCCAAGAGAACACCTTTCCATCCACGGTCAATGCAAGAGCATGTCTTCCCCCTAGGAAAAGTTGAGATTGAGGTGGTGAAGCATCTGATGCAACGTGCGCACAAGGGCAACAACACAGTGCAATTTGATGCTCACCAGAATGAACAGCCACTTTTCGAACCACGTATTGGCCGAGCGCTGTCAGTTGACGAGGTGTGGACACATTGTTGCCATGACCAAGACCAAGTCGCCCATTGGTGCCTTCGCCACAGGCGTACACTTTGCCATCATGAGAAACTGCAATTATATAGCGTTGAAAGAGGAGACTGAGTATGGCATGGTAAGAGGCCCACAAACTAACACTGTTAAATAAACGCTGTCACTAATGCACTAGCACATTGTCTTACAGTTTGAGAACAATATGCAAATATAAGAGTTAAAAGTATTAGATATAAAACTACCAGCAATTGACATAGCAAATAAAATGGCACCATTGTTTTTTCAGTTGACTAGAAGAATGACACCAGAGACAATCAGAAGCTTATTCTTTTTTGCAAAATAGTATAATAACCTTTCATTTTATGAGCAGTGAAAACAGTTTCTAGGAAACCTTATGCCAAAGACAGCAATGGCGCTATGAGCAGCTTCACCCTGTACAACAACCAAAAATTATCAGCTCACATGATGTGAACATGCACCCTCCAAAGCTTTGGTGCTTTGGAGTGCCGTCAAAAAGGTGTTCACTGTCAACGTTAACCAACTATGCATTAACAATCATGCACTTTAATGATTGATTGATCATGCACTTTAATGATTGATACAATAAAGCCAACTGGCTCACTTCCAATTTAATAATAAACTACTGTGAGAATACTACATTCATTAATACACGGCTGGCTCTATGATCTAAGTTAACAATAAAAATCATGAACCCTTACCAATGAAAAGACTTTTTGAGCCTCCAGCTATATGCAATGGTTTCAGGCATGAAATGGCTTCCGTAAATTGAGGCAGTTTCACCTGTGAAAAGAAAGTTTTGCAGTTGTCAAAATATGGCATGACAGGAAATACATGTGCCTATATCCACTGTGTAGTGTGTCCCAGTTATGAAACATATTTAGATATATGAAAAGTGAAATGATGCATTAATCGAGCACCAAAGATACTAACCTTTATACTTAAACCAGTCTTTTGTGAGGTCTGGCGATATTGAACTGACATGCACAATGTTTACAATGTGCACTCGCAATCGTGTATGTGAGAAGTTAGATAACTACGTGCAGGGTCGAGAAAAGAGCTCAAGTTTCAAGAAGTCCCTTCTCGCATCATCAAGATTCTACAGTACCTGCGAGTGACAGTGCTGCCTACCTTTGAACCTTTCAGTCCTCCTAGCTGATCTTTGTCATTGAGGCCCCAGACAAAGACCTTAGTCTGAAAGTCCTTGAAGTTCTCCGAGGCTCTGGTAGCTCTCTGTGATTGCTGCTGTGTGGCCACAACAGCCTCATCAGTGTCTTCCCAGTCCGAAGCAAGGTACGGAAACGTCGGCGAGAAGTCTTCGTCATCACCACGATGGCGCCCCAAGATTGACAGGCCGTGTACTTTGCAATCGATGCCAAAGCTTCGGCACTCTCGAATTCCAATCTCTATGAACCGGTAGTACTGTGAGGCGAACAAATGGCACGCAATGAATCTCCTATGATACCATCACGTACATCAGTGATAATGTTTCTATGACATATTCACAAATTGTTATCGGCAGTCTCCTAATGGCAACCCTGGGGCTATGGAGTGAGACAAATCACAATATGTCTTGAAACACTGTCATATTTTACAATAAACTTGTCCATGCTTTTTGATGTAAGTGCTGTCATCCTTTATCGTGATTTTTGTAATAGTACAGCTTGAAGAAGTACCCATATTATTCGATTCCGAAAGTATTATCACATTCAAATTTAGATGACATGTAAGAAAAAAGACAGCAAATGCCTTGTTTGATATTCTGAAACTTTTATGTAAACTCCATTCACTAACAGATTGAACAGAAACCAACGACTGTCTAGCTTTGAAAATTCGCTAACCCATGTCATTTATCACGCAACAGGAACACCCGAGTTGTAAGAGGTATCTAGTCGACAACTATAAAATCAATTTTTAGTATCTGTAGTTCTTTAATGTGCACCTGAGTAACTTCACAAGCACTTTTATATTCATTAAAAAAATTTCGTGCTAACAGAAGTAACACGGACCAAGGGCACAATAAAAAAGTTTTTTAGGTACAGTAGACTCGCTACAATTAGTTCAAACTCTGATAATTCATACTTTTGGTTTATTCAAACAAAATTCAATTTTTGGGTTGGCCCTCTATTCTTTTAATGTATTTAAAAGCCACTTATTTAAAACTCTATCATTTGGTTAATTCATACCTTTTGCACTTTAATACTGAAAATATCTGCTGCTTTCCTACTACTATACAAAATTTGTGTGCTTATATAATCCGAACAGTCTAAAAATAAAAAGTAAGTGCATCAGGCCTTCAAGGAAAAAGAATTTGCTAGTAAACAAATATTGTAAACAAAGCACACACAAGGTAAACCGCGACGCTTCTCAACTGGTACAAAGAACTTTGTGCTGAAGGCACATATAACAAAAAAGCAGTTGGAAATTCACAATCTTTAAAAAGTCTGATCAGTAATAAATGACCAATCAACTTGTGGACTTCACACCTCTGCTTTCTGTTTATTCGGTGCAGTTAGGGTTACAAAACGCTTTAAGAGATTTAAATGTGATAAAATCAATGTGTCACCTTGGCCAGAGCCATATATCTGAGAACTCCTGATTATTCAAATTTCTGGATAATTCAAACAAAATTCAGTCCTGCTGCTTGCAGCTGGACCATAACAAGCGGCAATCAAGAGGAGACACTGTTCAGCTGAGGAAAAAATAAGACCCTTAGGAGCTCCTGAAGAGCTGCGGCTTATTTTTTTGTAAAATAAACAGGCATAAACAGAACAGAATTTGAAGCCATACGTATACATACTAACCTCTCGCATTTCGGAAAGGAGAGTGATCTGGCTGTCTGTAGACTCAACATGGATAATGCGCAGCTCAGACATCCAAGTGAGACACGGTCCACCGCTCACAACGATCAGTGAAGGCATGTAACTCGAGTCTGCTGGGTCAACCGTCATCCACAGACGCTCAATCAGTATGCCAGGGTGCATCTCCAATCTTATCCAGTGCTGTGATGACAATAAAAAAAAATGCCTGTCACACTTCAAATGAAATATTCCCTTAAACCTTTCACGACCTTCCAGTGTTACAACTTGGCAGTCTGATTTATCAATGAGAAAAGTGCCAACCTCAGAAAAATCCTATAATAGTGCACATTTATCACATGGGAGGATAAACAAGGTACACTGCTCCATAATAAAATAATGAGGCCACATAAAAAAAATATTTATGATCACAAAATTATCATCAAATACAGCCCCTCAACACTGCAGTGTGTCCACGCGTCACACCTAGCGCACCCGAAAATGGATGCACTGCGTCTCCTAAAGGCAGATATCATGCAAGCTAGGATATTCAAAATGGAATGCATACTGCTGTACGAATATGTGAGCACCTCTGGCTGCAAAGAACAGAAAACTCTGCATCGTTGGCCTTGTTACCTCAATGTGATTCATTGCATGAATTAAACCGATGCATATGTATGTGAATGAATGCTAACAGGAGCAGGAGCATCTATCGAACCAAGCGACATTTAACGCAGTTCCTGTTTCTGTTATAAAACGAAATAACATCATACATAATATCTAAATGCACTCCATGTGACAGATAAAATGCATTTCGCAAATGCCATTTTTTTTTATAAATGTGTTCTTACAATAGGTTTTGTGGTTCTCCATATTTAATGAACTGCATATGTTTGATGACAAAGAAATGGCACAGCATATACTTCAAATTACTATACAAGCACATACGTGGGACTCAAATTTTGCTTCTAGAACAAGAACAAAGAGTAATATCTTGCATCAACGAAACCTTTGCCAATCAAGCTTTAGAATGGACTGTTCACAGTGCACCACTGAGTTACTCGAATTCAAGCTGAACTTGTTGCACTCTCACCTTTCCTCGTGGGCCGCAGCTCTGCCAGGCTGACCGAGTCCCGTCAATGAGACAATTGACATTGCTCTCGCTTGACGAGACAGTCAGGGCCTTGACACAGTGACCCCACTTGTCGAGCAAGGCCGCAGGGCCACCGTGCCGGCTCTCGCTGTCTAGCGACCTCTTCTTACGAGAACACTCTCCTGGGTACCCTCCATACGTTGGAAGTGCGCCTATGAACAACATACCCTACATTTACTAGAGTGTATGAACCCCGACAGATAATCCAACAACTCTTTTGCCCTGTTGACGGATGTGCCGTTTCACCTAATATGATTTGCAACATGATGCCTGCGGTCGAAATGGCACCAACACTGCAAGGTAGTGCCAGCATAAAAAACAGCCAGTGACGTGAATTGCATTTTAATTAGTACTGCTATTTCCAAAACTTATTTCATGTTCGCCAGTGTTACAGCATCGACTTGGAGCCTCGTCAAGCATAGCCATGGTGCTGTAACTCGTATAAAGTGCCACTGCCCAAAAATTGTAGAACAAGGAAGCCTTCACACAGAAAGACAGTGTGGAACATAAAGCCGTTACTGTAAAATGTTGAGAAATACAAAAAAAATTATTTGAAGAAAAAAAAAGTTTTTTACAGCACGAACCTTGAGGGTTAGGAACATTCTCTATTGATGACATTTTAATTCTCAAAATGACCCCCCCCCCTGAAAACCCAACAACTAAAAGCCACTAAATGGACTATCTGTTAGTACTCACAGATGTTGCCCAAAGACAAAATGTGACTGCTTATAAGTTATTTGTGTACAATGCAATACTAGGGTTCCGCAATTCCGATCCTAACCGCATATAATTACGTATGTAGCCATAACCGTACATGTTAATTTGCAAAAAAAATCTGTCTATTAGCAGTAATACGTCAGTTACAAATACACACCAACTCTGGATATTTCATTGAAGGGATGCTTGTGGACCTGATTTGTTTTGAAGCACCTTTCACAAAAGTTGTAGTTCCTGCAGAAACGGCACTTGAATCGTGCTCCCACTATAGGGCATGTCTCACATCCGTCACAGCTGCAAATGAAAAGGAACAACAGAGCAAATACATAGTCAATGTTGCCATTAATGTTGGCCTGCTGCCACACTATCAGATATCAATTTACTTCTCAGTCAAAGACATAACAAGAACGGGTACCACAGGAAAGAAAACAGCACTCACACAACGTTCTCATGAATGATAGACACACGTTCCATCTCAGAGACCAGCCCCATCCAATTCGACTGCTGTGGAAAGTCAACAGTAACGTCACGGCCATTGCGGCTGACATCTGCAAGAACATCAAAGGCAATAAACAAAGCTGCACTAAACTTTGTTTTAAAGTGAAATAAAACTAATAGAGAAAGATTTTCAGTAAACAGAAGGTCACAAAGTGATCAAAGTTGCTAGTATGGACAAACAGTTAGTTGCTGCTAGACAGTAGAGGTAAAATGAATTTGCTGTATCATTAAAAATGCATTCAAACAGAGTCTGATCTAAGTAACGGTCTCAAGGTGAAATTTTTACGTTTTTTATAGTATGATACACATCAAAAAGATTATAATGATTTTATGAAGACTGCGGAAGCACATCAAAACTCACACCTTGCGCTTCATGGTGGTTCTACAAAGGCAGAGCCTGCTTCAGCTTCTCGATAAACTTGAGTACCACAATATGTAAAAACAGCTGCATAGCTCTGGTACAGGCAAGGCCTTCTGCATGCCTTAGGACAATTCCTCGCTTGCCAAGACTTTTTCTTGGCAATGAGGTAAAAGCTACAGAACTCGAATGCATCCTCTTCCTGAACACCAATAAATAGTTCTACAGTTTAACTTATTATTTCAATATGTGTCTACATCTGGCACAGGCAAATGCTACGCCTTTAAAATTCTTACCACGTACCTAGTCAAGCATAAATTTTTCAGTTTGTTCCTTTCTCTGTACGCATTTCGTCTAGCTGCATAACGTATTACCCACTCCACGTGTTTTTGCAACTTTTCAGGGTGTCTTTCGTTACCAAAAACTCACAAGACCTGAGAAGCTTGGGTAGAAAAATAATTGATGCAACGCTGCACAAAAGTTTCTTGATGAGCAAAAGGTGACAGATAAAACTCCCAGCAGTAGTGTTCTTTACATGGGAACAGAATCTGAAAATGCACTATGCATCTATGATTGCTTGAATGTTAAAGGTTACCAAGTGGTCAAAATTACTCCAGTGCCGCCTATAATATCGCTTATCACAATTCATTGGGCAGCCTTAGGTAATATAACTACAAGGGCTAACAAAACTAATTAGACAAGGAAAGGGTGGGCATTTTAGAGATGCAGCCAAAAAAAAAAAGGTGCAGTGTGTATGCCTAGTATGCTATGCCTAGTGTGCTGTGCCTAAAAAGCCCACCACGAGTGGAATTTAGCAGGGTGGGAGGTTGTTTCAGTAAGTGGAGATGGAGAGAGACCCGCCAGCCGCCCCCCGGCTTTTGTCTCGGTAGACTCACTCAAAGCAGAGCACTCACTGGTGACCGTGCCAATGCTGGAGCGTGTCACCGAGCCCCACTTGTACTTGGGCTGGCTAACAGTGGGCCGCACTCGCACTTGGTCTCCAGCGCGCAGGGCTGGCGACTGTGACTGTGAAGCTTGCATGAGAGCAGACGAAGATGCGGGAAGGCTCGCCACTGCCTGTTGCGAATCTCCCAACAGCTCCACATGAATGTACCGCACCCAGTAGACACCGCACTTGTGTTGCCAGTCTGCCAATACGTTCAGGTCATGCAGGCCATCGTGGTCCACCTGCAGCACAATTTTTATGATGGCAGTGATGGTCGCTAGCAGGTCACGTGATCAGAGGGGGGATTGAATGAACATATAAAATGAAACGAATCACGATGATGCTAAATGGTGATGACGACGATGATGATGATGTTCAATCACGTACTTGCTTGATAAGATTATTGCAGTCCCATAATTCTCACAGCATGGAACTGGCTGTAATCTTTTCTAATAGGCCAGACAATATCATCATATACTCAAGAAAACTACCAAAACTGACATAACATTCTTTGGCTGTACGAACTAAATGTCATAGCTAAACGAATTTGTGCAAAGACAAACAACTCGTCTAAAGCCAGAACACACAAACAAAAGGTACATAATTCATTATCACCAATTTATCAATTCATTATGTAAAATAAAAGAAAACCATGAACCTAAAACAAAGAGAAAGTGAAAACTCCAGGTCCTTGCGGTAAGCTCCTGCCACGGCTGCATGCATTTTCACAGAGAGAAATCTAAACACTCAATGACGTCTGTTGGTAAATTTTTAAATCCCTTTCAAAATCCCTGTCGGCAAGTTTCAAGGTGCTCACACCTAGTGCTTACAGCAGAATTTCAGAGGAGCTTGAGTGAATTAGCGTAAGTGCTGGTGACAGACAACACAGTCAGCATTGTTCTAGTAGCACAGGAGTCGCAGGCTAGGATTTAATCCCCACCTTAAGTTTTCCTTAGTGAAATAGTTCTGATACATGAATGACTTACTGTGTTAGATTACATTTGATCCCTGTTAATAAAGCCAGACAAATTGCATGCCAAAAAAAATTTTCAGAAATACAACACAATGCTAAGTCCACTGCTTATTTTGTCTGGTAATTTTTCTCACTGCTCGCTTCAAAAATTTTGCATGACTGAAATGCACAATTAAGAAGACAAGTTCATGTTTAACATCTGTATTTGATGGCTAATGTATTTTATTTACAAGACACTGCAGGCATGGAGCCCAAGCCGGAATGGTACAGGCAGTAAGGCAATCAAGCCAAGCATCACACAGCATACAATAATCCAATCATCACACGCATACAACAATAATGCAACCAAGCTTATCATAACAGCAATGAATTAAGTGGGATTGCGAAAATCGCATTTCTTATTTTTTTATCAAAAGAAAGGGAAAGCAACATGGCACTGAAAGTAAGCAATCAACAAAAAGGATCAGTGGATAATAAAACTGCAAATAATTTTTACATCCTCAGGAAAACATGTGCGTCAATAGAATCTGTCGACAGCAGGGCGGCAAACGGTAAATTGTTCCACTCACAGATTGTGCGCGGGAAAAACGAAAATTTCAAGAGATTAGTTTTAGCGAAATACGGAGTTAAGGCAAGGGAGTGTGAATGACGACCGCGCCGTGTTTCCAGGCAACTAATGTAGGGGCTGTGATCAAATAAGAGCTTCCGGCTAACTAATTGGTAAAGTAGTTTTAACCTAAATGATTTACGTTGTGATTCTAATGTTGGGATACCATGTCTTTTCATCAGGGCAGAAACGGAGTCTGTTAGACCGTACATACCATAAATAAAGCGGACGGTCCTTCTTTGAATTCTTTTGAGGCAGTCGATATTGGTTTTAGTGTGAGGATCCCAAATAGCGCAGGCATATTCAAGTTTCGGTCTAATTATAGAAGTATATGCTAAGTATTTAACCTCAGAGGGAGCGGTTTTGAGTTTGTGTCGTAATAAACAAAGTTTACGGAAAGCGGCAGCGCATATGTTAGTAATGTGATAGTTCCAACTTAAGGTACTGGTTAATGTTACGCCAAGATATTTGTGTTCATCTACTTGCTTAAGTGGTTGGTCACAAGTACAATAAGAAAATTCCAGGGGGTGTTTCTTTCTAGTCATTCGGAGGTAAACTGTTTTGTCATGGTTTAATTGCATGTTAGAAGTTTTACTCCAAGAAGCAACGTTTTCTAACGCCAAGTTTAACGCAAGTTGGTCCTCGATGCTATTAATTTCATTAAAAAGTATACAGTCAGCTGCAAAAATGCTCCTAGTGAATCTTAATTTCATTTGACATTGTCACATGTCTGCATGTATTGTACTCACAGATTGAAATGGGACAATTTAGGGCTAAGTGGTGCATGAAACTGTTTCCACTGTCTTCAGTTTGAGTTGCATTGGTATAATTTCAACTGAAATGCCTAGATCAGAGCGAAAATTACCTTTACAGACCAGATTCTTCACAACATGACATCATTATCTCCAGCAATACCAGTTGTCATACTAAAACATGTTATGCCGCATTTGAATTTGTGAGTACATAAAATAAAGGCCACACTCTTATTTACTGGTTGTGCCGACATAAAATACCGACGAAACATTATGTAGCTTGCACAGAAGTTTGGTCGTAGCTCTGGTGATAAGCAAAAAAAAAAAAAAAACATGGGGTGGCAGCATCTCAATAATTTGAGACGTTGATTAATCTGTAGCTTTGCCACAACGCATCAGGCTCACCTCCACAACTCGGCCAATGTCCCCTTCGTGGACTTCCTCATATGTGCGGCAGCACTGCACCAACATGCCAGGTGCAATGTGGTTGCGAACGTAGACAGCATAGTCATCGTTGTTGGTGAAATCTGCTCGGCAGAGGTAGCCTGTGCTTGGTGGTGCCTGAAAGAAAAAAGAAGGATCAATGCGAATGTTTTTTTTTACATAGTAAAGAAGATGTACAAGGACATGAAGCAAATGTACTAATGCACTCACAAGATGAAAATAAAACGCTTTCAGTGGGCACTAAGAAATAAAGCGACGCATGACACTCAATAAACAAAGAAAAAAAAAAAGAATTTTAACAATTTATGTTAGTGATAACTTGAACTAACACCATCTTTTATTTGGGAGAAAAGGCAAGGGGATAGACCTGTGCTTAATATATTGCTAATGCTATATTTCACGACTACTGGCTATTGATAAGCAATGGCAAAAAAGTTGTTTTGTAACAGCCCTGGATGTGTTCCAACTGGACATTCTCCAACCTCTGGCAAAAAAGTGTTCCAACCTCTGGCAAAGAACCACCTCCGTCTTCTTCATAAAGGTCGTCTGAGAATGAGTCGGACTCTGAGCAGTTGTCCAGAGATGTAATGCTCTCGTCGTCTGAGACAGAAGGAACATCATTCCGGTGTTCCAGAAGCCAAGCCACAATAGCCTCAGGGCTGGGCATGACGTGAAACGATCCAGCTGAAAATAACCAATTGAACATCAATGCACATCTCAAAAGGTCCTCTTGGGCAGGTTAAATTTTCTCAAAGCACCATCTGAAAAATCACGCCGCAGAGAAACAAGTGAATGCGCTCAAAGTCATGCTTATGTAAGGTAGCAAACCTGTACTGTCCAAAAGACATGGTCACCAAATGTTGAGGATACAACCCACATAGACAAAAAAAAATGTCAAGGATGCGACCCACATAGACGAAAGAGAGGAAAGAGACAAGATAGGGCACCCTATCTCGTCCCCTTCTCCTATCCTGTATTATCCTAGATGCCCTATCCTGAACTTTTCTTTTTTTTGTCTATGTGGGTCGCATCCTTAACATTTCTTCAGAATGAACCAACTAGGCCAACAACACATTTGAATATGATTCAACTGCATTGTAGGGGTGTGCAAATATCAAAATTTCCTAATACAAATCGAATAGAATATTTTTGTTCGAATATCGAATTGAATATTGAATATCGAAAGACAAACGCCTCTACAGTAACAATAGTTTATTCACCATGTAGTTATCTAGAAAATAAATACCAGGCACTAGGTTAACACAACATACACTACTATTTGGAACACATTGTTCATGCTAGCACAATGCAAAAGAACATCACAGCCCAATGCAAGTAATGAGAAACTGCTATAAAGGAATATTAGTTGCTCCACTTGGTCAGGCAGCAGATGCTCCCTCCGAACAGAGACTACCTCCCCAGCCACTGAAAAGAAACGCTCGCTTGGAACCGTTGTGGCTGATATTGGTAGGTACTTGGTGTAAAGCTTTGCCAGATTGGGGTATATGAAGTAACCAATGGTCCCCCCAGACACATGGGTCAGTCTCTTCCTTCAGTAGAGCTTCTTCAGAGTATGCACTAGTTTTCCATTCTGAAGTAGACAATGGTGCACTTGCTAAGGGACTGCCGGCGAGATTGTCAAAAGCACTCCAAACATCGAAGGATGGCTGCACTCTCTGTTGTGGCAGCCAATCCAGGAGTAGAGGGAAGTTGCCGCCTTCCACTATACTGCACATCTACAACCCCCGTGCTCCAGAGCGGAAGGTCCGTCTCACTAATTGGGATACATTTAGAAAACAGCGCACTCAGACTGACAACAATGGGAGACCTTTAAATGAATGGCTACAGTGCCTGCAAACTGACCTTGATAAAGCGACCAAGAGGATAAGCCCTACAACCGCAATTCCAGATGTCAACCGGCACCTTCTACACCTGTGGGAAGCACGCAGAAGCCTGATAAAACGCTGGCGTAGGCAGAGACACAATCGCAAGCTTAAACTTCGCATTGCTCAACTCGCGTTGCAAGCCTAACAATACGCCACAGAGCTCACGAGGAACAATTGGCACAACTTTTGTAAGTCACTTAATGGAACACTAAGCAATGCGCGCACGTGGGCCATACTAAGAGCCCTTGTTGACCCGAAAAGTACCAGGTCCTACACGAGCAGTACCATCCAAACACTTCTTCACAAGCAGGAGGGGGACGACAACAGCATCTTGCAGACGCTTCAAGGAAAGTACATCGCTGCAGGCCCTCAGCCAAAATATAAAAACTACCCATATACAGAGTCAACACCACTGGATGCTGATATGGCTGTGCACGAAGTTCGAGCTGCCCTTCTGAATATCAACCGCAACACAGCGCCACGGAAAGACAACATCTAATACTCTCTCATACGAAACCTCAACGACGAAGATCTAGAATAGCTCACGGATTTTTAGAACACTCACTGGAAATCCGGAACGTTACCCCAGGAATGGAGACATGCCGAAATAACACTAATTCCTAAGTCCGGCAAACCCCTAGAGCTTGGAAACCTGCGACCAATCTCGTTGATGTCTTGCTTCGATAAATTAGTGGAGCATGTCATCCTCCAAAGACTGCAACCATATCTTGAGGCCCAGGGATTTTTTCCGGGCACACTGTTTGGGTACCGGGTCCGTCTTTCAACGCAAGACATACTTCTCCAACTAAAAGAGGCAGTAATGGACAGGCTCAGTTCTATGCAAACTAGAGCTCTGCTTGTCTTGGATATCCGCGGTGCTTTTGACAACATCTTGCATGACCCAATACTGGATAATCTCGCGTCAACACTCTGCGGACGACGAGTTTACGACTTTGTGAAAGCATTCCTAACAAACAGGACGGCAACCATAGGATTAGGCTCTCTTGGCAGTGGCATCATTAAGCTCGCGGGTAAAGGCACGCCACAAGGATCGCTGTTATCCCCGACACTCCTCAACATCGCCATGGCTAAGTTACCGCCTCTACTCGCCACCATTCCAAGTCTGCGACATGCTTTATACGCGGACGACGTCACTATATGGGTGACCAAAGACTCAGACGGACAAATACAAGATGCCCTCCAAGAAGCAGTAAATACAGTTCAAGCATACGCACGAGCAGGTGGTCTAACGTGCTCTGCAAATAAGTCGGAACTTCTACTCATTCGTCGTCCCCAGCGAAAGCCCGACAACAGCCCTCAAATCACAGTCACCTTAGAGGAGCATGTAATTTCCTGCGTACAGAAACTCCGCGTCCTTGGCCTTCATATACAAGCTGATCTCAAGGCAACGCACACAATGAAAATATTAGAACAGCAAGTTTCTCAAATCATGCATATGATCCGCCGCATCACCAACCGAAGGCATGGATTTCAGGAACAAGACATTCTACGTATAGTTAATGCCTGCATAGTAAGTCGCATCACCTACCCCGTGCCTTATCTAACTCTAACGCTTGCACAAGAGAGAAAACTGGACATTCTCCTCCGTAGAGCCGTCAAGGCGGCGCTTGGACTACCTACGTACGCATCCACCAACCGTCTCCTAGCCATGGGTGTACACAACAACCTGAGGGATTGATTGATTGATTGATATGTGGGGTTTAACGTCCCAAAACCACTCTATGATTATGAGAGACGCCGTAGTGGAGGGCTCCGGAAATTTAGACCACCTGGGGTTCTTTAACGTGCACCCAAATCTGAGCACACGGGCCTACAACATTTCCGCCTCCACCGGAAATGCAGCCGCCGCAGCCGGGATTCGAACCCGCGCCCTGCGGGTCAGCAGCCGAGTACCTTAGCCACTAGACCACCGCGGCGGGGCAACAACCTGAGGGAACTAACCGAGGCACAACGTAATAGTCAGCTACGAAGACTCCGCAGCACCCAAGTGGGAGAGCAACTACTCGTCAGGCTAGGGTACCCTCCGAATCGATGTGGATACAGGACACCAGGGAAACAGCTACCCACTGACTTCCGAGCAAGAATTACAGTCGCGCCACTTCCACGCAATATGCACCCTGAGTGCAATGCTCAGTGCCGGCGGGCAAGGGTGAAAAACCTCATGCGCCTCATCAATCAGTCTCCTCCAAACACCCTCTTATACTGCGATGCCGCTGACACCATCCCGCAGTTCTACAGTTGGAGCAGTGGTGAACAATGATCACGACATAGACGCCTTAATCAGCGTACCTACGAAGAACATATCTGAAGGCGAAGAGTGTGCCGTCGCTCTGGCAATTTCCCACACTGCCATAAACCTTTGTCACGCAGATGTTATTCCAATCTTTACAGACTCAATGAATACCTGCCGTGCCTTCACACGGGATATTGTCTCACAGCACACACACCGAATTTTGAACACCACATTCCACACGCCACACAAGTTCCGACTTGTCTGGACCCCTGGGCACGCCTCTCTCCCCGGTCATGACTGCGCTCATGCAGCTACCCGAGCACTCACTAACCGGGATCCGGAGGAAGAGCTGTCCAACCTAGATGAGGAGGACACAAAGACGGAACTTCTAGGATATCGAGACACTCTCGATTACTATAGACGAGAACGCATTCGGTACCCTCCACCACACCACACGCTCACACGAGAACATGCAACTGCGGTGCGTCAACTGCAGGCGAACACGTTTCCGAACCTCTATTTCCTCCACATCCTCCATCCCACTTCTTACCCTGACAAATGCCCTGGCTGTGGAGCGGTACTGACGTTATTTTATGTAACGCTGGAATGTCAGCGTCCGCCAGCCAGGCACTCTGCCAACTCCTCTCCTATTCCTACCCTACAAGACTGGGAGGCCATGCTGCGTGATGAAAGCCCGAATGGCCAGCGGGCGCTAATTCAGCGGGCGCGGGACGCAGCAGCGGCTGTTGGAGCTCTGGACTGAGAGCCCCACACGACATTTTTCTATGCTTGAAATAAAAAGTTTCTCTCTCTCTCTCTCTCTCTCTGTTGTGGCTCTTCCACTTTTGCTTCTTGCTGCGTGACTTCCACAGCAGAACATAGGGCAATATCTTGAAGCACCAGATCTTTCAACCACATCACCTTTTGCTTGTTGTTTTTGAACACCATAGACTTGAAGCATCGGTTCAAAAACATGGCCAGGCATGCTTCTTTGTCCTCGTCATACGAGGAGAATCTAGTGTTGATAGACCTTGCCAGTTCCTTATTAAAACCTGTCATGCTGCTAAAGTTTCTGAGGCAACTTAGCATGCCTATAATAATTGGTATCTGAGTGGAAAGTGATGGGTATGCTTTTGCACTAGTTATCACAGTTGCGTCACATATGGGCTCCAGTGCTTCCACATATTCAAGTGCCTCTTTCTACTACGCTGAACATAGACCATCAATGCTGCTACTTAAGATTGCCAGTACAACAGAGACAGCCTCCTTCAAGTCCGAAAGATGATACAGCATTAAATATTGGCTGTTCCACCATGTATCTACATCTTGCACCAAGCGAAGTGGATCTGTGCCCATTTTGTTCTGGCCCTCATGTAATCTATTTTGCGCAGATGAGCTGTGCTTATGGTGCCCCACGATGTGCCTTGCTTTCTTGCACAGACTGTCAATTGACGGCGTACTGGAGATCGCATCGTGAATAGCTAGCCGCAGGTTGTGGGCAAAGCACAAATGCTCAGTCCACCAAAGCATTCTGACAGCGGCACTGATGTTACGTCTGTTACCTGTAAAGATGTGTTTGACGCAAGCACCCAGAATTTCCCATTCTGCGCACATCTCGACAAGCATTTGCACGATGTTTTCGGTGGAATGGCTAACAGCTATGAGGCGAGTGTTAAAGCATGAACCCCTTCATCCTAAAACTTGGAGTGAGAAGCTGGCAAGTGAAGCTCACATAACTCTCGATGATCTCAATGGCAACTATAAGGTTGCAGATCAAATGCTACCATGGCAGCCACCTTGGCATTGAGTGCTTGAGTTTTAATTTCTAACAAAGGGTCAGTACAGTGCACAAAGTCAATTATCACTAACTGATCTTTCACTGGTGCACCTGCTGCAGTCACCTGGTACTCTTTTATCGCGGTTGGATGTTGTTTTAAATGGTTCACAAGCGAACTAGTCGTACTCGTCGGCGTTTGAAGTATTGCGCCACATGTCTCGCACTGCACAGACAATGACGACGTCTTCACATAGTGCTTCCAGACAGCGCTTATTTATTTCCTTTCGTTTTGGCACCGTGCCTCAATTATTTTTCCGTTTTGCAGGTGGGTCGTGATAATTTCTGCTGCTATCTGCCATGGCACGTATCAACGAAGTGAGTTTATCGCAGGTAGCAAAGACTCGCATCAAAACAACACCATGTGCACTGGCCACATGCTAACAGAACTGATAGCACTAAACAAACGAAGCATTGCACACTGCTGCTACTCATGTTCTCTGGTGGCCACCAAGAAAAAAAAAATATATATATATATATATATATATATGAATATTATATATAAAATTCAAAGGTCAGCCTATGATTACCACTTCATATATTAAATACGTTTAGAATACTGTATAACTAATTCAACGCAAACAATGCGACATAGCTAAGCAATAGAATTTCGAGTTTGGATTAGCCGGCACTAGCCGCTCTAGAGTATGTTGACCTTGCAATCCCAAGTACAACTGTGCAACTGCTCACATGTGCCACTTCTATGAAATAGGAATTAAATCCGATGTCATGATAAAAATTACCTCTAGAACGGTGTTAGTCACTCTCTGTTATGTTTTCTGACTGCAGCGCGTTTCGTTTCGGCTTTGGCAAGGCCGTGCTCATGCAGTATAAAGTGATGTTATGATGAAAAAACGCACAATGCGACGGCGGTTCGGCGGTTAGGTTTCATTGCTCTAAGGTTGGTCCCGCAGAGTGAACATGTGGTAGAGCAGCCCATTACGGCCCCATTTGAAAAGCGTGCAATACAGTTATGCAAGTGCCAACACAGCTGCGAAAATTAAATGTATCGCAGGTTCAATAGCAATACGTCAGACATATTGGTACACTTATCGCTGGCCAACATTATACCTCCGTGCACTTCTGATACTTATTCCACCCCTCTCAGTGATGATTTTAGCTCTGAACTGAGTGGAAATGTCGAAGAAGAGTTATTTTTCACACGATAACCTGAACAAACATTGAATACATTGATCCGACTATCCACCTTTTTTTAATGCACTGTTTTCGAATCAAATACGAATAGTGCAAATGTGATATTTGGTGAATATTGGGAATTTAAAAAAATTTTTTCGTGTAATGATCAAAGATATGTTTTCCATGTAATGAATTCCTCTAGGTCTGTGTCACGTTGAGAGAAAAAGGTGTGGTCATTATGCGAGTAAGTAAGGTATTTTGAAAAGGACTTTGGGCTTGTTTCATTGAGTTCACCTAGACACCCTGTTGCCACAAATACCAAACTACAGTATACTCTAATTCAATCTAAGTAAATGAAAATCTAAATGGAACTGCTGCTTATATGGAACAGGTGCTTCTGACAAGACTGGTTTTGTTCTTGTATTTTGTACCCCTGTTCATCTCTCAGTAAGTAGAACTCCTGCTAAATGGAACATTTTACTGGTCCCTTCAGGCTCCCTTTAATGAGAGTCTACTGTACATGTTTTTCAAGTGCCACACACCTAGAGCATTGAGAGCCATGGCCACCCTATGTCTTTGGAAACCCATTTCCACAATTTGGCGCACAATTGGCAAAGATGCTGGAGCTGTTGCAGCAGGACCATGCAGAGTAGACAGCGAAGATCGCCGCGATGAGGAGCCCTTAGACTTTGGTCGGTGTGACCGTCCAGCAGCCTGTAGGCTAGCTGCCCCGTCATTGCCGAAGTGGTCAGCGGCAGCCCCTTCCTCACTCATAGGGCTGTCTGCCACCGGCTCGTGCTCCACTGTTTCACCAGCGGCAGATTCCAGTTCAGCAAGCAGTTGAGCAGACCGCCTTTTTCGTGTTCCCTCGGCTATCAGAAATTGGACAAGAGCAATGGCTGCCGCCTGGGGAGAAAGAAGAAGACAAGTTCCAGGAAAAGCTTCCAAATCAGAACTACTAGCTTGGAAGAAGGAAATTTCAAGGGTTCACTTCTTTGTTGATGCAACTATAATGAAAACCCATGGATAATAAAACAGAGGAAGATATCGATGGCATTATTTGTACTGTTTGCACTGTACTGTATTAATTGCAATATAAAAAAAAGTAATACAGTGAACGAAAAGACAACTTGCCGTGGGTAGGGACAAAACCTTCACCCTCCAGATAATATGCCCGGAGCTCTACCAACTGAGCTATGGTGAAAGTCGTTCTCTTCCTCTTGTCCACATTTTATCAACTTTATCGGGTATTCATGGGCATGCATATCTGGATGTGTCAGTAAGGACTACTCTATACTATAAGCATGAAGGTCACAAAGGCCTCCTGTAGTACATTCCAGTTCACCATCACAACAACTCTTTTGAGGATTCTCACAATGTTCTTTGCTGTGCCACCCACTGCCATGGCATTTCTTGCTCATGACCGAATCTTTTCTTAGAGCTGATTATCAATAGTTAAGGGAGACAATGATTACACACATGAGTTCCAAATGCTCAGTAGTCACATTCATGTCTGTTGATGATGCACTTTGCCTAATGTAGCAGTGGTAGCTTCTTTTCTCACAATTTTCCGGTCATCTCTGACATGCATCAACTTACCTCAAGCTCATGCCTCCCAAACACAGGCCTCAGAGGGGATGGTTGTGTTGCTGTGGCCATGACCTGCTCAATAAGGGTGATGGGAGAATGCATTTCAGCTGTAACATCATCTTCGTCGTTAAGTGCCACTGGTGCTGCTGCTGCCTGGTGTTGGTGCTCAAGCTGCGGCGGCTGCTCTGTAGGCACATTTTGAAGCAAGACTTGCCTCAACACAAGTTGCTGTGTGGTCAGTACTTGGGTGGCACAGATCATGCCAAGCAACAGGTGCTGCTGAACAAGCAAGGGCACATTGACACCCGAAGCTGCAAGCAAAAACATGTATTTAGGAGTCTCAGCGTCACCAATATGGATTGCAATAACTAGCAATAACATAAAATGCATACCTGGCAAACATTTAGTGTGGTGTCTGCCAGCACAGGTATGTAATTTTTACACTGTGCAAAAACTATTCTTAAGAATAAAAGTGCACGTCATGGAGTTCAAGCTTCTTTGCATAACTTTTACTTGGAGCCTCCTTAAGACACTTTACAATTTTTTTCATAGCCACACATGGATATGTTACAGGAAAAGTAAACGATTGTAACTGCCATCTTAAAAATGTAATTGATTACAGTTACCAATTACTAAGAAAGCAATTGAAGTATAGAATCGAATTGAATTTTATTGGTCACACTTTTTACAAAAAATTTGCATACACTGCGTGGACCCATAGCCATAGGCTAGTTTGGGTCCAAAAAAGATAGATTTTATAAAGGCACTTGGGAAAAGTGTAACTAAAAAAAGTTATACAATATCAATAAAGGATTAACTAAAGTTTTTACAATCTAATGTAATAAAGAATCGGCAAAGAAACATTACAGTGCATGAAATAACCGCACTAAACCGTTACAATGCACGAGAGAACGAAAACGGAATAAACACCTAGTTACATATTGAAATCAAGGCAGTCACCAGACTAATTATGACAGGACATTAATAAATCAGTACATTCTTTTAAATAGTGTTCTTCTAGTGCCTTAGTGAAATTTGAACACATCTTTATCGCAAAAGGAATAACATTCCAGTTTTTATTACCAACAAACTGTAAAAGCCGTTCACCATATACGTTGTTAGTTCGTGTAATATTCCATTTACCAAAGGTTAGTTGTCAAGTAGAACGACAAGGGGCGGAAAACATCGACACATGAAAAGGGTGGTTGTAATTAATAACTGTGTGTATGCATATGGCTAGTTTTAATTTCCATAGCTTGTCGAAGGGCAAAATAAGTAATCTGGAAAACAAAGGTTTGCTGGGGTCGTTATACTTGGAATGAGTAATGATTCTTACAGCCCGTTTTTGAAGTCGTCTAACCGGGTCCAGGTAAGTTGTGTACGTGCCGCCCCAAGACTCAATGCAATATGAGATATGACAATGAATTAAAGCACAGTAAAGCATTCGTAGAGTAGTGGTATTAAAATATTGACGAGCCTGGGTAAGTGCATGACACCCTGAGGCTAATTTGGAACACACATTTTGAATCTGCATCTGCCAATGTAAGTTGTTATCTATAGTGACACCCAGATATTTAATTGTGGTTACTTGCTCGATCACGGAACCATCAATTTTTATGTATATGTCATTAGCATTAATGAATATTAACAGAGAGCGAAATGTGATGCATTTAGTCTTATCGGTATTTATAGATAGTTTATTATTCGATAACCAATGAGCGACCTTTTCCAGTTCCATATTAGACTTCGATTCAAGATCAGTTAGATTTTTACCTGTTACTATGACACAAGTATCGTCAGGTTACATCAGTATGTTAGAAAGCTGTAATATCTGCGGAAGGTCATTAATATACAAGGACAAGAGCAATGATCCCTGCACCGAGCCCTGGGGAACACCAGTACTGAAGTGGCTCATAGAAGACATGAAACCGTTAATTAATACAACCTGTTGACGATCTTACAGATAATCTGAAAGAAGTTGAAATATGGTCCCACGGAAACCATAACGTGGTAATTTACTTAGCAGTATTCTGTGGTCTACGGTGTCAAAGGCTTTTTTGAGGTCCAGAAAGATAACTGCAACTAATTTATTTTCCTTCAATGTAGTGTTTATTGCTTGAGAAAGGGTCATAACGGTGGTGGAGGTAGAATAATTTGGTCTAAATCCGTGTTGCTGATGGGAGAGCAAGTTATATTTCGCAATGAATTTATAGAAACGATTGGCAAGAATTTTTTCGAAGATACTGTTAATTATACTCAAAACTGAGATTGGTCGGTAGTTTGACGGTTGAGAGTGATCGCCACTTTTATGTATAAAAATAACTTTTACAATTTTTAAACAAGAAGTGTACATGGCTGCTCTCACAGAATGGTTAAATAGTCGGCATAAAACTGGTCCAAGAACGTCTAAATTTTCTTTGAGAAGCCTTACAGTTATCCCATCTAGGCCTGCCGATTTATTCATTGGCATTCCTGACAGAATTGATATGATTTCCTCAACGTCGATGTCATACATGACAAAAAGAATTGGGATTGGAATCTGTGAGACCACGTTCTTGGTTGGGTTCCTTGAATTTTTTTAGCTAGTGTTGGACCAATGGAGGCAAAATAAGTGTTAAACGATTCAATTGTATTAGAGTCGATGACATCAGGAAGCACCTTAGAAGCGGGAGGGTTTCCGACAACGTCATTTACAATTTGCCAAAGTTTTACCGAATTACCATTCGCCTGCTCTATTTGTCGTGCATAATAGTGCTTTTTACTCATCCTCATCAAGACAACTAATTTATTATGCATTGTTTTAAACTAGCGCAAATAAAACTCATTATGCTTGCGCCATTTCCATTTGTCATGCCAGTAATCTTTGCTTCTTATGACTTCCAAGATTTCTTTCTTCATCCAAGGACATATTGGCGTTTCCCATGAATGAACCGAAACTTTTCTGCTGCTTCCTTTGATCGCGTTTTTAAGAAGAGCAATCAAGTTTTAAAATTAGATATTAACCTCATCATGGTATATTTGATTAACGTAGATCTAAGAAGAATATTTCTTAAAGCCAAGTAGTCTATTTTTGTTACAAACCTCAGCCCGTCACGTTTTTTATTCTTTAGGCAATCAACAGAGACAAATATTGGGAAATGATCTGTGATAGGCTTGTCATACACACCGGCACTAAAATATTTCTCGGAATTTGTCAGTGCATGATCGATCAATGTAGCAGACGTTGCTGTTATTCGAGTTGGTGTAGTGATGAGGTTGCGAAAGTGATACGATTTTAGCAAGTAGATGTAATCATCGTTCACTGGACTACAGCTATCAATGTTCATATCACCAACAATAACAGCAGATTGTTTGACATTGTTTGTTAGTTGACTCAGGATCATTTCAAGCGTTTCAAGAAAGGAGAGAAAACACGCGTTGGGGGGACGATAAACTACGCCCACTGTAACTGAAGATTCCAACCTGATGAATAGTGATTCAATGGCACGTGTGCTGCATGATAGTGAAGGAAGAATTGTATATGAATGCTCATTTTTTACAAAGAGAGCAACACTGCCCCTCGAGAATGAGAGTCACGTGGCTGCGATAGCATTGTGTAATCAGGAATAACAATGTTTTCATTCCTTTATAGCCAAGTTTCAGGGACAGCGATTACATCAGGGTGTTGTGGCCGCTGGGCAATAAATCCGAGAAGCTGATTAAGATTTTTTCTTATGCTGCGAATGTTGCTGTGAAATATCGACATGCATCTGCGAGTGCAATTGTCTTGTTGATTTAGGCGAGACATTTTGTTTGAAACTGGGTACGTGCACTGGGTATAGGCACAAGAGAACCACTTATGCCACACTGCCAAGGTCGTCTTCGCATGTCACTTGAAACACGCGCGAATTTTATTTTTACGCATCAGGATCCTGCCGTCAACCACTCACACAAACTTCCCAAGCAGAACCTTGTACTCGGGGCACAGATGTTCGTTTACAAACACCGGCTCATTTCCCTCGAAACCAAGGGTCGATCTGCTCAGTCTGTGTTTTTTGGCTGCCTTCAAGATCCTGTCTCGTGTCGACCTAGACAAAAACTTCACCACCCCGTTTGGAGGGCCACTACCACGCATTCACCGGCGGGAGCAATTAAATGAAACAATTATGAAACACTTAATTGAAACACTTAAATCAATTGAAACACTTAAATAAAACCAATTACTCTTGAGTTACTTTCCTCCTGACTTTTATTAATAATGCATTCATACAGTAAGAATGAGTTGGTTGGGTTACTTCACCTAGTCCTCATTAGCGCTTCTTTACGAAAACAACGGGAGCCCAGTTTAGCAAGCCTGAACATGCATAACCGAATGGCTGATACTCGCACTAATGCCAGTGTGCTACTGTCATGGTCCCATTCAAGTGCACCAAGATGTGCTTCCAGTTATGTCTTCTCATCAATAAAGGAATTGAGTATAAAATTACAATGAATGACAGTGAATTAAAGTGAGAATAATCATCTCAAAATAATTCCCCAAATACAAAAGTGGCAAAGATGTGATAGATTACAAGTCATTACTTGTAGTGCCTTACGTACAATTCTGGCCACTGTGATTAGGAAAAGACAGTATTATTAGTACTTGCCGGTGCCTTCGCCAGTGTTGGGAAACTGGTGCAGGAGATCGGTGGTTAGCTTGGGCAAGACAGTGACTGCTCGACTGAGAAGAGTGGACCAAATGGACAACATGCCATCATTCAGAGGAAGCTTCTGCAGCTGGAACAGATTTTCTTCAGCCTGCAACGAGAACGAGATCGTTTGACAGACTGTGGTCAGACCTGCGCCCTGAATGCTCCATTACAAGCATTACACCACTTTTTTATGACACATGGAATAATGTTTACTGCCTCAGAAATTACCTTTTTCAGCATCTTTATATGGTAATGTTGATCCACCTTAATTAATTCAGAACACTGTTTTAATTATTTCAGAACAGCCATCTAAAACTCCGATGTCTGTTTTTGCTCCCGCCGGTGAACTGGCTTGGGCGGGTCAGGAAAAGCAAAATATGAGAGTAAATTATTTTTTAGTACAGTAGGCTAAGTATTAGGGGTGTGCAGATTATGCAAGGGCACAAATTATGCAAGTAGATACAGTATATGACAGTTCTAGCCTTCCTTAAAGGTTTTTCGAAAATTTCACAGCAAAAGCGTAACCGAATTTCATAATTTGTGCAACCTGAGTCGCTATTTTGCAGGAATTCCTTTTGCGATACTAATGTTGCTTTGTGTTGTTTTCCATTTCACCAGTGGTTAGAGCTACGGACCACTACGTTATCAATGGGATGAAGGTGACACTGAGAGGCAGATAACAGGACTAGCACAGAATCGAGCAGAAGAGGGTATTAAAATTTAAAACACAATAGCAATTCTGGAAAGTCTTCTCCAACCAGACCGCTGGCAACACATCTGACATTAAAGTCAACAGCCCACAACCTATCAAGAAGTAAAATTTGAGCTCATCAGATTAACTCACAGGAGCCAGTTGGTCGAGGGAGTGCTTGACAAGGCTGTTGCGTGTGTGGCAGTGCACGAGTAGCTTGCCCCGCAGTGATATGCCAGCCACGGTTCCTTTGTCGTGTGGGTGCTCGATAAAGTTGACAGTGCCTCCAAGGCGTACACGATGATCCACCCCTCCAAGCACAGCCAGAGCAGCCAGGGAGTTTGACTTCTCCAAAAGAAGAGCATCTGCAGTCTAATGAAATGAAGATGGCAAAGTTGAGTACAGGAAAAAGCGGGGCTTTACCAGTATACACTTGATTGGGTATACACTCAAACCACGAATAACGAACCCAGATATAACAAAATATTGGTTATAACAAAGTAAATGAAGAATACTCTTGCAATAGATACAGTGCTAGGAATATACATTTATAACGAATATTTGGATACAACAAAGGAATTTGCTTGTAATATGCAACTTTTTATAACAAGGTTTGAGTGTACTTCATTGCCAAACCCAGAATGCAGGCTTGTCCCACATGCTTCAACACTATAAAGCTGAAGCTTTAGTACAGCAACAAACTGATATTTAGCAACAGCCCAGAAATGTCTAGATTATTTTTCTGCTACCATGACATACAGAAAAACAGCCTGGAAGAGAATATTTATTAAGTAATTTCGCTCCTGGGAGCAGCTGTGCGGCTATGATAAGTGCACTTTTGTGAATCTACACCAAAAATATAAACAACACATTCAAACTCTTTTGGAAGGTTTGCATTAGATTTCTCTAATTTAATGTTCATATTTACACACAAAAACAAAGTAATGCCCCAAGGTATCCCACAGCTCAAGCTCTTGAAAACAGGCGTTTCAAGTGCCACTATTTCAGCTTGCGCACCACACCTCAGCATAATGAGAAGTTATACATAACCCGCTTTCCCTGAACTAATGAAAAACGTGGATCATGTACACAGCGTGAAATGCAAAGCCACATCCGTCCGGAAAATACTTCACTGTATCTGAAAAATTCGTTTTCAAGGTATGTCTCTAATGCTGTATTTATGACAAAGCTATTCTTCACATAATTTGTTATAAACAATAGTTCGTTATATCCATGTTTCTGATATCAAGCTTTGAGTGTATTCACGTAAATGTACCTCAGCAGCGGTGGGCGTGCCAACGGTTTCCACGAAAATGTTTTTCAATCCCAGCTGCAGGTGCTTGTTGATTGGCTCGTTCCAAGTCAGCACCGTGTGCAGCTCGCGTAGAAGCGAGATGCACTCCTCGGCGACTGTGCTCGTATGAGACGCTGTGAGTAGAACTCTGGCACGAGCACTCTTCTTGCCCTTCCACGAGAGATCTGGAAAACAGAGAGAAACTTGGGTTAATTCGCAAAACTAGAGGCGTTCAAATGATTCATGGCCACTGTGGCCAATAACAGCTATGCTAAATCAATGTGCTAATTCTGGACAAGACCAGTCTACACTTTATGTAAAAGAAACAATTAAATGATCAAATTGAGAGACAATAAGAATGACTAATTATATTTGATATCAGTTCCAATATTCAATGTCCAATGCTAGAACATTCAGATAAAAGAGCGAGTGGAGGGGGTGGAAAAAGACCCAAAAAAGAGGTTGCGGCAATGTGCAAGAATGTTAGCATCAGTTGAAAAGCAACTGATAAAGCAGCTACTGAAAACAGAATCATCAAAGAAACAGGGTAAGTTAATTAATTAATCTATGTATAACAGATCAGTCTTGTTGCCTGTCAAGACAATCATATAGCCCACTTCTCTCTGCCTTTTTAAAGTAGAGGAAGGAACACATGTACAGTTCTTAGAGATTCAAACCGGAAAATTTAGGGCTAAATTACACACAAAATTTTGTTTCCACTATCTTCAGTTGGGTACATATCAGCGCAATTTTGACTCGAACGTGTAGATCAGAGCAAATATTATCTTGAGAGATCCCTTTTGCCGCAACATGATGTGGTTATCTTGAGGAATCGCTCGTGCCAGTTGTTACACAAAATTTTTCATGTCTCATTTGAATTCGTGAGTACTATACCTCACCTCACGTTGATGACAACGTAAAACTGACCTGTTGCATGCAGTGTTGGATCATGACTGCAAGAGACCATGACTTTGCCAAGAAGAGTAAACAGTGCTTGCACAAAGGAGAACCTCAGCTTGCTGTAGTCATCGGATGTCCATGAGAGGAGCAGTGTTCTTAGAACCCGAAGAGCTTGAATCTAGGACAGAAGACATCATAACACCACTATACTCACATATTCAGAAGCCTTCTGAATTTGTATGGAAATGTTAGAAAGTATATAAAAATGTCAGGATACAGCTTAGAAAGGAGGAATATGGGCAACGCAGATATTGTGACCTGTGCATCATGTCCCAGCAAATGTATCAGTATTTTATTGAGCTTTGCATTTTTTTTTTCAGTACACTTCATGTTGATATTAAATTTGTCACTGTACGACATTAGCACTCTCCAGAGTGTCTGAACACTGTTAAAAAGAAATGAGTACAGTAAACACCCCCATTTCACATTAACTTCAGACCCGTCAGTGCAACAAAAAGATGCTATCTCCTTGCTTAATTTAAATACACTCATACTTCATTACAACAAAGTTGCACTTTGCAAGAAAATGAGTTGGTTATATCCAAATTTTGTTATAAAGGTTACTTCTAACACTATCTATAGCAAGACTATTTTTCATTGACTTCGTTATAACCAATATTTCGTTAACTCTATGTTCATTATATTGAGGGTTAAGTGCGTGCCCCCAGCTGCAACTCAATATTAATCAAGTTTATAAACTGTTTGAAATCTTAAGATGTTCGAACAATTGGAAACAGATACAGTGATGTTCAATGTGCAATTCATTCAACATAGAGGGTGTCCCACATAACTTGAGCCAAGAATTTGAAAGTGAAAGGCACTTAAGAAGCGAATTGAATCAAATGCATACTACTAAAACACTAGCCTGTAGGTACTCAGGCTATATTTTATTTCTCACCATACTAATTAATCATTCTTAATTACCTAATTTTAAATTATGGTATGGCCAGCCAAAATATGGACACTGAGATGTAGAGCAGCAACCCCCGACAAAACTGTTTCCTGTACAATATGTCTCGTGCTGTTCTTTTTCCCCATTGTAAAGAAAGCCCACGAAATATGAAAAGGAACCGTGTGATGGAACGCAAGCGCACTGCTATAGTGCTGCTATAGGCTTTCTTTACAATGCGTAAAAAATAACAGCACTAGACGTATCGTACAGGAAACAATTTAGTCCGTGGTTTATGAAAGTGCTCTACATCTCAGTGTTCATATTTTGCGTTTCCAGCCCATCATTAAAAATAGGTAATTAAGAATTATTAATTAGGTTGTATGGGGAGAAAAAATATAGCCTGAGTACCTACAGGCTAGCAGGCTAGTGCGAGTATTACGCACTTGGTTCACTTCGCCACTGAAGTGTCTTTCATTTTCAAGTTCTTGGCTCAAGTTATGTGGGACACCCTGTATATATTCAATGCAATAGTTTCATGTACGTGCGGGAGAGGATTGGTAGTGCGGAAAATGATGGCCAGTGCGTATGATCACATACAGTTACCATTCATTGGTGTGGACCTTTCCATTCATTTGGGCACCTTCATAGCACTACCACTTGCCCTACAAGTGCATGTATAAAAATGCCGAAAAACTTCAGACCCTTCAAAATGTGCCGCTAAGACTGTGCCTGTTCAACTTCATGTTAGTTTCAGCAGCAATAAAATTAACGGAAATAGCTATGCTTTGTTTCAATATCTTGCCAGTGCCTTCATGAAAGTGAAGGAACCGAATGTAGCCTGGTTGATCCAGTGAAACTGCTGACTGTTCAAAGAAATATCAGATGGGTGAGTCAAGCTGCCGAGTTCTAACGTTTTCAATTTCTGGTCGTCACGCATGTTAAACACGTCCAGCGTTTGTTCTGTAAAAGAAACTGACAACCAGCAAGAACATGTCACAAGGCAGTGGGGAAAGGGGAAGACTGGGTTACAGTAACAGAATGAGTAACTTGTCACCATATGAATAAAACTTGTGTTTTTATATTGAACTTGAAAATCCCGGAAAACTGGCATGTCACAGTGCCTGGCGGACAAGCCATAATACTGTGCAAATAAGTCAATCTAAATGCTGTACGTACTTTAGCGTTGTTTAGCCGCACCACCATTTGTGCTCAAAACTACACTCTACACTCTATGCTATTAGGAATCCCTGCTTCATTCTATGCATAGTGTGAAGTAAAAGGAGTTGCTGCTAAGAAGTTGTGGTGGCTTTAATGGAACCAGTGGAACTGTGTTGAGTCGTGGCATGTGTGTCTACTATTTCAGGTTCCAGATTACTAGAGTAGACTCTATACAACCTGAAGGGACCGGGAAAATGTGTTTTATTTGGCAGGGGTTCCGGTTTACTGAGAGATGAACAGGGGAGCACAATACAAGTACGAAACCAATCATATCACAGGTAGTTATTTCATTTAGGCAGCAGTACTGTATTTGGTAGAGCTGCACAAATAGCAATATTTTAGGTGCAAAGAGAATTTGAATAATGAAGCTTGAGTACAAACTGAATAGAATATTTTTCTAATAGTTTTCCAATACATTGAATATAGCCGAGTGCACAAGGGGGGCTGATGCCCCCCCGCCCCTCATTCACCTAGGGAACAGTACGAAAGGGGGTGGGGGGGGGCACAGCCTGTTTTATACCAAGAACTGTTTACTTCCAATGCTTATTTCATAAAAGCCAAAGATCAAAGACAGGCTGTTGCAAGAAGCATGTGAATGCTTCATTTCCCTTTCTTCTTAATCCATTGCGAAGAATGTTGTCCTTTGGACCCGACCAACAGGGAGGGAGAGGTTACTACGATGGGAAACCCTGAGCACACATATGCTTTGAGGCAATATTACAGAAAAAAATGTTCCAGAGTATTTCTAGGCATTTTCTAAATTATATTCGTGAACAAGCTCTGCTACGGTGTTACGAGGCACCGTCATTTTGGGCTTGTCGGAAAAAGCATTTTGCCGTCTTTAATTTGTCCACTTAAGCTCGGTTCTCCATTCAAAAAGAAGCAGAGAAGCATACAAAAAGCAAATATTTAAAGTTCATTTCGAGGCCTCTGGTCAGCTGTGTTCACGATGTTGCTGTAGCACGATTCGCCATTGGTCCGATGCGCATTCCGGGGGAGAGTCGTCTGGCGCTTGCGCATCGTGAGGTCGCGGCTATCAACAATCGCATTACTCTGTGACACATTTGTAGTTGTCTGTGTTCATAGGTCAACGATCACTTAGAATGTAACTATGCCTTAGTTTGGCAGCTGCAAGAGAAAATTCAGTGATAATTACGATAGCCCACTGCACTCATCGCAAACATCATAAACCCGCATCTCGGACCTATGGACTATTGACTCGTGGGACCCACAAATACAAGTTCACATTAACAGCTTTTACAACCTCGTGATGACGATCATTGCAGGATGAGTCTTTGTATTCACAATCTAGGATGATGTACTTTGAATTGTCTGGCACTGCAGCAATGCACACCAAAACCGAGCTTATGGCTCCGAGTCGTGCCTAACTTCACTCACAGTGCCAATATGAGATGAACCTGAACTTTGCGGGCAAGAACATCCCGCTAGCAAACATATGAAGGCAAAGAAGCTACAATGTATATCGTCGCAAGCAATGAATAACATCGCCTGCTGGCTTCTCAAAACCGTGGATAGGCACACTTTTCTGTCATTATAAACCATTACGTTTATTTTCTGAAAGTCCGAATAATAAAATTTGATGTGAATCGAATTGAATAGCAAACACTATCAAAGAAAACTAAAATATTAAAATATTTGCGGACCCTTACTATTTCAGCTTTTAGGTAATTTCTTTCAAGTCTAAATTACTGGTTGGTGAGGAATGAAGATGAAGGAATGAATTTTAAAAAACTAACTTTTCTGACTGCAGTACCTGAGTAGGTAGCACCAATGAGGAGGCAAGTGGGAGTTCACTGAGTGGCCTACTGCAAGGTCCCGAGGCCACATTCAGAAGTAGTGCAACCCATGGTGGAGAGCTCAGAGCCTGGCACAAGGCTGGGGTGGCACAAACTCCACGCAAAAAACCTAGGGTGGCCCACTCGTGGTGCTGCTCCACAAGCATCCACAGGGGCGCAGTTGAAACCACTCCTGATGGGGAGAATGATGAATATATCACACCTGCAACAGGAGCTATTGATCTTTTTAAAGCGCTTCTTATCAGCACCCTTAAGTACAACTAATCACTTTGACAGTGGGTTAGCATAACACAGAAGGATGACCTGCACTGTCACTCTGAATTATTTTGCAAATAATGATGCATCAATTTATTCTAATAACATCACATGCAGGGAAGTATGATACCCTAAACTAGTAGCTGGAAACTAGGGTCCTCAGACTATCACAGGGCTAATGCTCACTACATTTACAGCCGTGGGTAGTGGGTGCTAATGAATCAAGCATCACAAATTCATCACTGTCACTATTTACCGCCAATGTTATTAATAGGTGGGACACTTGCCTTGATTGCTGCCCTGACCTGAAGCAATGATGGATCTAAGAAGCCCAGACATGACTGCGGTGGCTTTGGGATGAACCGAGCTGGAGTGGATGCCCAAAGACACGCACAAAGCTCGCAGAAGCGTGTAGCAGCCCTGCTGCAGCAACACTGATGGGTGCTGTGCGGCTGGTACAGTGGTTGTTGCTGAAAGAACACCAATGAAAGAGGTCATGCAAGAAGATAGGGCAGTACTGCAGCTTGGTAGAAGGCGGTCAAAAATGCAAGTTTTCAATGTGCGACTAGAACACACCCTCTCAAAACAAAACGACAAACCTCCACTATATCAAGTGCATGCCTCCATATGTTGGCAACCATAAAACTTGGGGTATTAAAAGTGCCCATGATTATATGGCATTAAGCTTTCTCTCAAATGGCTATTAGATCGCCAAGTAGACTAAATCGTTAGTTTTTTAAACAAGGTGGTGATAGTGGTATCAACTAAATTTATGCGACTAAAGGTAACCTCTCGAGCACCTCAAGGTGGCGCCATGCCGGAAGCGACTCTTTCAGCCCAGGGGATGATAGGCAACATTTTCTCCCGTCCGGGAGTTGTGATGGGTTCACCCTATCTTAATTTTGAGGGCGCAGGTAGGAGCACTTTTGAAGGGGGGGGGGGGGGGAAACCCCACAACCAAGTAACAACTAACCAAAACTTGATAGAAGACTTTAAGATGAAGTAAAGCCCAACATAGGCTATTAAACAAAGAATATTACTCTTAAATTAGCACAGAACCACAACTGTGGTAGCCCTTAGACATGATGACGTGCTCGAGTGTTTTTGTACACATGGTGACAGCAAGCTTCCTGGTGATTTGTGGTCTCTCTGTCAAGCACAGTATGCTTCTAATCTGCTCTGCCATGAAGCAGTGCCAGCAGAGCCCGAGTGAATGCTTTCACTTAGGCTTAGGCTTAAACGTTTTGTAGTTGCTGTTTTTTTAGACATAACACCGTAGTGTGCGTACAAGCAGCAGCGAAATATACAATTGTACTAAATTCAATTTGCAGGTTCTGTGGTGGTTGTGTGATCCAATATGTGTGAAAAGCAACACCATCTGGTGGTGCTGCAGGGAACCTAACTTCATGTAACATGACTCTCTCTTCACATTGGTGGAAGCGCACATGGCATAGCAGCGTGGGATGCACTAGAGATAGGACTATACAAAGGTAGGGGAACTGCCCAATGAGCTGATTTTTCTCAATTGTATACACAACAAATAAAACCGACAGACAGTTAAGCCAAGGAAAACATAGCAGACATTATTTGTGGTTCCTTCACTTTAGTGTAAAATAATTCTCAATTAAATTGAAAGCAATTGAAGTGGATGAAAAATCGCCCTTTCTGTTTGGGGGATCGAAACATACAACTCTCAAGTCCCACAACCCACGTTATGTTCCACCTTTTGAGCTAAAATAAAGCGTGCTCACTCATTCACTTTTTCGTAGTATGGGAAATGGGACTAGGAACATTTACGTGGTAAGACATACAATGATGGTAACAAAAAGTTACCACAATGATATACCGTATTGCAGAAAAGTTCACAAACTACTAATGTAATGAATCACAGACAAGTAGTTTCAAGGAGAAACGTACCATCCTCATCTTCCGAATCAGAACTTGATTCTACTTCAGGCTGCGGAGGAAGTTCAGCCAACTTGAGGTCGTATTTTCCTTCCTTGCCCATACGATAGGAATTGGTGGAGCCATTGTCCCACTGCACTCGAATCCAGCCATCTTCACCAAGCTCACCGATCACACGACCTTCTCCAGGAGGAGGACCATCCTGAAGGAGCAAAAGAGGTGCTTTAGCAACAATTGCACTGCAAACTAAACTATAGCGAGCAGTGTAAGTGGGAACACACAAGAGCATGGCAAATAGCCTCAAACCACAATCCAACCTATACTCACATGGCACTGTAAAATAAGATGGAAAGAGTGATGCCAACAGTGGTCACTCGCATCTACTTGTACAACACATAGAATGCAATAATAATAAAAATAATAATAATAATAATAATAACAAAGATGTTGATGACAAACGGCGAAATCTGTGGCCTTATGCGCAAAAATCATGGTATGATTACAAGAAACATTGTCGAAAAAGCTCCGGAAATTTTGACTATCTAGCGTTTTTTGGCATGCACTGACATCACACAGTACTTGGACCTTTATCTTTTTGCTGGTATGCGACCACCATGGCCGCGACTGAAACCACGACCTTCGGGTTAGAAGCCGACACCAAAACACATAAAACATACTATGAAACAGATAAGAGGTCGTTGTAGCGCGTGTTATACCACTCACATGCAGAAAAGAGCAGTTATGCTTTTTTGTTCCTATTTTGCCATAATGTAACACACACATGTGTAACACACACATTTGCTTGTATGTGTAACACACACACAAGCAAATGAAAAAGCAGTATTTATGCAGAGCTACATATCCACCTTATCACTGTTAGCAGCTAGTGACACGCGATCAGCTGCCATTTTGTATTGGCACTACCGAGGAGGAAGTGAAATTATCTAATGAAACCACAGCGCTTTTTCACTTTGTTTCCGACACCAGACTTCCCGAACTTCACCGTGTCAGGCTTAAGGCTATTAGGCACATGCTTGCATGTTCTCTCTTTTATTTCTTACAATAGTACCTGTCCCCCCCCGTCCCTCCATACGCACTCAAATCCCAAAACTTTAACATAAGTATAACAGAAATATAAGTGACAACAAACCTTATTTATAATTGCTTTCAATTGATTGATTTGTGGGGTTTAACATCCCAAAACCACCATATGATTATGAGAGACGCCGTAGTGGAGGGCTCCGGAAATTTCGACCACCTGGGGTTCTTTAACGTGCGCCCAAATCTGAGCACACGGGCCTACAACATTTCCGCCTCCATCGGAAATGCAACCGCCGCAGCCGGGAATCGAACCCGCGACCTGCGGGTCAGCAGCCGAGTACCTTAGCCACTAGACCACCGCGGCGGGGCACAATTGCTTTCAAGGTTTGTTATCTGCTCGTGGTATGTATAGCTATCTGCTACGTGCTTTATTATTATTATTATTATATTTCAGGAGAGCAATTGAAAGAATGCAGTAATATGCACTAAGCTTAACTGCCATTTCATTTCCGCTAGAAAAACTGATGTGCTTGTGCAGCTATTGAGCAACTTGTGAGTGCGAAACTGCTGCAAGCTGACATTGACAGCTGTTTAATAGCCACTGTCACTAGCAGCATGCAATGGTCGCCTTTCGGCTAAAGCCGAAAGGCGGCCACTGCATGCTGCTACAAAACGTAGCCTTCAAGATCAACAATTGTGTTTTCTTGGTTGATTTGTACACTGGCATGATCTCCTGCCATAGCCAGTGCAACCGTGCAACCTTTCAGTGCTTGTGACCTCGTGAATATATTGTAAATATTACAGACAGCTGGAGTAAAAAAAAACTAATGGTGCGCTATAGGGCATCCAAATTTTTGTTCGTGAGTTAACATTACTTCAATGAGACAAGTTGCAGTGCAGCAAAGGTGTCCGGATAAACCGCCGTGCCCAAATTTTCAGTGCCTGAATAAACGGTCAGCAACTATATATATGCTAGACATGCTATAAGCAGTAATCATTTACCTGATCTCCCCATTTCCAGTCGACCCCACGGACTACCCTGGTGCCAATTTTCATCATAGAAGCCAGCTCCAGCCCACTCGGAGCAGGTGCTGGAGGCTGCGGCTTTCGTACGGTGTCTTCCAGCACTGCACAGAGGCTCACATTCTTCTCGTGAGGTGTGCGTGTTGGCCTGGGGCCTGCAAAGTGCACAACACGTGAAGACAACAGTGCTTAGCGGTGAGACTATTTTACTGGATTCAACAATTTATGCAGCATGTAAGAGCCTAAACCTAACAAACAGACCATATTTGAGCCATACAGCACTTGCACAATTATCGCTCGTCATTAAGACATCATTTCTCTGAATGCAATGGTTTAGAAAACCCGTGGGAGCAGTACAAACTTGTATTTGCATAGTGTGACCGATAACATATTGTACTGGAGAACTAGGTGAATTAAATCCCAGTCAATCTTAACATATGTAAAAGGCGAAATGAGTATGACACATTTTTTAACACACAGTAATTCCTTCAATGCTTTGAATGCAAAGTGAAAGAGAAAAATAGGGCAACCTGCTGCCAAGTCTGTTGATTCGAGACAACGATCAGAGAATATGAACTTATTATGACAGGACAAGCGAAAAACATGGTGAAACAAATACTCATTGATCATCTAGTCAACAATGGCCAGTGGAGTTCGTCTTTAGGTGTTAGTACTAATAATATGTGAACATTTCAATGCGAAAAAAATGGGAAAACAGATGATGGTCCTCACCCAACGCACGAAGCAGGGTCTGCAGATGTGCCAACACACCAGAGCCAAGCAAAAGGCTGACGCTCCGGCTTTGGTGCTCTCCTGACAGCAGACCGATAGCCGAAAGCAGGAAGCGAGACGGTGCAGAGAGTGTGCCGCTGCAGCCCGAGCAAGCACTTTCCATACTCGCCTGCAAAGCACACAAGCGTAGAACAATTGCACACTTGAGAAACTTAGCATGTCTCTGTCATCATGTCCAGCTGAAATGGCACCAGCGCCGTATTTTTTGGTGTACAAGCCACACCATTAATAAAATTTTAAGCTAAAGTAAAAAAAAAAAAATTGCAGTTTGCAAAGGTGGCTTCACGACAGCGCTTTCCAGTTATGCAAAAAAGCTAGCTCTGCGGCAATACGCGGTATTCACTTATAGAAATTTTTCATGAATCATTGTTCAGGATGAGGGTTATACACGCAAGAATGCGGTATATGGTTACCAAACACTAGTGTGTAGCAGAAAGCCATAGAAGTGACAGAAAGGGTAGAAAATACAGCATTAAACTAGAGCAGTATATCTTAAGCAAGATTGACTGAGATGTTAAAAGACCCTTGCATCTTTTCATGACTTTCCCTTTGCAGTCTGTCTCTCCTGGCATCCCGTTTTTCCACATACGACACACGCGATGAAGGAAGTAACAGTTATGCAAGATATTGTCTTGTGTTTTACTGCTAGCTCCACTTGACAGCACGAATACCTAGGCATACTTTTTTTGCATTCGTAAATAGATGGTGTCATAAATGAACTGCCCATGCGCTTAGTTGCAAGTTCCACGGGATCGATGTATTGAGCACTTCTCGATGGGTTGAACAAACATTCAGGAGTAGCGCACCTAAATATTCCATCCTATAATACAAGTGCACTGCACTTAACATCAATCAAATTAACCATATCTTTTACAATTGAACTAAAAAATTTCAACTACAGCAGACCTTGCTGCACAGATCAGCTGCAGTTTTTTTACTTTGTTTTTTTCAAGTAGCCAGCATGTACAAGCATAACCCAAAACATAACCCAAGTGAAAACACCTTTGAGACAAGATGTCGAGATGAGTGAGCCACAACTGGCAGGTTCTCATCTTCAGTGCTGCAGAACTCCAGAAGCAATGATCTCAGTTCACTAACAGCCCAAAGGTTGAGCCGTGCTGATGCCAACTCGAGAGAAATGCGCTGATGCGGTGGAATCAGGTTCAGGTTCGCTAAATAATGGACAGGCCTTTCCCTTAAAAAGAAAGAGAAAAAATTATAATTGATCAGCACAAGGCAAGTGTTGCAAGGACTTCTGCACTCAGTATGAGTTGCATTGCAGGAGTGCATGGCCAAGTGCAATGTAAGGTTGTACAGTTTCCTCGATCGTCACATGTTTTCGTGTTATCAGAACAGGGTCTGGCCCTGACCCTGCGAAAGTGCACCACCTCCACTTGCTTTCACATAAGCCCTCATTTTATGCTGTGGTGATATAAGCTTCAAAAATAGTAACTTCGAGGGTGATTGATTGATATGTGAAGTTTAACATCCCAAAACCACCATATGATTACGAGAGATGCTGTGGTCAAGGACTCCGGAAATTTCAACCACCTGGGGTTCTTTAACGTGCGCCCAAATCTGAGCACACGGGCCTACAACATTTCCGCCTCATCGGAAATGCAGCCGCCACGGACGATCTCACGACCTGGGGGTCAGCAGCCGAGTACCTTAGCCACTAGACCACAGCGACGGGGCAAATTCGAGGATGAATACAAACAAGAGGGGGCAGTGCGCCCTCAGAGAAACAACCAAACTCTTTAACAAGAACGCAAAAATATGCCACGATTGGCACCAGTGGACAACCTTGCAGTGCGCTTGGCCACATGCTTGTGTGCTGTAGCTCACACTGAATGTGGTAGTACTACATGTACGAACACTTAAAGTGAAAAACAGGCATGCTATATAAAATGTTTTTTTTTATACGAAACTAATCCACACAATAGCACTACTAGTAAAGGTATATAATAAACTCAGAGTAATGCTGTGAACTAAGATTCTAGACTACCGCAAGCAATATTTAAATCTGCATCCACCCAATCATCTGTGGTCTATTGAAAGTTTGCTGTTTTCTAAATTTATGGCAAGTGGATGTGGCCTCAGCACTGACCGACTTCCAATTCCTCAAACTCAGGTAACAATGGAAGATGACAGAAGCTCTCTTTTAACCACACCATTGGAAAAAGATAGCTTCGCGTTTTTTTTTTTTTTTCAAAATTAACAAAACCTTGTAAAATGTGTTATCTAAAAAGAGCATTGTGTGCACATGTGTGTGCTAAGGGGGCATGAGTTTCATACGAAGAACGGCTTGTAGCTCTACATCACAGAAATGACCTTTTTTTTGCATAGCAATCCAGTTATCAATCAGAGAGAGACAAGTATATTGAGGAAGTAATTATACTAATATGTGAACAAACTATTTTTTTACCATATACCTTGCTTTTAAAGAAGTTATAGTATAAAATATACAAAAAGAAAGCAGAAAAAACTCATAGGAAAGCATATGAATAGCGAGAGAGAAAAAAAAAAGATATTTGTACATGTTATACAAACCATGGTATCTTTCCAATGGGGAGTAGTCCCTGCCAGCCAGATTGAAGCTTATACTTAACAGACGGTAGCAAAGATGATTTCTCAAACAGGGTAAGAATGTTTTCCAAGCCTTGTAGTCTTGTCTTGGCTCTCTCCATCTGAAATGAAACAGTAGTTGCTTTTAACACAACTTATTTCCCACTCAAAGCTTGCAAAGATATTAGAGCAAGCAGCCAGTGACACCAGTGTAGTAGAACATGCCCACAGAGAAGCAAGATATTCGTCTCCTTTACATTTTATGGCTACTACAAAAAATGGCATCCAAGAATGAAATACTAGTATTCAGTGCTCCAACGACAGCATTACCCCACTGTGCCCGCAGCCTAAGTGCTAGGTTTAGGCATAAAATTTTAGCACTATGCAAGCATTGACTGCACAACAAATTAAAACCAGATCACCAGGGTTCAGTGGCATTTCAGAGCGAATGATCTTTATCATTATGAAAACATACAGTACTCTTGGTTGCAGTGTTCCTACAGATAATGAAGTAATGTCATGTCCAATGCTGAGTGCAAATTGAACAGACAGTGCCTGTTCAAAAGCCCCTGTATCAGAGTTGGTATTTTTTCAGTCTAATGGCCCTACAATGGCTCAATATTTTATCGTGTTAGAGTTAATACTATAGCAAAAAAAAAAGACAAGTGTCCAGCAATATCTGATGAACATGGCCAAACTATGAGCTCGGGCCAACAGCATTCTAGATTAGAGATACCGCTCACCTAGAACAACTTTGCTGTAGGCGCTCTCAAATGAATAAAGTTTATTACTCTCTGTATCTGCACACTTTAAAGTCAAAATTAATTACGAGGCCTGACCTGGCAGTACATGGCCTTCCTGATGAGCTCAACATCAAGATCCTGGGTCACAAACTCGAGCATTTGGCTCAACAACTGACTGTGGTCCACCACGTTCTGCTTGAGTTGGTTCCCTTCAGACAAACACTGAAACAAAAATGAAAGTAGTAGACCGATTTGTTTACAGTGCAGACAGCAAGGGAATCACCCCTTGCACTAGGGGTGATAATAAATAGTATCACATCCTAATCTACAAATGAGCAAAGAGAGTGGGATACTAACACAAGATGGGGTCAACATGGCACGCCACTAGCAGACATGGAACACTTCAAATACACTAGCAGAAGAGACATTTTACGCACAGTGCTCCCTTTTGCTCACTTCCTAATTTCCCTCAATAAAACAATTATTGTTTGCCAATAAATTCATATGATTTACTACCAAATTAATTTATTATAAATATAATACAAAGCTGCCCTTCAACGTCTCTTTCATGGACAAAACATAAAGCATGCTAGTCAGAAACATAAAATAAAGCACGAGATAATAATAGCCCACAGGTTGTGCAAAGCAACTATAGATTTGACGGCCATATCGGACAATAATTCGCATACTACTGGGAAGAATACTTGACTTATGTGCAAGAACAGAATCCCACTACTAAAATGGCATATAATCAACAAAAGCATGCAAACGCAAAAAATACCCCAACCTTTTTCAATGCTGTCCCGGCAGCTTCCAGCTTCATGTCAAGGCTCTCTAGCACCTCAGTTTGACTTTCATCAGAAGAGTCCTTGTCTTTGGAAACAGATGAGTTTTCTTCAGAGGAGCCACTGGATGATGCTTCTAGAAGAATAGGATGCAGGGTATGGTCAGGGATCACTGAACAATCTGTCAATGCAGAATGATTAAGATATGAATGCACTTGTTACTTTGTTAAGCAGCCTTTACTCTCACTTTTATCAGATCTTTGCTGAAGGATGATTTGATGCGTAGCGGTCTTCCATCGGGATGGAGCACCGATAAGCTTCAGGTTCTCCATAATCCTAAGCTCTCTGCTGACTGCAGGCCGCAGTTCGTAAAAAAGAAAACGGCATCGTTCAAACATCGGGCAGCAGACTTCTTTGTATGAGCCGTTCAAGTCTTGTCTTGCCTGCAAAAAGTTCAAACACAAACATGAAAGCACATGATTTAACACCCCAAAATTGTAGCAAGTTGTATGTCCTTGAAAGTGATTCATAGAATGCTAAGTCAATCCCTTTGGCTCAAATATGGAAGGAATGTTCAACAGCACAATTTTGTTTTCTTGATACAAAAAAGCTAGCTCTACAGGCAGGGGCAATAAGGAGTGAGCACATTCAATTAATATACAGGAGTCATGTTAACGATTGTAAACTAATAATTCTGAGGATTTTACATGCCATAACTGCAATATGCTTATGAGGCATGCTGTAGAAAATACTCTAAATAATCTTGACCAGCCGAATTTATTTAATGCACAACAAAGTTTAATTCCATGAGCATTCTTACATTTCATTACTTAAGTCCTATAGAAGATGTCATCATATCAAAAGCAAACACAGATGAAAAAATGGCTGCCATACTTCAAAATTCAGAATGCAAGGTTTCCGTAGCGTGCTATGTAATTACCCTTTTACGACCCAAAAAAAAGAACATAAACTTGTCAATATCACTGAAAACTTTTTTGCTCACTTTGTAGAGCTTTTTTTTCCCTGAACTAAACAATATCATTCTGTCAATTCAATGGCATTCTTCTATTTTTCTAACCACGTAGAAAAAGGTTAACTTGGAGGTGGCTCCAGCGCATGGCAATGCAATGAAAATGGCAATAAAATTAAAGCCAGGGCACAAATGTCCCAACATGGACAAGTGTGGCCATCTAGCATCAAGAAACACAGGTGGGATGAGCATAGTCATCATCGATTTTGTGCAGGACCAATTTTCGTTGCCGAGTACAGTTGAGCCCGCTCAACTTTGCCAGTGTGGCTGGCATTGCGGAGCAGTGGAGACGGGCAAGAGGAACGTATTGTGGGAAGAAGACCGCTCGGGTCGCTTGCTTAAAAAGGCCCACAAAACGTGCAACTCACGTGCAGAAAAACTTGGGAGAGAGGTCTGCCCGCGCTCAGATAAAAAAAAAACGCATTGTGGCATATGTGGGCTTGCGCAGCCCCACTGATGTCATGATTGGTTTCGTGAAACAGCCATTTTTTTATGCTTCTGAATGCATGCTGAGGGCATGCTGAGCAGAATGCAACAAGTTTTAAACACGGAACGAATAGCGAATAATTCAAGTCAGTGGGGAAGCGCAAGCGTGTGCTCTGGAACGATACGACCGATCGGGTACAGCCAGCGGCCGACGATGTTGGCAGACGGTCTGGTCACTCTAGACTGGCGACGCCAACAATAATGTAGCAAGCGATCAAAAACTGAGGGGAGACCAGTCAGCCGACCCGACCAGTCTTCGAAAGATAGGTGACATTGTGAAAATACAGGCTTCGTCCGGCAATGCGGAGTGCTCAGAGTAGCAGGGGTACAAAGGACGGAGGGGTGCATAACAAAAAACGCTCGGGGAGAGCGACAACTTGAGGACTGCCTAGTAAGGAGTCGGTATTTAACAATAAAAATCTATGAGCACCTCGCCGATGGCTAATTAGCGGTCGAAAGTGGAGTCCCAGCAAGTCACTGGAGCGCCGGCTCCTCCCACTGTACCGATCGGCGGCACTCAGAGGCGTTCATTGTAAGTGCGATTTTGTGCCACTGAACTAATGTATACTCCCACGATCATGCAGATACCGTTCGTTTTAAGCAAAAGTTCATTTTAAATGGGGCCGTTATATGTGGGCTCAACTGTATAGCCGTCATTGGTCATTTTGTTTTAAAATGTGGTGACTATACTCGTCAGTGGTAGCAAAAGATTTAAAGGAACAATAGCACAAAATTTCAAGCGGTGTTGTTGCCGTTTCATGTCCCAAAACCATGATATGGTTGTGAGAAACAATGCAGCGGAAGGCTCTGGAAATTTCGACCACCTGGGGTTCTATAATGTACATGTAAATTCAAGTACACAGACCTAGAGCATATTGCCTCCATCGAAATGCGGCCAGCAGCCTAGATTTTGTGACCCCAGTTCCGTTTATCCTGTTGACTCAGTGGCTGTAATGCTCAGCTGATGACTAAAAAGTCATGCGCTCAATACCGGCAGCAGATGTTCTATCTGGGCGGGGGTGAAACGACAGAGACTCCTCTATTTAGTGTCCCCCACTATGTCGTCTCATAGCCTTAATTGCTTCCGGACGTTTTACCTCATAAACCAGCCAACCGAAAACGCAGAAATTATGTCAGTACCCTCTGTTTCTGTTTCCACATGCGACACTTTTATTTTCTAAGAAAGTTAGACAGTATTACGTGGCATTATATATGTCAAATCCCTCCCACAGTATTGTAAAAAAGTGAAAATATGCATGCAGTGACCTTGATGAGGGACCACTTGGCTTGCTGAACCATTCGCACAATGTCCTGCAAAATTCCTGGGAGTTGTACAGGCAAGGACTTGATGGACGAGCCTTTCAGTGCCAGCTGTTCCGCAGTGTTCAGCAGTGTAGCACCACATCCCAAATGCTTGACTGCCATTGCTAATAACAGCCTGCACAACAAGGTAGTTAATAAAAATTAATAAGAATGCTGCATACTCAATTTCGTTAAAACAGACACACCCACACTTAAATAAAGCATTGCAGACCAAATATTACACTGAATATATTACATCCAGAAATTCATTGTCTACAGGTTTATCATATCCAGGTCTGATTGTGTTACAGTATGAAAAAATAGAAAGAAACTGCACTACAAGCGAAAGTTTGGCTAATTGGCGGTTCATGCTTGGTTGTAAAAACGGCGCAAGAATATAAACAAAGAAGGAACTTGCCAGCTCATTGCAGAGAGTGTGGCTGCCAGCTGTTGGCGGACAAAAGCACTTGTTTGTTTGGTCATCGGGACAAATGTACTAGATGGAGGCTTTTTGCATTGAAAGGGAGGGGGGAAAGGTGAGTAAGCAAACCGTCGGTGGCCCTCGGTGAAAAGGAGGTTGGGTACCTGGGTTCAGCGCTGTGACGCTGAAGCGATTGCTAGTTTTTTATGGACTGATGCGCATGCCAGTAGTTTTGTTCTTTCTTCTTTTCTCTTAGGTGTTTACGGATGTGTCGCTTTTCGCCATGATTAGATCCTTTTGGTACCTTGCTTGCTCTGCTGTGCAGATGCCGTGGTGCGCCATGTGACTAGGTCCTCTGCCCAATATAAGTGTGTGTTCCTTCTAATAAACTTTAACTGCGAGTTCAGTGCCTTGTCGTCTCTTCCTCCATCTTTGTCTATATTTTTGTGCTTTTTTTACGTCCAAGCATAGAGAGAAAGATATTCATTGAATTGCAGAGAATTTCGCTCGTCTATATGAGAGGTGTAATGAAGAGATAAATCTGATGGTTGTGACAGAGGCCCCTTATGAACTTATCAACTGAGGTTATGTCTACAAGAAACACAAAAATAATATTTATACTTGAATGTTACTGTGAAGCAGAAGACATGGGATCTAGTAGTATTTTTTTGAGCCCTATTGGGGCTTGGAAAGCTGTGCTCATTCAGCTGCAAAAAATAGCTCTTCCCTCTCTGAGTAACCTAAGCATTAAAAGAAAATTTGTTCGGGTCTTTGTATCAAACCACATTTATTGCAATCTGGGTTAGTGGTCAAACCAAGGCAGTAAAGGTGCCTATTTGTGAATGCGGGATTCAGATGAAGTGAATGGCAATGTCTGAAAGTGACAATGAATGATGATGCAGGAAACTTCATTTGAAGTAGTGGCTACTTGGTGAACAAAGTGACCCCAAAGTGACAAATTTGTCACCAATTATTTTTCCATTTGGGTCTATTTCAATGACATTGCTGATAAACCCCTCATGTAATGTACAGTGTCGGGACCCTTGAGGTACGATGAATAAACCTGATTTAGTAAAACATATCTGGTGAATTTAACACAACAGGTGTGACACTCGCCTGATGCTTTTAAGTACGGATGGGCGAATGCTCGAACGAAGTAAGGATGGGCGAATGCTCGACCTTCGAATAACGCGTTATTCGAAGGTCGTAGGTTCGATTCCCGCTCACGGCTGGTTATTTTTTCATCCACTTTTCTTAATTCTTTCTTCTAATTTACATTCCATTGGTTCTAATAACTTCCCCTGTACATTCGTTGGCATTACTGTCTGTTAGATCTCATTAATATTGTGTTAAAACACGGAAAAACGAGCCCTTAGGTATACACTTCTTTCCCTTATATATATATATATATATATATATATATATATATATATATATATATATATATATATATATACGTGTGTGTGTATATATATACAATAATATTGGGATCTAACAGACAGTAATGCCAAGGAATGTACAGGGGAAGTTATTAGAACCAATGGAATGTAAATAAGAAGAAAGAAAAGTGGATGAAAAAATAACTTCCCTGTACATTCCTTGGCATTACTGTCTGTTAGATCTCAATAATATTGTGTCAAAACACGGAAAAACGAGCCCTTCGGTATACACTTCTTTCCCTTATATATATATATATATATATATATATATATATATATATATATATATATATATATATATATATATATATATATATATATATAAATTAATTAATTATAACAAGGCATGAGAACAGGCCATTCTTTTCAGTAACTTTGAATGGTAGCAGAGTTTGACTTAAAAGGCAGAGTACAAGTGATAACCTGTAAAACATGTTATGTCTTGAAATTCACTATACTTAGTGCATACATGTTTTTGAACCTAAAAAAAGAATCAATGTGAGGGTAATATGCTCACTTAACCTTAAAGTGGCACTTCGCAGTAACGCGAATTTTACACAAAAAAGGTGTAGTCACGGCACTTTCCACAACAGTGAAACCAGCTTTACAGGAGATTACATGCGGACTGAAATGCATCTATTCATTCATTTCGAATACTTTGAAATTTCAAATAACTGGAATCTTGTTTCAAAGCAAATTTATTTCAAAATGCTCAAATATTCCCCCAAGGCTAGTTTGAAGTGATACTGAGTCGACGACACACAAAAATTTCACCCTCACCTTCCCACTTCTTCGATTGGGTGGTCAGCTCCAAAGTCCATGTGCAAAGCAAGATGCTGCTGCTCACAAAAGGTGTCAACTGCTCGCAGAAAGCCAGCAACCATAGGTTCTTCCAGGCGTCCTTCAGCAATGGCCTCAATGAGGCTCTCTTCACTACAACTGGTTGCAGTGCCAGATATTGGCGACGGCGCAGATGAGGCAGCAGACAGTGCCTTTGGTTCTGTTGGTGTCATGCCGGACACTAAATCAAAGCACACAAACAGGATAGTGTAAAAAGTGCGCAAATGCATCGAACACACCAGCAAGTCGGGGACTCATATAACTGACCCTAATTCTTGTTACAAGATACGTTTGGTCAAGCAAGTTTACTGAGAGGAAACAGTAAACGCACACAGAAACATATTCGTGCAACATGAAACTACAAGGTGAAAAGAGTACTTGAATTAAAGCCACATTTATTCATTTATTTATTTATTTATTCAGTTACCCTCAGGGCCCGAGGGCATTACAGAGGGGAGTGGGTACATACATACATGTACAGCATACAAAGCAAAATACAACAACAGAAAAATTGCAATCATCGCTTGCTACAGGGTTGAACTGAGGCTACGTACAAATAAAATTAGTGACGGCAATTTTAAATAAAGCAGCATCTTTTATACCAAGAATATCACAAGGAAGATGATTCCAACATACAGATGTTTTTGGCACAAATGAATCATGAAAACACTTGGTGTGCGCTATAGGAAGTCTTACTTTATGGCGATGATCAATGCGAGTGGAAACGTAAGTTGGTTGGGCCAATAATCTGCTTCTGAGTAACGGATTGGTGAAGTAAATTTTATGGAATATACACAGCCGAGACACTTTCCTGCAAAGAGACAGCAGGGGTAATGCTAGTGTAGTTTTCATTGATGTGACGCTCGAGGTGCGATGGTAATTTGAAAGGATGAAGCGCGCTGCCCGATTCTGCACTCGTTCTAATTCATAGATAAGCGAGTCATGACCAGGGTCCCAAACAGATGCTGCATATTCTAATCTGCTACGTACCAATGCTTTGTAGAGTAAGAGTTTCAAGGAAACGGGTGCCTGATTAAAATTTCTTCGAAGGTAACCCAACGTGCTATTAGCTTTACCTGCAATATATTCAATGTGTGTCTTCCAAGACAATGTAGAAGTTATGTGGATACCCAGATACTTCTAAGAATTTACTACTTCGAGAAGAACATTATTAATATGATACGACCTGATACTAGTGCTGTGTCGGTTAACATGCATGTACTTGCATTTGTTAACATTTAACGCCATGCCCCAAGTCTCACACCATTCCTGAACCCGATCCATATCAGCCTGCAATTCTAGAACGTCTGAATGACCCTTAATTGCCCGATAAATTACGCAGTCATCTGCGAAAAGACTCACTGAAGAAGTAATGTTTAGAGGCAAATCATTTATATAGACCAGAAAGAGCAATGGTCCCAACACGGAGCCCTGTGGGACCCCAGAGCCAACCGGGACCCTGGGCGAATCAAAGTTATTAACAGTTACAAATTGGGAACGGTTACTGAGAAAAGCAATCACCCACGCGAGGACGTTATCATCTATATTTAGGCTCCGTAATTTTAAAATGAGTAAATCATGAGGTACTTTGTCAAATGCTTTTGAGAAATCTAAAAAGATACAGTCAATGGGTGTGCCATTGTCGAGAATAGAATGCAAATCATGTATAAAACATATTAGTTGCGTTTCACAGGAAAAGTTTTTACGAAATCCATGCTGCGAATCAGTAAAGAAAGAATTGCCCTCTAAAAATTTTACAAGCTGCGAATAAATTACGTGTTCTATTATTTTGCATGGTATCGAAGTGATTGATACTGGTCTGTAATTTTCCGGACAAAGTTTATCACCTGACTTAAAGAATGGAATAATTCTTCCCACACTCCAATCATCCGGAAGACAGCCCGCTTCCAGAGATTGCTCAAATATTTTTGTTAAGATTATGGCGCTGTAGACTTTAGTGTTGATTAAAAACTTGGAAGTAATGTTGTCAATTCTGGCGGAAGACGAGACTTTAAGATTTTCTATTATTTTTTGTACACCTGCTGTGTCGAAACGAATTGCTTCCATCGGGAGATAACCACTAGCTTGACAAACAGGGTTTGAACCTTTGTTGAGGAGACCTGACACTGCCGCCGCGAAGGTGTCACAGAGAATAACAGCGCAGTCATCTTCATGGGTTACCCCGTCCGAAGTTTTAAGTGTTATTTCGCGAGTATCTTTTTTATTCACCACCCTCCAAAATTGTCTCGGGTTGTTGGCTAACATATTGGGGAGTGTGTTATTAAAGTAGGTTTCCTTTGCTGCTTTTGTGGCCCTCCTATATTCCCCATTAGCAACGTAGTAAGAATCCCATCTGGCCTGCGAGTTAGAAACTTTAGCGGACCGAAACAGCCTTTTTTTCTTATTAGCCAACCTTTTCAAAGATTGGCTATACCAGGGAGCATGCTTGTTGGTGGTGACTAGCCTCAGGGGAACAAACGTTTCAGTCAGGTATGCTACTTTTTCTTTGAACAAAATCCAGTTCGAATTAATGGAACGAGCCTTAAATTCATCAAGATAGCTGTCCAGAAATAAACAAATTTAATTTATTTAATTATAACTCCTGTAATAAGTACGCACAAGCATTTTGCTGGACAAAGAAATTTACTTGAGTGCGTGCCACACGTAAATATCTCCACACAAGGCCCAAATTCTTTGTGGCTTGTTGCTTTGGATTATGTCCCACAGTGCTCATAGAGAGACTAAAGGACACACTCGCACATAGTCATTGTCAGAGTCTGTCTATAAGATTGACACATATAAGAATATAACACAAAATATGAGAGATATCGTAATGACAGCAGCCTGGCTCACCAGGGGTGGCAGCACTTGACCCAGTGCTCCGTGCTTCTCCCTTCTCTTCCTCAAATGGGTCATGAGGAGGCAGTGTTTTGAGCAGGCCACCACCACGGAGTAGTGTGCTCTCTAACCATGGCTGCAGTTGAGCCTCAAAGGGCTCGAGAGGCGGACCACAGGCCTGCTGCTGCAGATGTAGACCAAGCAGGTATGCTAGAGTGCGCTCCGCATCGCACAGTGGCGATGACAGGCTGCTGGGATCCACTAACAAGGGTGTTTCTTGGTCGTGCTGCACATGAAAGCAGACAGGAGTCGGACCATTTTGTCGCTGAAAACCACTAGCCCATGTACCACTTGTTACTTTCCCGAGCAGTAAAAACTCAGAAGTGCCATGATTTTCCAGTTAATTAGTCATGATAACACTTATTTTGACAATGTCTGCATCTTTGTTTTACAGGCCGCTAACACCTGCTTCATTAAGACCATTGTTAAAAATCTTCCCCCCACCCCCCTAACACTAACGCTCACAATTTCTACAAATAGCTTAAAGGGCCACTCAACAGGTTTGACAACTTTGAGCTGACAAGCGCAATGTATAGACGAGGCGTTCATGATCACGTCTGCCAAAATTTGCAACGCTACGCGCCGCGGAAATGGGTCAAATTTCAAGATGAACGCTGCTCTCCCTCCCCTCTGCCGGTGCACGCATAGAGAATGAGGGCATGACGTGTGCATATAAATGGCCCTACGTACACGGCAATGCAGTGACGTTGGTCCTCTACGTAGATGACTATGCTCTGACGTTGCCAACAGTGATACGTAACATGGCGAAATTATTTAACACAACATGTGTAGTTTATGTATTTGTTGCTTTAAAAGATTAATAAAACTTGAAATAAATAATGAGACGCAAAAGAAAATTGTACGCGTTTTTCTTTCATTTTTTCCCGTGAAATGCTACGAGATGCGGGGCTAATGTGCAAGCGTTTCGCATTCGTTCACGTCCCCGTAGTCAGCGCATTGAGCAGACGACCGCCGTGGAACGCTCCTACGCGTTCGCACACTCATTGTGCTCATCTGCTCTACTGCGTCTAAGCCAGCGTTTCCGAACCATCCCGCAGAAACAGGCAGGAGACCACAAAATAATGCTGGTCAACAAAGCAACGCTGCTTGCGTGCTCGAGGGTTGGACTTGTTTGGGCATGTCATGCGCACGTCACCTCATAGTTGGATGCTGGAGAGGGTGGGGAATAAATTTGGCTTGCAAAGGCTACGCAGAGGAGCGGCAAGGGTTTCGAGTTTGCCTACTCTCCCCCTCGTTTCGCGCCGCTTCAAAAACCTGTTTTCTCCGCTCATGATAAACCGATTTGAAAAAGTTTTGTGGCAAAACGTTCCTCATCGGACACCCAAGAACTTCCACTGTCGGTATGATGCCGACAGTGGAAGTTCTTGGGTGTCTGGCGGTATGATGCCGACAGACCTCATACCGAAATTTGGTATGAGGCCTGGTGAGTGGCCCTTTAATAGAAACTGAGGTTTTCGCACAAAGTATTCTACTTTTGTAATCGACAACACGATACGTACAAGCACTGATTTCGAGTTCGGCACGGCTGTTTCTCCATCATGTACCCTCATGCCATCAGCGTCGGTATAAGCCAAGTAGTGGTCTAGTGGCTAAAGTATTCGGCTGCTGATCCGCAGGTCGCGAAATTCGGGCTGCGGTGGCTGCATTTCGAATGGAGACGGAAATGTGGTAGGTCTGTGTGCTCAGATTTGGGTGCACGTTAAAGAATCCCAGGTGGTCGAAATTTCCGGAGCCCTCCGCTACGGCGACTCTCATAATCATATGGTGGTTTTGGGATGTTAAACTCCACGTGTCAATCAATGATTAAATTTGTCACTATGCAGGTACAAAACCGATCACCGCACACTTAACATTGTAAATTTATGTGCATGCTTCCAACAAAAGAAAACCGTAGCTGCAAAGCTAGCGAATGGAAAACTTACATCGACAAAGTTTCCCACGAAAAAGGAGCTCAGCATTTCCCTTGCTTCCTTCGAGTGGCAGGCAGCTTCAAAAGCTTGCGTTGCATCTCGACCTAGGGGAAACAGAAATACCACTTAATTTGTTAATGTCTATCATATGGTGGCAAACTCATTCGCCATTCGACTTAAGCCATTTGAACATGAGCCTCAATCTAGGTGAGTATAGATCAGTAATATTTTGGTGAGTGAGTTTGAGAGAGCTGAACTGAAAAATATTTTTATGAGTCTGAGTGCAAGTAAGTCTAGTTGAGAAAAATTTTGGTGAGTATGATTCTGAGGGAACCCCTTGGGCAAAATACGTCATGGGTGAGTCTAAGTAAGCTGCGAATTTCTTGCCTATCTATGGTCTCCATACAAAATGAACCAGCATGTTGTGAACTTCTTGCTAGTAATTTTATTGAGTTGTAAGAAGCGATGGCAAAATGACTGAATGAAAAAAAAAACAAGAAAAATGAACACTTAACAAGGATCATCTCTAGATGTCTTGTGATAAAGATATATGCAAATACAGTGCTTTCTTATATAGTATACTATATTTTTAGCTCTATTGCATCAATATGCAACTTGAATGTGCATGAGCTAGCCAGAACAGAATCTTCATAAACTCTGCTCGTAATTTCCAGCATTCTTCTGCCTGAAAACACTCATACTAAGCATTACTATATCACACTCCTTTACAATCCATAAAACCAATATAGAAAAAAGAAAATGTTTATATTTTTACCTGATGAAAACAAAAAGCAGCTATTAAAAAAGGTATTTATTAGCAAATAAAAATTATGGCCGGGGAATTTTTTTTTAAAAAGGTGAAAAGGTGGTATAGCACCCTTCTTCGTCTTCCCTTTTTTTTTTTACTCAAGCTTTAAGTTAGTGCTAATCACACACTGAAACTAAACAGAAATATAATTTAACAGCAACATTTTCAGAAAGCTTTATCTATAGTGCCCTAACTCTCACGATCAGGCCCAGTGGCCATCGTGAGAGTGCGCAGCATAGCCGCGAGGAACCTTTTTCACTACCGGCGTATCAAAGCTCGCCATTGCCAACTGCGACGTGCTCGCAGTCTCCCCTTTATTGTGAACGTGTGCCCGCGTCCCGGGAACCACCGTTGTACTGTTGTATGGGGCGCCGCCAGAGCCAATAAAGAGTTTGCGTGTTACTGTTAATATCGAACACTGCCTTTTTTGCCGCGCCACACTAAACGCTTTGTTAGTTGAGCGTGCGCAGAGCGGTGCGCTACACGTGAGCAGGTGACTGAGACACGGCTTTGTGGCTCGCTAAGCCTGAACCAGCGGTGATATTTCATTATGGTGAGTAGCGACGTCACCACAAGAGTCAGAAGTGTTTGGGACAGCATTACCCAAATCCAAGTTTCTCACTGCTAAAGGATACCTAAAGTTATCTTTAGATAAGCTATCAGCAAAGCTGTGGCAAATAAGCAGGTTTTTAAGAGTCTTGAATCCACTCAAATTAGATAATTTTTTTCACAAACAAAGCACACCGGTATAGAGCTTATCACAACACTGTTTAGGTATACAGTATATTCTGAATATGTAAATAGAAATATGTTAGACAGAACCGCCGCTTAAATAGAACAACTGCCTCTGACAAGATTGGTTTTGTGCTTGTGTTCTGCACCCCCTGTTTATCTCCCAGTAAATGAAACTCATGTTAATCACAACATACTTTCTCGGTACCTTAAGGTTCCATTTATTGAGAATCTATACTCTATATATATAGCCTTTGTTAATAAAAGTGAACATAACACATGACAGAAGAAGAAAAGAAAGAGCCACGGCATGTGGCAGAAGGAGCTTGGCTCTTTTCGCTGGAATAAACAGCAGCGTTATGATGCGCTGCACTATTTATCCAGGAGTATTGGTCTTGAAACCTGGCTGATCTTCTAATGAAGTCTTCGGATTTTACGCGCCTTATACACGAAGGTTTTGATAAAGAAGTTCTTTTTGGTAAACCTTCACAATATACGATATCGGTAGACCATTGCTATGTGTACGCGGAACAATGTTGGGTAACATCAATGGCAGTACTCACCAGCATACTTGGTGAAAACGTCAGCACCACAGGGAGCAGACGGTCTGAACTCTTGCAGGTCGTACACTCGGCCTCTAATGACAATCCAGAGACCACCGTCTCGATTATGATTTTCCACGTCGGCCTTGCGCAGTGTCAGTACGTCTTCAGATGGGCACTGCCGATTCTGCGGAGGCGGTGTCAGAGTGCCCCCTCCAAGACCCGGCCAGGACAAGTCTTGCGTGTCCTCAAGGAAGGCCCCAGGCGCCAGCTGATTGAAGCAGTCGAGGCTCTCTAGAAGCGGGGACAGCAAAGGCGCAGCATCCACAACATGCATCATCTCTGGTAATGAGCTCTCCAGGAGGACAAGGGAGACGAGCAGTTCCGGAAGCAGGATGCCTGGGAGTGACAGTAAGAGAGGGTTTTTATCTTGTCCACAAACTTCCTAGTGTTTGCACATTACCGCATTGATTCTCATCGGCATGACTAAGCCCACTTTGGGCTAACGGCCTCTCCAATGTTCCATCAAACAACCTGATTCTGTGCTTGCTGTGGCCACGTTATTACCAGATTACAGGGGCAGTAAGTGTAAATGGCTGTGTATAACCGAATTAGACAAGCACAGAGCTATTGTTGCAAGTAACCAAGTCTATTTTACTTCCCTGCTGGTCTCTGAGGTAGCAAAATACAGTAGACTTTCATTATATGAAACCTGAAGGGACCAGGAATATTTAACAAGAGCTTTATTAACAGTGAGATGAAAAAGGGTGTTGAATTTAAGTACAAAACCAATAATATTGTATTCAACTGCTCCATTCAAGCAGCAATTCCTTTTAACAGATTTCTGTTTATTCACAGCCTTCAGTAGAGTAAATACTAAATACTATGACCTACACAACAATACACCTTTCTTGTTTGTAACGCACTGACATAGTCATAGCAAATTTTCACCAGGTGTTTTTTTTTATACATGTGTTAACATCCTCCATACCAGCAGCATGCTCACTAGCATATAAAAAAATCTTTTGCCGTGTTTCAGAACATATGATTATTATGTGGCAAAGATTTATTAAAACTAATGCAGGAAAACTGGAAAGTCTACAAAAGGGCAGTTGGAGTCAGCTACAATACATATGGGCATACTTCAATAGCTAACCTCAAGTCTCCAATTGGCTTACCATCTATAAATGACAGAAATCTTGCGTATTGCCTAAAATCTTTTTGAACTATTAAAATGACTATTACAACATTGACCCATCTCCCCTCATCCCCTATACAACAAGTTACACTACAGACATAGACACTCACCAGTTGTAACTATTTACTGCACATGTTTAATGCTTCGGATATCTGCATTTTCCTATAACTCTAGTGGAATGGCTTGATAAAATTGAGACAGAATTCGTTATCATCATACATGCCTTACTTCAGTAAAAAGTGCTTTAGTCGGGCTGTAATCGTGTTTTAGATTATCCCTTTTTGACTTATCTTAAAATAATTAGAATAATGTAGCTTGTCTTTCGTTCTTTTCACGCGTGTGAGGAAAGAAAGTTATTCAGTGCAGTTCACCCTTCTTATTTTATTGTATTTGTATAAATACATTAGTACCATGCTGCTAAGGTCTTGTACGAATTGGGATGTTACTAGTTAGGCCGATGTGTCGAATTATGACGTACGTCAATTGACAACCAAATTGTTCTACTGTGCAACAAGATTTCTGGCGTAATTGAATACGTTGGGGAGACTAAAAACATTACAAAATTTAAGAAGCAAATTACGAATGTATTAATCTAACCACACTTGTAGGATGCATGTGTTGAAGATGGGTAATGTATATAATATGTTTATTGTAGTCATTGTTTCTTCATCATTGTTTTTCATATTACACTCAATTTGTATGTACAGTCAAGCACGGATATATCGAACACAAAGAGGATTGCATATTAGTTCGATATATGAAAAATTTGATATAAAAAAATTGAGGCCCCACGATAGCTTACCTGTAGCTGATCATCACCATAATAGATGCATTCAACAATGACAACTAATTCCGCACACACGCCGTAACAAAATGTTTTATTTGCATGAAAAAACATCGCTAAGCTTTACCTGCTTCTTCGTTTTTGAAATGTTGAATACGCTAGTCTTGATCTTATCACAACTCGCAAAACACGTCGTATATGTGCTCGTTGTCGTCTTCACCGGTTTTCACAAGCTCCGCCCTCTCGAAGCCTGCCTTGCGGAAGCAGTTGACCACCGAGTCCGTCTTCACGTCTCGCCAGGCATTGAAGATCTCCCGCGGGAGAAAACTTCGCAGAGATTTCCAGTCACTCCTTCGTTATCAACTGCTGGATGTCTTAGCTGCTGACAGCTTCGCTTTCACCAGAAATGGTTTTGCCAACGATGTTGTAGTGCTGCTCAAATCGGTGAAGCCACCCGCTGTTGTCAACGAAGTTGTTTCACTGTGTGAAAGTGCCGAAGTGTGTGAAAGTGCAAGTGCCGAAGCACACCTTCCAGCTCCTGAAGCGTTCGATATATTCGGTGGGTAAAAATACCGTTCGATATACAGTCAAACCTCAATATATCGAACACAGATATATCGAATTATTGCCTATATCGAACGGTTCCTATATCACGCGGGAAATTGCATGTATTATTGATTGTTTATTTCGAACAAAGTTTGACATATAATGGATATATCGAACTCAGCCACCCCTAACCGCCCGCGCTCCATTGACAGGCGGCGAGCTTTCCCGCAACTCTCGAAAGTAGCGGTAGAGCGGGGGGCATTTACGAATGCTGCACACATCGATGGCGCCGAGAGCGCCACTTTAATGTAGCGGCGTACGCGCGCCGCAGCCTTGCGGTAGAGGTTCTTGAATGAGGAAAGTGAAGAGAAAAGCGCGGAGCTGTTATTGTCTTTCAATACGAAGGCACCGACACGGCTTCGCGCGGGGGAAGGGGGAGTGGGAGGTAAAGATTGAGGAGAAAAGTATAGGAGGGGAAGGACGCAGACGACTGTCTCGGACACGGCCCGCACTGCCGCCGGGAAAGAGAAAGCAGTCAAGTGAGCCTGCGTGGGCACGCCATGTGCGCGCTTTACACCCGGACTCACGCCGCAGCCTTACAGCTTGCAGTCCTTGCAGTCTCTATGGTGTCAACAGCACACTGTGCACTTGTTGCAAGCTCCTCCCCCGTAGCATCGGCAGGCATCGGTCATTGTGCTCACAGTGTTTGTGCGTTCGGAGTTAGTCCTGTCGCCCGCTGTGGTGCGCGACAGGCCTAACTCCGAACGGCGGAGCTCACGGATGTGGAGATTGTCGCCGAAGCTACTGCTGAGCAGCCAAATAAACTCTGCCGAGGTGGATCACGGAAGCGCTGATGGTGCCCTGCTCCCGACATCAGCTGAGGTTGTAGCTGCCTTGGCTCTTGTGCGCTGCCACTGCGGCGCGATTGAAGGCACCGGCCTATCACTTATGGATCGCCTGGACTATATTGAGGACGCAGTCGTCAAACACGCCATGGCCAACAAAAAGCAGGCTACTCTTTTTCAGTATTTTAAACCAACACAATAAATACTATGTCTGAATCTTCAAGCGAGTATTTACTGCACCACGCTTGAACGGTTCGTTGGTAGTTTTTAGCAAGCTGTTGACGCATTTTTTTCGTGATTTTTTTATATCGAATTCTGGATATATCGAACTATTTCGCGATCGCCGCGCCGTTCGATATATCGAGCTTCGACTGTAAAAGTGGGAATTTCTATACCTTTACAAAGGAATCTCAAGGGGATAACTTGTGAGTTCGATATACCCGAAAATTCTATATATGTGGGTTTGATAATAACCGTGTTCGACTGTATTTCAATATATGTTAATAGTGCTGATAATGCCTTTAGTATTTATTGCTAAGGAACAGCTTTGCTTGAATATTTACCTGATAATTTTCCGATTGTTGTAGTGTTCCTCGTTTATTTATTGCTATTTATATGTATGTTATTGAATATTCCTTTGTACTGTTTTGCTGTACCTGCCTGAGGTGCTTCTCGAAGAGTGGGCCAAGTCAGGGGACATTCTTCTTTTGCCCCCTTCATGGGCATTTTGTGAAAATGCCCAAATAAATAAATTAATAAATGTATATATACAAAATGAGTACCGTATGTCTCTACAACGAGTGAGCAAGGGTTGAAGCTCCACCCGTAAATGAGCCCCTTATTTGCATGCACCAATTCTACTGAACACATTATGCCAAGAAGGCATAAAAACTAGTATAACAATTATAACAAGTACAGTCGCCGACCGTTTATTCGGACGCCGAAAATTCGGACATGCCCGTTTATTCGGACATCTTCGTGGCACCGCCACTCGCCCCATTGAACCTAATGTAAACTCACGACCGAAAATTCGGACGCCCCGCTGTGCGCCGTTCTGTTATTCGGACTCCGTTTGACTGACCGGATGCGTCGCCGTACGCCATGACACGCTGACAGGGACGTTAACAATACTTTTGCTAGGTTGCCAGCACTGATATGCTGCACTAGCTATGGATGGACGTCGGGCCAGTGTCAAAATGCACGCAGAAATCGCCATTGCCGATCTCGAAGGCTATGTTTGGCGACACGTTTTTTTCGGTTTTAGCCAGTCGAGCGGCCAAGCCAAGCCACTTACAAAGTCTATTCGCTGTGGCGTTTGGCGTGGTTTGGCGTTTGTGTCAGCGTGTCAGTGGTGTCAGTCAGTTGCTTCTGCGGGTAGGCCTGGTTCGTCTTGTTCTCTGTGTTCTCCCTCTCTTGTGTGTTCCGTGGCGTGCTGAAATGGCTCCGACACCACCCGTTGCTGCGCCGTCGGGAGTGAAGAAACGCGGCCAACGTGGGAGCTACAAGACGCTCACGATGGCGAAGAAAGCGGAGATAATTCGCCAGGTAGAAGGCGGCCGACCTCAGTCTGAAGTTGCTCGGGAATTTTCCATTTCCAAGCAAACCGTCTCGGACTACCTCAAGCAGAAGGCTAAGATCCTGGAGGCAGCTGAGAAAGCGTCTGCGGGTACGCAGAAAAATTTCCGGGACGGCAGCCACCCGCAGCTTGAAGAAGCGCTGAACATGTGGTTGAGTGCCACGGTGGCTAGGAAAATACCCGTGTCTGGCGATCTGCTGAGACAGAAAGCAGAGACGCTCGCCCTGCGCATGGGTATTACCGGCTGCAAGTTCAGTGACGGGTGGTTGCGCAACTTTAAGAAAAGGTACGACCTGGCCTTCAAGCGAATGTGCGGCGAGAGTGGTTCCGTCGACCAAACGCTCGTGACCAACTACCGCGCCGACAAGCTGTGCGCACTGCTGCGCCAGTATCCACCAGAAAACGTCTTTAATTGTGACGAGACTGGACTTTGCTATAAGATGCTGCCCGACAAGACGCTAGCTTTGTCTGGCGAACCCTGTCATGGGGGGAAGCATAGCAAGGAGCGACTGACAGTTGTTGTAGGAGGCAACATGACGGGGACGGAGAAACTTCCGCTCCTCGTGATAGGGAAATCAAAAAATCCAAGATGTTTTAAAGGCGTCAAATCACTCCCTGTGTGGTATGAAGCAAATTCGAAGGCGTGGATTACGCAAAACCTCTTCGAACAGTACCTTCGCAAGCTCGACCGGCGGTACGAACAGCAAAATCGCAAGGTGCTGATGTTCGTCGACAACTGCGGTGCCCATGGGCATATCGACAACTTGACGGCTATGACAGTGGAGTTTTTGCCGCCTAACACGACAAGCGTGTTGCAGCCCATGGACCAGGGCGTGATCAAAAACTTGAAAGTTCATTACCGGTCGCGCCTCCTGAATCGTGTGCTGTTATGCGTCGACAGTAACAAAAACTACGTCGTGGATGTTCTGACGGCCATCAGCATGTTGTCCGATGCCTGGAAGTCAGTGACTCAGGAAACGATCCAGAACTGCTTCCGCCACGCAGGATTTATTACTGGGATTGAGGAGGACAGTGCCACAGGCCAGAACCCCGCGGTTAAGAGTCCGCCTACCGCAGCAGCGGATATTTTGGACGACCTTCGTGCTAGCGGGGTCGATGTGGGGGCGGGTACGTTTGAAGAGTTCGCCAACTTCGACAGTGCCGTTTTGCCTTGCGCAGAGTTGGACGATGACGAGATCGTCCGTCAGGTCTGCGAGCCGGCGCTGGCAGACAGTGACTCCGACGATGACGCGCCGCCCGCACCACAGCCATCAAATGCGGACTTAGCGCAGGCCATATCGATGCTGTTGTCTGTCTACAGCGACGGCCAGACACTCGCAGAGGTACAGGCCGACGTGGTCGTGCGTAAGCGTGCGTGTGTGCAGACGCGCATAGACAGTTTTTTCGGGCGATCGGGCCAATAAAAGTGCTTTTTTTCGAGTGAATCCGTTTTTTCGGACTCCCGATTATTCGGACTTTTCGGCGGTTCCCGTCGAGTCCGAATAAACAGTCGAGGACTGTATAACCAAGCGTAAATATAAAGAGCTTGGAGGAAGCTTAAGCTTCGCCATCAAAAGTAGAACACCATAGTGTAATTGGGCTCCGTGCACATTGCCTTCTCAACTGCTAGTCTAGCTTTGGTTCTCAATGCATGCCTCAACCGTGCTGTAAAAAAATGTGCTGTGCACGTACCACTGGCCTATTCAAACTATCCTAGAATGTTTATTGCAACTAGAGTTGTTAGAGGCCGACTATTTCATAATTCTTACTCTTTCGAGTCAGCAAAGGGCCCATTGTGTGTCTGTAAGGCATTACGCGAACCAATGCAGCTGCTCATTTTGTTGATGCTTTAGCAGCTGATGATGATTAAATATGTCTGAGTGTAGTGTAATGAGTAAGCATTTAAAACACCAACCCATAGTGCAGTTTACATGCTTTGACACAAGGTGCAATTCTACGCTTCTGACGAGCGATATTGCATGCAACAAGGAGACTCCTTCCACCACATTGCATTCATATACACTCAAACCTGGATATAACCGTATATTAATTATAATGACGTTAATGAAAAAGCCTTGAAATACAGTGGACCCCCATTAAACGAAACTCGTTCAAACAGAAATGCCGCATAAACGAAACTATCTAGGCACACTTGTTTGGTCTCCTATATATTTAACAATAAAAAGTTTCGGGTAATCAGAACATTTTTTTTATTCAGCTTACATTCATTAAATGAAACAAAAAACGGGCAAAATCCATGAACGGCGGAAGTGGCCATGGCAGTCAAGCAACCATGAAACAAATGACAAAGCTAGCCTAGCCAAGCCAATTTAGTGATTGCACATGTCTGTGCACGCTGAGCAGCAATCAACGTCTCGTCGTGAACTTGAGGACAGCCTCAATACTCTAGTCATGAGGAACCTTAGCTGAAGTTCAAGATGAGGACACGTACTCAAGTGGTAATAAGATGGTGTATGATCCCGAGCCCATTTCAGTGTCTGACAGTTCAGCAAGAGATGCTGTCATCCTGTTGCAGCGCTACTTTGAACACAATGGTGACACAGAGTTCCTGCCCAGCCTTTCAGCAATGCACTACTACTATATGCGAATGGGCTCGAACAAGGCCAAGCAAATTGTTTTCATCTCCTTTTTTCTGAGTCAGCAATGTTAGAAACGTTTTTCTTTTTAATAAACATTAATAGTATTGTGTACTTCAAAACGTTTTCATTCAGTCAGCCACAGTTGCTGCTTTTGAAATAAATTCATATTTCATTCATTTTGTGGGCTCTGCTTAAATGAAACTTCTCATAAATGGAACAAATGATCTCGCCCCTTCAAGTTCCATTGAAAGGAGTCAACTGTAGACAGTGTTAGAAATATACTTTTATAACAAATTTTCGGATAAACAAACTTATTTTTGTGTAAGATGCAACTTCGTTATAATGAAGTTTGGGTGTACTACTTTTTCCAAAGCAGTTCTGAGAAATAGCGTGGCACTGCTTGCCATTCTCACTGGAAGTGAAAATTTTCCTTATTTACTTCTTCATTTCTACCTCTCAAGATTTTTCTATCACAGAAAAGATGACTTTCTGTTCACAATCACTAACACTGACACACAAATTTCTGCAAAACAAGCTTATTAAAATTAGAAACTTTGAGAGTTCAGGCTGTCAGTATCTGATGGTGAACAGTAGCAGCAATACAAGAAGTGACATAAGTTAAATGTAACAATGCATATACTACTGCATTAGACTTGTGCAAATATTTGGATGCATCAAATATTACTGTATTCGAATGTGCTTCAATTCAAAATTAAATTACTGAAAACTTTGAAGTACTTGAAACGAGCGAATAGGTGTAGAATAGCCTGCATGTAATCCCCTGCAAAAGTTATTTCACTGCAGCAAAGAAGTGCTAAGCCGTGAAAACACCTGTTAAAAAAATACGCACTGCCGCAGAGCCTCATTTCAAGGTTAAGTAACATATTAACCTCACATCGATTCATCATTTTTTAAGCTTAAAAGCTTCTTATACCAACTTATATGCTCCAATCATAATAAATTTTGAAATGAAACATAATTTACAAGTTATCACTTGCATTACATTCTACCAAAAGTCAAATCCTACTACTATTCAGTTTCCACTTTTTTTTTTTTGAACCAAAAAGAATAACATTTACACAGGCTTTGTTTCAAATTGTTTAAAATTGTGCAGGTTAGTTGGGTCATGACAAAATTGCCAATTTTACTGTATAATATGTGCTATGTACAATTCAAGTTTGATTCAGAATTGTTCTACTAAAATTACTATTCACTTCGAATTCACTTCAAACTTAAAATTCACTATTCACACAAGCCTACACTTCATGCACAGAGGGTTAAAATACACAGGCTTTCTTACCTGTAAGTTCTTGTTCGAGGATGGATGCAGCAAGTGCAAAGTGATGTGGTGAAAGTGAGCCAAGCACCGAAGCAACTGAAAGGATGTCTTCAACATGGCAGGCCACAAGGCTCACATACTTCCACAGAAGGGATGCAGCTCCACAGGCTTCAGTATCTGAAATAGAACGATGAAATACAATATGTTAATGCAAATTATGTCTTACACACACTATGTAATCAATTACTATTGCTACACATCTAACAGTTATAGTTATGTACGTTTCTGCATTTTAATACACTAAGAAAAACAAGATCAACAACAGCCACATTGATGCACTATACACTCAATATAACGAACTCGGATATAACGAAACATCGGTTATAACGAGTTAAATAAAAAATAGTATGGCAAAAGATTTAAAGTTAGGAATAAACTTTTATAACAAACTTTTGGATATAATGAACTTAATTTTTTGTAAGGTGCAGTTTTGTTATAATGAGGGCGAAGTGTATTACATCACGGTAGGTTTATATACACAAGATACTATGTTATATTTATTAAAAACCTGTCGTGCGGTATCAGAAGGATTTTGATGTCTTTTAATTTAAAATTGCACTCTTCTTCATGGGCAGTGAATGTCACCTCAGGCTAATGGTATGGAACTAAATTTCCTTCAACACTACTTTTTTTCCATACGGGAGAATTATGCTGACGAAATGCCACAAGTGTACATTTATTTTAATGAAACTAAACGAGATTAGGGATGAAATTCTGCAAAGATAAATAATGAGCCGAGAGAGCAATGTACTATGTCTTTCTCTATGGTTTTTTATCTGAGAAGTGTGTGAATATCGGATCCTACTGAATAAACTGACAAGATGCACCTCAGTATACCATCGTTCATTGTGGCACTATTTGACCAGTGTTGTCTGCAACAATGTTCAGTTCTCAAATAATCTGTGTTACACATAAACAAAGAGAGATACCTAATGCTAAAAGGTGAGCAAAGCTATATGCGTATTATGTGACAAGTATTATGAGTAGCTAAATGTCACTACAGTTGAACCCCTTTGTAAGAGACATAGACCGAGGAGCGATTCTTGTCTTTCATATGAAGTGTCTCGTATAGGCCGGGTACCATGAGTGCATTTTCTTAACCCCCATTTCAATATAGGCACACTAGTGTCTTACACCCATTTTCCTCTTACATCAGTCTCTCTTATAAACAAGTTCGACAGCATAAATGATATATAATGCATTGACTACAGTATGCACAATGTCCCTGAGTGGCCATACTTGACTACACTACAACACATCAGCTAATCGTACAAAGTTTCAAGGGCATCTTAAATTTGTTCACTGAGTGCAAGTGTTTGCACTCTGTGCTCATCGATACAGGCAATTCTGGTCATTTGCTAAACGTCAACAATAAATACCGGGACTTGCAGAAGAGCCAGCCTGCTCTTCGCGAGGGTACAATTGGCAGAGTAGGAGCCTCTGGAACCTCAACAGAAGGTCCAGTGACGGAGACCGTTCCTTTTGGTCGAGATTCAGCTTCAGTGAGCACCCAGCTGCATGAGGGCCAGTGCTTGCGTTCTCGGGGAAGAAGCTCTGCAGCTTTGCCATGGCCTGTACAGCGGTATTCCTGTTCCGAAAGCGCCAAAAGAGAGAAGAATACCGGGCATGTTATTGTAAACAAAGCAAATATAGAAAACATTCCAAATTTCACATTTACCAGTGCAAAACAATTAGCCTCATTACCTCTGAATAAACAGAAAGAAAGCACATTTTAGCACCTTTAAATAACAGACAAAACACACATTTTACACGACAAGTGCACCAGAATGTGATGCAGAGTGTATCGCATATAGGGGAAGTATACATGGTTGCACACCATGATCTTAATCTAGTACTGAAACCCTCAAAGCTTTACTCATGTAGCCCTCAAAAGATTATAAGTAGTAAGACATACAGGGGACATGAGAACACCAAATGAATGACAAACAAACGATGATGCAGTTAACTCCCGTTAAGGCGAATTATAGCTTATGCCAAACAACGTGGGAGTGTTTGTTTGGTTTTGCGCTGACTATATCAAAACGGCGTTGCAGCCTTGAAGACAAGTTCGCTTATCAAATCATCGACTCTAGCTGCACCCGTTGTTCATTAATTTTTCATTAAAACAAAAGGGTCACATGATACAGCTGCTTCAGGACAGGAAAGAGAGTGTAAAATGTACAAGCAAACATATTTTTTTTAAAACCATGGTGAGAGTAGTTGAAGGGTGCACAAATCAAGCAAGTAGCTATGAAATCCCCCACTAATAAATTGCTTCATAAACAGTCCTCTAGCTGATGATAATCTATATAACATGCACACTATTTTACCTCAGCAACTGCTTGACAAGATGCAGGAGTGGAATCGCCGCTGACGCATCTTCTGAAACCACCTGACTTCTTTTTGTCTCCGACTCCAAAACTGCCTGATCCGACATGAGCTGCTCTCCACTGCTGGTCATCTCCTTGGAGAGTTGCCTGTCCAACATGGTCTCCTTCTCCTAAAAGCAAATACGCTGGGTTTACAATGATGCTACACTTTTACGTGCACCACACATATCGTATTTACTATACTATATTTCGACAACTATTGTGATGCGAGGGGCGACTTCTCGTTACATCCAGGAAGAAAAAATAAGATTTCGGCATTTGATTGTAACACGTGGGTCGACTTTAGATAGCAAAAATTTGCAAAAAAAGAAACACATTTTATTTAATTAAATGTGATAAGCACCAAAGCTTTCCCACAGCCACTTGATACAATGAGGACAAATTTTCGATGCAGCTAGTTTTTTGTGGGTGTACATCGTAAATACAGTAGGATACTAGGCCCTGTGCATCATCAACAACTTAAGGCAAGAAAGAAAGACATGCTATTGACTACAAGCACGCAGCTTACATCACTATTGCATGAATACACTGTAGCACTAAAGAACCGAATGCACTAAAGCATGCATACAAACTGACAGCAACACTTCATAACATATACAATAATGTGGATTATTATCCTGCCATCTCCCAAATCATAGCGCAGTGTCAACTATAACTGCAATTACATGCACACTACAAGTCAAGAACACATTCATAAGAACTTCTAAACTGAGGTTGTGCTGAAGCTGATGTTTTGACGAGCTGACATTTCAACAAGCGGACTTTTTTTGCTTTAAAGCTTCTTCAAGAAGACAAGTCCGCTGGTTAAAATGTTGGTTGCAGCACAACTCCAGTTAATTAATTTTCCCTACAAGCTTCAATTTTTGCCCGATTTCTGCTTTTTTTCAAGAACCCACTGGTCATAAAATGTCTCATAAAAACCGAGTGGTAAACTCTGCAGCTGGTAAAATTGTTTCACAGCATGTCACTTGCACCGAGTTCATCTGGACTATAGGATCAGCTAACATCATCTTATTCCTTGTGCCATAAAAAATGGTATCCCCATGTCAACACAAGCTTTAAGAAAAGACTTCGGACATATTTGCGCAGAGACTCATAATTTGCTTTTACCCACCACTGCACACAGCTTCGGGAGAAAAATCTACAATCCAATGACAGTCGTACAAAACACTCAGTGAATAATTTACAACTAAAAACGTGAATAATGCAGATTCTAGATCCCTGTATATACTGACCATTGCATCTTCAATGTCCTGAATTTCAACTTTTATTGCTGTTTGCAGTGATGATTCTAGGCCACCATCTGCCATTAAGCTTCCTACAAGCAGGTCTGTCATGAACCGTTTACCAGGGGTTGAACCTGCTTCAGCACCTTGAGAACCTGGAAAACAACAAAATAATACCATCAGGGTTTTTCACAAATAGTAAACATAAAACACCACATTCCATCTGCTTAATACAGATGCTCTAGAAGTAAAACAGAGCACGCGAGCTGTAGCCAAATTGGACTCTATCAACACATGCACATCAGAAAGCGAGAGCGCACCGGCCCACCTGGCTGACTTATTACAATGTTTATATGCTGACCTTATCATTGGCTTAAGAGAAACCGCACTGCTAATGTCGCTACTCATCAGGGACGAGTGGCGTGACATCCCCAATGAAGCAGAAATCACGCACTACCGAAGGACAATTTTTTTTTCACGATGGGTGCAAACAATCACATAAAGCATTAAAAGTGTCCCTGATGAACAGTGATGGTAGCAGCGCAGCTTCGCGGAAGCCAACGATTAGACAAGCTATTGACATCGATCTTTTTTATAACAACAGTATACGTCAATAAACGACGTTCACAAAAGGCGACCCACCAGTACTGCTGAGGAGCAGTAAGGAGAGCGCACGTGCCCGCTCGTCAGCTGTGGGAAGAAGGAAGCTCCATCCAGCCTGCAGGGTCTGCTGAGCTGCCCGCTGCACTGTGGGGAGGATGTTCGCTCCACTGGCCAGGGCCACTACCCGCTGCTTGAGCGAGGACAGCAGGCGGGACTCTGGCACGAGGCCCAGGCGGTCAGCACCCACTCCATTTGTGAGGGCCGCTTGAATCTGGAAGACATAACGCAATGCACAAGCATTGCGTGATGCGCGAGCATTGGAGTTTGTTACAACAGCTGCCTGCGTGACATCACACTTATAGATATTGTTAAGGAATGGCTGGTGTCTGTTAAATAAATGCATGGACTAAAGATCTTGAAACATTCAGATGGGGGATGCTGTCAGTTTCATTAATTCGACAGAGTAACAAAAAGATCGTAACCTCACAATAAAGAAGGTCAAGATCAGCAGATCAAGCACTTGGCATATTCGAAGCAATATTACAGTATTTGGAACTCACTTCAATATGAATTAAACTTATTCGAAATAAATGAATAAACCCATCTAACCATGTGTAATGCACTGAAAAGGTGTCTCACTGCAGCATGAAACTACTAATCTATGAAACCACCCAGCCAGGGTGAATCTGCACTGCCACACAACCACACTTGAATTATAGATTTATTAGTTATCTGCTGCTTTATTAATCATTTCTTAAAGTTTAAAAGTGTGTTACATGCGTTCATGTGCACTATGTATGAAAATTATTAAAACTAGCGCATTTTACCATTTATAATTTCCAAGCTAATGCTATTCAAAGTTGCTTCCACTTCATTACAAACTAAAAAAGCAAAAAGGGACATTCGCATATGCCTTGTTACAACTCTTAACAATATTGTACAAGCAAGTTGGGTCATGAGAGAAATGCTAATTTTCCCTACAATACATGATACAAACTACTTAAACTATTCAATTTGAAATTATTCAACCAAATCACTATCTGCTTTGAATTCGCTTGAAACCTCAAATTTACTATAGTTCCGATTCCCAAGACAAAAAAAGCTCAAGTCATTGTACGCAGTGGTCTGCATGAATGCCTTTACTTCTTGGCACGCTGATATTTTGCTTGTTGACAAGTATAAGCTTACTAAGGCTTGACCTGCAGCTACTTTAGTAACAGGACATATTGTAATGTTATACAAGCCACAACTGCAACACCTGCAACCTGATTGAAATGTCAAGCTTTACAACATCGTCCAACAATCCCCCACAACGTGAATGCTGAAGTATCGTACCTGAAGCCTGAGAAGGTTCAAAGCTGCAGTGGCAATGCATTCCTTTTCTTGTGGAGGTGGTGGCCAGGCCACATCTGTTCCCTCACACGCCCAAGTGAGAAGTTCATCGATGTGTTCTACTGTTGAAGGGCACACGTCCACCACGAAAGGCTCTCTCAGCCTAAGAGAACCCTGGTCTACAGCAGTCCACACATACATCTGTTCAGATGAATACAGAGAAGAGAAACAAACTAAGCACAGGGTGTCTATTAACACTGATGCTTCAATTGTGGGCGTTTAACACCCTGAAATCCCGATACAATTATGAGGAATGCCTTTGTGGAAAGATCCTGTATTTCCGACCACCTGGAGTTCTTTACCTAAATCTAATAACACGAGCCTCCAGCATTTTGCCTCCGTCAAAATACAGCCACTACGACTGAGATTTGATTCCACAACCTTTGCACAGGAGTCGAGGGCCATAGCCACCAGAACACTGTGGTAGAGGGTAACACTAATGACTCGACCACAAGTGTCCTGTTTCCTCAATGATTACTTCTATCTGGTCGCGTACTTATGTTATAAGATCTATCAGTGATATTAATTGTCTCTGCATTAACCTTACAATAATACATTATTGGTATTACTATGCTATTGCATGTTTCTCAACAACGCTTTAATATACAATTCTGATAAGTGGGCAGGCAGATGAGTGCAGCCTAACAAAACAGTATGTAAAATAAAAATAGCATTTAAAGACTATGCAATCCCAGCAGGTACATAAGTACAGAGTGAAAAAATAATAATAATGATTAGTGTTTACTGGCAAAAAAATAGAAACTAAAGTGCAGAGAAATTCATAAAAGCTATTGCATTTTAATGCAAAAATGCAGAGGATTTGATGAAGACTATAACTGAAGGCTTGAGTTACTGTAATCCTTAATCAGCTTGCTCAGACTATGAAAAATACACCTAAAATCATAACTGAAGCCGTCCAATCTTTTTCTACAAAGAGCACCCAAACTAGCTAACATGGCAGGACACTTACTCCTAATGTAAATGTGCTTAATTCTGCACAGGTTTGTATCCCCAGAAGTCATGTTACAAAAGTACACTTGTAACACCAGTAGTCTGTCATTTGTTATAAGCTCGGATGCCGCATCTCAATAATAATTGCCTGGATAGAAAACTATCACATGGCATGGGAGATCAAATAAGATCAAGAAATGAAAGGCATCATTGTAAAATGTAGCCATGGTCTCAAACTCATCGGTAAGCGGAGAGTTAGCAATCTTGTTCATTTTCGATACGAAAGCCACCAAATGTAGATGCGTCTCATAATTTGCCCCAGACCAAAGCTTAAGGTTGAGTGATTTACTTGCGTAATGAACGAACTTTTTTTCTAAAACAATCGAAGCAAAGTTGGGGGTGCATTTATTATGCAGGGCAAATTTTATGAAAACTCTTTCGGAATGAGTGAAAAATGCAGTAATGCAATAAAAGTTAGGCCGCTTAGCTTTTTGCAATTGACATACGCGTACACTGCTTGGAAACAGCTTTTTTGTTGCCCGTAACTCATTTTCGGTGGTTGATGAATCTATCTTCTGTATCTTCTGCAAGCTGTCCCCGGGCCGCCCGTGCACGCCATAAAAGCCTTTTGCACCTATCTTTTCTCGCAATCGTTTATCCACAACAGTGGTATTTGCTGTCATTTGGTGGGGCACACAGCAGTGTGCGCTACGACGCACTTTGCCAACTTTGTGGCAACCTCGCAAGACGACCCCGGCAACACCATTGACACTGTAGCGAGTAACCAATATTGCAACAAGCTACCACCGCAGCATCAAAACAAACAGGCGATAACAAGGTTAACAACAAAATACCGCTGCTGCCTTGCTGTTTAGATGAGAAGTTGCTGTATAAAAGGTAGCCTATACCTAGCGTTCCTTGAAGTACTCATGGATAGCAAGCAGGAAGAACAAATTGCACCGAAGCAAAAATCGGAGGGGGGGGGGCTACCATGTTGCAGAAATAGTCGGCATCTTTTTAGGGCTACAAGAGATTTTTTTAGGTTTGCCAGAAACCTGTTATGCGATAGCAACGAATGGCCCTCCGTGACCCCCATGGGGATAGCAAATCCTGTTGATGTTGTTTGAAAATAACGAGCATGCAGTTGGGCCTTAAAGTTTCGTATTTGCAGAAAGCTACCGTCGGTTGGCGCGGGGGAAGTTGCATCACCTTCGCTCGCTGTGTGCTTATCAGCTGCGATGTCTCTAGACTCACATCATTCGTGAACCCCGCTGTGGCGCATAGATAATTAAAAAACACTGGGGACGTGCCGAGAACAGATAGAAAGAAAAACAATACAGCACGTGGCGGCGGGCGAAAGAGAAAAGGGAGCAAGCCGAGATGGCCGAGGGGGGTCGGCATAATAAAAAAAAAACAGAAGGGATGCAACGGGAAAGGAGGCATCATGTATCGGTTAGCGGAGCTGCAGCAAATGAATGTAGAGGGTGAGTTCATTACGCAGAAGAAAATAAATTCAAATTTTGACGACTGAACTTGGGGGTTCATTTATTATGCGAGTGCATTCATTGCGAGAGTAAATACATTATCACATGGCATGAAAGATCAGATAAGATCGAGAAATGAAAGGGATCATTGTAAAATGTAGCCATCAAACTCATCGGTACACGAAGAGCTAGCAATCATCGGTACACGGAGAGCTAGCAATGTCACGTCCTCATTTTCGATATGAAAGCCATCAAATGTAAATGTATCTCATAATTTGCCCCTGACTGACATAACTTGCCCCTGGTTGAGCGATATACCCAGGCACACTTTTAATAAAAGCAGAACAATAAATCTAAATTAATGTGCAATGTACCTGGGTCTCACTGCAAGCTATGCCAGCAACAACATTCCCTGCATGCAGACAGACAGGGAATGGCTTCATATTTGGTACAGGAGCACAGCTGGACGACGTCCATTCACTGCTGTTCCACATGAACACTCGGCCTTCTGCTGTGACTGCTGCACAGTAAGGAATTCCAACTGCCACATCCGTGATCATGTGTCCTTCAAGTCCGCCCACAACTTTAAGGTGTGCAGGTGAATCTAGTTGTTTACTGCTGTCCCTGCAAAAGAAAACAAATCGTGTTCAAGTAACCACTTAATATTGTTTTTCATTTTCAGAAAGACTTGCAACTAAAAAAAGTTTTTGATTCTAGGTCACCCCCCCCCCCCATTTTCCGATTTCAAATCAAGAGAGAATGGGTCGACCTACAACCATGTAAATAAGGTAGAGGGCAAGAACTTAAATTAAAATCTTTTTATATAAAGTCGTAAACTGGAAGCTTGATTACTACATTGTTTCCTGTTACAATAAAAGGTATTAGGAATGGCTTGTTGACTTTAAGGTAATTACAAGCATTGAGCAATGACACTTTGACAGTGAAACTCTGGCAAGTTGTTCTGCACATAAAACTAGTTCCCTAAGTATTTGAGCGTAATGCAGAAAATGGTACTGTCACTAGCATAAGCTACAATATAATATTACTGGTTTTCATGCACTGTGTCTACTCACCAGATGTACAGCATGTTGGAACGAGATAGAGCCATATTAAAATGGGCCCCACAAAAAATGCGTGTCACGTCCACACTGTGTAACACATCCAACAGTCTCGGGCTGCTTCGCAGTTCATCTAAACTTGCAGCTGGTTTGCTGTCATCACTGTGACCATATGAGAACACCAAGCCTGCATACAAATGAATTCATTTTAGTCACCTATTGTTCAACTCACTTGAAAGCACTAAAGTAAGCTTCTGCATATTTCACAGAAGTTGAATGCTTCCACACAATTCAGCAGAAGTTGAATAGTGCTAAATGTGGACTTATTGTATGGACACAATATAAAGATATAAACAAAATCACAGTAATATTATTAATACCAATTGAGCTCCATGTCAAGGAAACCACTAGTGTATACAAAGGCCGAATTTTCCAGGCTACAAATTTGTACGAAGTATTTGAGGTTGTATTCAGCTACTATTCATTCAATGTAGCCTTTAACACCATACAAAAAATAAACAAACAAGCACTGCAATGAACACCACACTTGAATCCAGGCTCTTATATTGGCCCTATATCTTATAGCCATCTGGACTTTCAAACAGAACAAGTAATCTCAAACCCGGCTAAAAAGCATGCATTGTCTAGAACCTTTCTAACAATGAAGTCAGCTAAAGAGCAAAACAATTAGGGCCTTATATTTTTAGAAGTCTTATACGCATTGCCATTTGAATGCTTTCATACCAGCATCAGTGACGATGAGTACGTCGCCTCCACCATATTCTCCACAGCTGCAGGATACGTCCACAACCCTGTGTCCTCGCAGAGAAGTTATCTTGGTGGGTATACTTTCAATGTCACTGCTAGTTCCTGCTGTAAAAATAAAGTAAGCAATTTTTGCAAAGCAGATTAACAAGCTTTAAGTCATAAGTCATCAACCTGTCACCTAAAATTAAATACAAGAACAAGAATAATCTATTAAAATATGGCGGTCTAAATTAAAATGCTCGAGTCTGATATGGAGTGAACACGCTCTGCATTAACTATGACCACCCAGGTTTCTGTGCACATAATCTCTGCACTTTCAGAAATGCACTGTGGCATAGCCCAGTGAAGCATGTCCATGATAGTAATAATAATTGTTCAATAAGATTATGAGAGGTACCATAGTAGAAGGTCCCGGAAATTTTCGACCACCTGGGGTTTTCTAATGTGCGCCTGAATCTAAGCACACAGGCCTCCAGTAGGCTTGAACAAATATTTGCATGAATACTAATGTATTTGAATTCACATTTACTTCAATTTAAATTATTGGAAATTTCAAGGTATTCGAAATGAGCTAATAGATGTACCCTGCATATAACTCCACTGTAAAGTTGGTTTCACTGTACTAAAGGGGTGCTGTACTGTAACTGCACCTTTGTAAAAAAAAAAACAAAAAAAAACACACCTTCGCGCTGCCACGAAGTTCTACCTCAAACCTGAATGAACATTTTACCCTCATACTGATTTTTTTCTATTTATGTATAAAAGCTTTTTATGCTGGCTTAGATGCTTTAAGTAAAGTAAATTTTAAAATTTAACATATTTTGCATATTATCACATGCATTCTACTGCAAGTCGAATCCTGCTACTATTCAAAGTTGCTTCCACTTCCTTTAAACCAATAAGAATCACATTTGCACATGCCTTGTTTTAGTTAAAAATATAAATATTGTGCAGGTTAGTTGGGCCATGACAAATATACTCATTGTTCTCTATATGTGACATATACTATTTGAATTGAATGCGAAATTATTCAATCCAAATCTATATTCATATCAAGTACACTTTAAATCTAAAATTTACTACTGCGAAATTCCGAGCAAGCGCCCCCACCCGTACAACTGTCCTCTCCCCCCTCCCCCTTTTCACTAGCAATTTCCAACATTCACGCCATTCCGGGAAAGCACCCCTCCCCCATTCCAACCCAATCCTGCTTTGCACTGCAGCCCAACTGCTCTGTGCCATTTTCTGCTTTGTGTTCGCGCTGAAAGGTTAGCTATGCCTATGTAGCCCTACACGGTGGTGAAAAAAATCGCGGTTGTCCAATCGCTGTCGAGAGTCTGGGGCCCAAACGCCGACGACATGCGATGCTTAGTAGTGTTCGACCAGGCACTCATCCAAAGACACAAGCCGCCATAAATGCCTTCAATTGGTATGACACCGACGTGCTTTACGTGCTTGTGAGGTGCACGAGCATCCTGCAGGCTGCTGACATGTAATAGAATAAGCCGTTCAAGCCCTCCTAGCAGCATTTGTGGGAGCAGTAAGTGTGTGAGGAAGCACGAACACCAAAAGAAAACTTGAAGAAGCCGTCACAGCAACATGTGCTCGATCTAGTGGCCGAAGGGTGGGCTGCTGTACCTGAGGAGACAATCCTTCAAGAGATGCGGCATAAGTAATGCATTTGATGGCTTGGAGGATGGTGACCTGCCCGATGTTGGTGCTGTGGTGCCAGAAGACCGTGGCGGACTCCAGTCGGAATGATGCCACCGGTTTCTTGCAACTGGCTCGGACGAGTCTTTCCATGGTTTTGAAAGCAATTAAAAGCTACAACGAATTCTGGGCCTAAGTAAAGTTCACCATAACAAAATTTTTATCCATGCGCACTGCGTTTTTTTTTTTCTGGTGCAAAAACTTTGCCACCATCTTGAATTTTGGTGCCATTCTGCGCAACGTTTTTAGAACAGCCAAGTTTCAAACCTGAGCGGTATCATGCAGCGCTGCCGCCATCAGTGGCAGATGTCCTGGTGTTATCGCATCAGAATTCACTCGCTCCTCCACTCTTCCGTCGGCGGTGAATGTTGCGACGCATCGGTATATAGCCAAATTGGGATACTTTGTGTCGGAGTTGGCCTTAAATTTTCCTCTTAGGCTATGTGGCTATCTTTGGGCTATGTTGCTGTGAACTAAGCAAGAAACTTCATGATATTAGAGGAAGGCGATGAGGAGCCCGAAAGAACTGCTTGCACATGGATGTGTTATTTCCCAACTTTCTAGGCACCATATTGGTACTTCACCAGAGGTTGTTAATTTTAATTCGAACGCAAATCTTTTAAACAGCAGAAAAATCGGAAATTGTGTGGTTGTGGTGAAAATTTTTTTTCACCAACCTAAATGAGGGGTGGGGGGAGCGGAGTGTATGGCTTGTGTGCGTATTTTGAAAACTGTTCATGTCTTTACAGGTTCGATGCTCTTTGGCCGTTAAATTTGGGTGCATTTATTTGTGCTAAACCAGCAGTGGCAGAGTATATTGAGGACGTCACTCTATCTGCATTGTATCTCATTGCTGTAATGCAGACTCTCTGCTCATCATGTATTGATCAGTTTAAGCTTGGCCTCTGCCTCTTATTTGTTACAAGAAAGGCCACTCTCCAGTTGCACAACCACATGGGCCATACTCGTGGTTTCTCCCCTAACACCTCGTGGACAATGGTGCTCTGCACTCCCTTTCTGAAAGCAGCTCCAGAATGGGCAATGTGCGAAGTATACTAGGAACTATATGAAGGAATGAGAGAAGGAGCTGGGTTTCATAGATAATATATGACGTCGCGGTTCCAAGACAGCGATTACAGATTAGTAGTTCTTTCGCGTTCGTAAACATATGCGCATCATGCTTGTGCAAGCACGGCCAGCACACCCACACAACAAAGTCGGTTGAGGATGATAAACGACACTTACTCAATCTGGATGTCTGAAATGAATACGACAGTTGCACTCTTGCACATTTTGGTTCTGCTGCTGAACTTTTCGCTTTATCTCATCACTTCCTGATTATTCCAAGAAGCCGCTTTTTCGAAATATAAAGTTGCAATATGTTCTTTGCATGAAGGACTTCAATTCCGCTATTTCACATAGCTTCATAACTTCACTTCCAAGTGATCTTTAGCCATCTTAAGACGCCTATGACTACGGAAGAACAATTCTGAAAGCATCGCGCAAATATCACAATTCTTAGATTTTTGACATTTTTTGAACACCTGGTACAATAAAATACCACTTGAACAAACGTCAGTTACACCAACTACTATTCAGCAGTACAAACTTATTTTTGGGTCCTACTCTAGTGCATTTCATTTTGATGAAATGTTGGAGAGAAAGGAAAAGCAGCTAGAAAGAAAGTCGCGGCTTTTGTAAACGACTTGCCATTCATAAAAGCCCACGTTATAAATATTTCTGCAATGTATGAAAGAGTATATAAAAGATGCCTGGGTTAGGAAGTGCAGAAGTTTGTCCGATTGATTTTTAAAACCTGGCTGTAAATTTAATTTTTAGAGTTAGAGCTATTTTCATAAGGTATAAAGCTTGAGACTGCAAATATCCAGTGCAATCTGTGTGCATTGCACCGTACAGGCAATATCTGTAAACTTGTTTTCACTCACTTGCATACGTAAAATAAATACAATTTTCCTTTCCATAGCAGGACAGAAAATGTGGCATGCAGTACACACGCAGTGATTTTAGCACCCTAAGATCACAAGTAACGACAGCCCCGTTTGATTGTAAGCTTTCTTACTTCAAAAAAGTAAAAATGAAGAACTACGTCGTGGGAACGTGCCAACACAGTCAATTCCTTACAGCGTAATGAACAGACTCATTCAAGCTTCGTTTATCGTGGGCAGTCTAGACAATAGCCATGCTATCTTTGCCTTCTCATTGCCAAATATTGCTCAGTTTTACGTTGCCGCGGCAGCGCCATGAAAAATCTCAATAACACACAGTCGATGAAGCACTTTCTGTATGGCTACTCTGGCATCTTGCCACGGCGACTACGCATTTTCGTCGGCTAGCGGAAGCTTGCTGCACCGCCAGCGCCACCAAACCCGCAGCTGCCTCGGCACTGCGCGACAGGTCGGCTGACGTGTGGAGCTTTGCGACTTGCCTAGTTCTATAAAGGTTGCTTCCAAGATAGCACCTCCCCACCTTTCCGGCAATTTCGACTTCGTTGGGTGGGGAGGGGGGGGCACTTGCTTGGAATTTCACAGTAGTATTCGCATAAGCCTAGCCTGCAGTATTTTTGCACCCTTTCGAAATACAAGTGCCCTGGCAGGATTCGACCCCTCAACTTCCGGGTCAACAGCCAAGCACCAGAACTACTAGACAACTATGGCAGATTTTTCAGTCATTAAAAAATGTGCCCGACATTTTTGCTCCAAAGCCACCCAACTGATAGGTGGGGTGAAGGGATTTAAAGATCAAGTATCACTTGCCATTGTCTTGACAGGGACGACATCCTCTTCCCCAAACGTAGAGTTGTCCACTGTTGGTGAAGGCTGCACAATGCTTGCTACCACACGACATGCCTTTGACTCCTTTGCCACTGAGCAGTTGGACAATTGTAGGCGCTCCCTTAGATCTGTCATTGAAATAAACGAAAAAGTCCTCATGTATCGGACAGCACATTATGGTAATCAGCTTTAATACAATTATTTATACTACGCATCATTTGTAGTATCCCTAGGTTCTTTCCATGATAATGTACCCGAATCTTGGACTCTACATTTTGCTATGTTCAGTGCATGACTTCTTCAATTATCTACAACAGCTTCCAGTGAATAGTGATGCAATTCTCCCCATATACAGCTTAAATAAGCTTACACAATCATTGAAATAAATGTGGCACCACACAATCTATGCTTGAGAATGACTTTTTACTTTCTTGCATGAAAAATACTACTTCTCTTTTAAACTAAGGAAGGTTATAACAAGGGCATCCGGAAAAAGTGACCATAAATCCAATATAGGTTTAAAGGAAAGTAAATGTCTAGTGTGAATCACACATATGTGATGCAAGGAAGAGACATTTTATTATTACACACTCATAAAATCAAATGCTGATTTTTAGGCTTGTGTAAATATTCAAATGCTTCAAATAGTTGAAAAATAATACTTCATTTAAATTTGCTTCTATTTGAAATTAAATAGTGGAAAAATTCAAAATGAACGAATAGATGTATATTAATTCACGTGTTCCCCCCTGTAAAGACGGTTTCACTGCAGAAAGGGATGATAAGTGGTGAGAGCATTTGTTCATCATCATCATCAGCCTGACAACACCCACTGAAGGGCAAAGGCCTCTCCCATGATCCACCAATCAACCCTGTCTTCTGCTTTTTCCTGCCATGTTATACCTGTGAACTTTTTAATCTCATCGGCCCACCTAATTTTCTATCTCCCCTTCATGGGTTTGCCTTCTCCAAAAAACCAATCAGTTATCCTTAATTATCAGCGGTTATCCTGTCTACATGCTTTGTGCTCGGCCCATGTCCATTTCCTTTTGATTTCAACTATGATATCCTTAACCCAGTTATTCCCCCATTCAAATGTAATATATCAATATGCATGTAATCCACTGCAAAGATGGTTTCACTGCAGTAAAAAGGTGCTAAGCCATGAAAACACCTAATCAAAGCAAAGCTATTCTGCCCCCTTTAAAGGGGCCCTGAAACTTTAAAGGGGCACTGAAACACTTTTTCAAGTAACCATGGAACGAATTCACTAAAAGAGCTTATCGCTACACGAGTTCAATGCCGCAAAACCTTTAAGAATCCATCTAGTATGAGCGGAGTTACAATGACTTATCACAGGCAGCAATCGCATTCTCCCTTCTCTCGTCCTGACGAAAGCGCTGGAAGCTAAGCGGGGAGGGATGGCATGGTCAAAGAAAATACATCACGCACACCTCATGACCTTGAGCACTTTTTTTTCTTCGAATACGCATCTTTTTCAGGGTAATCGTGCGCGCACGTGTGGACAAGTCGCAGCCTCCCTTAGCGATTCTTGTAATGACCGAGCGCGCCATGTTCAAACCAGCCAACGATTGATAGATGGTTTTCTACAAGTGATTTTGGAGTTTCCTTTATCATTCACCAAGAGAAGAAAAAGCAATTTTGGGCTGACTCTGATAATTTTTTGTGAATTCTAGGCCACGTGCTGCGCTATAATATTTGGCTGGTATGTTCTCTGGAGCTTTACTACCGATCCGCAGCGTTTTTTGACCATGCTCAAAAATTGCTGCAGGGCCCCTTTAAAGGTTAAATGATCATATTACCCTCCTATCGACCCATCCTTTATAAAGTTTAAGGTGGCGGTTTCACTACCGCGATCTTGCGAATAGTTCGAAAAGAGACACCAGACGACGCCACTCATCCATGTTTGCAAAAAGAGAGAAAATTGAGCGCGCAAGTACGGTTAGCATCACCTCGCGCGTCTCTTGCACGTCACACAAGAGGATGAAAATCGGCCAACGAAGAGCTAGAAGCACAAACACATATGGCGTCTTTCACCTACAATCAGTTAACTGATGGCGTCGTTACCATGACACGACGAAAGATGCCACAGCGATAGCTGGCATACTGAAATTGGCATCGTTTCGCTGAAGCACATACACTCTCTCTCTCACCCACGCCCATGAAGTAACGATTGAGCATAACATCAACCAAATGCTTTGAAGCGTTTGAGTGTACTGGCATGGCCATTAACCTTCTTTTTAAAGTAGCGGCTGTGGCACTGGCTTGATATAACGTCACACAAGTGCTTCTTTTTTTTATTTTCTTAGCATGTTTCGCATCTTGGGAAAATAATTACAGTGGCTTAGCTCAGCTATGCCAGGATATAGCATGAGCTATGAACGGACAAACAGACGAACCATAAATACACAGACGTACGGATTGATTGATTGATTTGTGGGGTTTAACGTCCCAAAACCACTATTTGATTATGAGAGACACCGTAGTGGAGGGCTCCGGAAATTTCGAACACAGACGTACGGACAGATGGACAGATTAGCGAGTGATCTCATGCGAGCCAAGCGCCAGCACACTAGCGACACGTCCCTCCAGAAACTTCGATGCCTTCTGCGCAACAGCTGTGCTCCATGTGATGTCACTGCTCTTGCGCAGCTCTGCTCACCGCAAACCACCCGAAAATGCTCAACCTTGGCCAATGTAGCTTACACTACAAAAACAGCCAGGCCGATTTCAGCACAAAATAACCTTAAGATTCTGGGGTTATTTGCCAAATATCACCCTCTCCAACTACAACAAAAGGGTTACCTAAATAAAGTACATCTTGTTGATGATCAGTTGAAAAAATGACTACCACTAATATACAGGAGTTAGAACCTCCAAGAGCACATGTTAACTTTTAAATGCGAAGCATTTCTTAGCAAACTTCAGCGACTTTGAGCGTATCATCTATCTATCTAGCCGCCTACGACTTTTAGCTCTCCTGGACGTCTCGATAATAGTATCAATACCAAACTTAGTATGGCCTAACATGACAGTATGAAGAACATATCTGACTAGTCATAACATGAAAATGATGACATGTATGTCATGATTTACATTTCATGGTCCTGCAGCTCTTGCAGTGGTTTCGTTCCCATGGCATGTCGCAAAACTGGTACGGTATGACATGATTGCATGGCGAACACAAGCGACAGACCCTAAAATGAAAATCATGTCATGCATGTCATGTAACAACATGACTACATGCCATGCTCATGATGCACTCGCAGCCGTTTTGCTAGCGTCACATATACCGAATTCGGTATTACAGTACATGAATGGATGACGAAGGAATAGGACTGGTGCAAACATGATAATCATGAGCAGCGTGTCATGTAACAACATGATTACATGCTACGCTCATGACGCGCTCGTGGCTGTTTTGCTAGCTTCACATGTACCAAACTCGGTATTACGCGACGCGAACGGACAACATAGGTTAATTACACATCCGAACATAATAATCTCGACATGCCTGTCATGTATCAACATGAGTACATGCCACACTCATGGTGCACTCTAAGCCACTTCTATAGCTTCACATATGCCAAATTTGGTATTCCGTGACGCCAATGAATGCCAAACTGTGCAACTGGTGCAAACATAATAATCATGAGATGCGTGTCATGTGAGAACATGACTACATGCCACATTTAAGGCGCCAGTACATTTCGACATGACGTGGTGCACGTGCTCGCCAATGTTCATTTCGTCGCGCCACACCGGCATTGCGATGCCGGGCACCAGTCCTGCCATATACTCGCAGGTGCGCGCCGTGCTGCGTTGCTTTGACGCATGCGCGTTGCAGGGTGTCCGGCATCCCTCCGTCATGAAAAGAGGGAGACGCGGTGTTGTCTAAGTAGCGCATCAGCTAGGAGTAAGGTACTCTATGGCATAGGCGAGAAATGCAGCATTTTGCATTTCGTGCCGGTTGCCGTCGGGCCGCTCTGACAGACGCTGGTCGCGCCTGACGTCAGACTATAGAGTGCTCGCGCTTTGCTAACGTAGCGTCGCTGCGCCTACGTGTGCGCGCGTCAACGCTGCATTTGAGTATATTGGGCCCTTCATGATGCGCTCGCGGCCGTTTTGCTAGCTCCACATGTGCCAAACTTGGTGTTATGTGACGTCAATGGATGACGAAATATATGACTGGTGCAAACATGATAATCTTGACATGCGTGTCATGTAAAAATAAGACAACTTACCACGCTGATAGCGTGCTCCCGGCCATTTTGCTAGATCCACATAAACTAAATTTGGTATCACGTGACATGAATAAATGACGAAGGTAAACAATACATCCAAACATGTTAATCATGACAGGAAAGCCATGCACGGCATCATCTACCTCCACCTCGTAATGTTGTGCTGATTTTAAAGTGACATATCAACATTTCTCATTCATGCTTCGCATATCATTGATTCCCACTGTACGTGGGATCTCCCATTTTTTATCAGAGTTAGATGGGTGATCATGTCGGATACTCCATAGGTTGGTTACCGCTGTTTTCCGTCTTGCTTTCACCATCTTTATGTTAATGTCTAAGTTTTGGTAAACCAAGGTTCCACGAAGTGTTTGCTTTAGAAAATTATTCATTTTCACGACACTCTTATTCAAGATTTGACGGAAGTGCGCAAACACATAGATTAGCGAGTAGCCACACAATTGGGCTCAGTATTGACCTTAGCGGGAGGGCAGGAAGAGAGGGGTTATGCATAGTTGTAAATCATATGGGATTATGACAGTACCTAGTAAGCCTTCATAAAAAATGTACATAAGAGCGACAAGTCTAAGTCCATGTCCGTGCGTTACACACGTAGTTTTTCCTATACTCAGTTTCATACACCAAGTGAAATGCTCTGGTGACTAGTGAGACTTCTTGCAATGAATGCATTCGCACTAAGAAACAGTACTATGATTTTTGCACCTCGGACATGATTTATTTTCCTCTTTAGCCTTAGTAATCAATGAAGATACTTTGTGCATCGGAGATAAAGATGCCCCATGATACGACTGTGTATAAGTTATTCTGAATCACTTAGCGTCATTTTATTCTCATTTCTTTGTTTCATTTGCAGCGTTTCGCCACGCTGTGCAGGTGTATTCGTGCTCGTCTTGCACAAGCATTTACAACGATGAAACCCAAGCGCAAGACCCGTGAACTCACACATATTGATGACTGAATTGCTTGCATAGCTTCCATAGCATTGCACTTGATGTAGGAGGAGGAGTATAGGCGCATCTGCCAACATAGCATGGACACCAACACGAGGGAGGCAAGGCAGGCGCCCCAGCCGCCCCTAGTCCCCTAAGAGTGGGTGCGCGAAGTCTGCCCCATACTATAGTGCCTATACCATGCTAGGCACTATACCTATACAATGAATTGATAGGGATGGGGGCGCTGCAATCAACCATTGTCCCCCCCCAAACATTTACAGAATCTACTTTTGTTTTATGCCTGTGCTATATTAGCATGAATACACCTATTTGTCCTGGAAATTTGTCGCTTTCCTTTATATTGACTTACAAACACCATCGACAAGTTCGCTATTTATGATGCTGCAAATTTTCTTCAACAAAATGTTCGTCAGTACCACAGCATATTTATCAGCACTATTTTGTTCATGTGGACATTCTCACGGGCGTCCAAGTCAGGTTATTTTTCATTGACCAGCAATAGCACTGTCAGCCTTCTGTTTTATAACCAGTGTTATTTGGGCATTAGTAGCAGTTCTGGCTGTGCATCAAGCTGTTTTACGACAAAGAAGCTCTGAGCAACAGTGTTATCACGAAGTAGAGTAGTCCTCCTTGGTTGAACTGCCTCACGACACCATAGTGCTCATGAGGGGCAGGGACAGCGATCGTCAGAGCCAGTTTCTGCATTCTGCAGAAAAATTACCTCAATTCATTGCTGTTTTGTTGTAGGTTCCCTAATAAAGATAAAAGAATTTTCTCTTCATAAAATCCTAAAGAGGGGCCCACAGCTACGTTATATAGTAGTTCAGAGTATCAGCTTGTCGCTTCATTGGCAAAGCGTGACCAAGTAGAACCATCCACTGCCACATTGACACAATAATAATTCATCAAGTTTTCGACAGAGCGCAAAGCAAATTCACATGGTATAGAAGTGCATTGCAGTCTACAGAACCACTAAATATTACGATTCTGCTTCGATAAGAAAAAAAAAGTATTCACACACATAGTTTCATTACTTTTCCCATTTTCATTGGAGCGTAAATAAATTACTAATTAGTTTATATCCAATATTTCTCCATGAAAACCTTCAGTAGAACTGTGTCGAAAGGCAAAGTGAATTTCACTTTGTTATGTTGAACAGTTCACCGTACTCGCTTTTTGTTGCTCACATTAATTTCATAGCTATTAGGTAACGCGTCAGAGTAGGCATTAACACCGGGTTATTGGAAAACAGAGATCGTAAGCTTTTTGAATTTACACAATTCAAATTTATTCATCGACCACAGTCCGTCGGCAAACAATGCGTAAAATGCGGAGCGGCTGCCAGAGTGGGACCGCCACTTTAAAAGCTTGTTATATTAGCTAATATGCTTTAAGTACAGTCAATTTTGAAATGTGGCATATTTTACAGGTTGTCATCTGCATTCTACCAAAAGCCAGGTCTTGCTATTATTTAAATCCTGCTACTATTCAATGCCCGTTTTTCTTCACATGTGATATATACTGCTCATATTCGGTTCGAAATTGTACGATAAAAATCATTATTCCCTTCGAACCTAAAGTTTACTATTTATACAAGCCTGCTGATTTCACATCAGCATGGCCAGGCAAAAGCCTCTGCAAGGTTTTTTGTAGCTCAGCCAATGTTTCAAGAAAGGCTGACAAGGAGACGTTTGTAAATCTTTCAATTCATTGTGTTTCTTTTTTCTTCTAGGCTTATTTCTAGCCATTCCTAGTCTATATTTTTTAGCTGGTGCGGATAATTTTCTTGACATTTCCCGATTATGCAGTGTGAGAAACTAGCAATGACCCCAGTTTCTTAAAACTAGCAGTCAGTAAGTGCCTTGGTACTGAGGGGTATGAACTCACGTCTTATCATCTTGCAGAAGTGAGGCGATGTTGCTACAGCTGTACACGTCACCATCTGTGCTGAGAGCCAAGAAACGGTCTTCTTGCAGGTGACTAGTGATGGACAACACTCCTTGGCTGCCGAAACCTTCTATTGCATGCACCTCCTGTACATGAACAAGGGACGCTACGTCAACGAATGTGTTAAAATTAGCCACTACTCAGCTGTGATCTCAATAGATCATTAAAGTCATTGTAGTCACACATCATCATGTCACAGTTTTAGAAATTTACAATATTGTCTTCTTGTGAGTGAAACGAAATTTGTATAGCAACTAGTATTCTTCCCTTCCTTACTCAAGCACAAAGTGATGACATTTTCAGTATTGGTTTCGTGTATACTTTCCTCTAAATTCAAACATCAAGATATTCTGTGACACAAATGAATCATTCCCCCGCCCCCCAAATACATTCCATGAGTAAAAAGACTGCAGATGTAACTAGCCAAAAGGTTTTGCTACTTACAAGGTTTAGTAATGGGTCACTTCCTTAATGGCTCATGGTTCACATTCACTTAGTTTCTTGCCTCAGTGCTCCTCACCAGACTTCCCCATTTCTTGACAGACTTACAGAAAGGCATGGGGCATTGTATTTTTATAATTTCTAGGTCTGACTCTACACTTCACAATGATAAAATCGCAAACTCATGTTCTTTTCATGAGAAACTAAATGTAATGTTTGGCATGCCTAACGATATGTGACCAAATTTTGGCAGATAGCTTTTTATCCACATTTTCTGTAATAGTACACTCTACAAAATTTGCGTAATGGTTAGACAGAGGCACGAACAAGCTGCCCTTGGCTGCCAAGATCACGAGAACTGTTCATGTTAAACTTTGTGCCCACTTTGCCAAGCTACTTCCTGGGAACACGATTGCCCCAGCCATGTTGCCCACTTCGGATAAGGCGGCATAAGTAAGCAACCAGTGCTTTTTTGTTTTTTCTAAAATAAAAAAAAAATACTGAAAAATATTTTGCCAGGCAGATATAAAAACTATTTCTGGGGCTTAATGTCCCAGAACCGCACTATGATTATGAAAAACGCCATAGTAGAGAGCTCTGGAAATTTCGATAACCAGGGGTTCTTTAACAAGCACCTGAATCTAAGTACACGGGCCTCAAGCATTTCTGCCTCCACTGAAAATGTGGCCATCGTGGCCACAGTTAAATCCCAAAACCTTTGAGTGAGCAGTCTAGCACCTTAAGCATGAGAAAACCACAGCAAGTTGCAGGCGGATAGAAATCTGCAGTGTTTAATAAGAAGTACAACAACTGATTGCCTTAAACAATAAAAACTTCCCAATTCATGCAGAAAAAAAAAAAACAAATCTCTCAAGACTTTTGGCAAGTGCTTCCAATTGGTGTGTCCTGAAATTTGGGCAGGAAGCCTGAAAAAATTGAACGCCAAGGATTTTCAGCATTCAAAATTTAGGATGTTCCAATATATTGATGTCTATGAGACTGATTCGGAATTCCGTACTCAAAGGGAGCACACCCTTGTCCACCCTTAAGTTGGGCTTCTACGGAAGTCGAAAGAAGAGGAAAGGCTGAGAGAATGGCACCTTTGCCTTTCATGCGTCGATGAAAGGCTGAGAAAATAGCACCTTTGCCTTTCCTGCGTCGACAACACTATGGTTGCACCAAATCGTGTACATAAGTAATTCTTCATCTGCATTGCCTCACTTTGATAAGAGAACTATGAAACACCACAGCGCCAGCACTCCATATGCCTAGCCAAAAGAAACACTTTCTTGTAGCTAACTCATTAGAATATGCTAGAAATCCTCTCTGAAACTTTTTTCCCCCGCAATTTCACTTCGACGTATTTGAATAATATTCTAGAAATATTCTAGAAATGTTCAAAAATATTTGATTCGATTCAAAATCAGACATCAATATTTGAATTTGCTTAGCACCTAAAATTTTGCTATTTGAACAGCTTTACCTGAAAGCTATAGCTGTGAAAGCAAGTCTAGCATAAGAAAATATGAAAACACGCAGTCGAATAGCTGTAAATGACTTCAAAATACTTACAGACTCGTCTTGACGCAGGACGAACACTTTTCCCAAGCTACTCAGAATGACAAGGCCCGTGCTCAGGCAGCAGATCTGCCTGACTGAGAGCTCCGCCAGTTCACTTAGAGCTATAGGCTCAGAAACGTCCCAAGAAAGCCAACTAATGGCAAGCACTTCTTGGTTCGGGCTACCGTTGCATTTCTGAAATTAGGAGCATTTCAATAGAGAGTAAAACCTTCTTACCATTTCAATAAATGCAGCCCTTTCACACAATCTCTCACCCAATCAATTGCAAAGAAAGAAAAGCACACAACTTACAAGGCTCAGACGTGAAACTTGAGGCAAGTAAGGACTAGCGAGCCTGTCCAAATGACACATGATGATCACTGCACACTGCTGGAGGTCAACTGAGAGTGAGTCATCATCAGGCAATGTCAGCAGGCTGAGAAAGACCTCTGTTGGGTTCACCAAAGGAATGTCACCCTGAAAAATATCAATTTAACAAGATAAATTAACAAACACTTCCCCTTCCATTCATGCCCAACATCCCTTGCCAAAACTACATGAAGGAGATAGCTTGATTTGCAAAAATAAAAGCTTGCGCGACTTACATTTTCATAAGAACACTTTTCCACCTGCTTTGGTCTAGAGCAGCTAATGCTTTGAAATCGCTGCAAAAGTGTCACCAGGGGCACACTGGTACCATGAGAAACAGTCCTGAAACAGGGCATATGGAATATTAATGTTAAACATGACCAATGTCCGGCCGGACACTGCATCCTTAATGAGCTACTGATTCTGTGTGCACATAGTGTTAAAAAAATGGGGAAGAATGCCGATGTGTTCAAGTATGTAACTGGTTCATCACTATTATGGATAACAGCAAGGAACAAATTGAATAATTTTCACAGCAGACAGTACTGAAATCTTCAGAACAATAAACAAGGCAATTAGCTACAATAGGAAGTACTGAACATAAATCAACAGCACATTGTCATATACATGTTGAGCAAGACGTCACATTGATACGCATGTGTAGTCACTGTGATCATTGAGCGTACTTTGTTTAGCATTGATGCACAGCTTGTGGCAAGAGTGCCAGTATCCATTCTTTAACGTTTGATCACGAGGAGTGCATTTCGTTCTCTTAGGTTAGTAATCCCTTGAACTACTGCAGCCAACTATGTAGTATGGAAGTCACATTTACCTTAAGTGTACTCCCTGACGAAGTCCTCCATCCCCATCAGAGGGGATAGGCAAATATTTGGGCACTTCGAACATTCAAACAAATATTACAGTGTTCATTTTGCTTTGACATGAATTTAAATTATTCTAAGTTTTGAGTGAAAAGTAAGTTTTGAGTGAAAAGTATATGTAAATCTGAGCTCATATAATGCCTTTGTAAAGATTGTGTCAATGCAGAATGAGTATGCCATGAAACCACCCTTCCAGAAAAAATCCACACTGCCGAAAAGTCACACTTCAAGGTTAATTGTATGTGTTACCTTCATCTCAATTAGTTATTTTTAAAGTTTGAAAGTGTGTTATATGGGCTTTTATTCGCAGAGTACATTAAGTTTTACAGAGTAAAATATTGTACTAGTGATAACTTGCACTCAACTGCTATACAAATCTTGCTTCTATTCAAAGTTACTTCCCCTTTGCTTAAAACCGAAGAAGAGTGTTTACACACGCTCACTAGTTATAATTATTATAAAAAAATATGCAGGTTGTTCGGATTACGACAAAAAATGCTTATTTTTCTTTATAATATGTGACATATACTAGCGACAAAATCTCTATTCTTTTCAAATTTGATTCAAACCTCGCAGCTTACTTTAGTTAAACCTGCTTATAATGAACCTCTATATAACGAATTCTTCGATATAATGAAGTTTCTCTATTCTCTGCCGTTGCTCTATAGAAGCACATGTACCGTATAGTGCGGAATATAGGTCGAGATTTTTTCCAAAAAATTTCGCTAAAAAGTCACCCCTCGACCTATATACCGGCCCTTGGCATAAACAAAGTGATCGTCTGGCAACAGGGAGTGTCGCATGTTTTTTGGGCATCAGCATCGACATCGCCTCCATGGGCCGACGCCTCTGCCGACGCCATTTTTCTTTTCTTGTTCATTTCGTGTTCGTAGAGAGTGGCGACTTTTACTCTGCGACCAGCTATGAATACCGGGACGCGGCGCCAGTTCACCGCCGCGTTTAAAAGAAAAGTTATAGAATTCGCGGAAGTGAATGGCAACATGGCGGCACAGCGGCAGTTTGGAGTGTCCGAGAAAAGCGTCAGATACTGGCGCAACCAAAAATCCAAACTGTCAGTGTGTAACGCGAGGAAGACGTCGTTTCGCGGTCGCCGAGCTGTGCACCCGGAACTCGAGGACAAAGTGGCGGATTTCGTCCGCGAGTACCGTGCCAAATCCCTTCCCGTGAATGCGGAGCTCATTCGCTCAAAAGCCGTCGAGCTCGCCCGTGAAGCCGGCCTGTCAAAGAAAGACTTCAAGGGATCCATTTATTGGGTCCGTCGCTTTATGCGACGCAAAGGATTTGCGCTTCGACGGCGCACGTCGATATGCCAGAAGCTGCCGGAGATGTACGAGGACAAATTGATAGAGTTTCAACTCTATGTGAACAACCTCCGGCGGCAGCATGGCTACATGCTAGGCCAGATCGGCAACGCCGACGAAACGCCGGTGTGGTTTGACATGCCGTCGTCCACGACTGTTTGTGAACGCGGGGCAAAAGAGGTGAGGCTTTTGTCGACCGGTAGCGAGCATTCGCGCTTCACCGTTATGCTTTGCTGCACGGCCGACGGCAGAAAGTTGCCCCCCTTCATAATCTTCAAGCGGAAGACGATGCCGAAGGAGGCCTTCCCGCGGGATGTCGTCGTCCGCGTCAACGAGAAGGGGTATATGGACGAGGCCCTAATGCGCGAATGGATCCGCACAGTGTGGAACCGGCGGCCCGGAGCCCTCCTGCAGCGCCGGAACATGCTCGTGTTGGATGCATTTCGCGGGCATTTGACAGCATCGGTGAAGGAGAGCCTTCGCGACGGAAGGACGGATCTTGTCGTCATTCCGGGAGGAATGACATCAACACTTCAACCGTTGGACGTCGTCCTCAATAAACCTTTTAAAGACCGTGTGCGTGCGCTGTACACCGAATGGATGGCTGGCGACAACCCGCGGACCCCGACAGGCCGGCTGCGCAGGCCACCTCTCGCGACAGTTTGTGGTTGGGTCTCCGAGGCATGGAGGTCTCTGCCTGAAGAGATGGTGGTGCGCGCATTCAAGAAGTGCTGCATCAGCAACGCTCTCGACGGCACCGAGGACGACATGCTGTGGGAGGCGGCTAGTGACAAGCAGTCGTCGTCGTCGGAGAGCTCCGACAGCTCGGAGGACTGTGAGGACTGACTAAAGTGAAGCAGTGAACGATTCCGCGTTTTTCTTTTTTTTTTTTGCTGGTCAAGGTAAGGGGGTCGACCTATATTCCGCCTCGACCTATATTCCGCATTATACGGTATTTGCAATCTCTATGTAACAAAACAACAGCGGGTGACATCCTTGATATAACAAATTTTCACCATGAAAAATCCTGGGATTTCACCACAGATTTTTGCCCTTTTGACGTGAGAGTGCAGCTTTCGCGGTTGCCCACTGCCAACGACGAAGCGGCAGCGGCGCTCATGGCCCCAGCGACTCCCAAGCGACAGCGAGCACTCGTTATTGCGCGCGGGTGTGCACGAGGTGGGCAGGCAGGCCTGCGCCCCATGAGCCGGTGTTTCCGCCACAAGCGCTTGCACAGATATGCCCTCCTCTTCCCTCCAAGCCAAAAAACAAAATAAGAAAACTACTTTTGCATTGGCAGTGCTATGCTTTTAGTTAGCCTCACATAAATGGGGCCACGCTGCATATGAAGGGCGCTTTACCGATTGTTTTTTATAGAATCTGTGTCGTTCGCTCTTCATTTTTGTCGCCGTGCACGCAGTAAAACCATGCGCGTGTATCATGTGGCCCTAGATGGCGTTCGACATTGCTTTTTTTTCCAAATGTGAACAACCGTGTTATCACTACCGAGGGAACGTCACATTAGGGACTGATAGAAACTCTCCGCGACCATGGTAACATCGACGAATCTTCGGAGGCCGACTCATCTTGCTCTTCCGTCTTGCGCCGCGCTGCGAGTTTGCGGGATTGTAGTCTTCCCGATTAGCCAATTAGCTCTGGCAACAACACGACGGCGCATTGAATGCAATGCAATAAGTGCGATAGCAACAAATTGTGATGTTATACGAAGTAAAACTGACAGCCAACTTTTTTGTATCCGATATTGCGGAACTCCTACAAAACCCTTGGTGTAAGCAAGTACGGCCGCTTTCAGGAGAAGTGCTTTTCTCACACAGTCTCTTCGCGTTGAAAGCGCACTGATGCTTGTCAAGATAGTACACGTGCCAGCTATCGCGACTAGCCCTTGAAATCAAAGTTCACCGCTGCTACTCAAGCGAACGCCCCGCTCCCCCCAGTGTTTTTTCTTGCTCGTTTAAGGCCTGTGATTTCTCTTGAGCATTCGACGGCAGTTCTAACACACAGGAGGATAATATCGTATGAGCCCTCCTGGCGATAGAGATGGGCCGGCTCATTAAATCTCTGCTTCAGCAGTGCTTGCACGCTTTTACCCGCTCGTAAAAGTTACGACGCGTGGGGACATTTCATCAATTTGGACTTGTTACAGAACATGGTGGCGATGGCAAAAATCCCCCGAGAGTGTCCATATGATTGCTACCACAATATTAACGCAGTTTCTTATCGCTAAATAAGTGTTCTGGGTTAGCTCTGCCTTCAATTCCCCTTTTGTTTATTTGTGCATTTATTTTTCAAATTTGCGTACCAAACCTGCATATAACAAAATCCTCTTTAGAACAAAGTTTTCCGGGAATTTGTCAATTTTCTTATATCTATGTTTAGCTGTATTCTCCTAAGCTTACAGAACAGTCCTCATCTAGATCTCTGGCTGTTTATCAATCAAAGAGTGTTGATCACCTGTTGTCCAGCTCGTACTTCCCACTGTCCCACAGCTGCAAGAGCAAGAGGACACCACTGAGCAGCCGACCCAGAGTGCCCTGCTGAATGCACAGCTCCAGCAGCAGTGACAGTGCCAGCTGCTGGTCAGGCACAGGCACCTGGCTGCAGCCACGCGAGTGCTGCCCAACACCGATGTTGATGTCTCTGCATGACACACAATACAGTCACACGACTGAAACATCCCTCAAAACAAATTACAAAAAAAGGCAAGGGGCTCATGATCGTGCTTTTTGGCTGTACATGTACAGTTTAATGAAAGATTCGTGACACAAACGCATGATGATGTCCTATCCTGTCTTCTTGTTTTTATGCACAATTTTCAGTTTGAGCCATAAATCTTTCATTAGTCTATGAAAAGGCTTCAAATGATAAAACTAGGATGGCATCATTTATAGCCCACATAAAGCTCATGACGCAAAGGCTGATAGTGTGTATTACTGGCAAGTACATTATTGGAAACTGTACTTATCCTCTTGTGGTTGTGTCGCGTACAGCACAATCAATTTTCAATTTTTCTGAATGGCATAAAATCGCTCCACAAAGCCCCCATAACAAAGAATTGCTGCATTACACATTACTGCAAGAACATGCAAGCAGCCATAAAATGACAGCATCTCGTAAAAACTCGAAGTTGCATGCCATACCCAAGCACGACAGAGCGCAGGAATTTGTCGGCCCGCTCGACCACTTCAAGCCAGACTGAGGAGACCACCTCCTGGTGGAAGAGGGTGGCCTCGGGCATGGCCCGCAATGCCTCCAGTGACTCCCGCAGCAGTTCCCCACAGAGCTCGGAGTCTTCTCCAGAACGCCATGCCCTTTTCAGGAAGGCAAAGGCAAAGCTGAGAGCTGCTCGGGAGCCCACACGAGCCAGCGCTTGCATTGGTTGTTCCGACGGAAGCTTTGTTCTGAAAAAGCGACATGAAGCATGGTAAATTGCATGTGTCATTCCTTAAGGCAATAGCAGCACCAGGAGAAAAGCCTGCTGAACAAAAGGCTTTCTTAGTCATTTGCAACAGCACCTCTTGAGAGAACTAACTGCCCCTTACGTCCGCAAGTCTCCCTCAACTTTTCATCCTGATCACCAATGCAAGACATGTTTTGTAGGAATGGGAAAATAGTAGGTTCAAAGTAAATTCGAAGAAAATAGTGATTTGGTAAAAAAAATTTGCATGGGGTAGTTCGATTAGAATAGGTTACGTATTATAAAGAAAAAACAGCACTTCTGTCATCACCCAACTAACTCGCACAATATCTTTGAAAACAGAAACTAGCCCTGTGTGAATGTCACTCTCATGGTACAAAATGATATAGCAGCTACTTCAAATGGAAGGTTTGAATGGCAGTAGGGTGCAAGTTTTGAAAAACGCTCTGAAAAACGGAGGAAGTGTCAAAGCAGTGAAGAGGAAACTTGGGATAGGCAAAAATCGGATGTATGCACTAAGGGACAAAGAAGGCAAAATAACTACCAATATGGATAGGATAGTTAAAATAGCGGAGGAGTTTTACAGAGATCTGTACAGTAGCCAAGACAACCACGACCTTAATACTATAAGAACTAGCAGTAACCCAGATGACACCCCACCAGTAATGATAGAAGAAGTCAGAAAAGCTTTGGAGAGCATGCAAAGAGGCAAAGCTGCTGGTGAGGATCAGGTAACATCAGATCTGCTGAAAGATGGAGGACAGATTGTGTTAGAAAAACTAGCCACTCTGTTTACGAAGTGTCTCCTGACGGGAAGAGTACCAGAGTCTTGGAAGAATGCTAACATCATCTTAATACATAAGAAAGGAGATGACAAGGACTTGAAGAATTACAGGCCGATTAGCTTGCTCTCTGTAGTATACAAGCTATTTACAAAGGTAATTGCTAACAGAGTAAAGAAAACATTAGAATTCAATCAACCAAAGGAACAAGTAGGATTTCGAACAGGCTACTCAACAATCGACCACATTCATACTATCAATCAGGTAATAGAGAAATGCTCAGAGTATAACCAACCACTATACATAGCCTTCATAGATTACGAGAAGGCGTTTGATTCAGTAGAAATATCAGCCGTCATGGAGACACTGCGGAATCAGGGTGTCGATAAAGCATATATAAACATTCTGGAAGAAATCTACAGGGGATCAACTGCTACCATAGTGCTTCATAAAGAAAGCAACAGAATACCAATCAAGAAGGGTGTAAGGCAGGGGGACACAATCTCCCCAATGCTATTTACCGCGTGCTTACAGGAGGTTTTCAGAAGCCTAGAATGGGAACAGTTAGGGATAAGAGTTAATGGAGAGTACCTTAGTAACCTGCGCTTCGCTGATGACATTGCATTGCTGAGTAACTCAGGGGACGAATTGCAACTCATGATTACGGAGTTAGACAAGGAGAGCAGAAAGGTGGGTCTTAAAATGAATCTGCAGAAAACGAAAGTAATGTACAACAACCTCGGAAAAGAGCAGCGCTTCGAGATAGGTAATAGTGCACTTCAAGTTGTAAAAGACTATGTCTACTTAGGGCAGGTAATAACCGCGGAGCCGAACCACGAGATTGAAGTGACTAGAAGAATAAGAATGGGGTGGAGCACATTTGGCAAGCACACTCAAATAATGACAGGTAGATTGCCACTATCCCTCAAGAGGAAGGTATATAACAGCTGTATCTTGCCGGTACTTAGCTACGGAGCAGAAACCTGGAGACTTACAAAAAAGGTTCAGCTTAAATTGAGGACGACGCAGCGAGCAATGGAAAGAAAAATGGTAGGTGTAACCTTAAGAGACAAGAAGAGAGCAGAGTGGATTAGGGAACAAACGGGGGTTAAGGATATCATAGCTGAAATCAAGAAGAAGAAATGGACATGGGCCGGGCATGTAGCGCGTAGACAGGATAACCGCTGGTCGTTAAGGGTAACTGACTGGATTCCCAGAGAAGGCAAGCCGGTTAGGGGGAGACAGAAGGTTAGGTGGGCAGATGAGATTAAGAAGTTTGCGGGTATAAATTGGCAGCAGCAGGCACAGGACCGGGTTAACTGGCGGAACATGGGAGAGGCCTTTGTCCTGCAGTGGACGTAGTCAGGCTGATGATGATGATGATGAGGGTGCAAGTTTTAATAGACACGATACGTTTCGTTTTAAAATTTACTACACTTAGCGAGATAAGCCCTTATAACAGTTCCCAACTTAATAATTGAGCTGAAGGTACGTATGTACCCCATTCAACCTTAAAAAGTGTTGCCTTGCTGCAGTTTGGATTTGCACTGGTTGAATGTTTTCACGGCACAGCATCCTCACTCCGCTGTGAAGCCCCTTCAACAAAAAGTTCCATTCATCGAGAAATACGGGGCCTCCGAACCACCACCGAAGCGGCGTTCGTCGGACTCGCTAACTAAACAGCAGCCACGAGCCATAAGGGAACCCCTTTCCATGCCTCTGACCTCGCACACTGGCATCGCACCCGGCGGACATTGTCCCGCTCTTCCGCCCCTCAGTGTGGTGGATTCTATCCCGCCTCAGCACCAGGAACACTAGCCTCACTTCCCTGTGCTCCCTTTTGCAAACATTTTTTATAGTATCATGTGTTTATTTTATTATTATTGCTTTTTCTCCTTTGTCATCATTTTTTTGCAGTTAATGGGCTGGACTGAGGTCAGCTGTTGCTCATAGCAGTGTCGTTTTAACTGCATGGGTGACATCTGGCAGCCTTTGCAGACCAGTAAAGGGCAAATTTAGGAGAAAAGAATGTGGGAATCGAGGCTAGCCCGCCGCCTTTGCGCAGGTAGCGGCGGGATAGCTGGTAGCGGATGTCGGCTGTGGCGCCGTGCGCAAAGTCTCTCAGGTCGTTTTGCGCGTGCGCGTCAGGAGCGAGAGAAAGCCTCTTTGGGACGACATGGGGTAAGCATGCATTTCTTTTCCGTCCATTGGCTTCCTTTGTTTGAAGCTCTTTCAGACTTCGCCAACGATGCCTTGCGCCCGCGGCGAACGCTTACCTTTTGTCGCCGCCCCCCCCCCCCCCCCCCCTTCGATCGCTCAGCCAAAAAGCGGTGCGGTGTCCTAGTGCATAGTCATACTATGCCGACCCGTAGCTCTTGAAAGCCACCGTGAGCAGAGTTTTGCCCTCGCTCGAGTGACTGGGCCCTTTTGTCCCATAGTCCCTGTGAATCCCCTTTGCCCACGGAGACGTGCTCGCAGCACCATGTGTAGCACTGCTCATCCGGGGAGTGTATAAGCCCATTAGCTTTCCCGCCACCCCTTTTGCCAAGAGCTCTGGAGTGCGTATTTGGTGTTGCCGCAGGCAATAAAGTGTTGCGACCTTGAGCAGTAGCGTGTTCTCGCCACAGCGACGGTTAAAACGTGGCCTGCGGCTCGCTAAGGCCGGACCCACTCTAGTGGCCGTAATACTTCGGGATACGTGTACACTACAACACATAATGTATTCATTCATTTCAAATACTTTTAAATTATAATTTATTTAGCTTCGTGCAGAAGTGAGTTTGAATGTTTGAAGCTCTCAAATATTTGCTCATCTCTAATGTCTTGTCATTGAGACAAGTGTGTAACACTGAACCAACCATTGCTCTTCATCTGCAAAAAATGTGGCAGCACATTAAAGAAGGACACTGTGGTGAATCTTTACTTGATAATTTTAACCATACATGCTAATCCATTTTTCAGGCTATTGTTTGTTTACAGAATAGTGTACAGTACTAATGCAATCAAATGCGACATCAAAATTTTTAGTTCGACGACTGGCATGTGCAATTGCTCGAGGTAACCAAATTATGTCACAACGAATCTAGTGTTTAAATATAATTTTGGCTCCGAGCTACGAGTCCAGAGTCAATAATGTCTATGTAACCCGAAATGAAGACAATGTAAATGAAAGTGTGTGTGTTAATTAGCCCTAAATTTTCCCGTTTCAATCCACGGGTTCTGTTCATACGCACACATGAGAAGACAAAGCAAGTTGTCAGTTAGACTAGTCTATTCTCCTGTGCTGGCCCTGCTGTAGTTTCTTATTACTATTCTGGCGAAGGTCACGCTGTAAAAACTAGCTCCAACCTTCTCACATGACACGTATTGCGCAACTTCACTTTGAGGCAGTAAGAAAAAAAAATTTGTTATATAACAGCAGAATAGCAGCATCGAATACGTTGTGAAAGCAAGAACAGTGAACAAGTCTCAAGACCCACCTACGAGTCTCTGGGGTGTGGGAAATGACATGGGAAGCTGAAGAGTCGATGGGCAAGGGGGGCTTGCGGTGGCGCACAAGTGCTGAGTAGTATCGAGTGGCCACGGCCAGTTGCTGTTTCAGCCTCACTGAGGATAGTGTGGATGCAGCTGCTTCCCAGCTGAGCTGGTGCTGCTCACATACCAAAGTCTTCAGGCACACTTTCAGTTGATCGACAGCTGTAACAGACACCAAAAATTGAATAAGGCTATTCGTATATTAATCATTTGATTTAGAATGTGTTTTGGTACAGTGTAACTGCAGAGGACGTTAAGCGTAGGCGTTCTTGTACATCATTTCGATCGTCAGAGAAAGGAAAAGAATAGCAAGATTTACTCATAAATTGATAATACTTATGAGCAAAAGCTTCTGTGAGTAACGCGCAGCCATGATGTTTTTGATTCACTGAATACACATGTTACTGGTTGCAATACTGAAGTTTTAAGAAGTTGCCCAAAAAGGAATTTCGATTGGGAATTTTTCATTTTACATTGTATGACACATTTGCTTGATATATTCATTATGTAATAACTTCAGTTCTTGCATGTTCCATCACACCAATTGAGTAATATACATACCTCGGAGTCTTCAACAGAGACAATCTAAGTGATCTGGACAGCATTCGCATGTATATAATTCAAGTTTTTTGCTGCTATTGTCAATTATTAACTTTCCTTGTAAAGATCTTTGCGGGTCTCTTTAACCATATGCTTGTATGACGAATTCCCACGAACTAAAAATGTGGTGCTCACAGGGTTGGGGGCCCCACGCCCACACATCAATAAGAGACTTTGACGTGATCGCGGAGTTTTTCTCCGGCTCCGATGCCTCCCTCTCGGCTGGTGGAATGCACGAGGGGCATGGACAGCCAAGGCTGCCAGTCTGTAGTCCGCAGGTGCACCAGGCAGACCGCTCTAAAGCACAGGAACGATAAAAAAAGAAAAAAAAAAACTTAATACTTGAAAAGTTTTACGCAAAGCAAGGTCTAACGATCGAGCACCCATACGATAAAAGTCATCACTTCTCCTTTGTCGACTTCTCTTCAGTTGCTACAATGATGTCAAAATAAAAATTCACAAAAAAAAACTAATAAAGGCCAGAGATTCTGTGTAATGTGCCTTCAAGCCATAGCTAAGAAACAAAAACAGATTATGTCTGGTTGCTTATATGACATCTGGGTTAGCTGCATTTCCTATATTCAGAAACATTTTAAGGAAATTGACTGTACACAAAAACATCTACAAAAACCAGAATAGTTGTAACCTTCACTTGCTGATATATGCAAAAGGGACATTCAAGAAAACGAATTATAAAGCCAGTGCTCTTTAAACAATTACTGTTGAAAAAAAAAAAGCTGTTTTGCTAGCTAAGAAAATAAAAGTAAAATTTTTTGTAATTTTTTAGAAAGAATTCATCATGCATTATTGATTATTTAATGTAAATTTCCTGGTTTAGAACCCCAACATGCAAAAATATCTTAAAGAATGTTCTCTCTCTGCATTATTAACACTTTGTTCCTTTCTATAAAGTGCAAGGACATTTTTTCATGGATAAAGAATTAAATTGCCTTGGCCAACAGGTGCCACTGCCTTAACTTACAGAAAAGTGCTTTGGAAATCATGAAGGCACCACAACCTACCATAATTCAACAACACACCAAGCCTCTGTATTTTTGGTAATTCACTATTTCATAGGTGCACGCAACTTCAGATCTAAACGCTAGAAAGCTAGACTAACTTATGCGTCTTATAGCAGTGAGCAAGGCTCCTCCCCTTATTACAATACTAACGGAAATGTGTACAGTAATAGCATGGCTAAAAACTATGCAGCGCCCCTTCAATAAAAATGTGAAGCCACCGGCAACTTGCGAGAAATAAAACAGCAACATGCGAGCATGCACGCCTTACATGCAATGTAGTTCCCATGCACATGTCTAATTGCCATCGCTTTACACTTGGATTCTTGAACCAGTTTCATGGGAGCCTACGTTGGATGCCCCAATGATGAACAATGCCGTGAAAAGAGAGACCTAAGGCCCCGAGGTCCAAATCAAGTGGAACAGATACAGCTTTAGAAGTGTATGCAAGCTTTCAAGCTTAATAGAATGTCCTAATTAAAGGTTGTCACTGTTAGTATAAAGGTTTAACAAGAAAAATTTCCATTAAAAAGCATGCTACCACTATTTAAGGCACCCAGACGCAATAAAGCATGCTACAGTGACGAGGAAAGCTTAGAGCTATGCAGGGAGGCTCTTAAAGAACACCAAGCCATGAAATTAAACAAAAAAAATCACTGCATTTTAAGCTGCTTGAAGATAATTATGGGGCGAAGCTTTCGGAGGTGATTACTGTGATTAAAGTTGAGATAGTACTGAGACTGATTGTGGTTGTGATACTTATATATTTTTTATTCAAAGAAATAGTGCTGAGACCGATTGTGATATAGCAGTGATTATTCTTTATAGCTGGTATGAGGTTCTGAGTTCCGTTTTGACTTCATAATCACAGCTTTATTAACTATCGTCTCGGGTTTAGAATTTTCTTGTCGGTAGTGCCGCCTTGCATCCGCTTCAAGTTGTCTCAACTGCGCGTCAGCTTGGCGTTTTTCCCGTTTAGCCTTTGTTTCCTTAGCCCTAGTCTGTGGTGTAGAACTTTGTTGTCGCCATCGCCGCTTTGCATCCGCTTCCTTCTCTTTTGTCTCCGTGGTATATTCCCGTCGACGGCAACGCTGATAATCAGCACGTTGCGCTTTCCTGCGTTCGTCTTCGTCCATATGAGAGAAGAGAATGCGTGGCATGGAACGTGGTTAAATATACATAGCGTTGACAGCAGCGCCACCACATCTACAATTAACCACAGCGCCCTCTGTTGCTTATAAGTTGAAGGTTACATGCCAAACGGTTAGCATCAATGCCCTCTGTTGCTTATAAGTTGAAGGTTACATGGTGTTACGGACAGACGGGAGACGGCAGACATCGTGAGGTCTTAAGGAGCTTCGCCCCTAAAAGGGCCCACTGATAAAATTGTGCGAACCTTGACCATAAAAGCGTTGGCAAAATAAGATTGTTATATCATGTGCAATCGTAATAAGCTTCAATCTCAACAGTTTCTAACTTTGCAGCTTCTCCATGTTATATTGTCCCATCCCATGCCCAACTCTGAGACAGCTATCATCCAAGAGTGAATTGCACAAAAATAGGTCCTTACCTCGTCCTTGTGACAATGCATCGCTGGCGACTGCCTGCAGTTCACCATCTTTGACTAGCTCATTCCAGGACTGCGCAAGTCCCTCATAAGAGAAGATACACTGCACAGAGTTCGGGGGGGGGGGGGGGGGGGGGGGGGGGGGGAATACTAACATTTTTGCCTGAACGGCACTCTTGCAAACTGAATAACAAAATGTTGAGTGGAATGTAACCGCACCTGAAGATCCCTGGCAAGCCACTTGCTGTCCAGGCGTTGTATTGGCTTGACCGCGAACCTAGGCTGGTTTTGCATGTTAACTATGGAAAAAAATTAATGCAAATACAACTTAACTGCGAAGTCACTGCGCCACAACAAAACCCGAAAAAAAAAAAGGCCCCATAAGTTATGTAGTAAAGTAACTACGCGACTGTTGTAATGCGTAAAGAGATATTGTAATGCTCAAAATTCTTTTTTGATCTTGAATAAGCGACACTGTCAGCGACTAAGCGTTGATATACACCGCTGAGTATATATATATTTTTTTTCGTTTACGTAGGACAACATCACTGCCTGAACTCTCAATGAAGGTACAACCACCAAATTAAGTTTCCACGTACACTACGTACACATTCAGCATGAAATATATCAAAACGGAGCAATTTCTTTTATCTTTTTATCGACTGCAGCTTCGACGCTATATATGCTTGCTCAAGGCTGCCAAGTTAGAGCACACGCACACTCGTCAGCTTAACTTTAACAGATTACTTCTTGGTGAAAAAAAAAACGAAGAAGATTGCTATCACAAGATACGACATTATGCCTAACTTTCGGCAAAAGAACATCACTGAAACGAGCGAGCAGAAACCAATCGATTTCGGCGAGACAATCAGCTGTGCCGAAAAGTTTCACTTACACGGAGCTAAGGATGCCATCTTGCCGCCCTATTCGCTCCAGCGCCGGGCGTCTCATACTATACAGTTTATATTCGGATGATTCCGACGCCGCACAAATCACCACAGACTAAGAGATTAGACGAAAAGGCGTCTGAAAGCGCATCTATGCGTGCACTTTCATTGCTGCGGCTTGTGAGCAAAACAAAACAGAAAGCGACCGGCTGTAAGTGGATATTAATGGATTAAACAAAAAAAAAAGCATTGACTGCCGCTAAATGTGACTAAACATAAAAAATTCTTAAAGTATGTTTCATCCTAACTTGCAAAGTTTTTGGTTAATTATGCCGTTTAAAATTGCTTAGTAAGTTTAAATTTTGGGGGGTTGGTGTTTTCTGGTTTTATCATTTTAAACATCAAAACTGCCAGGTGGCGACAGCGGTCAAGATTTCGTAACCCTTAAATAATGTAATGGAGCGCAGACCGTGCTGGCGTAGGCTGTTTGATCCGCTCTTGCGGGTAGCGTCGTCGTAGTTTTCGCGGAGAAATGCCGTGAAAAGTAAGAGAAGCATTCCATGCTCACGCTGAAAATAAATTTAAGTTTGTTCTACTGGCAACTAGCGTTACTTCATCAACAGGGTCATCTGTGTCGGCTAGTTTTGTCATCGCGCGAAACTGGCTGCATTTATTTGGTCTCCGTTGTTTCTGCGTAAAATCTGTGCGTGTCAGTAATTTAGCGGAAGCAACTACAGTGCTTGTCTCGTCTAAAAGCGATCCCAGTGGAAGTATAGCTGCAGTACTAAACCGCGCATGTAAACAAACCGCGCTCTCAGGGAGAGCGATGGAAACCAAGGTGTGAAACACGACTTATTTGTTTAAGTCTCATGCGCTGAGTAGTTTCACATTGAAAGACTCCGGTTTTACCTAGTCACGAGCTAGAACAGGACAATAACGGACTTGTAGTATCTCAAATTGGGTGGAACGCGTTTCTTTCTTTTTTGTCTTGGAAACTTGTACGTATCCGGCAGGCTGTTGTGATCGCTGGGCCAGTTCACACGCAATGTATTATCCTTACACCACAGCACAATTAAACTGACTCCTGATCGTTCATTGCTTCACGTAGGTCGAAAGCCATGGACAGCGACGAAGAGGGGGAGCCAGATATGGTCTTGACTGGATTTTTGTTCGGAAACATCGACGAACACGGACGACTCGAAAATGACTTTCTCGATCCGGTGAGAGGCCAGTCCTCAATGTCAGCGTGCTCCTATGATAGTTTCCGAAGTTTACTACCAGCGCAACTGCGCGTCATGCATGCGTCACGCAAGCACATCGGTCGAACTTGAGAACGCGCTAACAAATCGAGTGCCTGGTGACAATGTGTGTATACAAACGAAAGCAGGAGAATTTCAGGACTTGTTTTTCGTAGTTGTACAACATGTTGATGAGAGTACTAACAGCAAATCAAGCAAAGTGGTGATTTATTCACACTCATGTCGTAATTACTACGAATAACGTACCCTATGCTTTTCCTGTTTTTCTGTTCTCATTAATTAATGACGTGTATATAAATCACTGTAAGGTATCTTCATTAAAATTTCCATACGCTCCCTGGTACATTTTCTAGCCTGAAGTATAACATCTTTTACATAGATGACCCCATTCCATTGAAGTGTGACATAACAAAAATACAAAAACTTATTTTCACATCTTTTGCTTTCAAATAACATTCGTTTTTAGTATTCCTCATGACCAAAATATTTGTTTGTTTGGTGGTTAGTGAAATTGCTCCTCGCCAGCACCTGAGCTATAAATATACGAGCTTCTTTAAAGGGCCCCGCTTTTTTGCCTGCATTCTGCAGCGCAGGAGTTTGTGTGGGGACAAATACTAAGATGAACACAAAAGGAATTATCGAAATCGGTACTCAGTAGCGGAAATTATTAGTTTTCAAACTTCACAACCTCAGCAGGCAATGAGGAAAACATTCCGTTTCTCATTTCTCTCACTCACTCATGTCAAAGGGCATTTATAATCACCGTGCGGTTCTTACAGATACAAACCAGTTGACTTGCCTCCTGGTGGCTTACAGATACAAACCAGTTGACTTGCCTCCTAGTGGCTGTTGTGCAGCACTGCTAGCATTGTTTTACAATTGTTTTCATATTTGAAAAATAAATTCTTTTATATCTGAGGAAGTATAAAAAGTGCTTTTATGATATTTATCAAACAGTAGCGTGGCGTAACTGGGAATATATGAGTATTTGCACAACTTGTCACATCAAATAAATCAAAATGCACAGGCTATGTCGTCATTCCCATGTGGTGAAGCGTCTCTTCCGTTTACAAAAATAGGCGCTGTGTGTCACTCTAGTCTGGAAACAGTGTGGTTTCTCTGTAGAAATGAAATTAAAACAGCTTTGTTTCTTGTGTCCCCACTCGCACAACAATATCAGCACATTCCACAGCTCAAGAAGAAGCGATGAAAGGGCACACTTAATTTGTGTCGCAGGGCCCTTTAATGGCCTTGTTCATGGAGTCGAACTGAAAAAGACGTCTGTCGCAGGAATCAAAGCGAAATCTCCACCAGCTCAACCATCTGGGCATTGGTAGCATGTGGAAAGAGATTACTGAGGGTGCGGAGGCTGACAACTCTCAAGACGGGCGTGACGAGAACGAGGAAGAAAAAGAGAAGTCGGCACAGACCAATGAAGGTTATCTCCATCTTTATACTTGTATTTACTTATGGTGCATTTTATATTTTTCACTTCGTGAGTAGCTGCATTATATGCAACAAGTCAAACAGGCTTATATAACCATGCTTGCTGGCAGAACTTTAGGAATCAACTTAAAAATACGTGTCACAGTCTCATCATGCACACACTACCTTGCGTGAACTTTAGTAACTGCCATTGCGAAGCAGAACACTAGCAATAAGTATTCTCATACATAACTGGATTGCTTTTGCAGTTTGCTATGCTAGTCGTTTAGCAAATAGGTGCTCGGAAGGGTTGTCTGTTTGATGTGTCATGCACAAGCACTTGCTCTGTCATTACTCAGAAACTTATGCAACTCAAGATTCTAATGTCTCTTTTTTCAGTGTTTGTCTTATTTTTTCTTTTTTCTCTAGAATATTCAGAAAAATTGCCCTCATCAGTAGACTACTTCGATTTTGAAGAACTGGCAGATGATGATGGTGATGAGAAGAAAGAGTCCCAACCCATATCTGATGCTCCATTACCGAGTAAGTGATAGCGTCTCCTTTTATCAACGCCGCCATATGCAGCCCATCAGAAAGAGACTGCTGCTATTCATGGTTTTGTAAACTTGCCAATGCCTTCTATGAGAGCATATGTAGTCTCTGCAGAATAATTTTACAAACTCTCTTTTTTTTCCCTAACTTGTGCTTTATGCTCTGTAGATGCAAGAAAATTATGTAGGTAGGAAACAACATTGGGACCTATACATAATGGAGTGCACGATCTGCAGTATAGTTTAGTACAAATAAAACTTGTCCTCACAGATTGCATTCAGAGTCATCACCTACATTTAGGTTACAGTAGTTTACTTTTTGTAGACTTTGTGTCCAGACTGTGTGGGAACTGGGAATTTTATGAAGCTATGAGATATGAAATCTTTAGCGCTGATAGTGCATTCATTTTGGTTTTTCTTCTTGCGGAAGATGTACTGTTGGTGTCAAATGAAACACAAACACTGCTCAGTTATCACCATGTTAATGTGCAGTGCCCCCAAACCAGAGTGCTGTGCATCTGTCATTGGTGGTGGCATGATGGGACACACTATTGTGTCAACAGCAATGCTTGCTGTTGTTTGTGTTTCATTATATGCTATTAGTACACTCATAAGCAGTGTCAAACACTAAATTTGTACCTGAGCTACAGTTATACCTCCTCTCGGTAAACTGGGGTCTGTCATATTGCTGGTGAATAAGTTGGTTATATTGTCACGGGCTAAGTAGATGCCTGAGGATGACGACCAAGTGCTGAACGTGACCGTGCTCGGACTGCAGCAGCGTTCTACGCATTAGCTCGCCAGTACGCATTTGCTCGCCAGTGTATACTTTATTCCCCGTAACATTATTGGTGGAAGTGCGGGGTACCACTCGCTATACAGCCCAACGAGCTGGATCTTCACAGCAGACGGCGCATTGCAGCTACCACGATGACTGACCAGGCTACTCAATGTCAACAAGATCCGTCAGCCCCGCAGCCGATCGTTGTGGTGCAACCTCGTGACCCAGGCCCATTGAACGGCACAAGTGACATAGACGTCGATGACTGGCTGGTTCTATATGAGCGCGTCAGCAGCAGCAACCATTGGAATCCGACGCTTATGTTGGCGAACATCATCTTCTCCTTGCATGGCACGGCAAAACTCTGGTACGAGACACATCAAGAAGAGTTGACTAGCTGGGACGTCTGTAAGCAGAAATTGTGCTGTCTATTTGGGAAACCCATCGGACGTCAAGTGGCCGCAAAGAAAGAGCTTGCGACTCGTGCCCAGACATCCACAGAGCCGTACATCGCGTACATCCAGGACGTGTTGGCTTTGTGCCGCAAGGTCGACAAGGACATGCTCGACGAGGACAAAGTCGGACACATCCTGAAAGAAATTGCCGATGACGCCTTCAATTTTCTCCTGTGCAAGGACTGCTCGACAGTGGAGTCGGTCATCGAAGCATGTCGTCGCTTCCAACAGGCAAAAAGTAGGCGCATAGTTCACCGATTTGACCGCCTTCCCAACACGGCGGCTACATCCTCTTGCGAAGATTTTCCCACACTACATCAACCACCAGCGCCAGAAAACGTCACCAAAATAGTCCGTCGGGAACTCGAGGCTATGGCTTCCGCTATGTCTAGCGTCAGCACGCCAGGACACAACCTCGATGCTGTTTCAATGATACAGACTGTGGTTCGCCAAGAGATCGCGAATATGGGCATTTCGCCACCTCATCAAAATGCCCCTGCTACTTCCAGCTCGGCTCCAGTCGTTGCGGCTACCACTCCGAACCGCACGTTCGCACCACGACGAAACCTAGCTGAATGGCGCACTCATGATGATCGGCCCATATGTTTCACGTGCCATCGCATAGGACACATCGCTCGCCATTGCCGCAGCCGTTGGACCTCATCACCTCGACCGAGCTTCTATGATTGGCGGCCTCGCTCTGAACTTGCACCTTATGCCCTGTCCTACCGTGCTGAGACAGGTGCAGAGCATAATCCAGAACGTCGGACCAGCCGCTCGCCATCGCCCGTGCGTCGTCAGTCCCGCTCACCCCAACCCCGCCGTTCTCGGTCTTTCTATCACCGTCGCTCGGAAAACTAGCCGGTGCAGCCCCCGGAGGTGACGCTGCATACACGACTCGGACTGCAAAGCCTCTGATTACTCCCGACCAGCGGTGCAACCTTCTTACAATTTTGGTTGATGGTTTACCTGTAACTGCTCTTATTGATACCGGTGTACAAATATCTGTGATGAGCTCAGACCTCCGCCGCCGCCTCCAAAAAGTTCTGACGCCTGCGATTGCACCTACCGTTCGTACAGCGAATGGGAGTACTCCTGCTGTGCTTGGAATGTGCACTGCGCGATTAACGATTTCTGAGCATCAAACTTCAGTTCTGTTCGCTGTACTGGAAAATTGCCCTCATGACCTCATCCTTGGACTCGACTTTCTGACTTCACACGCTGCGCTCATTGACTGTTCCAAAGGTCTTCTTCGGCTCGAACTACCATTCTTCTCAGAGACTGTCTCTACCAGCCCACCTCGTCTACGCTCTGTCGATTTCCTCAGACTTCCGCCGCAAGCCGCAGTCCAAGTCCAACTCTCGCCATATCCTCCAGTGCCCGATGGTGATTATGTTGCTGCCCCAATTTCTGACGTGGCCATGACACGCAATGTCGCACTCCCCAACACGGTGGTTACCATTAGGGACAACCGAACTTCATTTCCCGTCCTCAATTTCGGCTTCTCAGCGCAAGTTATTCCTCGCGGCATGTCACTTGCGCATCTGACACCACTGGTCGACCACACAGTTTCCGCCCTAACCACCGATTCGCCACCCGATTTTTTATCAACGTTGCTCTCGTCACGTTCCTGTTCCGACCTTTTCAGGCCAATGCTATCTGACAAGCTCACCTCTGAACAAGTCTCTGCTTTCTGCCGTGTGCTTGCTTCTTATGAGGACATATTTGACTTCGGCGACTGTAATTTGGGCCAGACATCTGTGGTAACCCATCGCATCGACACCAGTGACGCTCGACCCATTCGCCGACGACCCTACCGTGTGTCAGCCCCGGAGCGTGCTATTATACAACGAGAAGTCGATAAAATGCTTGATAAGGGTATAATCGAACCCTCATCTAGTCCCTGGTCCTCACCCGTTGTACTTGTTAAAAAGAAGGACAATAGCTGGAGATTCTGTGTTGATTACCGCCATCTCAACCATATTACTAAGAAAGATGTCTATCCCCTACCGCGCATAGATGATGCACTCGATTGCTTGCACGGTGCCAAATATTTCTCTTCGATAGACCTTCGCTCAGGCTACTGGCAGATCGCTGTGGACGACAAAGACAGAGAGAAGACGGCCTTCGTGACTCCTGATGGACTTTATCAGTTCAAGATGATGCCTTTCGGATTATGCAATGCCCCCGCGACATTTGAGCGCATGATGGACTGTCTCCTTCGAGGAATGAAGTGGACCATCGGCCTCTGCTATCTTGACGACGTTATTGTTTTTTTGACTACTTTCGACGACCATCTTACTCGTCTGTCCACAGTGCTTGATGTTTTTCGACGTGCCAACTTGCAACTTAACTCGTCCAAATGCCGCTTTGGGCAATGCCAAATCTGCGTACTCGGCCATATTGTTAATGCTGCGGGCGTTCAACCAGACCCTGCGAAAGTCCGAGCAGTTCGCGACTTCCCCACACCCCGCTCAGCCAAGGACGTCCGAAGTTTTCTGGGACTGTGCTCCTATTTCCGTCGTTTTGTCGAGAAGTTTGCTGAAGTAGCTCGTCCTCTAACCTGCCTCCTCAAAACGGATGTTGCATTCACCTGGGGCCAACAGCAAGCAAACGCCTTCTCGTCGCTCGTTGACATTCTCACCAATCCACCAGTCCTAGCACACTTCGACCCATCTGCCACCACGGAGCTTCGTACTGACGCCAGTGGCCACGGCATAGGCGCAGTGCTGGCGCAGCGGCAACAAGGCATGCACCGCGTCATCGCGTATGCAAGCCGACTGTTGTCGCACTCGGAACAAAATTATTCTATCACAGAACGCGAGTGCTTAGCTCTCGTATGGGCCATTGCGAAATTCCGACCATACCTGTATGGCCGACCATTCTCAGTTATTACGGACCACCATGCGCTTTGCGGGCTCTCCTCACTCAAGGACCCTACGGGACGCCTTGGTCGCTGGGTGCTGCGTTTACAAGAGTACACTTTTTCCGTATCCTATAAATCTGGACAACTTCACAAAGATGCCGACTGCTTGTCCCGTTACCCAGTCGATCCCCCTGACACGAGGGAAGATGAACAAGAGGCCCTCGTTCTTTCAATTACCGACTTCACCGACATAGCTGCTGAACAACGCCGCGACCCCTCTTTGCGGGCTATCATCAATGGTCTGCACTCTCCCCACCCTGACCACTCCTTACAACTGTTCGTTCTACACAACGACATCTTGCACCGCTACAACGCCCGCCCTGATGGTGCTGAGCTTTTACTCGTAGTTCCTGTGCATCTTCGCTCAGACGTTTTGGCCCAGCTGCATGATGCCCCCTCCGCTGGACACCTAGGGGTGTCACGCACCCCTAGGTGTCCGCATTCGCCGCCGATTCTTTTGGCCTGGCCTCTACCGTTCTGTGCGACAGTACGTTGCGGCATGCGACCTCTGCCAGCGCCGCAAGACACCTGCTCTGAGACCTGCTGGTACCCTCAGCCCATTGAAGTACCAGATGAGCTATTTTTTCAAGTCGGCCTCGATCTTCTAGGACTTTTTCCCGTGTCGGCCACCGGTAATAAGTGGATTGCTATTGCTACCGACTTGCAACACGGTATGCCATTACACGCGCCATCCCCATCAGCTGCGCTACTGATGTAGCCGATTTCCTTCTTCATGACATCATTCTGCGTCATGGTGCTCCTTGTCAGTTGATCACCCACCGCGGCAGCTGTTTTCTATCTAAAGTAGTCGACGAGCTCCTGCGATCCTGCTCTACCCACCACAAGTTCACTACAGCGTACCATCCGCAAACCAACGGCCTCACGGAACGCCTCAACCGTACCCTGACGGATATGTTAGCGATGTACGTCTCCAAGAATCACAAAGATTGGGACATCCACTTACCTTTCGTTACCTTCGCATACAACAGTTCACGTCATGATACAGCTGGATTTTCACCTTTTTACCTACTGTTTGGTTATGACCCGCCTTTGCCCATGGACACCATGCTCCAATCCGACGCCTCCTCATCGACTGCTTATGTTCGTGATGCCCTGGCCCGAGCTGACATCGCCCGCCAAGTCGCCCGAGATCGTTTATGTGCCTCGCAGCTTAACCAAAAAAGTGCTTACGATCGCCGGCACCGCGACGTACAGTACTCTCCGGGGTCGCTCGTCTTGCTGTGGTTACCATCACGTCGTGTTGGTCTCTGCGAAAAACTGATGTCCCGTTACGTTGGTCCCTACCGCGTCATACGCAAGGTCACCAGCGTGACCTATGAGATAGCTCCATTCCATACCACGGCAGTACCAGCTTCAGTCCCGATCGATTATAGTGCACGTCTCACGGCTTAAACCATACTACTCACACCTCGAGAATTGATCGCACCGGGACGGTGCTTCTGCCGCCGGCGGGTAATGTCACGGGCTAAGTAGATGCCTGAGGATGACGACGACGAAGTGCTGAACGTGACCGTGCTCGGACTGCAGCAGCATTGTACGCATTAGCTCGCCAGTATATTCGCCAGTACGCATTTGCTCGCCAGTGTATACTTTATTCCCCGTAACAATATTAAACATTTTTTGGCAAAAACACCTTATTGAAGGGCATTTGCTGCCTTCTTTTAGTACCTAAAGTGCCCAGCGCATAATGCAGTCACTATATTTAACTAAATTTTTTTCTCTCCCTAAGCAATTGAGCCACAGGCACCATATTGGGGATCTTGTGTTATTTGATCATACCTGTGCTTGCTTCCTAGAATTGTTATGTACGTGAATTCAGCGTTGTGGTTATGGTACGGTGCTGCAAGACTGTTAATACGACGCACTGTGCTCACATTTCGTATCAGACAGTATTAATTTGAAGTTCTCTTGTTCCATCATTTCAACCGTTACGCGTGTGTAAACATGGTTTTGCAACATTTTTCCTTAGGCCCTGATCTGGCTGAAGAAAGTGACACTTTCGAGGGGGCATTCCAACGAATGCTCTATGCTTGTCAGAGTCAAGGTATTAATCTCATAGTCCTGTACTGGATCAACGCACCTGTGTATCGTTTCGCACTAGGAGAAAATGTTTCACGGCTTTGACACACTGCACCATGTCTGTGCCTTTCTCCTGCATTTGATGTTGCATGAGCAAGCCTGTGGTTGGTTATCTTGGAATTATTGGGAGTGTTATGCACCGTATCCGTGGTTGCATTTGCTGTAACAAATTAAAATCTTTTTTTTTTTGCTTGAGAAGGAAAGGTTTGTTCAACATGTAAAAGCTCAATTTGTTTATGCAAAAGAGGGGATCATGATCTTGTAGTTGTGTACTGTGATAGCATGTTTAAGAAAATGGAACATGTGGGATGTATCTTGTGACTGGTATTGAAAACAAGATGCACGTCATCTTTGGCTGCTATTTTGTGTAATTGCCTTTCACTTTTCTACAGCTCAGAAATTTGCATTTGTTTGTGTCGTTGTTGCTCTGCACTGGATAACGCATCACTTTCTTTTGCACAAAACCTTACCTTGTGGTTCACAGCTACGAAGATGTCTGGGGACTGTGTGACACTTTCACACTGTGCTGTATTTGCAAATCAGCAGGTGTAAAATGGAAAATGATGAAAAGCATGCATTCAAGTCGTGGCACTCTTTAACTTATCTAACTTTACAAAAGGTAAATACAAGATTAAATAACTTTAAAATTTCATATGGTGTTTTATCATCAACTGCAGCATTCTTGCTTTATATATAGTCAGATATGGTTTCTTTCAGCCGAAAGATGCAGGTGCTCATCTCATATGCATCCGATTTTATATTAGTAGTGATTGCATGCAGGGTCTCCACATCAGAAAGGAGCACTGACGTCAGAGATTTTTAGAAACTTAGTTCATTTTTCTTGCAGATGGAGCTTAACATGTCACCACTATACAATAAAGGAGTGACAACGATTCTTTTAAAATTTACACTGGATCTATTATGTTATTTCCACAGTTATGCTGAGCTACGTTATATGAAAAAGTTGTGCTGCTTTGTGCAGTTTTGTATGAAGCAGTAGCACAATTTGCACAGCCATTCGAGTGTACTTAAAACCATTCGAAATTCACTGAATCATGGGCAGGCATAATCTGTCTGTTTTAACAGGAAGATGTAAATGTGTCTCTTGTGATGAAACCATGCCAAAGAGCACCTTGCCATCTCTCTTCTAGTGAACCACTACAAGTCACACTGCCTTTAATAATGCATGTGGGCATTGGTGAGGAACCTACTTGAACATTAAGAAATAACGTTGACTGGTAATTAGAAGGAGGCGTGTCTCTTTTTGTGAGCAGGAGGGCAGCTTCGATCACAGACACGGTCTGTGAAGAGGATGCCTGCTTCTCTCATCTCATGCTTTTCCCACCCCCGAAGAAATATGAACTTCGCAAATACTGTAAGCGCAGTGCAAAGGTGTAATCAAGTAATGCTAGCTAATCCCTTTATCTGCCCCACTCAACAAAGAAGAGTGAAAATAAAAATTAATATGTATAGAGATCCTAAGAAGCATTTCCTTTGTATAATGCACAGAGTCGGACAACGAGATTGGGGTGAAGCCAGATGAGGAAGAAGGCTTTAGAGAAGGTTCTCAAGACTCGGAACTAATGCCACCACCTCCAGTTCCGGCACCCTTACCAGGTTCTCAGCAGGCTGACAAAAGTAGCAAAGGAACAGAGGACACCAAGGAACAATCTGAGGATGATGAGACGTCAGCAGCCCGAAAACGCAACCTCGACACCCCACTGGCAGCTATGTTGCCATCAAAATATGCAGACTTGGATGTTACCGAACTCTTCCCAGAGTTTCGGCCTGGCCAAGTGAGTAACTGCTGACCAGTAAATGCCCTGCAATATGTTGTTGCTGTATCATAGGTTGTAGGTGATTGTTGTGAAATTGCTTCATATTTATGGAAAAGTGGTGAAAAATGCTTAAAGTAATCCTGAGATTTAGTTGTTCAAGCTTGTGGGGTCTTGATGTGAAGAGTGCCACGCTCTTAGAGTGAACGGACACAGCAGACGCGGTCGAAACAAACCCCCGCAGACCCATTGCTAGAGACAACCGTTCGCTCCACCCGCCAAAAAGAGCTGCTCATCTCTCCCGCTCCGCCACCATGGCTTGCCGCCAGGCGTCACTGCCGGCGCCACTGTTCTAACCATGATGATTATGGTGGTAATAAACGCTCGCGAGCACAACGCCACCTACCGCTCGATAGTTGTCACCCCTGAGTGCAGCTTATGCGCGAGACACGTGCACCATGAGGTGCAAACAACATTACAGGGGGTGTTAGCACCCTCACAAGCTGCTTTAGAGTGTGTAAAGGCACGAGTTTGAGAATATTCTGGAGTAGATGCTGCTGCCATAATAAAAAAAAAACTTTTAAGTAGGGCATGATATGCAGCGTCACTTTACTATTATTGATGTCAGCGACTGCACCAGATCATAGTTGTGTTGATACTGTGGTGTTAACATAGAGCACTGTCATTTGTGCATTGACATCTCCATTTGTTGTGCTTGCTCAGCCACCTGATTTAAAGTTATCAAATTTTATTTACAGGTACTGCGCTTTTCACGACTGTTTGGCCCAGGGAAGCCATCGAGCTTGCCACAGATCTGGCGTGGAGTTCGTAAGCGGAAAAAGAAAAAACAAGGCCCATTTTCTGACATAGGTGGAGCATCACAGGATGCCATGAATGGCCGTGCAGAGGAGTTCGAGTGGTGCTTAGATGTAGCTTCACCTCCACCTCCAGATATGTGTATGCAAGATGATGAGGTTAGAAAACCAGTATGCCTAATGGAAGGAAGCGCCTAATTAGGGTATGCCATGCTTGTCCTGTTAGTTTGCAATGTGTACCTTCTGCTTGCTGAGCTTTCTTGACATAGTCTTTAAAAACTACTTTATCAGTCTTGGCTCGTATGGTCTTTAAACTCTTTATCTATCGTGTCTTTTTCTGAAACATTCAAATGAGGAGGTTTATTGTTTAAATTCAGCTTTACAGCAGTGAATCATTTGTGAGGGACCTGCAGTATAGTGTGTTGTTTTAATTTTTTTAATCAGCCCAGAGAGCCTATTTGGGATTTACTCCTAATTTCTTGGTTATTTGCCTTACCATAGCTCCGCTGCAGTGGCCTAGTGGCTAAGCTACTCGGCTGCTGACCCACAGGTCGCGGGATCGAATCCTGGCTGCGGCCGCTGCATTTTCGATAAGGTGGAAATGTTTAGGCTCGTGTGCTCAGATTTGGGTGCAGGTTAAAAAAACCCATGTGGTCGAAATTTCCGGAGCCATCTACTATGGCGTTTCTCATAATCATATGGTGGTTTTTAGATGTTAAACCCCATATATCAATCAAATCAAAGCCTTGAAAAAACAATGTGTAATAATTTGTAATTATTGGCACTGACAATGCACATATACTGAAGCGACTAGGTAAACTGCGTATTCTGTTACTATTGTTCTGATCTTTAGTGCACAAACATTACTTGTGGCTTACCACCTGTATTTCAGGCATTAATTGACATTGCTTTGCAGCTGCGATTGTTGCGGCCCGAAGAAGAGCAGTCGTCGGGCAACAAGAACGAAGCATCGCGCTCATCCGACGTGTCTCCACAAGTAGCAGATTGGAGATACGGACCGGCTCAGTTGTGGTATGACATGTATGGGATTCCGGAGACTGGAGACACATTTGACTACGGCTTCAAATGCATAGAGGTACGTTCAGTGCACTTAGTTAGTGTTGTCTTAGTTTAGTACACTAAATTTCATTTAGTGTACTAACCTTACAAGTTCTTTGATTATGCGGGCAAAAACTTTAATTGGTGGGTGCATAGAGTGTTGCACGGGGTCGTACGTCGTAGAGAAATTTGTTGAATTCGACAGTGAAGAGGGGTAAGCAAAATGTAGCCTCGTTGTGGTTCTATCGATCCTGGTACCATGCCGCAGCAAGGTTTTTTTATCTTGGTATTGGCAGGAAAATGATGATAGGGACCAGTTTCCACACACCATGCAACTGAAAGAAGTTCAAGACTTTCCCGACGATGCATATCTCATGGTCTCTCAGCTCCAGTGGGAGGACGATGTCATTTGGAATGGAGACGATATCAAGCACAAAGTAAGAAGTGCATGCATGCTGTCTGTATTTTCTCTCTTGCCCTCAAAACGCATACCCTCAACAGAGTGCTGCAGAACATTTTTTAAGACTGATCCTCTTGTATTGCCACAGAGCTAGCTTTCTCACATTGCTGTAAAACACTGCTGTGAAGCCAGCATAGCAGATGGGAAGTTGTACATTTTGACTTAAACTCCAAATTTAAAAGCAGGATATTTGTAATTATAAGCTAGGAATATCTAGAGGACATTTCTTGGATCCAGAAACAAATCTGTTACGTTTAGTGTTAGTAAGTCTTAGTTTCATTAGTTGTGTATTTAAAGAAAAACGTGCCCCTGAAACAACTTTCCTAATTTTGTAGTTTATAAGTGAGGACTTTGTCCAGGCTGACTTGAAGCTTTAGCTAGCATGTGGGTGTTTATTGGTTCGCCGTCGTCTTGGTTGAAAATGCTGCCGTGAGGCCATTTGAAAAAAAAAAAAAAAAAAAGTGCCCCACACTCGTTTCTAGGTTAGGGGTGGCGCTGGTTAACACTCCCAGGTATTTAATGCCCATAAATACCCTACAAAAGAGTGGATAGGGAGCAGCCTTCATTGTAGCTCAAATGGTAAAGCATCGGATGCGTAAATCAAAGGTTATAAATTCAGATCCCATCGACGGAAAGGGTGATATTTTATCTACTTTAATTTCTTTAAATGTAAATGAGAATCATTACAACATAGTCAAGAAACCACAAATAATGTCACCTATGCTTTTCTTGGCTTTATTGTCTGTCAGTTTTATTAGTTGTGTAAATGCAGAAAAAATGAGCCCCTCAGACCATTCCCTTGCAGTCTGTGGTAATGCAAGTTATGACCAGCACCGCTTTGCATGCATTCATTTTTCGAACCATGCCCCTGTCTCAAACACAGGTTCTGGCCAAACTGAACAATAAGAACAATGCAGCTGGCTGGGTTCCTTCAATCCTCAATCGAACAGCGTCATCATTTAGTCAGCAAGGTACGTTGCTTTTTGTGAAGTGATATGCATTTCATACATTAAAAGGAGCAGTAAGGAACAGCATTAAACAAATTTGTGCTGGTGAAGCATTAAATCCTTCAAGTCCTGTTGTCATCATTCTATTGTTCAGTGTATACTTATGTTTTCACATTGTGTGCACTGAATCTTCGAGCTTGTGTTCCTATTCTTGCCAGCATTGTAGACCGTTCATGTTGACAGTTTGTAGTCCAAACCTGTGTAGTGGAATATGTCTGGAAGACATATTCCACTACACAGGTTGGCACATTGTGCTACTCCTAGTGTTTTCATTCATCATTCATACCTTGTACATCAGCAGATTGAAACCATCTACCGGAGGACTTGGTAACTAATACTAATAACCATCTTTTCCGTCAAGCATTACCTAATTTTGCATATAATTAGGAAGTGTGTAATGCATTATGTAACGTATATTGTGTATTATGTTTGTATTGTATTGAAGTCGTGGTCTTTACTCATTTGATATTGTATAATGAGGAAATTTTGTTTGACTAATTTTAATGTTGTATTTTGTTTCTCATCTACTTGTAGCCACTCCCCTTTATAATGCCATATGGCCTTCAGGGTAAATAAAATGAAAAATTATTTGCAATCTTGCATTGATGATAGAAAGATAATCAGTGCACGTAAAATCATTATTTTTTTAGAAAAACTGTGTGTGCCAGCCTATGAAAAACCCAACCTTGCTCACTTTAAGCACACAACAAAGCATCACTGCACCTGTCTATGAGCAGACAACCATCATGGCAAGTTTCCAAGCCTCCCATTTGGTCACTGCAATCTTGTTTGGAGAGCTAAGTAGCCTGAATTATATGCATCACATTTTACTGTGGTGCTGTTTTCTCAAAGCTGTCTGTCTCACTGGATTCGTCAGTACAGGAATGAGACTTAAGATGGCCACTGTTTGCTTAGTGGTCTATTTAGCCGAAAATGCTCAGTAGTAAAATTAGGCTTGTCCGCATTGTCAATTTTAGGTTCGAAGTGAATTCAAAACGAATAGTAATCTTGGTCGAATAATTTCGAATCTAATTTTAATGGTATATATCACATGATATAAAGAAAAGTGGGCATATTTGTCATGACATAATTAACTCTTTCCTTACCGTAGAAAACTGGCCTTTTCAATGTGTGTCTACATGATATTTTTTTTATCAGAAACTGTTGTGCGTACAATGGGTCATTCTATATGAAAATATAGCCCATTCACGTGTTTTTATAATGCAATAAAATTCAAAGTAAACAACCTCATATTGTTTCATAATTTATTTCTGAAATTTGAGGAAAACTGAAGAAAAACGGAGGAAGTGTCTAAGCATTGAAGAGGAAACTTGGGATAGGCAAAAGTCGGATGTATGCACTAAGGGACAAAGAAGGCAAAATAACTACCAATATGGATAGGATAGTTAAGATAGCGGAGGAGTTTTACAGGGATCTGTACAGTAGCCGAGACAACCACGACCTTAATACTATAAGAACTAGCAGTAACCCAGATTACACCCCACCAGTAATGATAGAAGAAGTCAGAAAAGCTTTGGAGAGCATGCAAAGGGGCAAAGCTGCTGGTGAGGATCAGGTAACATCAGATCTGCTGAAAGATGGAGGACAGATTGTGTTAGAAAAACTAGCCACCCTGTTTACGAGGTGTCTCCTGGCGGGAAGAGTACCAGAGTCTTGGAAGAACGCTAACATCATCTTAATACATAAGAAAGGAGATGACAAGGACTTGAAGAATTACAGGCCGATCAGCTTGCTCTCTGTAGTATACAAGCTATTTACAAAGGTAATTGCTAACAGAGTAAAGAAAACATTAGAATTCAATCAACCAAAGGAACAAGCAGGATTTCGAACAGGCTACTCAACAATTGACCACATTCATACTATCAATCAGGTAATAGAGAAATGCTCAGAGTATAACCAACCACTATACATAGCCTTCATAGATTACGAGAAGGCGTTTGATTCAGTAGAAATATCAGCCGTCATGCAAACACTGCGGAATCAGGGCGTAGATGAAGTATATATAAACATTCTGGAAGAAATCTACAGGGGATCAACTGCTACCATAGTGCTTCATAGAGAAAGCAACAGAATACCAATCAAGAAGGGTGTAAGGCAGGGGGACACAATTTCCCCAATGCTGTTTACCGCGTGCTTACAGGAGGTTTTCAGAAGCCTAGAATGGGAACAGTTAGGGATAAGAGTCAATGGAGAATACCTTAGTAACCTGCGCTTCGCCGATGACATTGCATTGCTGAGTAACTCGGGGGACGAATTGCAACTCATGATTACGGAGTTAGACAAGGAGAGCAGAAAAGTGGGTCTTAAAATTAATCTGCAGAAAACGAAAGTAATGTACAACAACCTCGGCAAAGAGCAGCGCTTCGAGATAGGTAATAGTGCACTTGAAGTTGTAAAAGACTATGTCTACTTAGGGCAGGTAATAACCGCAGAGCCGAACCACGAGATTGAAGTAACTAGAAGAATAAGAATGGGGTGGAGCACATTCGGCAAGCACTCTCAAATTATGACAGGTAGATTGCCACTATCCCTCAAGAGGAAGGTATATAACAGCTGTATCTTGCCGGTACTTAGCTACGGAGCAGAAACCTGGAGACTTACAAAGAGGGTTCAGCTTAAATTGAGGACGACGCAGCGAGCAATGGAAAGAAAAATGGTAGGTGTAACCTTAAGAGACAAGAAGAGAGCAGAGTGGATTAGGGAACAAACGGGGGTTAAGGATATCATAGCTGAAATCAAGAAGAAGAAATGGACATGGGCAGGGCATGTAGCGCGTAGACAGGATAACCGCTGGTCATTAAGGGTAACTGACTGGATTCCCAGAGAAGGGAAGCGGGTTAGGGGGAGACAGAAGGTTAGGTGGGCAGATGAGATTAAGAAGTTTGCGGGTATAAATTGGAAGCAGCAAGCACAGGACCGGGTTAACTGGCGGAACATGGGAGAGGCCTTTGTCCTGCAGTGGACGTAATCAGGCTGATGATGATGATGATGATGATGATGATGATGAAGAAAGCATACATGAGAAGATATAAAATTGCTGTTATACATTACAGCATTCAGAAAAAAACAAAACTGAAATATATAAATTGTAGCTTGTAATATCAGGAGTAATATTTCCAAATTTAAACATTCTCAGATAAAAAGTATATTTTTAGCGGGCTCTCATCTTAGCGCCCATGACGCATGTGCCACTTGGAGAAGCAGTTGCGGGTGGTGGTAAAGCAGAGATGTGCTTCACAGGTGCTGCAAAAAACATTTGTTTTCACTTCATTTTTAGTGTTCTCCTAGCACAACTTGCAGTTTCTTCGGCTGTCAACCTTTTCCGGCTTGTGCCGAATCCAGTCGGGTGGCAGATAAGAAACTCTGACAGGTTGATCATTTAGGTTCAAAATTTCCTGAATGAGCATCTCTCGGAAAGAAAGCTGATCAAATCGGGAACTCAAATTTAGCTCAGGAATGTCAGGATGCTGTTTGCGATGCTCTTGAAAAAGAATGAAGGTATTTACGCAGGCTATGTCGATACACTGGAAGAACAGTGTTTTCCATCATCGTACGCATTTCCGAAGGACATTGTATGTTCCAATTATCTGGTCAGATTTGTCTACCCCCAACATGCCTGCATTGTAGTCATGTACTAACAAGGGCTTCCTTATTGTTCTCTCAGTCCATCGGTTCCCCACTTTTTGACGTCTTTTTGCCGATATGTGTTCATTCGCTGTGTGAATTGTACTCATTAGATTTACTGCCTTGCGGTCTTTCCACTGGAGAAACAAGATGTTTCCATCCCTGACCCACCCAATGTCCCCCCGCTCAGCCTTCCTTTCCCATTTTGTTTCTTTCAGATCGCCAGGGAAGCCTCGGCGATCTTTTCTTGTCGTTCCACATGCCAGCGTTTTACATTGCAGGAGATGTTCAAATAGGTGCTTTGAGGTATAAAAATTGTCCATGTGAATTTTGTACCCTTGTTCCAAGTATTTTTCACAAAGTTTACTGACAACATCAAAAGCAAACCCATGTGGTCCTGGTGTCTCCCTCTTACCTGTGTAGACAAAGAACTGTAAAGTGTACCCTGTTTCAGATTCAGCTAAAACCCACAATTTGTAACCCCACTTCGTCACCTTATCGGAATATATTGCCTGATTCCCGATCTTGCTTTCGATTTCACCATCCTTTCATCTACTGCAATGGCTTCCCGTGGCTGGAAAAATCGTGCTGACACCTCATTGATATGTTGAAGCAGTGGCCACACCTTCCGCAGTTTTCTGGCTGATGCAGTACTCTGATCCTCCGGATCAGAGACGTGCAAGAAAGCGAGGAGAGAAAAGAAACGCTTCCTACTCATGATTTGCGCTGGAAGGAGACCACCGTATATTGACCCAGTGTTCCAGTACATATGAAGGCGTGGCACTTGCATGATACCCATGTAAATGAGGAGTGCAATGAACCGCAACATCTCCGGCGGCGTGACCTCAAGCCAAGAGCCCTCTGCTTCTGAGTAGCTGGGTTTCTCGAAAATGTTCATCCAAGCGTACTTGTTGGTGTACTGACAGATAGTTGAGACCAATTCAGCAGTGAAAAACATCATAAACATGTCCAGTGCGCGGATAAAACTTCGCGTCTCGCTCTGGCGCGTCACATCCAGATGTACGCCAGGTGTTCGTTTAGGTAAGAACTTGACTCTGCATGCTGCATTCGGCAGAATATCGCCTCCATAGGTAGTTGACACCCTAGTAAGAAAACGTAAACAAGTGTCGTCACTTACAAAACACGCTCACGTTATAAAAACAACATCGACATCCGGACCTACGCTTACTTTGACACACGGCTTGAAGGTCCGGGCTGTGGAGATGAATCATCGCTGTCAGAGCCGAAATCTGATGATCCAACTTCTTCTTCAGAGTCCTCGCTACAGCTCAAATCAAGATCATGAGCAGTAGAGGCAGCGGAATCACGTTTCCGAAGTTTCTTCTTCAGCGGCGGGCGATGCGCTTTCGGAGCCATGTTGCGAAACACGACGCTACCTCCTCCGTTGTCTGTTTTTTTTTTTTTTTTTTTTTGCGCGGGAGCTCCCACTGATAAAGCGAAACAAAAAAGCAGTAGTGTAGAGTAGTTCTTATATTTCCGGCCAGATGGCGCTAAAAGTCCGCGAGCGCGCATTTTTGTTTTTGGCGGGGCTTTTAAAACCATCGATCCATAGTGATCGATGCTCTATGGGACGGTAAGGAAAGAGCTAATAGCTGCAAAATAAATTCTTTTAATTAAAACAAGGCCTGTGCAAATGCCATTTTTTCGGTTCAAAAGAAGTGGAAGCAACTATGAATAGTAGCAGGATTTGACTTTTGATAGAATGCACATGATAACCTGTAAAATATGTTTCCAAATGTAGTATACTCAACAGCATATAAACCGCTATAACAAGCTTCTAAACTTAAAAAATGATGAATGGATGCGAGTGTAATACGTTGAGCTGGAGCTTTGCAGATTTTTCTTGAACAGATATTTTCACGGCTTAGTACCACTCTATGCCAGTGAAACAATCTTTACGGGGACTACATGTGGAATAATATTGACACATGTTGTTAGGCATCTACCGAAGTCTTGTGCCGCTTCCTGCTCTTATGAATTCTGCCACACCAACTGACAAGCCAAACACGCCAAGCTTAACGCACCATGCAATGCTGGCTGCACGTGTCACCACACCACATGCTGGAAAAAGAAGGCTGGCAGCTTTTCGAAGGAGCGGCACACGGCGAGACGCAAAAATAAAAAGTTGATGAGGTTTTCACTAGAAAGCTCAGGACAACCTTTGTGTATTTAGTTGACAGGCACAAGTTCGCCATAAATAAATAGTTGTTTTAGCTTGCAGTGTTGTATTTGTTTGTTACAATATACATCTATTCGTTGATTTCAAATACTTCGACATTTTCAATAATTTATATTTGAAACAAAGCGAATTTGAATGCTGCGATATTCTTTCGAATATTCGAAGCATTCCAATATTAACACGAGCCTAAGTAAAACACGTTCTTAAAGAGTACTGAGTAATACATAATTCACTTTTACAGCCAAAAGTGTTTCTGGAGCAGCCCTGTTGGGTGCCTCTCAAAAGGGCATGTCTCAGGGTATGCTAGCCAAAGCAGGGGCCAAGTCTGGACTTCAGAGTAAGTTGCCTATATTTCTTCCTTTTTCTTGTGGCTCTCTTGTGGCTCATAAAATGCGCAAACAGTTATCTTTCCCGTATGAGCAAACTCTCATCACAGCCACTGTGATGGCTTTGGTTAATGTTTTGCACTGGCAGTCACTGTAGGATGTCCAGAAAAATTGGACGACAAATAGTCTTATACCGGTGTCACACGGCCACTTTTAATGGCGATCAATGTCTATCCAGATTAACCACAACCCGGATTAGGTGCTGCTACACAGTCACTTTTAACCACGGTCTGGCGTGATTGGATCAAGGCTATCGCGAACGGCGCATCGCAATCTCTCTGAGAGATCGTGATTTCGCTGTCGTCTTCTGCGTCCTCTGGCCGAGCTTGTTGAAAGCACAATTATCAATAAAATCAAGCAGATTTCAATAAAAACACTTTAATACAGCTAGATATTTTTAAAAAATCAAATTGGAAAAATATCTGAAATATCGCATATGTTAAGATTCTTATCGACCCCATACAGGAGAAGCAGACTACAATCGTTGCCTTCCATGCTTAGTTGAACTTTCGCACCGTCAAAGCTGTTTGAGCACCTTGAAGCAAACTGATTATGCGTGTCGCAAGCCTTTCGACTATGTGACAATGTACACGCACTTTGTGGTCGAATGAAGAGACCTGTACAGTAATCGACTGCTGGCAGGACCGACTGGAAAACTTCATGTGTCAGAAGTGAAACTCTGGCGCATACAATAAGATTGACGCTTCGCTGCGACTGGACGACTATGAGTGTGGGCCATCAGAAATCAAAGCGAAGGTTAAGAATGTAACATAGCAATACAAGTAAGTCCAAGGAAAACTCTATCGAATGATGCATTTATGAAATTACTTTTGTAGTGGCATGCAAAGTTTTTGACGTTCGGGCGGTTCTTGCACGAATAACATTGCTGATAAAGGGCTCCATAGAAATATCATTCGCCGAGTTTTGTCAGTGACATTTTTTTACGTCATGCAAGGACCACCTGCTGCATTTCATCGGACCCAAGCTCCAATCGGATTAACTTGGGCCGTATAGCACCGGGTATAAAGTTGATCACGATCAAGAAAACCCATCCGGATTGCCTTGATCGCGTGTAAAAGTGCCCTTGTGACACCGGTATTAGCATCATCAGATTTTTGGTAACAGACCAGTTCCAAAAGGGCATTCCAATGATCAAGGACCTCAGCAAAGTGGTTAGTTGTTAATATTGTCCATTGAGGTGAATAAAGTCATTAACAAAGACCACGTGCACACCACGTGCAGAGTCCGAACCAGGCGACGACAGAGACGACACGTGGTACTCCATCTTTCCTGTTGAAAACGAAGAACTCGTTTATGGCTGCTGGGAAGACGAAGTCATCTGGGATGCACAGGTCCGTATTTTATTTTCAGCATTTAAACAGCCTGCATGTTCACTTACCTGGGACACATTGCGATATTTGTGCAAGGCTGCTAGCTTTTTTTTTCTTTTTTTTTTTTGTAATTCCAACTACAGGCCATGGTGAAGAAGCCGGAGCCACAGATTCTGACCTTGGATCCTAATGATGAGAATATCATCTTGGGTGTGCCTGACGATCCAGACCCGAATTCACGTGCAAATGCCGAACCAGTGAAAGAAAAAAAGGTGAAGGCATGTTTCTGTGTTACAGTAAAAATCTTTCCTGGGTGTGTGTGTGTATGTGTGCACAGACACAAATTTATTTGTGTTGGGGAGGACCAGAAGAAAGAGTGAGAGATGTCGGGAGACTTACACATTTATCTTAAAAACAACCTTGGCTCTGTGAAGACAGCTCATGTAAAGCTCATTGAAACATAGTTGAAACAGGGCATTATAGATTTTTTTTTAATTCCTGTTGTTGCAAACAAAAATGTTCTCATGGTCATTGACCAGAATATGCTTGTTAAAAGCAGTGGTTCAAACAAAAGATGATCAGAGGGCATAAATGGCCTTCAAGTTGATTTTACCCAAAATGTTTTGTTTATACTGCAAATAATCACTTGAATGTTTTGTGAATTCTCTTTTAGTTAGCAGGGTAACCTTAAAAAGCCTTCAGGGATGTAATTGATCATGAAGATGATGTCTCTATATTTGTCAACTCTTGACAGAATATGAAGTTGTGAGATAATATGTTAATGTTCGCTTTAAACCAAAGGAACTTCATTGCTGAGAGGTGCAGCAGCAGTTCTAAGCAAGCATAAGCTACGGTGGTGGCTTGCTTTGTGACACAGCGACTCTTGCCTTTTAAATGCTAATGCATTTTTAGTCTGTCTATGTCAGGCATCCGGTGTTGTCCGTGGTGGTGTCCGCGTGCCGGCAGGTGTTATCACTCTGCTCTCACTTCCTCCTTCATAGCAACAGCTGTAGACGTGTGCGCTTATTTTCGCCGCTAGCGACTGGAGCATGCGGTGCGAGTGAGTGTAGGAGAGGGTAGGTGCAGTGCTTTGCCACTCTTTTTCTCGCTGTTCTCTCTCTCTCCTCCCTGCGACCCACTCTCCCATCTGCTTGCGCCTCACTCTAGATTGTTCGTTGGCTGGGTGCCTCTCAAGGCGATGGCAGAAGTCAGTGAAGACGAATGTCTGACAGCTACGATACCTTCTCTTGGCGCAAGGAATGCATTCGCATTTCCTCCTGATTCCCTACGGGGAGGTGGGGGTATTTTTTTGCGGAGTATTGGGTAATATTTTGAATGTGAACCAGTAAATCTTCATTACAAAAAGAGAAGATAACATGCAACTAACTAATTGAAGATTTGGTGAATACACCGGGATTCTTTCAAATATCACTGTATTAGTCACGTCTGTACTTGCGTGAATATAATGGACTTTGTGATTTTCAGTCTGAAGAGACAGCTTGTTTTATATTTGTAACATGCCAAGACTATAACAGAGCTACACTGGTTTAATAACAGAACCTTTAAAGGCTCAATATTTCACTGGTGGTCTTTCTTGCATACCCAGAGTGCTAAGTAGGATGTGTTACTGTCAATGCATCAGGGATTTGTGGGCCTATGACATTGTGTTCTACCCGTTAAGGCAGCAAAGTGGGGCACAGAAAACGATGTTAAAAAGAAGCTGTTAAAAAGGAAGTTTGTAGATGTTTATAAACTCCCATAACATTTATATATGTATACATATATATGTATATAAAATATTTTCTTGCACATCTAAGTCTCAGTACCATATTTATAGTAGTCGTGCACTCTGCACTAATGCAGTATTTCCAATTGATTTGATTGAGGGATAGCTCTTGAGGACACCGTAAACATGCCACAGTGAAGAGCTGGTGATTATGTTGATTAATTAGATTTTTAATGTGTGCCTGAACGTATGCCACAACTGTTTTTGTTCACCACATTCCCATTAGACAGTAGCTGCTACTGCTTAGAGTCAAACCCGCGGCCAATTTCTCAGTAGTGGAACTCTGTAACGGTACTTTGCATAATGTTACTCTGCCTTTTTTTGTTTTGCTGTAGCATTTATTCAGACCTCTAATAAAGCAGTAGCGTGACAGAAGGCTTATTTGAAAAATGTGTCACTGTTCGTGCTGCGTTTTCACCCAGGCACCGGGCTCTAACTCTGTCTTCATGAAGTCAGGTGTGACTGCCGTGTCAACTCACTATGCTCCTCACCCAGCACGTTTCGGGGGTCTTGGCCCCCTCTATGGTCGCATGCCTGTTCCCATGCAGGCTCTCAAACCTCCTGGCAGGGCTTCCTCTTTTGTGCCCATTGGTTGCTCTTATGTCATGGCCCACGTGAGCGTCGCATGCTGGACCTGGTGCTTGTGTGTGCATGCTTTCCTTGCTTCTTTTGCTGTTGGATGGAGCCCTGTTGTCCACTTGCAGGACTGTTCACAGATGTTGTGGTTCTTGCTAACTTCAAAATAAAAGAGTAAAACATTTTGAAGGTACAGTAGACTCATGTTAAACAAAACCTGAAAAAGACTAGGAATAAGTGTTTCGTTTAACAGGAGTTTTATTTACTGAGAGAAAGAGAGGGGTGCAGAACTAAAGTACAAAACTAATCATATTAGAGGCAGTTTCATTTAAGCAGCAATTTCACTTTTAGCGAGTTTCATTTATTTAGAGTCTACTGTATATGTAAAGCCCACTGCCAGCGGTTTATCCATCTGTTTATAAGAATGTATAGGCCAAATGGGGACAATGGAGCATCGTCTGCGCACTTCAGCTATATAATATAGACAATGATGCCTTAAAAATATGTTGTGCAGGTTTTATGACGGCTGTAAATTTCTTTCTCATTAGCTCTAGCCGATGGATATGCGCACAATTTTGTTAAAAAAGCACAAAGCCTCCTTCCAACCATATTGTGACATCATACAATTAATTTAACTAGGAATAGCACAATTGGGTAGGTCTCAACTGTTAGGCACTTTGTATTGTTTATGTCATACAAAGATTGAAACCTAAATAATTTAACAGATTTCATTTTTGAAATTATTACTTCTTTGTCAGCTATAATTGAACCATAATAAGTGAATGTTTTGCTTATTTGTCATGATAAAACATGCATTACCTAATGAAAATGCTTTTTTCTGATGAAAGCTTTGGAGTGGACAACAGATTAACGGTATAGAATAATTTCATTTGCTTGCTTGTGCATGATCCAGCAATTTTTTTTTTCTTTTGCATGTGTGCGTTCTCTGCTTATTGCTCTTCTTTTCCTGCATGTGCCATGTGTTTCTTCATTTGCATGTGTGACTTTTTTCTGTGCAGTAAGTCTCTAGCTTTTATGTGGTGATTCAACGTGCTGACGTTTATGGCAGAATGGTAGAACCTTTCATGCATGGTCTAATCAGTGGGCAGTCAAGGTTACTTAGCAGGCTATTGTTCTATATATGTGTTTATTCATTGTCACAAGCCACTAACCAAAGCTAAATGAAGGGAAGATGTCATATCGACCAATGGCACCTTATCAGTTAGAGAATGAGCGTAGCAATGAATAAGTGAGAACGAAACAGATTTTTAATGTGAGATGGTGAGAATGAAAGCTGAGCAGATCTTTTGGGAGGGAGGGAGAATGATCAAGTGTAGGCTACTGTTAGTGTGTATACTTTGTTGTGTGGCCGTTGAATATAGCGTAGCAAGGTACTGCTTTTAACAAATTTTAATATATCTGAATCGCAGAGCAAAACATTCATCGACAAGTAGTTCAACAAGTAGCGACTTCTAAACAGTGTTGTCTGAGATGGCTTCACAGCTGGCAACAGCCTTTTCTTTTTTCTTTTCTGTTTACAAAAATGAGGAACTAGTCTAATTCCCAGAGTTGTGACACTCTTGTAGATGGCATTACACTGTGACATCCGAGAATCTTCTTTTCCTAAACTTGCGATTTGTTTCTGTGTGCTGTATATTTCTGAGTAGTCCCACTGGCAGATGGTTTTCAGGTCTTTAGCTTTATAAGTTCTAAAAGTATGTGGAAAGTTGCCAAATGTGCCCAGCTAGCATGAAGAGAGCCCCCCCCCCCCCCCTTTTTTTTTATTGTGCACAGTGTTGTGAGAAAAGGCTGATATAGTTTATTTGTTTGACATACCCTTGATTGCCAAGGTATTGTGGAGGGTAGTAAAATTATATTATGTAGATTATGAAAAAGGAATGACCTGAATGTAATAAAACAATGTAAATGTTAATAGATTTGAACATCATGTATTATCTGCAAACATTAGAAAATCTTCAACTGAGCATCTAGCTTAAATTCATTTATCCACCTTGACAACATTGCAACACCAGCAGCTTTATATTATGACTTAAAAGCTCAAAAGTGAACAGAATGTGACTTTTCTCGCATTCATATTTGAATTTAGTTCAGCATGGTTCAGTGTATAAACGTGCAACACTTCTGATGAGGACAGAAGTGAGAAACAGACAAGACATGTTAATCAGTTCTATTCTCATTCGATAAGTTGTGCTGCTGTACGCTTTAATATCGGAAGAACCAACCGGTCCAGCATGTTGCCTTACGAAGTTACATTGTCTGCATGTTGTCTCATTATTGTGATGAATGGCATGCGGTGTGGATAGTAGTAACAGAATCGGCGGTGCAGCTGTTCAATTCCATTCGCAAGGATATGGTGCGCAAGTCACGGATCCTCCTGGGAAAAGCGGGCGTCATCGCCGAGCCTGAACCACCCAGCCCGGTAAGCCTCTCTGCTTTGTCTTCGTCATGCCACATGTTTCAAGCATACAAGTGTTATTTCTACAAATGAGATTGTCCAATGTTTTACATTAAAGTGGCATTTTAGTGAAAACTAGTGCCAAGCCTGCATGAAATGAAGCGAAACTGAAATCCTGCTATACTATTTTTCATTCACACGACCTGACTAGTACAACTTGAAACAAGATCTTTATTGCATTGTATGGGCTCTAAATTTTATTCGCATTTCAGCACGAATTCGACTGTTAGGCATCTTTGTACTATTTATTTTTGATGCATCCTGTAGTTGGTTACATCCTACAAGTAAATACAAGCTCTACTCCAGAACTGTGGCATGCCTGCCACTCATCTCTGCAAGCCAGCCATGCGAGGTAGCTTCTGTTGTGACCACAAGTACTTTTTCACTTCTAATGAAAATTCTACATGTATCAACAATTCTAACTTCATTCATCCTACTTAAAACATTACATTTCCCCGAGCAGGGGTGTCAGAATCTTTGCTGAAATATGCCTGGAAGTTCCAAGTTTTTAAAGTGAAACCTAGTGACATAAACATGTGTCTGTATGGGAAAATCACATGCCTGAAATAGGCTAAGTGTGCTTTACATCACAGAAAGGAGCAAATGCTATTGAATGAGAAATTTATGCAAATTTTCTTTAGGTGGGACAGTGTTGGCTGTGGTCAGAGCTTGCATTTATTCTTAGGTTACTGACGGTCGTACACGTGTGGTCAAGTTTTTATGTGTGTTTCGATGTCACCAGCAAGTCTAGACATTTGTTTATCAACGTTTTTTGCAGCCTCCTGTGCAGACAATGGAGAAGGACCCATACAACATATCCAATGATGAGTTCTACAACCCCAAGCTGACACAGGACTCAGCCCTCAAGCCAAACGTGGGTGGCAACCTGATTCAGCACTCGATCCCGGCCATTGAGCTGCGAGCCCCCTTCTTCCCCACCCACATGGGGCCACTCAAGCTTCGGTCATTCCACCGACCGACACTGAAACGCTACTCACATGGTGCCCTGGCACAGCCTGGACCACACGGCGTCATCCCACTACTCAAGCATATCAAGAAGAAAGCCAAGGTGGCATATTGAATGATTGGGACCTCTTCTTATGCAAGAACACTGTGCATTTTCTGGGTTATGTTTGCAGGGATGGGTTGTTGGCATTGCTGTAAAGCGCTTAATTATAAATGAATTAAATTCCAGGGTTTTACATGCCAGTATTACAGTATAATCACGAAGAATGGCAAAAAGGGGAAAATGAGAACTTGTGATGATAAATTTGAAAACAGGGAATGGGCGCTGGAGCCACCAATTCAACAAGCAGATTTGTATTCTTCAAGACTGCAACTGATTTCCTTAGCTCTTGTGTGCATATGCCTTGTACCCTCTCCTTCAATCCAAACAAAGGAGGAATTTGTCAAAATGTTGGCTCTAGTATGCACCCCTGTTTTGGAATTTCTCAAAGTTTCTTAATATAATCATGAAGCTCACTGCAGTGTCATATAATAAGCAAATTGTGACCACCTAAAGTTCGGTTCTTTAATGTGCACCTTTATCTAAGTAAACGAGTTTTTTTTTTTTAAATGCAGCCGCTGTAGTTGAGAATCAAACCTTCATCCTTGAGCTTAGCAGCCAAACAACTTAGCCTCTGAATTACTACGGTGATTGACATATGTACTGATGGCGCATTGAGACGGTGTGCGTCACAGAGTGAATTGTGTATTTGGCATATTTGTGCTTGTTTAGCGAAGTGATAATTCGGTAGTGATAATGCACTGGGACCGGTGCATGCTTTTTTTTTTAAACTAGTAGTAGTTATGTTCATCCATAGTCGTAGCAATACTGGCATGTCCCTCTCTTTAGATTCAAGTAACCATAGCGGGTGGTCTCTCAGTCATTGGCCACACCTTGAAAGACTACAGCTATATATGTGACCATATATGTCACCACGTGTAGCTGTTGTTGAGGTACCGATGGAAAATCCAACAACCGTTGGGGTCTATCAAATGACTTAAAAAGTGAAAACAAAGTCACTGGGGGATAGTGCTACAACATGCTGCATATTTTGTCCTGAGATTCCTCACTGTAAAGCTTGGTGAGAAGCTTGAGGTTAATAATCCAGTGCATGTTAAAACTAAGTTCTTCACTTTTGTTAGAAATACACTTCTGACGCTCTTTATGAACTAGGGAAACTTCTTACTAGCTTAAAAAGTTATAAGTGTTGTGGAGAGGCAGCTGAGTTCTGCTTATAGGTACTAATAAGCTTACTTAGTTGTTGTGAGGTGTTTTTGTGGAGTCACTTGTTGAAATTGCTAGTTGCTTGTCACGTTTTTTGTGCTTATTGACATTTTCCTTCAAATGTAGTGAAATTTTATAGCTCGTCTGTTCACTAACAGTACGTTTGGCAATGACCTTGTGTTGAACATTGAAATCAAAGATGTTGGGGGAGTCGTGAAATAACTTTATTCAAGCACTGTCAAATGTGCAGCAAAGAGTGGAGACTAGAGAAGCTAGAAGGCGATATAGTGGAGGCTACCCTAGAGACCATGCTGAAGACTTGCGTTAAAAAGTAAATATGCGCCTTTAGGCATAGTTTCACATATTTTCGCTAGTTATTTTTACCTAGTTATTTTACAGCTAGTTATTTTTACCTGTCTTTCGTACTTGAACCACTTTTGTATACCTAGTCATTTTAAAGATATTACCAAGAAATCAAGAAGTTATTGAACTTCTGCCCCCCTTGGACTTCACAAAATTTGCACGGCAAAATTTCGGATGATTATTCACTTGTTAGCTTGGCGACATCTGGCACATCTGGTTACTGGCATGTTTTAGACCCATCGGCCTGCCCCATTTACAAAGAACGTTGCTGCATTTCGTCCTTTTTCCTGCCTCTGAACAGATGCGAGAACAAGAGCGTCAGGCGTCTGGTGGCGGTGAAATGTTCTTCATGCGTACTGCCGAAGACTTGACAGGTCGGGATGGGGAGGTGATCCTGTCGGAATACTCTGAAGAGCATCCTCCATTGGTCATGCAAGTGGGCATGGCCACCAAGATTAAGAACTACTACAAAAGGGTATGCACACTGCCTGCTACCCATGGCAGTTTTCTACACAACGTCCTTCTGTTGACGATTGCCGTCTTTATAAAACAACACACCAATCTGATCAGTCGTTCGCGCAATGTGTTATAGAGAAGCAGAGTTTAAATTTGTTCTTGCATGTTCAGTGATGTTTCCCTCTGGCTTCAGAAAGTTATGCAAGCAATCATTGCATTTCGTTGAGGAATATTGTTATTTTGTGTCAGCACTGCTGGAAGTAGTATTAATATAGGAGTGCACATTGAATCTTTATAGCATAACGTTCAGGCATCCCTTGGTATAATAAGCTAGATAACTGCTGAATGTTCTCTTTATGGTAGGAAGTGATGAAAATCAAGCCAATCAATGATTTTAATGTTAATGTTTCTTTAACATTAGCATGCAGCATTCTTTTGCTTTTCTTTAGGATTAATCGCGCAATAACAGGGAAAATTTATTGTTGGCACTTTGGTCTAACTGTGCAACTGATCATGTGTTGGGAGTACTTTTGTTATGCCGGGGTTAGTACCCTTATCTAACTGAATGGTTAGTTTTTTACACTCCTGGGCAATATTCCCACATCAGGCTTAAATGTTTGTTGCTTATTTCAGAGGAGATTAAGCGATAAGTTCTTATCACCAACATAGCGGAAACATGCTGTCCCTAATGTTTAGATATGCAACACAGTAACAAAGATATTGTACTTGAAAAAGCTGAGGAGGAAAAAGATTGTAGCGGTCCTTCTGCAAGTATACTCTGTACTGCTATCCTAATAATATTATTCAGCTTCAACATTGCTGTTACCGCTTGATGGTGCACTCTAATTTTGCAGCCATCTTTAACACTGCACAAAATATCACAGAGATGCTATGCCTGTTCTCCAGAATAACTAATTTGTAGTTTGCCTTGTATCACTGAGCAGCGACCAGGCAAGGACAGTGGGGCTCCTGAGTACAAGTATGGCGAGACGGCCTACGCACACACCTCCCCCTTCCTGGGCTCCCTGGCGCCTGGCCAGAGCTTGCAGGCCTTTGAGAACAACCTCTTCCGGGCGCCCATTTATGAGCACAACCTGCCAGACTCGGACTTTCTTCTCATACGTACCAGGCAGCAGTGAGTACTGAATGCAGTTTGAACTATTTCACCGTGTTTAAAGCTTCATAGACACCTTGAAACAGTGTAACGTAATGTTTTGAAAACGAGAACACAAATAAAAATGCACTGTCCAAAAAACTTATGTGTGAGAATAAAACCAAGGACGTAGCAGTTATACAACATCTGGTTTCTGCACTCTGTTTTATTTCCTTATCTTAGAGAGGTGGGGCACAATTCTGTCATTCTTATTATTAGGCTTGTGTGAATATTCGAGCACTTTGAATCATGGAGGAAGGAAAAAGAAAGGAGGGAGTTCCTTCTTTCATGCTTCAAATATCAATTCAAATATTACAGTCTTCGAATTTACTTCAATTTGAATTTAAATTGTTGGAAATTTCGAAATGTTCAAAAGGAAGGAATAGGTGTACCTATAATAATCCGCATGCAACTCTTTGTAAAGGTGGTTTCACTGCAGCGGAGCAGTACCATGCCGCGAAGCCTCACTTTAACAATAAATGAACGACTTGCATTTCACGGGATCAAATCCCGGCTTCGGCGGCTGCATTTCCGATGAAGGCGGAAATGTTGTAGGCTCGTGTGCTTTGGGTGCACGTTAAAGAACCCCAGGTGGTCGAAATTTCCAGAGCCCTCCACTAAGGTGTCTCTCATAATCATATGGTGGTTTTGGGATGTTAAACCCCACATATCAATCAATCAGCGTTAAATTAATGTATTAATCTCACATCTATTCGTCTTTCGTAAGGTTTCAAAGCTTTTTATACCAGCTTATAGGCTCTGAGCACAGTAAATTTCAAAGCTTAATGTATTATATAGGTTATCACTTGCGTTCTACCAAAAGTTCTATCCAGCTATTATTCAATATTGCTTCTACTTTTTTTGAAGAACCATGGAGAATGACACTTGCACATGCCTCGTTTCGATTGTTGAAAAACTTCTGTGCAGGTTAGCTGTGTCTTGACATATATGCTAATTTTTTTTATAATACGTTATATATACTATTCATTCGATTTGAATATATTCAAGCAAGTCACTATTCACTTCAAGTTAGCTTTGGTCATAAATTTTACTGTTTGCACAAGCCTACTGATTATATGTGTGGGACTGTGTGGTTATTATTTATGCAATAAACGTGGCCTTCAAGACAGTAGTTTTTAGCAGTTGTAAACAGCTTTAGGTGCAAGGTATCTGTCACTTTTTTCTATGTGTGTGTAAATTTTGTAAAATTTTATTGCAGTTTCTTTTTAGTTAAATAAAATAAAGTTTTTTCATTCCATTCCATTCAGTTAAAATATTACCTTACAAGAATTTTTAAAGGTATACTCTGGTGCAGCAGTCTTTTAAGGGGCCCTGCTACACTTTTTGAGCATGGTCAGAAAACACTACCTATCGGTAGTAGAGGCTCTTGAGAACATGCAAGCAAAATATTATAGCATAGCTTGTAACCTGGAATTTACAATAAAATTATCAAAGTTAGCAAAAAATTGCTTTCTCTTCTCTCGGCAAATGATGGAAGACGCTCAAAAATCACTTGTAGAAAGCCCATCTATCAGCCATTGGCTGATTTGAACATGGCACACTCTGTCTTTATAGTAATCACCGCTAGAGGCCACAACTTGTCCACGTCTGCGCGTGCGATCACACTGGAAAAATTGTGTATTCAAAAAAAAAAGAGAAGGGGGGGAGAAAAGTGCTCAAAGTCACGAGGCACATGTGACATATTTTGTTTGCTCCTGCCATTTCTTTCTGCTTAGCTTCCAGTGCTTTCAACGCGGAGAGAAGGAAGAATGTTATTGCAGTGTGCAACAAATCTTAGTAGCTCCACTTGTACTGAACGAATTCTTAAAATTTTTGCAGCATTGAATTCACGAGGTGATAAGCTCTTTTAGTGAATTCATTCCGTGGTTACTAGAAAAAGTGTTTCAGGGTTCCACCCAAAAGCTTTTGCAGATGTAGCACATTGCTTTATACAGTCGAATCTTGATAATTCGAACTCGAAGGGGCCCGAAAATTTGTTCGAATTAAAAGAAGTTCGAAGTAATGAAGGCTAAATAAACGGAAGGCTCTCCATGCAGTGGGGCAAGGGCATTGAGCTAACACACGAGGGGGAAGTTTCAGAAGGCTTACATTTATTCGCAAATCACAGGACATCCGTTATTAATTGAAATAATCGGTGATGCGCATTTGCACACATTTGTCTTGCAACGAGTCAATCAATTTCGTACGCAGCTTGAAAAGCATGTCTATTTCGGCTTCAGCATTCTCCTGGCAAGAGAAGTTGCACGCGGCAATGTCCAGCGCCGACACTTGGTTGATGACAACGACAACTGCATCGCTGCTACTACCCTCTGCTCCAAAGCCGCAGCGTAGCCAGCACGTGACAAGAAAGGAGGAGCGGCTCCACGCGGAGAGGAGCAGATCGGCATTTGAGATAAACCAACACTCCAAGGCAGCTTTTTTTTTTTTTTTTTTTTTGCTCTTTTCGCATGCGTTCTTGAAAAGAGAAGGGTTTTGTGGCAGGGACGAGAAAGGGGGAAGCGTGGTGCCTGCGCATGAGAGAGAACCACACTCCGCGACAGCTTTTTTTCTCTCTCTCTCTCTCTCTCTCTTTGTCCGTGGCGTTGGAAGGAGAACAGTCTTTATGTGGCAGGGGCGGAAAAGAAAGAAGCGTGCACAGGCGCGTCGCAAATCGGCATTTGAAAGAAAGCAAACATTCCACTGCAGCCTTTTCTTTCCTTTTCCTTTCTTCCGCGCTCAGCATTGAGGTGTCGGAGGTGCGGCCACGGGATTAAGTGGGTTGCTGAGAGCATTTTCGGAGCCCGGTATGTCCAAATTAACCATCGAAAGTGCTTGCGCGTTCGAATTACCGGGCGTTTTCGCTCATTGAAATACTCATAGCTTTGACAGGACCTCATCGTGAGTTTGAATTAACCGGAAGTTCGAATTAAGCGTGTTCGAATTAATGAGATTCGACTGTACTATGTTACACCTTTCTGACTGTTACTTGGGAGGTAAATTGTATTTTTCATGGTTGTTCATCAGCAAGTCACAAGGTAGTACTCAGCTTCATATCATAAGAAAAAAACATATATAGGACAGGCTACTTCGTCATAGAGGGTGATTCCCAACAGGGGACTATGTTTTTCGTGCACACATTATACAGTTTGCTTCTCTCACATTTCACTACGCTGGAGATATTACAGCCTTACGACATAGACACTAATCAGGAATACCTATGTTCAGTACACCTTGATTCAACATGGTAAACGCAGTGACAGTTAGGGTGCAGAGTTTATGGTTGTAACTCTATTGATTACTGAAGGAAAAATGTGAATACATATAAGATTGCCTTTTCTTTCAGCTACTATATCAGGGAAGTGGAGACGATCTACACAGTTGGCCAGGAGCTACCACTTTTCGAAGTGCCAGGTCCCAACTCAAAGCGAGCAAACAACTTCGTCCGAGACTTTCTGCAGGTGCTTCCAATTTAGCATCACTCGTTTTAATTTTTTCTCAGTGCTAACCTCCATGGTAACAGCTTACTCAAAGGTTGCGAAGTCACATTTTAGCCGCCGTTGTCGCATACATATAGAGCCTAAATGCTAGAGGCGCATTAGGTGTGCGAGCCCAGGTGGTAGAAATTTCTGGAGCCCTCTACAACAGTGTATATCACACTCATATCATGGCTTTTGGATGTAAAACCCCAGCTGTTATATATATAATTTTTGTAGTAAAGCTTCAAAGAAAACTTTAGGCTTTCTGAGGCTGCTTTTTATTTATCACCAAATCTGTTCTTTTCCTATGCCTAGTATCCTTGGTAAAGTGAAAAATAGACAAAGCTGTCGTAAAAGCCTGAAGCACCACTCTGCAGTTGGGGCCTAAATATAAGTTTATGACATATTTTATAAACATCTCCATTGCGAGAGAACATTTACATTTCCTGCTAGACAGGCTAGAGCACCCTCTGCTGTCCCCGTGATCTGCAGAGTACCATATGGGACACTTATTGTTGGCACTGACAAATGTGAACCATTGGTGTAAAATTAACTCATAAAACGTGTTATGAAATTTCGTACCCTTTTCTATTTCGCAAGTACAAACAAACTTGCCGAGCGACATGTTCTACTAAAAATGCTTCCTCCCACAGCGTAAAGGGGGAAATGTGCGCCCTTTATGCCCTGTATGCATGCTTACTCAAGAATAAATTTTCAATACCTCAAGGGTAAAGTTTAGGTGTCCAAAACAGGTTTCAACTTGACATGTATAGCCACAAAAAACATGGTGCCTCTTTATTCTGAAAAAGCAGAAGTACATGTCGTCACGCTTGCAACAATGAATGTAGTGGAAAAGAATGTTTCATATAATTTTTAGTATAGCCTGCTATGTACTTTACACCTCATGGATTTCATCATTGTTCATCTCTCCTTTGCCTCAGGTATTTATCTACAGGTTATTCTGGAAAAGCACGGACCATCCGAGGCGCATCAAAATGGAAGACATAAAGAAAGCGTTCCCTTCTCACTCAGAAAGCAGCATACGTAAGCGGCTCAAGTTGTGCGCAGACTTCAAGAGAACAGGTTTGTGAATGGTCACTGTACGAAATGAAAGTGTTTTGCTGTTACGTGCTACTCATTGAGCGCACTTGCACGGCCGCTCGATCTCCGCCTTTGGTGTGACCCGCTGAATGCTCCTCTTCGCCTGTGAAAACGCTAGTTCCTTTTGCAACCGCCGCATCGGCTGTGGCGCTAGCTATCGGTGATACAGGTGTTTCTCCCAAGGCTCTCTTCAGCTGTAGTGAGCAATCTGCGCCGGTAGTTCAACGTGTTTCTGATGAGTGTTTTGTCATGGTCACGTGAACAGGTTGCATTACTTTAGCTGAATTAGTGGTTTATGAATGAGTGACACATATTATCGCAAGCAATACGACGAACACATGAAACGAGACTAATCCGGCTGCACAGCTAGGGCCGTGTACTATGGGATGTTGCTGCATCTTAAGGAACTCCAGATGATTGAAAATATCCTAGCCATGCATCCACTTGGGAGTGGCTCAAAATTATATTGTGATTTTGGCACGTAAAACTTCAGATATTATTATTATTATTATTATTATTATTATTATTATTATTATTATTATCATTATTATTATTATTAATATTATTATTATTATTATTATTATTATTATTATTGGAAATGGTGCACATCAGTGGAAGAGTGAGTGACTTGGGCTGCTGATCCCAAGATCGCGGGATTGATGACCGCCTTGGTGGGCGCATTCCATGGTGGCAAAAATGCTTTAGGCTTGTGTGCTTTGTGATGTCAGTGCTCATTGAAGAACACCAGATTGTGTAAAATTCTGGAACCCTCTACTACGACGTTCCTCAAAATCGTATCATGGTTTTGGGATGTAAAACCACATATATGATTAAGAACTAAGAGCTGTATGGTAAGTATGTCGTTCATTCGATGCGATTTACTTTTTCATAGGCTAATTGAAGCCCCGTGAAATCCAAATTTACCGCTGAATACGGACAACAGTGGGCTATATATGTAGATTCTGAGGTATTTTGGAGACATGGGCACGCTGGTGAAAAAATTATTGGAGCAAGCCTAAGTATATTGACAATAGAAAAAACTAAGTTTTCCTCAGTTTCTCTCAAAACAAAACAAAAAAACTCCACGTGTGTATATGTGCGCCGTTAGACCGATGTTAAGCATAACGTGAAGCAATATCTGATATGCTTGTGATAGGTGCGCAGCCTGAATTTTTTTTCGGGGGTGGGGGAGAGGGGGCTTGATTTTGGGGAGGGAATCCCCTTGAAATGGTGATTTTTTTATCGATATGCCATGGCGAAAAAAAAAAAATGTCAGGGTGGGGGGGGGGGGGGGGGGGCATGGAGCCGTTGTGCCGCCTAATGGCTTGCGGTAATATGTCAAAGGCAATCATCCACAGCTAATTAGCCCAACAGTTAATTATTTAGAGGTAGATGGTTCTCCATGCGCTCCATTAGATGCACGCGGCGAGTGTGGCTGTCCAATTGAAGAAATTGAGGAAGCACAAGATCCTCGTCTAGGACAACTCAAAACTGCATTGATAATGATATTGGAAGTATTTAAACCTAGTGGCTTCAAATTCAGTGTCAACTCAATAGCTGAGGCTAATGTGTATTTTGTTTATAAAAATTTCCTGTCGTAGTTATTTGAACGCCGGGACCCATTTATTTCCGCGACTAAAATCGGAGTATAATGTGAATCGGGCAATGATCTGTAATGATTCTTTGTATAAAGGTGTAATGAGCGTCTTTATTTTCGTGTAGTGACGTACGTATTCGTTCCCGCTACCTCTATATATATATATATATATATATATATTATATATATATATATATATATATATATATATATATATATATATATATATGTGTGTGTGTGTGTGTGTGTGTGTGTGTGTGTGTGTGTGTGTGTGTGTGTGTGTGTGTGTGTGTGTATGTGTGTAGGTGGAATTAATACGTACGTATATATATAATGTTAATCAGTCACACGTAATCATTCTTTGTAAATTGTCCCATATAGACAATTTATCACTTAAATGATGCAAGATTTGACAAACTGGGGGCTTTGCGGAAAAGTGTTTTTCAAAAATGTCCATCCATGAACTACAGCCAGTTGGCCAGGAATATACTCATTAGCTTCTTCATAAGAACAGCATGGAAGAACAAAACGGCATCGTATGCTGATTGAATGATGGCAGGATACAACTATTCTAGGCACTATAATACGACTGTCACAAAATAGGGAGGATGGGTGAGATTACCCCTTCTCGGGACGCGGTGCAAGCCAGTGCGAATGCGATTACTTCGCCGATGGGCAGCGCCCTCACCCCCTGTTGTGGCCGATCAGTCAACTTTTCCTTTCACGCGCGCTCTTTTGTTCACGAAACATGCCTACAGGCCGCACCAAAGGGAGAGATCGAGCTGCCGTGGCACTTGCTCGAGAACAACAACAAAAAAAAAAAGGATTTTGTGATTTCTGCTGTAAACTTCTGATATGTTCGCCTGCCGCTTTCTGATTTTCTGGCGTTCATTGAGGCTCATGTTCTGTTTTTGTAGACATGTCTCACATGTTCGTAAAAACTTTGTTCTTTTCTTTTTGGTCTGTTTGTGAGCCGCTTGCTTTCCTTCAATTCTTATTGATTGCTGTTGGTTTGTATTTCACCTTCCAAAACAAATTCAGCTGATTGCCATGATGTAAATAAATATATAATTGCTGGCAGACAGCAGCGCAGTCATGCAGTATTTCAAAGTTATTTTGACAGGTCATGAATCAATAAAATTTAGCATATAACAGTATTTGTAACATCTTGTCCTTTCTAGCTGGTGATGCTATTTTAGGGTTTTCTCACTTTCATGCTGACTTGCTGGTACCTTTAGACTTCAGCTTAGCTGTGGAAGAAGTTTAAGCCGCAAGTTTCCTTCACATTAGTGAACTAACCGCAACATTTGTTGTACATCTTGTATAAGTTCCCACTTGCTGATAACTTTCGAACCTTACTTCTAAATTGGTCATTCTCTCGTCAGGAATGGATTCCAACTGGTGGGTTCTCAAGCCGGAGTTCCGGCTTCCCACCGAGGATGAAATTCGAGCTATGGTTTCTCCGGAGCAGTGCTGTGCCTACTACAGCATGATCTCTGCCGAGCAGAGGCTCAAGGTGGGTACACAGATTTGATCCATGTGTTGTGCATAGTACAGTTGCTGTCAAAAGGCTTGGCAAAATAACTTTATCCCCGAGTGATGAAGTTGTTGCTAGCAGTGCTACTTTTTGCAAATGCATAGACGTGATCAGAACGCTAACCAGCTGTGCCAACTCCACAACATAAGAAATGGTTTAGGGGATACTGTAATTGCATGCAGCATAAACTAGCATGACTTGGGTTTTTGAACAACCTGTTGAACAATTTGAACGACCAATGCTGTTGTGAATTAAAAGATCATAATTTTCTCACGGCAAAAACACAACATTCATAATCGTTCTGAGCATAAAGCATGTGAGAATGGACAAGAGAACAAAGAATGTGGTGTTTTTTTTTCAAGGCAGAGCCATTTTAGCAAAGGTGATATAGGCAAGCAAATCGATGTGTGATAGCCTGTTCCTCTTCTTTATCTCTAAAGGATGCTGGTTATGGGGAGAAGTCTCTGTTCGCACCAGAAGATGAAAATGACGAGGAAATGCAAGTGAAAATGGACGACGAGGTGAGGCATTGCCCGACACCTTTTTTCTTATATCTGTTCTTTTTTTGTGTGTGTGCGCTGCATCGGTGGTTTTTGGTGTTTGGTGCAGGTGAAAGCAGCTCCTTGGAACACGACACGAGCGTTCATCTCTTCCGTCAAAGGAAAGTGCCTGCTGCAGCTGACTGGCGTAGCTGACCCGACAAGCTGCGGAGAGGGCTTCTCTTATGTGCGCGTGCCAAACAAACCCCAGCAGTCAAAGGTAAGGACGATTTCTAGTGCATTTGAATTCATGTATATCGAATCATTGTGCATATTGAATAATTATAATAACCTTTTGAACAATATGTTTTTAATATGTAAAATATTTTAGATATTGCATTAGTAGGTGTATATACCTAGAACTCTTTTGTGATCATCTTCAAATGCAATATATCTGGGTTTAGCTATAGTTTCTTTCACTCTTTAAAAATGCTGACTCTGTCTTTCTTCTGTTTACTCCTGACAGGAGGATGGCGCAAACCAACAGCCAGTTAAGAAGACTGTGACGGGTACCGACGCGGATCTCCGGCGTTTGTCACTTAGCAATGCCAAGCAATTGCTGAGAAAGTTCGGTGTCCCTGAAGACGAGGTGTGCACAGGTCTTTTTATGCATGCTAATTGTGCAGGTAGTTATTATTTTTCTTTCTTGAGAAGGGTGTAGCTTTAGATTGACTGAACATGATCCTCGCTGAAGAAATTATTGTTCTAGAAGGGCTTCTGAACTGCAGCACATGAATAAAATTTCATGTTGCATGTAAAAAAAAAAAAGTTACAGAACGTGATTGTGCATGGTCATTTTTGCCTGTTTCTGCATGAATTACCCAGAAATGCAGTCTGTATTCACTGATTGGCTATGTAGTATGTAGGGCCCATTTTAAAGGTCATAATTGTTGCTGTTTATCTTAAGTTCATAATGTTATAAGAAAATGGGCTGTAGTGTTTGTTGCAGGTTCACAGCAGCTAATTTGCAACTTTTTAAAAGCATATATTTCTCTTTACTTTTTCCATTATAGTGCAATAAAATTCACAAAATAAAGTCGTATATATACACATTTCTTTTGTTGCTAAAAGCCTGAGCCCTTGTATTTCTGTTTGCATCAACAGATCAAGAAACTGTCACGGTGGGAGGTGATTGACGTTGTGCGGACACTGTCTACAGAACAGGCAAAAGCTGGAGAGGAAGGTGATTCAAATACGTTTTTTTTTTTTATGAAATAATAGGCGTGGCTAGTTGCTCCCTGTTACAGGCATTTTGCACTTTCCTGAGCTAGCAGCAATCTAAATAATGACATTTGCCAGCTTTATGATCCCAAGAAATATTTCAAGAAATCAGATCTAGTCCCCCACTTGACAGTTATGCAACACTTTACTATTCAGCTTTCTAAGAGGCCTGTTTTCTTACACAAGTAGTTTTTGTAATGAGGTATAAAGCTTTCTGATGTCTTTAGGGTTGTATATTGACGACATTCTTGTATACTACTTTGGAACTTTAATATTTAAATACAATGAGTAACTAATGTTTTGAATAAGAAGTTTTTGCTTTTTACCTCAAGAGAGGAAGTACACTTTGTGCAAACTTTATCCGTGAAAATTTACATTTTGTAAATTTAATGATTGCTTGAGTGGCAACTAACTAACAGGCATTGATAATAAAGCATTATGCTTTCTTCATGTGCATTCAGGCCTTTTGTCCCAGCACTAACGCAACTCATGCGCCGTTCTGGTTCATGTCAAATGCAGCCATGAGTAAGTTTGCCCGGGGCAACCGGTTCAGCATAGCGGAGCACCAAGAACGCTACAAAGAGGAGTGTCAACGCATCTTCGACCTGCAGAACAGAGTCCTCTCTTCAAATGAAGTGCTGTCCACGGACGAGGATTCCAGCTCGGAGGATGACTCTGACATTGAGGAGATGGGAAAGAACATTGAGAATATGCTTTCAAACAAGAAGACAAGCTCACAGGTGGGTGATGACTGGCACTAACAGCTAACCTCGAGGAAAAAAAAAATAGACACTACAGGCTGCAGGACCTGGCAAACTGCTAAGAGAATGTAATTAGTGCTCCCCTTTTTGCCCTCATACTAGCTATTCCTGACTCAGTTTCTTTACAGCTTCGAAAGTTCTGCTGATGAATCCAAGTAATTTAATAAGAATGGGCAGTTATTGCAACTGAACATGTCATTGAAATGGGTGGCAACACTCTCCTTGACAACTGCGAATCTGCTTGTTTCATGAAAGTGGTAGCTTCGTATGATGGTCACATGGGCAAAGCTCTTCTCTCGACACAGTTTTTACGCCCACAGAAAAGGCAACGTGCTGTGCAGAAATCATGAAAGAGAAAGTAGTATAATCTTTTTGTCTGAAAATATGTTTGTGCTGCAGTGGAATAGTCATGTCTGTTTGGCTCTAATCACCAGTGTCGCTTGCTGTTGCAGCTGTCGCATGAAAGGGAAGAAGCAGAAAGACGAGAGTTGCAGAAGTTGATCATGGGAGAGGATTCTTGTGCTGGCGACGACAAGAAGAAAAAGGACAAAGGTTGTAGTAAGCATGTCCTCTACGAGATTGACGAAATGCTTGTTAAGATTTCTGTCCAGCAGGCGCATTCAGTAGTGGTGATGGCCATTCAAACTAGCTAACATAGAACAAAGAAATTTCGTTCCCGAGGTACGCATGAGGTTCATTGTTGTCATCAGCTTGAATTAAACTAGTTTGAGAACGAATTTGATTCAACAAAGTCTCCCCCACCCCCTCCCCGAAATAAGTTAGTAAAAAAGGGCGGTGATTTGGTTTGGTTTGGTTTGGTTTGCTTTGCTTTGCTTTTATTCAAGGCAAAATTGAACAAGATTGCCTTGGGAGACACGACTAAAGGCTAAGTAAAAGCCTCTAGCTTTAACACAGACAGGTTCCTAGCTTTAACACAGACAGGTTTTTCTTTGTGCATGCGCTCTAGCTCTATTGCCATTAGAAAAGTCAAGCTGCCCTATTCACGACCTTACCCTTATTTTGATGAAGCTGCCCATCATGCCAATACATGGAATAGATTCAGCAGTCAGTGCTTTTGCGTACCGAATGGCACTAGAGGGATGGCTGTTTAGTGTACCTGTAAAAAGTTCCACCAGAGCGCCATGGTGGTTGCTTTTGTTATTACATGGTTTACGCAACAAATGGCACTGATCACTGCCTCTCAGCTTTTTCATTCGACATGCTCACATTATCACTAGGTTTGTTCTCCTCACCTTTGCACATTGGCAGCCTGTCAACGTATTGTGTGGTATCTAGCCTGCTTTGCCTGGACATGGAGCCTCCCTGTCCAGGCGACAAGCAAGGCTCCATGCCCGAGCCACCCTTGCGGATTTCTCGCGTGCACAGACATAGTTTAGCAGCAAATACAATGTCACAGTACCTCGTGGGTGCTGCTACATCACAATTTTCAATTTTGAAAGGATAAAAAATTCCTTCAGTATGATTTAACAAAGTATTTTAAGCGTTGTCATCACTTTGTTAAATCGAATTTCAACTGTGCTAAATAATCACCTAAGTATCCCTCAAGGTAATTTTTGTGATACAACTAAGATTTTTCTGAGTTGTTTATTCCTGCTAATAATTATTGATAAATGAAGTTGCATTTTTTGTGTCATTTTTAGCTACAATAATGTATTCACAAAAGTACTGCTGCTTTGACTGTGATGTTTTACTCCTAACATATTGGTGCACTTACAGATGGCAAGCAAAAGTCAGACAAAGATGATGACAATGCATCTATGGCAAGCTTGCGATCTAATGAGGTATGCTTCCACGCCATTTCTCATTAGTACTCGAAGGACTTTTCGTAGTTTACTCAAGCTGAGAACTTGGCCTGTACTCGTCTTCAAGATAGACAGACTCTGAAAGAGATGCTTGTCTCATTTGCTTCTTTTCCTTTTTGTCTGCATCTTCTTGCACTGTTCACCTAAATATGCTGAGGTACGCTAACAGAAAATAACAGCTGTCAGCTCAGATCTTTCAAACTTTAGTAAACCTTTTATCTTGCTCCTACTCTATTAGCTTTTTGAGCTTTGCAGTTAAAAACAACATGAAATACTTTGTGTACATTTTGTGTAATTGATTCAGTGTTTTTGCACTGTTTCCCTGTCGCTGCATTACTACATAATATTTTCTTTGCAGAATGGACGAATATTGAAGATATTTCGTACTTTCCGAAATAATAAAGGACGAGAATATGTCCGCATTGAAACTGTGCGAAAGCCAGCCGTCATTGACACGTACGTCAGAATACGTACGACCAAGGATCCGAACTTCATGTAAGTTGCTCAGCTAGAGTGTTGGTTTCCGTCCACAGAAAGGGATGGCCCCAATGTGGTCACTGCAGTTTTGGACATTTGCATGGCAAAGAAGCAATGACCGGCACAGCCTGCACGAGTCGCTGCACCAACACTTTTCACACAGCTATTGTTGTATGATTCATTCAACTAGTATTTCAGTTTAAATGTATGTATTGGGCAGTCAGTGGGACAAACTTTCTGTGTACTTTTTGTTTGTGCCATTTTTCACTGACATTTATATGTGTTGTCTATTTTGTTGCAGAGCTGCTTTTGTGAATTCTTCTCTTAGGATTCTCTCATGAATTCTTCTCATGGTTATGGCATGTAAAAACCTCAAAAACTAATCAGTTTTTCAGTTTGGTTTGCAGGTACAGAAGGGGCGTATGCTTTATTCAGCTAAATCATAAGGTTGTTCCAGGATCACTTCAAAATAGTATATCAGAACACTCACAGTTCTGATGAAATGTTGTAGCTGCTGCCATAACTGTGCTGTTGATTGAGATGAGCACTTCGATTCTCTGTTATTATAATTTTTTTATTTTGTGATGTGATAGCCTGTCTTTTCCTGAAATTACACACATTTCCTCCTGCAGACGCCAATTTGCATCTACTCTAGATGAGCACCAGAAGGAGGAGATTAGGAAGGAGCGAAGAAGGTGAGTCCTCTCTCGAACTCTTTCGTGAGAAACCTTGCTGCAGACTAGTGCATATATCACTTGCAAACCTCTCTGAAACAGAATTCAAGAGCAACTGCGGCGACTCAAGCGCAATGCTGAGAAAGAGAAACATATTCCTATGAGAAAAAAACCTAAGAAGGAGCAACCGCAACTAAAGGTACGTACTTGTGGTTCCTTTATCTTATCGTCTTATGACTTTATTTGATGTGAAAGAATGTACGATCAACACTTATATAGCACTGAGAGATTGCTGTCATTGTGATGTACGAGTTACTTTTTCGTGTTTCAACTGTGCTACTGTTTTGTGGCAGTAGATATCTTGTACACTTTTTGGAAAAATTGCTGAATCATTGCTGCACAATCCCAGCATAATGTCATACACTTCAGTGTGTAATGTTTCTGCCTTGTGTGGTACGAGTTGGACAGTTTCTGTGTGATAGGTTGACAAGGTCCCAGAGAAACATCAAGAACACTTAAAGAGATACTTTCAGTGTCTTAGGGCATAACGCAGTAGAGAGCATTAGTGTGGGTGCACAAAGTAAGACGTTGGCGTGGCAGCACTGCTCATGCACGAAGCCCCAAGTACATTCTTCCCCGTGTAGCCGGGGCAGTGCATACGCGTGGCCCTAAACATTGCTGCCACCTCTGACCTCTTAGCGAAGATCATCCCTAGCAGTTCACATCCACCTCGAATATGTTATGCTGCCGTCGTGCGCTTTGTGGTTATTCAGCTTCGAACTGATGCTTTTATTTGCTTTAGATTAATGTCCTTAGGCTTAGACAGCAACGTATTCGTGTTGATTCGGCACCATTTTCGAGACACACGCTCAAATAGTCGATGTTATAGGATTAGTGAGTGGGGGCGCTCCCAGAATCTTTGCAAACATCACTCAAGTTTTTTTTTTTTTTTTTTTTGGCCTAATGTGGCAGCAGCCATCGCACGTTACCCGATATTACTCTACTTCTTTGCGATATCGTGTTCACTTTAAATGCTTATGAACCCGCACAATAGTTGAAAACGAACTGTAGATCTGTAGCCATCTTGCCACCACAAATCTTCCTTTTGTATGTCGTCGGCGGGCCACAGTAATGACCGCAGTCGCAACTTTGACCCCAAAAAGAAAAAGACCTTGGGGGGGGGGGGGGGGGGTCAATTTTCTTATCAGGATAATTCAATAAGTAAGAATATTTTACTCTTGGCATGTTTATTTCTCGCCACTATCTTTTCTTGGTTTAACATTTTAAGTTTTTATTTAAATTTTAAAAAACCCAAACCAGTCCGTATGCGACAAGACGCTTTGGTGCTACGAGTGCGTGTGATTTTCGTGTGGCTTGCAATTCGAGTGGGCAACACTACAAGGGGGCCCTGAAACACTTTTTCAAGTAACCATGGAATGGATTCGCTAAAAGAGCTTATTGCTCCACGAATTCAACATTGCAAAAATTTCAAGAATCTGTCCAGTACGAGCAAAGTTATAAAAATTCGTCGCGCACTGCAATCGCATTCTCTCTGCTCTCGTCCCGACGAAAGCGCTGGAAGCTGAGCAGGGAGGGATGGCAGGAGCAAAGAAAAGACGTCACAGCGCCACGTGACCTTGAGCACTTCTTTCTTTTTTTTTTTTCTTAGAATACGTGGCTTTTCCAGTGCGATCGCGCACGCGCGGGTGGACAAGTCGCGGCTTTTCGCAGCGATCCTTGTAACTACAGAGTGCGCCATGTTCAAATCAACCAATGGCTGATGGATGGCCTTCGAGTGATTTTTGAGCGTCTTTTGTCGAGAGAAAAAGAAATAATTTTTGGCCTACTTTGATAATTTATTGTGAATTCCAGGCCGCGTGCTGCACTATAATATTTGGCTCGCGTGTTCTTGGGAGCCTCTACTACTGATCATTATTGTTTTCTGACCGTGCTCAAAAAGTGTTGCAGGGCACCTTTAAGGCTTGTGTGCTTGGGTACACAACTTCGCGCATAGCCAAGGGCTTTCATATTCAGCACTAATACTCTCTTCTTACTTGATGGAGTAGCGGTGTCTTTTTTTGGAATGCTAGGAGAATTTTAGAAGTTGTAATCTTCGACAGGGTTACCAAAGAATGTCTGCACTTGCTCGCCACAGGAGCATAAGGAATTCACTAGTTCAGTCCCTCATTCCGAAGCATGTCCAGACACTCGTGTATAGCCTTGCTTGTGTCATTCTTTGATGGCAAACAAGAAGTGTTCTGCAAGTGAGTCCTGCAAAGGGCACAGACAGAAACATGCTGTCTGTGTACATGTATCAATGTCCCACTTCTGACAAGGACTCAAGTGCCTCTTGTGCCTATGTTATTCACATCATTGTGTGGCACTAGCATTGAAACACTCTTGCCTTACCTCACCATAGCTAACCGCACGCTGCATGTTTGTTATGCGGGAAGGCCAAGTAACAGGCTTAATAGCCTCACAAAAACAAAATATGAATGTACCTTGCGTCCCTGCCCTCTCACTTGCTGTTACAGAACAGCGCTTAGCAAAAAAAAAGTGTAGTACAGCCACTTTAGCAAGACAAGCTTGTGCCTAACACAGAACACATGCAATGATCATTATCGATGTAGCATTACATGAAAATTTTTTATCCTAGCAAGCACAAAAAAAGAAAACACCAAGGCTGTAAACAAGATTGTACTTTTGCCACACAACTTGACTTACCAATTTACACATTTTGCACCACTGAAATTAAGTATGTGCATTCCACAAAAACAAATCACATTTACTTCTTCCTTAAGGGCATCACCACTCTTACGTTGAATGAACAGAGGATGTAGAACTGCATCATTTGTTTAGTAGAATGATCGAAGGAATTATTTAGCTTATGTAACCTAAAATAAGTGACCTATAGAGCCTGAGTAATTTGTTAGTGCTTTTAATGGCACATTGTTTTTGTTTTTCACTATACCAGCTTTTATGGCATCATTAAAAGACCCATACAAAAAGCTTATGGGTCCCTTTGTTGCTGCTACCAATGGAAATTACCAGTGCACACATTATGTTATATACATACTCATTATTATTGATCAAGGTGATCCTTTAAAGCTAAACATCCGACAGTCATCAGTTCGGTCAATGAATACTTTAGTTGCTTATATAATTAGTGCAGTTTGTTCCATTATTTTAGGGCTTTGAATTATTGTTGGGAAAATTATAGAAATGTTTTGGGAAGACCATAGTATAAAAATATTGTGTTTACTTTATTCTAACAAGCAATTCCACAAATTTTAACAAGAAGGCAGCTGAATAAAAATGGGTACAAGTGGCTGAAAGCTCCAATAAATTGACTCAGTGACCAACAATGATTCCAGAAAGCTATGCACTACAGTAAACCATTATTAATACTAACCTTCTAGGAACACATGACTTAACTGCATACTTACCACTGTTTTTTCTTTCTTATTTATTCGAACATGGAAAAAGTTTGGCTCTTGCATGACCATGTAATAGCACACAATGGTGATACGAATGAGAATTTCGAAACTGTGTACAAGGTGGACAAGGTAGCAGTGTGCACAACTCTTTGAGCATTTCATAATGTATGTGTGTGAGCTTCAGAACTGATTTGTTGCTGAGCAAACACCGGTGCCACTTCAATGAAATGAGGGAGCTGCTGCCACATGAAGTCAACCATTTCTATAAATATTTGTGTGCAGCATGTTGCCTGCTTGGCTCTACATTCACAATGTCACTGTCATGGTGTTTGCTTTATTGTATGAATGAGTTACTACGGGGGGGTGTTTGTTCAGTTAGGTTTCTTCACGACGTTGCGGCTCCTGACACTGCATGTGTTCAGTGCATAACTTCTTGAGCTAATGAAGCAATGTTCAGCAACTCATTTGCAAGCAGCACCAACTTGAAGGGGTCCCACACAAGTGGGCACCAGCCAATAATGCTTTACATTTGGGCTTATGTCTACAAAATATCTGCAGTACACCTAAAACATCTCTGCATGATATATGCTCTCAAGCAGATAGTTGAAGATGCTCATCAAGATAGGGTAGTGAGCAGTCGGTCATAATGATGCATTCGTATGTGATCATCAGCAAGCCTTCATGCACTTTCAATGCTTATTAAAAGGAAAAGAGTATCACTTGCAAATTTTTATTTTGTGCACTGTTATGACCTGCAGCACACAGGCATGCAAGGCAGGCTTAGGGAGATGTTGCAAACATATGCATAGAGAAGACTTATGCATGCCATGAGTTGAGGGGTGCGGTAAATCTGACAAAATGTGATCATAGTGTGCACTCATAGTCCGACTATGGAGGCTGAGTCGAGGTTTCATCGCTACATTCTTATCATTAGTACTTGTTAGAACGATATGTTTTAACAAGGTATTTGTTCTAATAAGACAATTCTCGGGTAAGGAGGTTCTGTTTGAATGTTCTGTTTGGTTCTGTTCGCTTATGTTTGCAACATCTCCCCACGACTACCTTGCATCTAATGCGCTACAGATCAAAACAACGCACAAAGTGTGCTAGTGGTATTCTTTCTTTTTTAAAGTAGAAGTGATATATTCAGCACGTGCTAATTGTGCAAGCAAATACGGATCTTGAAATTATTCTAATGCATTGCATAAATACTAAGGAACTATTCAGTTAAAGTTCAGCCATGCATTTTGAAGTCCTTTCGACATCTTCACCAGTTTTTCTTTTCCTCGAGAGGCCGCTTCAGTTTTCAATTGATCTGGTCTCTGGTACCGGCAGTTGTCATTACATTGATTGTGTTCACGTTATTCATGTAGGTGGGTGGCAAAATTTATAATGACCATTGTGTTGTCCGAACAGTGCCTTGAATGTGTAATGGCTCTCAAACTACGGCAGCTTCCATCTTGTTGTGGTGAACGCCTCCCAGTGTATCGCCATTGTACCGTATTTACTCGATTCTACCGCGCCCTCGATTGTAACGCGCACCCGATTTCCACCGTAAAAAAAAAAAAGTAAGACATCGATTGCAACGCGCACCCATTTTTCTCGCTGGCCCGCACGATCACACCACTCGAAAAAAACGACTCCTTTCGGGAGCGTCTTCCATTTAAATATGAGGTACGGGCGAAGCTTGTGCCCATCTGACGTGTAACAGAGCATTGCCGTCACTGTAGTTTTACCGTGGACCAATGTCAGCACGCGAACTTGCTTCGGCCCCGTCTTCTCGACGGTTGTGGTGCTAGGCATGTCGAAGTAAAGAGGCGTCTGATCGGCATTCCCGATTTGCCCAAGCAGGTAGCCGTTGTTGCGCCGCAAGTTTAGGACGAACCTCTGAAAACTGTGAAGCTTTTCATCTTACTCCTCCGCAAAACTTTTCGCATATGCATGTTCCCCTTCGGAGGGAAAAGCCTTTCCTCTTCATAAAGTTAGTTAGCCAGCACCTGCTCGCTTTAAACTGGCTCCACATTAGACGTCTTTCTAAGACTAATTGCATAGCCCGCACTTGGAGCAGTTCTGTCGTCATGGGCCGCTCTGCCGCTTGCTGCTCAAGAACATACTTGCCGAGCAGCTCTTTAATTTGCAGAAACCGACCCTGCTGTGGTCCACTGAAGCCTTTGCGTGAAGCTTTGCTGATGACAATCTTCTGCTTTTGTTTCCGCCGGTCCCGCACGCACGTTTCGGGAACTTCGAATGACCGCGATGCGACCCAATTTCCGTCCGTTTCCGGACACGCGATGGCTTTTCTTTTAAAAGCGGCATCGTGGTGCACTCGAGTTTTTGGAGTCGGCCCTTCCACGCCGTCGATGCTAATGCACTACTAGATGACGAACTCCTCAGCACACGTACGAAGTGCCGCACATGGGAAACACATAGGCAGAAATGGCTGACGCGCCATGCCGACGCACGTAGGGGGCGGCCATTTTGGATTTGCCGATGGCAATAGATTGAACGTATTTTTTTTTTTCGTACTCGATTCCAACGCGCATGCGATTTATGAACTCGCTTAACCGGAAAAAAGGTGCGCGTTAGATTCGAGTAATTACGGTAAGCACTGTGGCTCTAATGTTAAGTGCCATATGTTCTATTCTTCTTGGAAAATTGAAAGTATAATTTGCTGAACACTGTGTAATGTCTGGGTGCCAACAAGCGTAAAGAGATTTTTTAGAAAGACTATCTGAGCTAGTGAGACAGCACAAAATCTATCTTCGCCACCTGAACAATAAACTCAGTCATGCAACTGAACCGAGAGGAACATTAAATATTATCCTGCTATCATTCGCTTGATTGAGGAGAACCTACAAAAATGGCTGTAGGTTGAGCTATTGAACACTCGAGCTACTTCAAGGACAGTGAGCCCCACGCCTTCGCCCACGCCTGGAAGCTGAGGACTCATATTCAAGTTCTTCACAATGCCTTTCCCTGCTAAGACGACTCATAGCTAAAGTCATAAATAAACCACTCCAGGACAAAAAAAAAAAAAGAAAGCTCCTTAAGAGGTTTCAGTCGTGATGCAGGACTCAGAAGCGCCTCAAAACATTGTGTTGAATTCTGTGAAGTTAGGTGGTTAGCAAGCACCACAGGAAGAGGACTCATCCTAATGGTGCCTGAAAGTTGCTTGCATACATACACGTGTTAGTATCTCAGAGTTAGCATCAACCTTGTGAACTCATCTCATACTTATTTTTTCTGCCTCCTTGTTCTATGCTTTTCTTTGGTTTTCAGCAGGACCCTACATAGTTTGTATTGAGCACTTTATTGAGCAATTAACTGTTTGCAGTTGCACACTTTTCTTTATTTACTTTATTTATGCACCTTCAGGATCGTATGGCATTACAGAATGGAGTGGTTACACAAAAGAACATCAACGTTAAACAATATAAAGTGAGTTTTGTCAATCTCAAATTACTTTTAATTAAACAATGCTAGCTGAAGTGCCACAATTGAAGTGCACTGTCAGTGTGGCTTAAGCTTTAGTGATTAAACAGTTGCACTCGTTTATTTGTGATCATAATTCTGACACAGACAAATTTTTTATGCTGTCTAACCCGCATGCAAAATACCAGAGAGCACAAACACATCTGTAAGCAAAATAACTAGTTTCTATCAATTCAGTTTCTAATATACACAAAACAAAATTGTTAGTATTGCCACAGCATTAGGGAATATATACTGCCACACTTATTAAACTGTACTTGTAGTGTTGTCATAAACATATTTTTCTTAGGCCTAATCTGCATGCTACTTACTAAAATGTCACACAAAAATTGTTTCTGTCAAGTCACAACATAATATACACAATACAAATCATTGTTGTTTAACCCAAGGACTAAAAAGAAGACAAACCATTCATGCACTAATTATTTCATTTTTGTTAAGTAGCTTATTTAATTACATAATGACATGCCACATAAATCAGACACATTCCATAAATGTGCATGGAATTGGTGTACTAACAGATGAATTGGTGTATGAACTGGCGTACTAATTACTGTGCTTATGCTTAATGGAATCGGGCCACACAACTTGTGTCACAACTTGGTGCAAGTATATGCATTTCTTGCATTGAGAAAAGAATACAATGAAGCCAGTGAGAATATAACAAGCGATGTCTTGTGTGACGCAAGAACTGTGATATACCGAAGATACACTAGATGTATGTTATTAGCACTACATTAATTGATGCAACACAATCGTGCATATATAGCCACTTTTTTATCTAGCTGAATGCCACTTTTGCATGTGGCATTCTTTTTAGATATTAGTAAATCTAACTAAGTAATGCAAATTAAAGTAGCACTTTTGGCTAGTGTAATTGTCTCCTGATGTCAGGATAGACAGGATGTTTTTCTTGTGTTGCACTAATTATTAATAAAAGGGAGCAAGTCTGTGAATAACTAAATGTCTTCTGATGAGGGTCTGTGAATAACTAAATGTCTTCTGATAAGTACTTAATTCGCAGAAACACCACTACTTGAATGCCAGGTGTGATTGCAGTAGCGAACAGCATTCAGTCACTAAGCCTCTAAATAATGCACAAACACATTGTTTGCACTCCCAGCCAACTCAACACAATAGGATTAATGTAAGCAAGATTATTAATGTGATAGCCTGCTATACCCATACCTAAGTTTTATGTAGCATTACAGAAGGCTTAGCAGTGCTTTTTGCATCTAACCCACGTATGTATAACCCATGGATGGCTTAATTAGATATGTACATTTATCCCTGGGCCTAGAAAAAACTATGGTAGCTCATTAGTAGTCAGAGTTTCATTCTTTGTCCTCCATTTTTATGTGCCATTTTCGCTATGTACTGTTAGTCTGTTTGCAGACTTTCAATTCTTGTGTACGTCTCAAAAAGAGAATGAAAGAATTTTAGTGACCATGTTCTTACTTGGGTAGAAATAACCTCCCTTCTGTAAGAAATGTGTTTCAGAGCACAGCTCTTAGATGCCCGTTTTTACGTTGAGCACCATCGCCATTGATGGCGTAACTGATAGATATGGATAAGTAATTGATAGACTTGACAAAATGGAAAAAAAAATTCACCTGATTGAACGGGCTTGGAATCCAGGCCCAGTATGTTGCGGTTGAGAATTCTACCTAAGAGCCACAATGGTGCTCGAAACGTATTTGCAAAATTTGCCATTTACACAGTGTATTGGAGTCTGTTCACAGAGCTTACAGGTGTCATGTCCGGCAAGAAATTGTATTTACCTATGTAATATAGCATGGAGGGAAAGTAAGCTAACAACTGGTTATCACACAATGGTAATCGCACAACGATTGTGTGGTTTGATGCTTCCCTACTACTGTGATGTGCTAAGCCATAAATCTTAGTTCTCATCTGCCCCTAGCAGCATCAACAAAGTGCATATAAAACCTTACGCTTATCTGCAGAAATATTAACATAATGGCATTGTGGGTGCTGTTTTACTTCACCAAAATTATGATTTATGCCGTAATCAATACCTTGCAAAAAGCCAAAACTTCAACCACAGTTCGCGTTAGGCAGTATTGTAATTGTCAGCGAATTTTGTTGCGTAAGCTACTCTTGCTGAGGTTGAGCAGTGTCGCGTGGTTTACCAAGAGTCATGCTACGCATGCCCGAGGGGCAGTGACGTCACACGAAGCACAGCTGGCACACCGTAGAAGGCCTGGAAGCTCCTGGAGTGGCGTGTCACTTGTGGGCTGGTGTTTGACTCGCGTGAGCTTGCTTGCTAGACCCTCCGTTCATCTGTCCATCCGTTCGTTTAACTGTAGCTCTCGCTACATATGTCCTGGCATAACTGAGCTAAGCTACTGCTAATTTTTTTTTTTTAAGACGATAGTCTTTCTTGGGAATGTTCGACGGAAAATTTTTAGTCTGTCTGTCTGTTGTTACATTTGTCTGTTTGTCCGCCCCAACGATACCTCAAACGGCACCAAACAGTCAACCCCATCCGCAGTGCCCGCCAATATTGTTTAAAGTTTAGCGTTCATAGTTGTGCGATTGTCAATTAAAAAAGCAAATATTGTGCATATCTGAGGCGCCATAACAACACGTCTATGTTTTGTATGTCTGCCTTTATACTAGAAGAGGCACACACAAGTAACTCTAAGGACTGTAGCGTTTATCGCGCTGCGCTGACAGTGCAGGCAATGCTCAAGAAGGTGTTTCCAACGCTTTGCTACGACGACACGGTGGTGGCACCTGCCCGTCGCTTTGAATTCTACACCTTATCACTTCCAAGACTGGCACGCATCTTTCTCCGCGGTCACACACGCCTTCGTTTTCAAAGATAATTGCCAGATGGCGCTTGTGTCTAATGTGTCTAGATGCGCTTGTTGGCCTCAGCTACACGCTCGAGGCACTCTAACGCAGCGCCTTCAGAATACCATTCACCGATTTTTTTGCGCAGAACATCAAATAAACGTTTTGTTCACTCTCTCCAGACGCAAGACTATCGTATTTCGACGACATTTACAGTGTATTATGTATATTCGGGCCACGGTGTAAGAAGTAGTAGCTTAGGTGATTGAACGGCGCGCGCTGGGCGAGGGCCACTGCGGCACGCTTAGAGTTCTCCTTTCTCCGCTCGTCAAGAGAGGGCGCTAGAAACTTGTGCCCGCTCACTCGCTTCGCGCTCTCAGACAGCACTAGCCGTTTGCAGCTTTGTTCACGGCACGTTGTTGCTGCTCGCCGGGTGTTGTCAAAGCATTGTTCATTTGTCTGCCAGGTAGCTCCCAACCTTCGAACTTTTTCATGAGCCTGCATAATGGGAAAGTGCTTCGTACCGTTTTGTAACACCGGTTACAAGTCTTGCAAAGAAAAGTTCTCGCTTTTCAAGCCGCCGAACGATGAAGCAAGACTGGAAGCATGGAGACGAGCCATTCCTCGTAAGGACCGCGTGCTCCAAAGAACGGATCGCGTTTGTGAGAAGCATTTCGCTTCCCGTTTTATCCTGAAGACGTGGTCTGCGGGAATTGACGGCCATGTGCTGATGTCTGGAACAAGAAGAGCGGGCCTTTCAAAAGACGCTGTGCCGTCAATTTTCGAAGGGGCGCCAAGCTACCTGTCCAGAAAGATTAAAAGCCCTCGAAAGCAAGTGAAACGGCTAGCGCTTCCTGTGGCTGCTTCGGTGAGTAGCTGTAACAACAATAGCAGCAACTTGCCAACGACAGCTAGCCACATAGAAGTCTCCCCAGCGGACAATATGGAAACGTCGTCTGACGACAGCTGTTGTGTGACTAAGACTGGTGAGAGTAACTCATGTGACTCAGTGTTCGAACGGCTTTTCAGTGCAGTATCTTGCGTTAGCCTGCCACAGCCATCATGGGCGGCGCATCTCATCAACTTAGCTGGAGTGAGGGACGTCGTGTTTATTGACGCTGCGGTTGCGCATAGGACAAGCGACGGATCGTCGGTGCTGTTTAACAGGAAGGCTCTGCATGTCAAAAGCAACATGGAAGTCCAAGTCTACATCTTAGACAAGTTGATCGACTCTGCTGCAATAGGGGTAAGTCCCTTCGCCACATCTGCCCTTGAAGTTGAATCCATGCTCAAAGTTGTTGACGGCATAGATGTGTGTAGGGGAGGGCCTAGTTTAAAGGACTTCCCTGATGTGTCCCCTGAATGTGCCTTTGTGGACTGTCAAAAAAGCTGGAGACACAACAAATGTCTCTTGGTGACACCTGGAGGTGCTATCTGTCGCCTGTGTTCGGGCCTCGTTGACACCCTTAGAATACATGCTGATCGCCGAGCTGCGCGAGCCAAGCAGGGAATACCTCTCAAGCGTTTCAGGTTATCGGTGGTGCCCACCCAACAACAGAAGCTTTCTGCTTTGCGGCATGCACGATCAGCTGTTCAGCGGTCACGAGCACGACTGGCCAAGCGCAACAAGCTGTTATTGGAGCAGTTGCAAGCAGCGATGAAAGAGCTAACAGATTTGCAGGAGCAAGATATCAAGGAGAAGCTAAAGGGATTTGATATACCGCCAGCACAGCTTCTTTTGATAGAAGAATGTGTATCAGTCGCAAGGTGCGCATCAAAAACAAGCAGGCGATACACAGACGATTGGATCTTGTTGTGCCTCTTGCTGCACATACGGAGCCCGGCCACCTACTCTTTCTTGAGAAACAACGATATACTGCCTTTGCCGTGCGTTACCACAGTGCGAAAGTACATAAGCATGGTTGGTCCGAAGTGCGGTTTCGACGACAACTTCTTCAAAGCCCTCAAGATAAAAGTTGCCGGAAAGACCGCATTCCAGCGGCGGGGAATCCTGATCTTGGACGAAATTCAAGTAAGAAAGGAAATGGCTGTCAACTCGCAGACAATGACGTACACTGGCCTTGTTGATCAAGGAGAGAAAAATAATCAGAGCAAGGAACTCGCAGATC